AACGTGATCTCGTTTTGAAGGAGGCAAGACAACTCAAGAAGCTGGCTGTAGACTACCTACATCCGGAACGTCCAGTTGTCACTACCGATCCCTTTGCCTGTGGTCGTAACTACTTTACTCGTCCATCGGCGCCACTTCCAGAAGATGAAGAGATTGCAGCGGAGCGAGATCTCGTTTTGAAGGAGGCAAGACAACTCAAGAAGCTGGCTGTAGACTACCTACATCCGGAACGTCCAGTTGTCACTACCGATCCCTTTGCCTGTGGTCGTAACTACTTTACTCGTCCATCGGCACCACTTCCAGAAGATGAAGAGATTGCAGCGGAACGTGATCTCGTTTTGAAGGAGGCAAGACAACTCAAGAAGCTGGCTGTAGACTACCTACATCCGGAACGTCCAGTTGTCACTACCGATCCCTTTGCCTGTGGTCGTAACTACTTTACTCGTCCATCAGCTCCCCAGTACGACGAGGACTATGAAATGGAAAGAGAGCTCATTATGGACGACGCAAAACATTTGAAGGAGCTTGCACAGGAGTACCTTTGTCGCGAAGTTCCAGCTTCGTCCATGTTTCCAACAGCAGAGAAAGTCATCAGCCCTACTGCTACAATTGCATCTCCATCATCGGACCCAGCCTGTGTCCTCTTTGTAGGCATGAACTACTGAGTCTTCATCTCCGACAAAGAACTTCTACAGAAAACAATGCATGGAAAATATACTAATAGATATTATAATAAATAGAAAACAGAAGAAATCATATAGTGCTTGTATGTTTTAATTAGCTATTTGTCCTTGGTCCGTCCTTGCTTTCTTTAGAGTATGATATGGCAGGAGAGAACCATACTAAGGAGAAGCGTTCTCCTCTATAAGGCTGAGTCCAATGGCGACTTGACCAACCATCGAATTCCAAAGGTCTGTATCGAATGTCATGGGAGTAGTCTTCGACGCGTATCTCTCCACCTTTGTCGTAGTCGCCAAGGCCTACGATGAGGGACAGACTTTGGCCAGCTCCACGGCCTGAATCCACGTGGGGTAGGAAGGATGCATTGGCGTTGATAGCACAGCAAAGTGAAGGAAGTCGCGAAGCCCCTTCCTGGTCACGTACCGTTGGAGACCCATCTAAGCATGCCTTCTGATGAAGCATTCCCGATTCAATTAACACTTGCTCCAATTCAAAAACCGATTCCACTAGCTCGGGAAACTTCTGATTCCCCAGCGGCAAGGACTGTTTAGAAACATCCTTTTGCTCTATGGTGCCATGGGCCTGATGAATTGTTTCCATGCTATTGAGAAGTGGATTGTGTGGTACTTCCGTATTGAAGACGGTAAAAGACCCGGCATTGTTCCTGGGTTGTGTGTCTCCCTCGCAAATTACATTCGAACGAGCCATCGAAGTTTCTGGCCAAGATCCTGTGGTAATTAATTCCCTCAAAAGGAACAGCGTCCGCTGATATGCTTGTACAGGTGCCGTCATATCGTGGGTCGTCCGCCCTACAATAGCGCATTGCTCTTGTACGCATTCTTCAAGGGTTGGTAGACTATCAGCAATAGCAATTGAAGTTCCAGAACCCCCAACGTGCTGCTCTTTCAGTCGCAGCATTGCCTCTTTGATTCTCGGCGATATCGAATGCTTCAGCTCTTCCAGCCATTGTTTATCATTGTCCATGGCAGAGCTTTTGAAGCAGCCAGATCTTTCGAGCACTTGTGCTTGTGTCGCTTGTAAAGCTGTTTCGGGGTTGTCATATTCCAAAGCCTCAAAAGTCTGTACTTGCCCCTCATCATCGTTCTGCATCACCGCAGCAAGCTTTGATTCGTGAGAATGGAACCGAGCTCCGGCACAGTACAGTCTATTGTTCGGGGAGGACGGAGTTTCCAATAAGAAAGCTTTCGATAGTGCCATTGAAAAGATATCAGAAGGAAGCCATCCATGTACCACTGCCACCGAAGTGCCAACAATGCTTTGAATTTGACCAGGCACGAAATTATCCCCGCGAAACTCCAAAACAACCAATGTTTCATCTGCATCTTCGAAACCAGATGGCAGAAGGAAGCCCTTTATTCTAGCTTTATCCAAGACGTTCCAAATTGGTTCCTGATTGGGACTAGCATCTCCTCTTAATTCCACATGACCAAAGTTATGCCATGGTATTCGTTCCTTTCTATCGAATGATGCTGATCCTTTTCTAATTTTTTTGTTTTTATGGGGGTTTGGTGTAGCAATCAGGTCCGAGTCGTAGTTGGCAGATCTACTCTGTCGTCGTCTTACTTTTCTGTTTGGAATCGAGGTGGATTCAGCCAGCTGAAGCGCCTCCCGCAACCTTGCCAACGCATCTGATGGTGGCGCTGGCTTTGCCTGATCATCATAGTTTCGGCACCAAGATTCGAGCAATGCTCCGTCAGGTAGCCACGAAAGAGGAAGCAAATAGTGATAAACTCGTTGTGTACACTCCTTTTCGGCGTGAAATGCAAAACCTGCGGGCAGTCGCATTCCATTCAATATTTTCAGATTGTAAACAGACCCAGAAGAAGTTTCAAAATCGTCTCCGAGATAATTCCTTGCCACTGTTAGAAGCTTGTCGACTTCATTACAACCCTCCATCTCTCCCTGTGGCATCTGAAGGTTCACGAGAAGATAATCTGCTGCAGATGATATGCCATTCTCTTGCGCCAAAACCAATGGGCGGTGGTTTGCTACCGATGTCTGTGTCGTACCAACGATCCAATCCTTGCCTGAGATATGATCTCTATTCGGTGTGTTGCCATATGCTGCTTCTAGATTCGGACCACCAAATAAATCGAAGAGACCTAATTTGATCGCTTCTTGGACCTTTTGACCAATTTCGTGAGCATCTGATGGATTTTTACATCCTGCTCTCCAACGAAACACCGAGTCTATGGATTCGGAACTGCTGTCACTTGGAGCACCGGTGAAAGTTCTTTGGAACTGAAGAGTGTAGGATATCTTCAGAAATAAAGACACTTTTGTCATAGAAGGGTGGCTTAGGCTATGATCTTTCCTGACTGTCGTATCGCTGAAACTAAGAAACTCAGAAGAACAACTCTGATCAGTATTCAAGTGTCGAAATAGCGCATTTCTTGTGCCGAATGTCTTGTCGCAGAATTGACACTGATGTTTTGTTGTTGGAAGTCTTGTTTCATCATTGACAGTGCTTGAGGATCCAAGGGTGTCTCCTCGATCTTGAATGGATCGATACGAGAAGGCAGATGTGTGTAGCACCAAAAATGATGCTATGAGCAATATTCCAAAGATTTTAGGCAAGACCCTGTTGTTGCAAGTGCCCATCATGTGGTTATTGCGTCAATCGCGACACATCCGCCAATTATGTAACTTTTTTATAAAAAAAAACATTTGTCACGAGTTTATAAGCTCATAACCCATTTTGACTCGCGGTATTTTCCTTCAGTTGAGCGCAAGCCGATGTCCGTTGATTTCACGAAACGAACCCCATATACCACAACACGAACTAGCAATGGAGAGTTGCTGCAATTCTTGTTGCAACCACCAAAAATCTTGATGCACACCACCCAAAGAAATCAATCAGCGCCACATACAACAGATCTCACTAGTTTTGCCATCATGGGAACGACCCGATCAACACCCCTGACAACACTCGAAGCTTCATCATCATCATGCTCGAGGAGGACGGAGGATATTGATTCAATTGATTGCGAAAGGACGATTCCGACGATGGGTTTCGATGAGAACGATCTCTCTTTCCTAGAAGGTAATCGATATCTTCATCGTCAAAGTACAGATTCTTTATGTGCGTCAATCGGTCGTTCAGAGGAAGAAATCGAAGACGATGAATGGAATGAACGCCAACTTATCCTTGAAGATGCAGCAAATTTGGCAAGGCTAGCTGAGTTTCATCTGAATCCCCACACAACACTAGTACCTTCAGATCCCTATTCTTTTGGACAAAACTACTTAACCAGACCACCCGGGTATGAATTACATACAATGGAAGGTGACGAGGAAGAAGATGACGACATCCAAGAGAGAATACGGGACACTTGTATTCCAGATTCTGAAAGTAGAGACGACATGAGCACACATCTGAAATCGGAGGACATGTGGCAAAATATGAACGCAGTAGTTTCACTCGACCCTTCATGCGTGGTTCGTTTTGGTCTTCACTACGACAACCACAAATGAACTGCTGACACGACTGCCACTACATCATGCATAGACAACACAATATATTATTTTAAAAGTCATCATCCCTGTTGATCAACTGTAAATGCCCCCTATAAAGGAACAGGCCCCGGCATATGACTTTCAGAGTTGTGAAGCTCTTCAGTGCAGTGGATGTAGCGGTCTTCCAATTCCGACACAAATTCTCGTCCCTTCTCTTCGAATTCGCGTCGATTGTCCTGTGCATACATCAAGTATTCGTCGCTTGCAACACCAAAAACCCCACACTCCTTGAGCTTCTTCGCCAAAGGGATCACATAGTTGTCGAAGAAGCCCATTTCACCTTCATACCACTTGTCAGCTGGGTTGAAATCTAGACGACCAGCCTTGTACGCCACAACCATTTCTGCAAACAGGCGCTCATTCCACTTGCAGTAGACGTGCCAGTGTTGCATCGTATGAGCAACATCCGATGCTTGTATTAAGTGTTCAATCACAATTGTTGCTTTGCGATTAACTTGATCTTTGGTATTGCCCATGTGTTCTTCGTGACTGCTGCCCTTGAATGCAACATCCCACCGTTTCCGCCGTAGTGTTTGTAGCTCTTTGTCCATGATATCTGTGGCCAGAACAGTGTTCGCAGTGAGCTGACGGAATCGACTAAGTTCGAACTCGTCTGTATAGATGGTGTGTCGAAAGTCAACGAATCGAGGGTCCATGAGAAGGTCCCAAGCCATTGCGATGGAGTTCTGCTCTGCGACGCTCTTGTTCTCGAAAAGGTCGGCGAGTTCGTGCCCTTCTCTGACCAGCTGAGCATTGGATACCCCTAGATGGTCCACGTCATGAACCAATGCGGCCAATATGACTGTGAACTGCGTCATGGGATCCGAGGTGATACCATACGTGTGATCATGAATCGACCAACCGAAGCCTTCTGAATTTGCAGCATGCTCACTTGAATCCAGAACATCATCAGCTGCAACAATACGAGAAAGCAACTTAGAAACAGACATTGCAACGTGCGATGCATGCTAAAATTTGGGAAGTAGAAAGCTGTTAGCAAAATCTTCATAGCAAACGATTCGGGCAAGAGCGCAGAAACTTACCTCAAAATTGTGGAAGGGGTTGTTTCTGTACATTAATGCGATGGAAGCTACGAACAGCTTAACTTGATCCACAACTTTACGTGGGAGTTCGACATCGTTTGGGTCTTGATTGCGGTTGTAAGCTTCAGCATCAAAGCCAGGCAATGGAATGATCTCAACCACTTCATCGAGAGTCGATCTGTGTTTGCTAAGCTCTTCTTCTTGTTTTGCCAGAAGGTTGTCATTCTTTTTGCACTTCGAAGTATTGCGAAAAGCGACAACTTGTTGTAGTTGTCGAACAAGAATATCCACGTTCCATTGACATAATCGACGTGATTTGGGTGACAGTAGTTGCTCGACTTGAAGCAAATGAGATTCGATGCTACGTTTTCGGGTCCGAGGAGAAAGGGTCCCCATAATTCTGCGAGGAGAAATTGAGTCATTCCTCGTCGTTTTAGGAGAAAATTTGGCTGATAATGATTTGATGGTCAACCCCGGTTTACTCCGAATCTTCTGACCCCGAAGTCGCTCTTCATCTACTGTCAACAGCCAAAACGTTTGGAGCTTCCCCTTTCCTTTGGCCTCAACCACCGTCTTCCTCTCTTCAAGCAGATGCTCTTTGCCAGCCTTTGTCAATAGATCAGCAGTTTCCCCCGACACTTGGATCCTATTGTGCTTTCCGGTGGTCTCGACTCTCGACGCCGTATTGACCGTATCCCCAAAGAGCTGGAAACGCGACTTGTCTCCTCGGAGCACTCCAGCGGTTACTGGGCCACTGTGCATTCCTACTCGGATACCAAGATCACCTGTATCTGGTCCCAATGTTGTCTCCAAAGTTCCGACGAGATTTTTGAATTTGTTTACGCACTCTCGGGCAAAGAATCTATAATATGAATGAAAGAAGGAAGAAGCGTGAGACTGGGAGAAATAAGAGGGTCGAACAACAACCCAATCGATTGTATAATATATAATATACTGTACCGGTATACTTACGACATGAGTGTAGCATGCTCCTTGGTTGGCTCTGCACAAAAACAAGATTGTGAGTCCATTGTTGCAATTGCCATAGCCTGAACATGACATTACAAAAAAGATCTTACCAGGCAACCCGGTCACAGCGACATAACAGTCGCCGACAGTTTCAACTTTGAACACCTTTCGTCTCTTTGCAATGACATCAAATGCATGATACACAGATTCCAGCAAAGTGAACACTTGGACTGGTTCTCGAACAGAGCTCCATGCGGTAAATCCGGATATGTCGGCGAACAAAACGGTGCAATCCATGAAGAGATCAGCAATCGGCTTGGAATGATCTGAGATGTCCATTGTTACTTTTGGCTGTGTCGCTGGTGTCGTGCCACCAAGGAACTTCTTCAGCCGGTATTTCGGGGACTTGGCCAGACTCTGATTAGCAACACCGCGATCTCCTTCCACGCCTTGCTCAAACAGACGATCGCGAATGTTTTTCGGATACAGACCTGATAGTAGTTGCTCTGATCTAGTAGCATCTATTGCAATCCGCCTTTGACGCATACTGATCGCAACGTCATACCCAAACAAGATGATGCACATTAGAAGGAACACCCCACCCACAATAGATGCCGCTATTCGAGGGTCACCAGTGCGGTAGGCTTCCCAAAACTCTTTTGTCGGGTACACATGGATCGAGTAAGAGCACTTTTCTCCAGCCAAGTGCACCGAGGGGAGATCCGTAGTGAAAGGAAAAGACCGCTCGTACAGACCAAACTTTGGTTCAGAAACGTCATCATATCCCAAAAAGCCAACCACCGGCCCAGAAACCTCAAAAGTGAATTTCCGTTCGCACCCGTCATCGACAACCACATGCACTGGAGGAGTCACCTCGTCACTCTCAAGCGCAAATAGGGTTATCCAATCCACGTCGGACATCAAGATGGCGACTATTTCTTCTTCGTCCTTTGAGATATCTTTGTAGACTGGAAACAAAAACATGCTGAAGGGGCTTGCGCCATGATGGGAGTGCTGACTGTGATCCAGAAGACTGTTCCAGTCACGAAGTGTAAAATCCAGCAGATCCGTCATGGCTGGTGAATTCGTCTGAACAACAGTTCTGAATACGTCCGCAAAGTGGCTATCAGATAGCAGATTGTAGTTAACAATGGAAGGATCCTTTGGTGCTTCTATCATCTGCCATGATGGTAGAAATGGACCTGGTCCATCATCCGCCTCTTTTTTGCCTTCGGTTGAAAGACGAAAGATATCTTGAAATATCTCTGGGATCTCGTCTGTTGATGGTTGATGAGCATCATGGCCTTGGTGGGGATCATTGTGATTGTGTCCTTGTAGTCTTCTGCTGCTCCCAGACATCATTGCCACATCTAAAATTTGCTCCATCTCAACGCTATCCTTGATCCAGTTTTGGTTCGCTTGTGAGTATCTCGACCATTCCTCACTCTCTGTGAGATTGTGGACAATGGGAGCAAAGGAGACCACATGCGTTTTTGACTTGGCTAAGACGCTCCTTGCAATCATCGGGAAACTCGAATCTGTGAAAAATGGCCACTCCGATTGGGAATTGATTGCAAGACCAGATATAGTCCATGCGAAGGATCTATAGTCTGATAAAAGTTTTAAGATTCTCTGATGACTGAAGATCTTGATATCCTCCGCAATGACTTCAAACTATGATGACGATGACAATGACAATGATATTGGTGAGGAATAATAAATTCATGAGCCTGCGTATCATGAATCCTCAAAATGATTCACTGTGAATTAATTGCATACCTCGCTTTCAAAACGTTGGCTTTCGACTCGCTCTAGGATCCACCACGTGACCATTGCTGCTGCCACTGTTGCCACTATCATCAGAAAGGCGACGGAGTACCGTAGGCAGCTAATTGCGGTGCGTTCGATGTCGGCAAGGTCTGGACTTTTGCCTCTGCTCAGTCTATTAGAGAATGATGCTAGGATAATCCTGGAGCTACGCCCCGCTGAATTGTCCGTCTCGTCATCCTCGGTCGAAGGGGGCTGTTGTAGGCTGCTGGAACTGTCGTCCTTTCTGATCTCGCTTGACGTTGTCTCTTCTTGCTTTCCCATCGTTTTGTTGCAAGGTCGGTATGAATGAGAAATCGAAGTCCATTTATTGCGAAACGAAGAGTGAGACAAAATGGCTGGGTGAAGTTGAGCCATTTCTCGTAGTCGTACATGACAAGCCAAGATATCTTCGTCTATATGTAAAACGAGAATTTGGCTTTGGAACGCAGTCATTTTTAGCAATGTTCGATTTTATTTTAATTATGAGCCGGACATATCCGTCCATTTTTGTCTCCTCAGTAGGGAATTGCGGTGAGCATCCACTTAACGGGAAGGTCAAGCGCCTGCCTATGGAGCGGCTTTCAGAGCGGGAATGCCTTCACTTTCTCATGTTCGTCGAGACGAGTAAAGTGGAGGTACTTCTGGTCTCCTCGGAGAGCATATGGTATGCAATGGGCGACTCCAGTTTACTGCAGATGAAACAATAGATTATTATGTATCATGGTCTAATTGTACTGCCCTACAATGAAAGAGATCCCGGTATGTAACTATAAAAGAGTTCTGGACCTCTTCAGCGCAGGGGATGTAACAGTCGTAAATTTCGGACACAAATTATCGTCCCTTCTCCTCGAATTCGTGCCGATTCATTCTCCTGTTATTTCAGGCCTTATCGTATGACCAGAAACGGGCAATGGAACGATCTCTACAACTTCATTGAGAGTGGCAATCGATCTCATCATTTGGCTCTTCCTTCCATATTTGATTTTTGAATACGAAATGCTCGCTGCATTCCAATCTTGTTCTCAGACTGGGACGGGTCCTGCAAATATACTTATCACGCAGTGCGTCGCATAGTCGCGCCGATACCCATTCGATTTGAGGCAGTGTGATATTGCAATTCGTTCACTCTAGTCTTGGCAGTCTCCATTCGCAGAGCTACTTTGAGACGGCATTGTATGTTTGACAAAGGATTCAGAGGGATTCTCGGCGGGTTCCTGAGTAATCCTGCCTCTTTCAGAATGGCCAGAACTATTTGGCATGATTTCGGATGCAAAACTGACTTTACTGGCAGATGAGAAACGACTAGGCGCCTGGGAAAAGGTCCTGTGCATACTCTCTCTGGTTTCCGCCTTCTTGAGACTCTTCTTTAGAATTGACTCCCCAACACTGATTCCTTCGTTCAGCCCTTTTTTCGAAAACATTATCTTGGGCACGAATATGCAGCACAAAATACCTGTCGACGAATAAAAAGAATTACAAAAAGTTCATGAGATCCGCCTCCCATGTATGGTGCACCGATTGGTGCAGCAGTCGCAAAAAGATGGATAAAATACGTACTGATATCTGCCAAGGTGATGAATCCAGTCAACACTACAAAAACTGCAACCGAATTGTCGCTCACAGCAATGAAGACCGGAATACCAACAATCAAGATCTCAAACATCAAAACGGATGCCAGCCCAACATATTTTCCCTCTTGATATCTATCACTGATACCCTTGACCTTGTACAAGAGGATATTGGTAGACACCATCAACGCAACGTGAAATGCCAACAGTGGACCAGCAAAGTACCACGGCGAAGAATCCGGGTTGCTTCCAACGCAACGTCCCACTGAGCTAATCGTGACGGTGGCTGTGATCTCATCGACACTGCTGGTGCCATCTGTTCGTTGGTACTGATAGTGTGATAAAGAAGAAAAAGTATCAGGACGAACTCTTGCGAATGAAGGTTTGTCCCCGTGTATATCGATATCATCCCACACACAATCTACTTACCTCAAGTGGATTGATGGCACCCCAGCAAATCATAATAATGATATCCACAAGCATACAAGCAAATAGGATTTGCCACATGGCACCTGTCGTTTTGCGTTTGATTCGATTGGCATTTTGCATCACTTGATACAATCGATAGGTCTTGGCCGACAAACAACCATATTGTAGGACCCATCCAATGGCGTAAAAGAAGGGAGCCAATGCACAACCCGTTGACGCAAAGCGAGTATCTTCACCCGTACCGGCTTGCATGCTCAGTGCCACCACGGTCGCCGACGACAAAATGGCTCCAAAGCATAGGAGCAACAAAAACTCGATTTGGCCTACCCGCACGACCGCATCTTTTCGATTTCGAAATAGCCAAATGGCAAAAAACAGACTCAAGCACCACGAAATGGTCACCAAGATGTATGCCAATGCCAACATCCAAGTGGGCAGTAGATTGTCTTCACGGTAGACGCAATATTCGTTGGTGTCAAGACCGACCGTAGTACTATCTTCCGGGCATACTTCACATTGTTTGCTTCGAGATGGTGATTTGGTAAAGGTATCCAAGGGACAACCACTACACGTGTTCAACAGCAAAGCACCCTGCGCCTCTATGAGGGAATTGTTGACAAAGCTTCCAGCCTCGCACTCCAAGGCATTCAAGGACGGAATCACGGTTTGTGCTTCGGCTTGCAAAAGAGGACTGACCAAACCATTTCGGAATGAGCGGTCGTCATTCAATGGTTGCCATTGGGTGGCGGCGGCATCCCGTCCATTGTTCCTCTGGAATCTATTGAATCGCACTGGCCCAAACAAGGTATCCGTATTCAAGACAGTCAATTCTCTTCGTAAAAATTCTCGGGCCTCCTCATTCTGCAAATCGGCCATTGGATCGGGCACATCCACCAGCTGGTAGTGGGACACTAAATGCTCGGCAAACACCGCCGGAATGGCGTAACTGACCACCTGATCGTAACTACCGGCATAACCATAGACTTTTTGATTAGACTCCAATAAAGCCTGTCCCGATTCAAAGTAAGAGTCGGCATAATCAAAGGCCGGGTGCCATTGGCCACCGCCCTGATAATAGGGGACCACATCCGGATTGTTCGTGGCCCACGTCCACGTCGCCGCGGTCAACCAAATGGAGGTGGGACTGCACCCATTTTCCATCAATCGTGGAATCAAAATATCTTGTTCGGTCAAGGTGCACAAAAACAATGCCGGATGAAAGCCTTCGATGTCTCCCGATCCCGGTGGACAGGCAGCATCTGCCAGTCCCTGCAGATAATCCTCATCAAATTGGTTGATATCTCCATCTCCATCTTCGTCTGCTGCATGATCGTAAAAGTATTCCGTCAAATTAGAAAAGCCAGACGATTGGAGGCTCGAAATTGCGGATCGGCAAGTCGACTGGAAAAACTCGGATTTGGTTCGAGAAATGACAGATACCGGAAACTGACTGGGATCTTGATTCCGTGCGTCGGCTAAAAACTGCAAGGCTTGGACATTGGCCAAAGGATAGATATCTGAATTGATATGAAAGCCAAAGACATATGGGTTTCGATCCGTATAGAATCCTGGAGGCCCCACCTGCGCCATGAGAATTGCCTTTTTCTCCAAGGCCACTGATTTTTCCAAATTGGAGACTCCGGAACACGATCCAATGATATAGGGGGCATTCAAAGTAGAAATCATGGATCCCAAGATACTTTGATGCTGTTCTTGGTAGGTGGCTTCGGTCAAGTTTCGATCGTTTCCAGCGACAACGCTGACCAATCGAAACTGCAGATAATGATCACTGTTGAATCCAATCACCCATCCTTTGCCATTGTTTTCCGCATTCATCTTTTGTACTCGAATCACGGCGCCATCTCGGTGATTGGAGCAACTGGAAGGCGTCACTTGCACAATGGCAATCGTGGTAGTATTACCATGGCTATTGTTATTGCTACTGGTCGCGTTGCTATTAGACACATTAGGCGGTTGCACATCGTACAAAATGCAAGGTTTCACAACATCTTTGGGCCCCTGCGTGGCCAATTCAAAAGACCCCATTGGACATGGCTGAAGCTCAGAATACGTAAAGTTATGCTGTTGAGCAAGAGTAGCCGGCAGCGTTCCCAGCAGTAAACCTAGTAGTATTAGCTTCATCGTCGTCCTTGCCCAACAATAATCGATCTTTGTTATTGTTACTGTATTTGGATGGTTGAAGGTGCATACCGGTATTTGGAAGGGTTTTTTTTTTCACGGTGGTTTCGCAAAGCTTCTCACGGCGATAAGACACCGGAGACAGATGGTTTGGATTTTCGCTATTTAGGACTACTTGTTTAATCTATATATGAGTATACGTAAGAAGTCCTATGTGTTTTAAAAAAGGGAAATAAGCGCTTCGCCAGCTTTTATACTTTTCGGATATTCTTTTTGGCCGTACAAAGATGATAAAATTCATTTTCTTTTTGGATGCATCATCATCATCATATGGTAAAAATATATTTACATTCATTTTCTACTCTATGTATACATCTTTTGTCTATTGCCGACTTGGACTGAATGACTCACAATCCCTCAATCATTATCATTCATGATATCGTTGCACCATCTCCGCGACAATCTCTCGTCCCTTTTCCTTCCATTCTTGTCGATTTTCCATGGCATAATTGAGGTATTCGTCGCTAGATACACCAAAGACTCCGCAATCTTTCAACTTCTTTGCCAATGGAATCACATAATTGTCGAAAAACGACAATTCCCCCTCGTACCAGAATTCCGCTGGATTTTTACTGAAACGATCAGCCTGGTAGGCCACGGTCATTTCTTCAAAAAGGCGTTCGTTCCATTTGCAATAAATGTGCCAATGTTGCATGGTATGTGAGACATCGGAAGCTTGAATCAAATGCTCAATCACAATTGTGGCTTTTCGATTCACATTCTCTCTTGTTGTTGTTGTTGTTGTTATTATATCGTTGCTGCTAAAGGCACAGTTCCAACGGTTTCGGCGCAATGTTTGGAGTTCCTTGTCCATAATATCAGTCGCAAGCACTGTATTCGCCATGAGTTGACGGAAACGTTTCAGTTCAAATTGATCGACGTATATGGTGCGTCGAAAGGCATCAAAGCGAGCGTCCATCAACAAATCCCAGGCCAAAACGGTCGAGTTTTGCTCGGCGACACTTCTATTTTGGAAACGACCGGCAAGTTCGTGTCCCTCCTGCACCAATTGGCTATTGGAAACTCCCAAGTGATCAATGTCATGTACCAAGGCTGCAAGAACCACACTGAAATGGGTCATTGGATCAGATGTGATGCCATACGTATTGTCGTCATTAGCTTTCTGACCTTCCATCATATCATCATTTTCACCTACAATCCTGGAAAGCAACTTGGATACGGACATCATCACGTGACTAGCGTGGTCAAAGTTGTGAAAAGGGTTTGCATGATACATGCCCGCTATGCAGACCACAAAGAGCCGAATCTGGTCCACCACTTCTTTAGACAATATAACATCCTCTGGATTTTGTATTCGTTGGTGCACCACAGGATCAAAGCCAGGAAGTGCAATCACGTCAACGAGTTCCTCCAAAACAATATGCTCCTCGCTGATTTGTGCTTCAAGTCTACCAAGCGCCTCTGAGCAATCTTGCTTTGATCGACGAGCTGCATTTCGATGAGCCACGAAACTGGCAGAGCCGTCTCAATCTCGGCGAAAGCATCTGTTCAATGTGCGCAAAAGAGGAAGCACTCAATCTGACGCCAGGCTTGACAATACTCGTTGGAAGGGGTTTCACCATCTCTCGTCGCAAAGAAGGTTCTCGAACTCCCCCCGCTTCTTCTTTCCGTGTGAGCAACCAATACGTCTGAAGACTCCCCTTGCCTTTTGCGCAGACCCTTCCTTCTCGCAACAAAAGCCAATCCGCTTTACCAGCCTTTCTCAACAGACTTGCAGTCTCGCTTGAAACTTGGATCCTATTGCGTTTGCCAGTAGACTCGATTCTTGCAGCCGTGTTGACAGTATCCCCAAAGAGCTGGAAACGCGATTTGTCTCCTCGAAGCACCCCGGCGGTCACTGGTCCACTATGCAATCCGACACGAATGCCAAGATCGCCGGTCTCTGGTCCCAGAGTTGTCTCAAGTGTACCCACCAGTTGGCCAAAGCGTGCTACACATTCTCGCGCGAACAATGCCATGATACTTGCGTGGTCCTTGGTTGGCTCTGCATAGCAAATAAAATTATGAGTTCGACATCGCAATGAAACGTATTTCTAAAGCTGTGGGTCAAGCTTACCAGGCAAACCGGTCACTGCAACGTAGGAATCTCCTACTGTCTCAACTTTGAATACATTTCTCTTTCTGGCGATCTTATCGAAGGAGCAGAATACAGATTCAAGCAAAGTAAAGACTTGGGTTGGTTCTCGGACAGAGCTCCATGCTGTAAACCCAGCAATATCAGCACAAAAAACTGTGGTATCTAGGAATAGATCTGCAATGGGCTTTGAATCGAAACTGTCTTGGCAGTGCAGTATTCCTGTGGGGGCGCTTCCCAGGAAGGACTTCAACTGATGCTTTGTACCAGATAAGAAGTTTCCTTCTAAGCTTTTACTTGACATGTCAAGCGTTTTTTCTGTTCCCATCTTATCGCTAAAAAGCCTGTCCCGAATGTTCTTCGGATACAACAACGATAGTATCTCCTCGGACCTCGCCGCAACCCGAAGAATCCGTTTCTGTCGCATGTTGACAGCCAAGTCGTATAGACATAGGATGAAACTCATCGCGAGAAACACGCCACCGATCATACCAGCTCTGGATACAGGAGAGTCCGTGTGGTATGCCTCCCAGAATTCCCTCGTAGGGTACACATGAGCGGTATACGAACAATGTGGTCCAGCCACATGAACCGAGGGAAGATCTGATGAGAAGGGAAACGACTTCTTGTATGCATCGAATTCACTTTCATGAAAGTCATCAAACCCCATAAAGTCGACATTTAATCCAGATACTTGCAATGTGAACTTTCGTTGGCATCCGTCATCAACCACCACATGAACTGCTGGTATTTCTTCGTCACTTGCGAGTGCAAAGAGGGGAAGCCAGTTTACATCAGACATCAAGATTCCAACAACTTCTTCGTTCTCGACATCCCTGTGCACCGGACACAGAAGCATGTTGAATGGAGCGTCCGAGTGGCCGTGTTGATACTTATCACTAGCAAGAAGTTTTTCCCATTCCAGCAAACTAACACTGAGAATATCAGTCATTGTTGGAGAATCCGTACTCAGAACTGCATCAAACACATCCGCAAAGTGGTTATCAGACAAAAGATTATAGTTGACGACAGTTGGATTTGTTGGAGCGTCTGCCATCTGCCATGACGGTAGGAAAGGACCAGTGCTATCATCCACCACTGCTTTGCCTTCTGCCAAACGGAAGATGTGTGGGAAAATCGATGGGATGGCTGGTGCTTTATGGTCATGATGGCGATGATCTTGATCACGGTGACTTGTACTTTCACCAAACATTCGTGCTTGGGTTTCCTCTTGAAACTCAATCCCGGCTTGGATCCATTGTTGGTTTGCTTGGGAATAGTTCGACCACTTGACATAACCAGTCTGGTTATGGACAATTGGGGACAGAAGGACCATGTGCGACCCCGTTGCCCTCAGGAAGTTTGAAGCAATGAGCGGAAAATTCAATTCAGTATAGTATGGCCATTCTGCTTTCGCGTTTTTGGCAAGGGCAGTAAAAGCCAGTGCAAGCGATTGGCTGTGAGTAACAAGAGCTGAGACCCGGTCTTGGCTGAGAGCACGAATGTCTTCCACTATAATATTCAGCTACAGAAGAAGTGGGTTAGAGTATCCTCGTTGCTGAAGGAAAGTATTACACGTGAGATCTAAGCTTACATCACTTTGAAAGTTTCTCTCTTCGCTTCGCCCGAGATGTACCCATGCCCCAACCCCTGCTGCTACTGTTGCGCCCAGCATCACTAGTAAGATGAAGCTTCGGAAGCAAGATATTGCCTTCCTTTCTAACTCCTCGGTATCTCTCGTCGTCGATGGATTATGGTGGATGGATTGCTTCACTCTATCATCTGTATTCATTCGCACAGTTTGGGTTGTGTTCTCTGAGGACCCTTCAATAATGATTTTCTCTGTTTCATCCGTTTCTTTCATCATTGATTGCATGGCAACTTTGCGTTTCACCATTTGTTGGGTTTCTTTGCGACAAAATGGCTAAGATTAGGGAGCTTTGTCTTCATGTTTTGTGTGATGGTTTCTGGTCAAAGTTCTCCGTCTGACAAAATACATTTAACGGGGCGAATTATCGATTGATTCTTTCTTTTACCGTGAAACGGGGCTTTTTCCTCACTCAAAACTTAGGTAAAACCAACAGTAGCGACGAAAAATGACACGAAAGTGTAATCGGGTGTTTGCGCTTGCGTCAGAGTGAGTCGGTCAAATAATTACAAGTTTAATAAACGAAACATTGCGGGGTCGCAACTGTTGTTCATATTTTCCATCGGGTTGAAGGAGCTTTGTTGCAAAAACTGGCCAATCAATCAAAAGTGATGGGGGTGGCGTTTGTCAAAGGGAGTGTAAAGAGACCTGCGCTGGGCTCATACTGTAGAGCGCTCCCCAAGAAATTCGCACTTCTCGGCAATCTTTGCTCAGAGGATGCCCATGCTGAATGCCTCATTTTGGAAGGACTTGAACGAAATCATTCCTCTCCGCTGCAATAACTCAGTACATTCGGAATGACAATGTCCGCGCCACATTGGATTCGGCTGGCCTCTCGATTCAAAACTATAGCATTCAAATCCATATCATCACCATTACATTGAAGGATCGCCATCTTTACCTTCCACAGCGCTTGCTCCAAAATAGAAATTTTCTCCATGGTTGTGTAGAGCCTCCAAGATTCCTGCACCATTTGAATATTTTCCAGTCGGACCACTCGATCCATATCCTCGGCACTACAAAGGCTTGCCAGGTGGCATATCTTCTGTCTCCATTGTGCTAGTCCAAGACATGTGGTTGTCTTGGTGCTAGTGATCCGTTGAAGAATGTAACGAATTGCCTCTGGTGCTTCCATTGTGTTCTTTAGACAGAGATATTCCAACGCGGTTTTTCCAAAGTCGTCTCTTTCGACAAGCAGTCGGCTGCTGTGGGCGTCACTGTGCTCCATCATTGCTTGAAACAAGGCAGCCTTTGGAGACAAGGCCAAGGCCAACACATGAAATGGTGACATTCCGAAAATATCGACGTGCTTGCAATCGTCCAACACAGCGACATCCGAGTACATAGCATTTAATACACTTTGCAAAGATGACACTGTTGGGTCAACTCCTTGAGAATAGGACCATTGCTGAAGCGGTAGCTTGGAGAATCGGCAGGTCAAGGCCCGAATGATGTCATCGTTGGACTCTCCTAGTTTCTCTTGCAACAATTTGGCGCCGCGAAAGATATTCTCCCCGGTCCGTTCCAGTGTCGATGGAAGCGCGATTAGCACCAGCGACTTGCAGCCACGAAAAGATTCCGACTGGATCTCTTGGACACCCTCTGGAAGTTCAATCGATTGCAGCTGAATACAGTGCGCAAAGGCATTCTCACCAATAACATTGAGCGCAGGTGATAGTTTTACGTTTCGCAAAGAACTGCAATCGACAAAAGTATATCTTGATATTGTTCGGAGACCGAAGGGGAGACTGATATCGGTGAGAGTGTGACAGTCAAAGAAAGCTGCTGGACCAATGTTGCTCAACGTCTGTGGAAGCGTTATGTTACCCAGCAACCAACAACTTCCAAAACTCATGTATCCAATCGATTCAATGCCACTACGTTCGAGGTCAATGGACATCAAATCATTGCAGTCTCTAAAGACTTGCTCCGCAATTTGTCTTGTGCCCTCTTCAATTTGAACATGTGTGACATCTTCTGGAACACTCCCGTCTTCTTCCCCGCGATATATAAATAGTATGTGATCATCTGAAAGGCTGCTCGTAGTTATGATATGGTCAGTAGCTTCGGAAACATCTAGCTGATGCCTGTTCTGACGTTGTGGTGGTGCTGATTCTTCTCTGTGACGATTGACATCAATGCTTTCCAATGGAAGTGGTGCAACTACTGCTTCCGCCATTTCAAAGTAAGATTGCACGCTATCAGCAGGAAAATAGTCTGCATCTAGTTCCACCTCACTAAGAATACTATCCAAACCATCTTCAGCGTCCGCCATTGCCAAGTTAACAGTGTAACCGCACAACTTGAAACTGCCGTTTCGTGATGGATCTTCGCAATATAATGCCAGAAATACTACTTCGGTCGATGGACAGGAATTTCAATTGTCGGTCGAATGACAAACTCAAAACCCTCACCCTACAGTACAGTAATTGAAACAGAAAACTGATCTGATCTGATCTGATCTTGTCCAATCTGATCAGCTGTCAACATGCCTAGACGCTAACCCCAGCGCTAACAAATGCGAGTCAAACTTCTGATCTAATTAAGGCAACACTATCGAAGGGTTAGACGCTAACCCCAACGCTATCAAATGCAAGTCAATCCATCTGATCTGATCAAGGAAGCAGGAACAACTGTAGGTGTACCGGTAGTTCTGCCCTTCTCACATGCGTCTTGTAGACATTTCTACTGAATTCACTAAGAAGTTATTATGAAAATGTATTAACAATTTTACTCTCTATCCTAACAGTGGTTTTGTGATGCATGTGCCCTATTTTGCCCGTTTCATCATACAATCTCCACCTGCGTGCCGCTACCAACACTCCCCGACATGGCGCTGATTGCTTCACTCACTTGCGAAGTGACACTGCCCGTTTCATCCGTCTTGGCCGGTGGTGCCGCAATGGCTGTTGGCTTGTCTGGTTGGGGTTCGACCTTTTCTTCCTCCTTTTGGACATCCCCCATGTACTTGGCTGTCAACTCAGCTACAAAGCCATGGCCCTTTTCTTCCCATTCTTGACGATTCTCCATGGCGTAGTTCAAATACTCATCAGATGCCACTCCAAAGACACCACAATCCTTCAACTTCTTGGCCAACGGGATGATGTAGTGATCGTAGAAACCAATTTCCCCTTGGTACCACTTTTCGGCCGGATTGAACCCCAATCGTCCAGCCTTGTAGGCGAGCGCCATTTCGGCAAAAAGTCGCTCGTTCCATTTTTGGTAAATGTGCCAATGCTGCATCGTGTGCGCCACATCAGAAGCTTGAATCAAATGCTCAATCACAATGGTAGCCTTCCGGTTCACCTTGTCCTTGGTACCTTCGGGAACCACCATGGAAGCATGTGGATCAACAATGCTATCGTTCGTGATGTTGACAGAATTGAAGGCCTTGTCCCAACGATTGCGTCGAAGGGCTTGCAGTTCCTTGTCCATGATATCTGTGGCCATGACTGTATTGCCCATGAGTTGACGGAATCGATCCAATTCAAAGGGAGCCGCATAAATCGTTCGGCGGAAGTCATGGAATCGAGAATCCATCAAAATGTCCCAGGCCAAAACCATGGAGTTCTGCTCGGCAATACTCTTATTGTCAAACATGGCAGCCAATCGGTGGTTTTCATTGACCAATTGCGCATTGGAGACTCCAGTGTGATCGACATCATGAACCATGGCTGCAAGAATAACACTGAACTGGGTCATGGGATCCGATGTGATACCATAGGTGTGATCGTGAATGGACCAGCCAAAGTCATTGGCTTCAGCGGCATTTTCGTCTTCATTCAAAATGTCATCGGCGGCGACGATACGTGACAACAACTTGGAAACAGACATCATGACGTGACTGACAACCAAAACAAGTGGAGTGAGTTGTTGCTACTACCCAAAAAAAAAATTTCGAAGGACTGGCCAATAGCCAACAAAATGCTTACCTTGCGTGTTCAAAGTTGTGGAATGGGTTGTCATGGTACATGGCAGCAATACAAGCCACATACAAACGAATCTGCTTCATGACAACTTCGGGCAATTCAATGTCGTTGGGATCTTTTTGACGCTTGTACACATTGGGGTCAAAACCAGGCAATGGAATAATTTCAACAACTTCGTCCAGGACATCCATTTGTCGGCAAATGGAAACTTCGCGTCTTGACAATTCTTCGTTGTAGTTTTGGTTCATAGGTCCTTGGGCATCGCGATGAGCAACAATTTGTTTCAAATGACGTGCCAGAATATCGACATTCCATTGACACAATCGTCGTACTCTTGGAGAAAGCATTTCCTCAATGGCTTCGTAGTTACTGGCATCGGTATTGAGACAAGTATTGTTGTAGTTGGTAGGTTTGTTGACGAATGCACCGTCTCCATTTTGGAATCCGTCATGTGGCCTGTTGTGCATGTATTCGGATTGTTCGGGCTCCTTGCGATCCACCTTGAGCCAAAAGGTTAGGAGCTTTCCCTTGCCCTTGGCCGACACCAATTCTTCACGACGCTTCAGTTGGTCTTGCATGCCAGCGGCGGTCAAGAGAAAAGCAGTCTCTTCCGAAACATGAATCATGTTGCGCTTTCCAGTCGATTCCACCCGGGAGGCGGTATTGACCGTATCTCCAAAGAGCTGGAACCGTGACTTGTCCCCACGCAAGACACCGGCCGTCACGGGACCACTATGAATCCCCACACGAATACCAAGATCCCCCGTATCGGGACCCAAGGTAGTTTCCAACATGCCCACCAATTCTTCGAAACGGGTGACACACTCCTTGGCAAACAACGCCATGATTCTGGCGTGGTCCTTGGTTGGTTCTGCACAATCGTCACAATTTTGTGAGTCCAATGTCCATGTCAATCAATGTAAATCAATTCCAATTCAGATCATAATCAATTCCAAACTTACCAGGCAACCCAGTCACAGCCACGTAGCAATCTCCAACAGTCTCCACCTTGAAGACTTTGCGACGTCGAGCAATGACATCAAAGGCTCGGTAGACACTTTCAAGCAAGGTAAAGACTTGGGTCGGTTCTCGGACGGAACTCCATGCTGTGAAACCAGAAATATCGGCAAATAGGACGGTAGCATCCAAAAACAAGTCAGCAATCGGTTTGGAATCAAATCCACCAGTGACACCATCCAACTGTCCCGGAGAAGACTTCATGTATTGTTTCAATTGGTACTTGGTGGCCTTGATCAAGTCATCGTTCAATCTCTTGCGACCACCCTTTTTGCCTCCTTTTGGTTGTTCTTCTTCTGCCTTGTCTTCCATTCCAAAGAGACGGTCTCGAATGGTCTTGGGGTAGAGGACGCTCAAAATCTTTTCGGATTGGGAGGCCACGCGAAGGATCCGTTTTTGACGCATGTGAACGGCGGCATCATATAGATAAAAGATGATGCACATGAACAAAAAGGCTCCCACAATGATACCCGTCGTCGAGGCTGGAGCTGTCGTGTGGTATTGGTCCCAAAATCCTTTGGTGGGGTAGATGGAAATGCCATGCTCACAACCCTCAAATTCGGTCACATAATGCGTACGAATGGAGTGTGCCAAATCAAACGAAGTTTCGTACCCATCATAGGCCGGATCATGAAGATCCTCATAGCCTTTGAATTCGACATTGGGGCCCGTCACTTGAAAGGTAAGTTTGCGATCGCAGCCTTCTTCAATAACAACGTCGACGGGTGGAGTTGCTTCGTCACTGGCCAATACAAAGAGAGGCGACCACACAATGCTGGCGGTCAAAATGGCCACGATTTGTTGCTGGGTGACATCTTGGTAGACGGGATGCACAAAGAGCGACATGGGAAGATCCTCCTCCTCATCCTCATTGTTGGATTCCTTCAATTCCGGCAACATATCGTCAAAAATGTCCGTCATAATGGGGGACTTTTGGGCCAGGACGGCATCAAAGACTTGCTTGTAGGCATCGTCCGACAACAAATTCAAGTTAATGTTGGAGGGATCTTGAGGAGCGTCCATCATTTGCCAGAGTGGTAAAAAGGGACCCACTCCATCTTCTCGGACACGGCCTTGATCCGTCCAGCGAAAGATTCCAGGATAAATGTCATCCATTTCGTTGTTGTTATTGTTAAAGACGACATTTTCCTCTTCCGCAGCAATAGTAGTCTTCTTGGCTTGAAAGTCCAAATGATCTTGAATCCATCCTTGATGAGTTTGGGAATAGTTGGTCCATTGGAATTGTTCCACAATGTTGTGAACAATGGGACTCAGGGCAATCATGCCCGTTCCGGTCGTTTTGCGAAAATTAGAAACAATGACTGGAAAGTTAACGTCCGTGTAGAATGGCCAAGTGGCATTGGACGACTTGGCCAAACCGGTAATAGTCCAGGATAAGGATCGAAAGTCGGCTCGAAAGGCATCGAGACGGTCGGAACTCAAGAGACGAATGTCATCCGCAACAATGTCAAACTGTAGAGCGTCGTTTGAAAGTGGGAGTGGAAGGAATGAATGAATATGAGTGAATGAATATGAATGAAAGAATGATAAAAAGGAAGGACAAGAAGGAGAGCGTTAGAACAAATGTTACTTCAAAAGGGGCAATGTTGCAGCCCAATACAGCTCAGTATCACTCATTCACTCATTCACTCATTTCCTAGCCAATACAATACAATGCAATACAATGCAACTCAATTCCTTACCTCCTTTTGAAAGTCTCGTCCTTCTTCCCCGTGTAAATAATTGTAACTTGCCACACCGGCGGCAATCGTAGCACTCAACATCAACACGATGATGAAGTAACGAAAGCATCGAATGGCGGTACGTTCAAATTCGTTTTCGTTCATTGGAACGACACCTGGGTCACTTCCATTGTCCGATTGCGATTCTCCGACAGCGGGAATCCCACCACCCGTAGTATTAGGCTGGTAGACTTCCGTGTCAAGGGTCTGATCCGTGTCCTTGCTGGACGTGGGTCGTCGTGCTTGTTCCATGATGCTGTACTGTAATGTACTGTACTATACTATACTATGGATGGTACTATAGATGGTGTTTGATGATGCAGCTATAGATTTGTGTATGTGTCTGTACCGGTATGTGTGTATGTTTGTTTGTTTTTCCGGTGAACGAGGAACAATCAATGCTTTGTACTTGTATGGTTCTTGCGTTGTTGCAATCAATCACTACAGTATCTGCAGGAGTGTTTTGGGCCGGCGAAACCAACGCAAACGTGGAGATCAGAATGACAGATTTTCACTTGGGCGTCCTTCGGCGGGATTATTACACTTATGTCCATCATTCTACATTTTTTATTGGACTTTCGCGAAATTTCAGGTACCATAAGCGATATTTATAGAGCTTAGGGAATGGAACAATGTGTAGCGAGCTTTTTTACTATGTGACAAAACCTTCGCACTTCACATCGTTAAGTCCAAAGGGTCATTGCTCCGACCTATACCGTCTGAAATTTAGTCACCGTGAGTCAAAAACAAGTTTTGCAATCAATCACTACATAACCAGGAGTGATTGAAATGCCGCCAGCAGTAGGTAGTATACTAATGACATTGTAAATAAGATGGACGCGTTGCCTCTCACAATGTAAGCGCACACCAGCATCATGCTCATAATAAAATTCTACAGGAGTTTCCTCTTCACTTGTCGTTTCATTGCTTCTTGGTGCTTTTCTTTCTCTAGTACTACTACACCACCACCAGCATCGTGCTCACATATAATAATATTCTCTCCTCGCTCGTTTGCTTGGCGCTTAGCTTTTTCTCTAGTAGGTACTATCATGATTACTACTCTGTTTTTGTTCTTCTTGTTTTCACCAAGGCATTTCTTCTGCTTGGGCTAGCCAAAGATATCGTCGAATCATTCTCATGAGACGATTCAGACGACGAGCCGCCATAGTGCTCGAGGTTCAGAGGAGTACTATTAGGATTGCTGCTGTGACTGTTGCTGCTGCTGTTGCTGCTGCTGGACCGTTTCTGTGACGGTGAAGACGAAGATGCCTTATTGGTGTTTCTACCATGACTTCTTTTGTGGGTGGTGACCGTTCGGTTCTTGTTGTTGGGACCACGATTGCCCAACCCATCAGCATCATCACCAAGAACAACAAAACCACTAGCAATTGTATGATGGTCGTCATCTTGATCATAATCTTGCCGATCAAAATTCAATCTGTCTGCCATCTTCTTCTTGTTGGCAGGAGCAGCAGCATCATCTTCATCATGGTGTTTCCTTCTCCTTGTTTGTTGTTGATCAAGATTTTTCTGGACGGTCGCCAACAAGTGACCAACGATAAAGCCACTAGTTATGGTCTGCTCACCATCGTCTTGGTGGTGGTGGTGGTGAGCACCGCTGCCAAGGTGTTGAATCGATGGTTGGGTAGTATACAAAGAACGCCTGGCCCGACTCACTGGAAGACGATTTGGATCGAGAGCATCAGTCTGCTCCTCCTTTTCTACTTCTTCTTCTACTTCTTCTTGATAATGAACGCTATCCTCAACAGTTATGCCTGAAACATGACTCTGGGCATGCAATGGACGTGTCCTGATCCGACTTACTGGAAGACGATTCAGATCGAGACGCCCTTGTTGTGTTTGCCGTTGTTCTGTTTCTTCTTCTTCTTCTTCTTCTTCTTGCTGTTGTTCTTTTTCTTCTTCTTCTTCTTTTGCTTCTTCCTCGTCTGGATCATGAATACCGCTGTCAAGGGTAATGCCGGATACATGCTGCATCTGCCTCCTTGGCCTGACCCGAAGAAATGGAAGACGATCTGGATCATGTGGATTCACCACCCCTAATTGCGTATTCTCCTTTAGCAACACCTTTTCTGCTTCTTCTTTTGGAACAAGATCGACAATACCACTGTCAAGGGTAATGCCGGATACATGAATTTGGGTATGCAAAGAAGTCGAACGTGGTGCGGTCGTGGTCCTAATCTGACTCATGGGTGCTGGTGGTCGCTTATGATTATTATTCAGGTTGCAGGAATTGGTGGATGGGATTGGTGGAGCATCGGTTTCAAAGTTCTCACTGACACCACGTTGTGGAGGCATCCGAACAAAGCTGCTGAGGTCAGCACCAGCATGTTGTCGTCGTCGTTGTTGTGATTTATTGTTCCTAGTATCATCATGCTTATTAGAGTTCGTGTACTCTGTGGCTATGCGATGGGAAGTAATAATATGACTCATGTCTTTGCGTGGGAGGGGACAAAGGAGTAGTTATAGTAAGTAAGCTTGATGTTCTGACGAGCTGAGAACTATCAGTGTGCGTGGGGGAACTTTATTATATTGTGGAAACAATAATATAACATATGGCTCTCTCAACATTTTCAATTTTGTGACAAGCGCGGCTGGACTACCGCGACCGCGACCGGATACTCATCATCATGCACGTCTGGGATATTCCGCATTTTGGTGTGAATCTGAACTGGAATCGGGGCCTGACCGGCTTGCTCACTCCTTCTGCACGGGGATCTGTGATCCGACATCATCACTGCTCGTGGAATTCATTCTTGGTCGGTGATCGTCGCGTTTTGGTCGTAGTTCGTTAAATTTTCTGTGAATTTTTCACAGATGTTCCGAAATCTCTGTGAATGACCAACAGATGTTCCGAAATCTCTGTGAATTTTTCACAGGTTTTTTAAGGGTCTTCACAGATGTTCCGAAATTGCCGTGAAGTTTCAACAGAGGTTCAGCTGACATGCGTGCACGCATGCCCTTTCGTAAAAGCACCATACAACTTCCGTAGAGGAAAAAACGGTTAATGTTGTGCGCAAGCAATGCTTGGTCGTCTGGGTCCAAAATTCTGTGAATTTTTCACAGATGTTCCGAAATCTCTGTGAATTTTTCACAGATGTTCCGAAACTTCTGTGAATTTTTCACAGGTTTTTTTAGGGTCTTCACAGATGTTCCGAAATGTCGAAATTGTGGCGAATGGTGGGTTCAGCTAGGAATATGACATTTATGGCTGCACTATGTAAAACTAGTCGTAGACTTTTTTCCACGGTCGTCTGAGTCAAAAAGTCTGTAAATTTTCTATCGTCTGAGTCAAAAATTCTGTGAATTTTTCACAGATGTTCCGAAATCTCTGTGAATTTTTCACAGATGTTCCGAAACAAACAATTTGATGCGTCATCGATTTGCACAACAATGACTGCGGAAAGAGATTGCTGTTAGAAAAACGTTATTGCTGTAGAAAAACCAGAGTCACACATTGTAGGCAAAGTCACACAGCGCAGGTACGTAAAAAGGTATGGATCTAGTTTATTCATGATAAATTTTCTTCCTGGACCATAGTTCTTTTGTTTGTACTCTTTCTCCGACCAGCTGATCACCTTTGCTTCCAGTGCCCAAAGAACTTTCACCCAGTGCCATAGGTTGTCGTCTTGGTCCCGTTGTGTGCTTATCCCAGAAGCTGAGGCAAGGGAGTTGATTGCAACTAGCAATCGCTTAAGCCCCTCCTTGCTCCTGTCAGATGGGCGGAGCCCCAAGTCTTTGTTCGTACAATTCAAAATGTCTTGCCAGAGAATGAATAGAGTGCTGGGGCGTTGGCCAAAATGAGCCTTGAAAACTCCAATATTATGCTCCTTGAAGTTGTCATCAGTAATTGTGGTAGGTGAACCCCCAATCATTTCAAATCCGTAGATCAGCACCTGTTCTGGTGTCACTTCGATTCCAAGCATCATCCTGAAAGATTCTGAAACTCTCTTCGCGTTTTCTCTTCAAAATCTCAAGCAAGCGTGACCAAATTTGAAAAAAACGGTTAAGTTGGCACCGTCTTCTGAGTTGAATTTTCTATCGCCTGAGTCAAAAATTCTGTGAATTTTCTATCGTCTGAGTCAAAAATTCTGTGAATTTTTCACAGATGTTCCGAAATCTCTGTGAATTTTTCACAGATGTTCCGAAACTTCTGTGAAAAATTTACAGGTTTTTTTGGGGTCATTACAGATGTTCCGCAATTGCTGTAAAAATAAAACAAACTTTAAAATTAAATCTGGCGAATGAAGTTGAATACTTAACGGCATTGTGAACATTTATAAAATTCCTTGTCGTAGAAGTTTCTTTCTGGCAGGCAATAAGTGAAAGTCGATTTTTGAAGTTTCGTGCAGAAGAGGGTGAAAATGACCACATCGACTCTCCAAAAAAAGAAAAAAGCTGGCTTCACAGAAAACTGCGGGATATCCCTGGGGACAAGACCAATCCAAAAAAAGTGGAAACAAAATGGTCCAGCGAAATAGTTGCATAGCAAAACGTTTTTGAATCTATTGCGTTGGAAGAATAATGGGCTCTTTCTTGCCTTGTTATCAACAGGCCCTCCAAATAGCAGAACTGGACCTGCACTACATTTCACTACTGTCCTGTAGTTGGTTATGATATGTTTAGCGCCGTTGTCATATTGGACTAGTTCGACTACGTAGAATCCGATCAGAACCGCTCGGTTCCAAAAATCCTTCGAAGAACATCGTACATTCAACTTGTGATGGGCACAAGAATCATTAGCTTCAGACACAAATCAAATTCATCGACAACTTTGACGACCCAAACACAAACACAAAAGCAATTATGAAAGCCTGGAGACTTCAAAAGTACAACAAAGATGTTGGCGCTGCCATTGATAGCCTAACGCTCGAGGACATCCCTGTCCCGGAACCTCAGGATGGCAATGTTCTCATCAAGACTGCATGCTGCAGTGTAAACCCCGTCGACTGGAAGCTCTTTTCGGGTGCTATGGATGCAATGTTCCCACAGGTCTTCCCTTCTACACCCGGATTCGACGTTGCCGGTGTTGTCGAAAAGGTGGGACCTGGAGTAACAGATCTCGCTGTTGGCGACAGAATCACTTGCGATTTGGGTGGTGCTTCATCGAACAAGCAAGGCCCCAGTGGTGCATTCGCAGAGTACTGCATTGCCCCCGTTGACTTCTGTTCCAAGGTCGGAGATATCGACTTTGAAACTGTTGTTGGATTGCCATTGGCCGGTATCACTGCCTTCCAAGGATTGTTCACTGGAATCCACAAACAAGATCTTGGGCACTGCAAGGAAGGTGACAAGGTATTGATCCTTGGTGGTGCAGGTGGTGTCGGAACCTTCGCCTTGCAACTTGCATCGAATGCTGGATGTCATGTTGCAACCACTGCTTCTCCCGCCAAATTCGATTTCGTCAAGGGTCTTGGTGCCAAAGAAATTATCAACTACCACGATCAAGACTGGGGTGAAGTTTTGGCCGGCCAAGACTACGATTTGATTTTCGACTGTATCGGTCTGATGGACGATCTTAAAGTCCGCGCACCCAAGGTGTTGAAGAAGGGTGGAAAGTTCATCTCCATTGCCAACTTTGACCCAAGTGCTGCCAAAGCCACTGACGATATTGAGTTCGCTGTGTTCTTGACGGTCAGTAACAGGACTGATTTGGACAAGATGGTTCAAATGATGAAGGATGGAAAACTAAAGGTCGTCAACGACACGGTTTACCCCTTCGCTGAAACTCAGGCCGCCCTCAAACAATCCATGGGTGGAAGAACTAGTGGAAAGGTGGTGATCAAGCTCTAAATACCAAGCAATAAGAACGAAGAAACATAGATTACTGAGATTTTGCACATTGCATCAATCTATTTTATTTGTCAACATCATGCTTGTTGGTTTCCTCCTCTTCGTTTTCCTCTCCTCTTCGTTTTCCTTTCCGAAATAGGATCGGACCAATCGAATGATGGCAACTTGTCTTTTGCGCAGCATGCGCAATACAATTCTTTCGAAAACAGATGATACTGCAGAAATCCAAATTAGGCGAGCGAGCAAACCTTCAATGTCCCAAAAAAGATTCGCAACTCTCTGCGGTACTGGTAGCCATCGTCTGTGGCTCGTCCGATATCTTCTAGTGTTACTTTTTTAGTTGTATAATAGTTATCAAGAGTTTTTTTATAAAGAAATTTGTGTTGTTAGGAGCATCAAAACGGACGACGTCTTACGACATAAAACGATTACTACAGAGTGCTCACAGTGGAACACCTTCCCCCCCCGTGCCATGACCGCATGGCTAGAGAGTGACATTGGACATTGCGCACTCGACAAAAAAAAACCAATCACCTACTCACTTTCAACTTTTTCACACCCGATATATACCACACAAGAGAATAATACGAAAAAGCTAAGCTCGTACAGTAACTTCAGTAATCATGGGTATCTTCCGTTTTACTGAAGAGACAACGACGGCCACCTACGAGTTTGAGAGGATGACTTGGGATGAAATGGACGAAATTTTTTGGACAGAAGAGGAGGTTGGTGATTTTCGTAACTTTGCCTTCATGGTTGATTGTGAACTCGAGGAAGAAGATTGGAGTGGCCCAGATGTGGAACCACTTCCATGGAATAAGGAGATTGATGAAAAGAAGTTTGAGAAATTTGAATCGAATCTTAACGAACTCAAAGCCAAGAGAAAGCGTGAAATGGAGTCTTTTGCAGCCTCTGGCAACCTTCCAAGTGCACATGTGAAACCAGAGTATTACGCACTGGAGGATATCGAGAACCACCCAGTGAAAGCGCCACCGGGGGAAGCACCTCCCACCAAAAAGACCAAGATGGACGAGGAGGATGTAAAGGAGGAAGAAATAGAAACCTCCAATCAAACACAAGAGGAACCCGTCGCTGAAGAATCCCTTGAAGCGCAACCTCAACCTCAACCTGATTCTGAAGAATCTGAACCTGAACCTGAACCTGAGGAGCCCACGATCGAAGAAGAACCTGTGGCTGAAGAGGAACCCAAGGGCGAAGAAGAACCATCAGAGGTAGCAGAGGAACCATCCGACGTAGCAGAAGAAGAACCATCAGAGGCAGCAGAAGAAGCGTCATCTGTTAACCTAGAAGAGGCCGTGGCAGAATCGGATCCACCAGCCAAACCACAACCCAAAGTAGAAGAAGCAGTTGTTGATAAGAAACCCGAAAAGAAAAAGTCGAAGAAGAAAAAAGACAAGACTGAGAAAGAGCAAGTACAAGTCTCTGAAGCGACTGAAGAGGAAGCCAAGAAGAAGAAAAAGTCGAAGAAGAAGAAAGACAAGACTGAGGAAGAGAAGGAACAAGTCGTCGAAGCAACTGAGGAGGAGGCTAAGAAGAAGAAGTCGAAGAAGAAAAAAGCCAAGACTGAGGAAGAGAAAGAACAAGTCTCCAAGCCTAAGCAGGCAGGAAAATCCGAAAAGAAGAAGACGAAGAAGAAAAAAACAAAGACTGAAGAAGAGAAGGAACAAGTATCCAAAACGATTGAGGCCGAGACCAAGCCCGAAATATTGGAAGAAGAGATCCAACCAAAACTAGAGCCAGAGACAAAGGCCGAGGAAGAGCAAGCTGAAATAGCTGAACCTGCCAAAGATGAAATCGAAAAGCCCAATCCGGAAATATTGGAAGAAGAGACCCAACCAGGAACAGAACCCGAAACAATGGTGGAAGAAAAACAAGCAGAAACGGCTGAATCTTCCACAGATGAATTCACCGTAGTTACCGAATCATCCGAAGCAGAGTCAGAAACCGAGTCGGAACTAAATTCGTCGGAGCGAAGTACCAGCAAACGTGAAAGTGGTATGAAAAAATCCAGGTTGGGGCGCTTTGCCGGTAAAACGGCTGGAGCTGTCGTTGGCACAGTGAAAGGAGGCGCCAAAGCAGGGGTCAAAGTGACCACGAGTACGGCCAAATTCGGAGCCAAAACTTTCCAAAGTGGTGCCAAAATGGGTGTCGGGGCAGTGAAAGGGGGCGTCAGCACAGTGAAAGCGGGCGCCGATGCCGTTGGTGTCACCACGGTAGTCAGCGCAGGAGCCAAAACTTTCCAAAGTGGTGCCAAAATGGGTGTCAAAACAGTGAAATCGGGCGCCGATGCTGTTGGTGTTACCACGGTCGTCAACGCTGGTACCAATGCTGTCAAAGCGGGCGCCAAAGTAGGTACCAGTGCTGTGCAATCGGGCGTCAAGGTGGTCGGTGCTGGGGCCGATGCTTTCGCTAATACTACGATCGTCAAAGCTGGTACCAGTGGTATCAAAGCGGGCGCCGATGCTGTTGGTGTTACCACTGTCGTCAAAGCTGGTACCAGTGCTGTCAAAGCTGGTACCACTGCTTTCGTAGCGGGCGCGACTTACGTCACTGGGATGCTCATCCCCAAGAGAAAAATCATGGTTACGAATGATACCACAGGCTCGGAGAATAAAGTAAAGAAGTTGGTTCGGCCTCCAAGGGCTCAAAGGGCGCCCCAACAAGAATATCAACCGATTGAAGAGGAACCTCCGGAAGCGGAATCAAACGCAGGAGATCCAGAAGCTGCTCCTATAGCCGAGAATGTTGAAGCTGAAAAGACTGAAGAGGCTCCCCCGAAACCAGAATCAAACGCAGAAGGTCAAGAAGATGGAGGAAGCAAAAGGATTGAAACTGAAAATGTCGAAGAGGCGCCTCCCAAACCAGAATCAAACACAGAAGGCCAAGAAGACGCAGGAGCTGAAAAGATTGAAGAGGCACCTGCATCACCTTCGAAACCTCCTAAGTCTCCAAAATCTCCGGGGCGATCGGGGCGATCAAAATCTCCTGCTCGATTATCGAAAAAAGGTAGCGCACGAAAATCGAAAACGAAAAAAAGCGACGACAGCAAAAGCGAGAAAAAAATCGAAAAATCCCCTTCTAAACGGAAATCCAAGAAACCAAGTTCCAGCGCTGGGAAAGAGTAGGTTGTGTTTGATCTTGTTGACTCGCTGCTACTTCTCTCAAATTCCCTCAAAGGGATGCGTGCTTGGCCTGATAATGATGACTATTAAGATCGTATTGTGTTAGTTTTCCTTCTCGCTTTCCAACTGTATTCCACAATAATTGAGCGATTGCATACAATTTTAGATCAATAGTTGCAGTGGGACTTTTCTGGTCAACATGCCAGACTCGTCTTGGCTTAGATCATCAGAGTCAAACTTGAAAATTAAAGGCAGGATATACTGTACTTATTATAGTAGGTTATTGATCATATTCTTCAGCTGTTATAATTATCCCCGCTACCGTCGTTGTCGCTTTGTGCTACTTTCCTCTGACACTCCATCGTCACTGAACTCAGTCGGAAATATCTCCTTCAGCATGTCCCACCCAGTATACTACCTGATCAAGACTGATCAGGAAAGCCTCTTTGGTACGAATCGTCCTGCTTTCTTCGTAATAAGGACACGTGCTGAGCCTCCACAATTAACAAGCGTATCAGTGCGAGCGAACTGGACCATCATTGGTCCTATTTTACTAGGATTTTTTCCTCAACATTGCCATGTTTGTTCGTCTCCTCCTCCTCTTCTTCCTCGTCATCCTCGTCCACTTCCACCATGCTATCAAAATTGGATCGGACCAATCCAATCGCGACCAACACACTCACCAGGAGTGGCATGAAAGTAGCATTGAGCAAGTTCTCAAGGCCCGCCCAGGTTGCCATGGCACTAATCAAAACATCCCCAATGGATCTTGCCGCCGTTCCGGCTTCTGTCGCTAAGAATCCCGAATTGAAGATCCCCTTGGCCCACGCCTTTGGAATCACTTTGGACAGCAATGACATGTTGGGACCTTCTAGGCAATTGGCCGACAAAAAGACCAAGATGGCAAAGGCCATGTATTGATAGGAAGTGTAATGATCGGTATTGTAGACAAAGATGCCCAACACACTCACAAGCATGAGCCATAGTGTGCCGTAAATCAATTCGCGGTCTTGGTAGTTGTGACTTAGACGGGCCACAAACATGTTGGCCGGAAAGTTGAGCAAGCCCAAGAATGCGAGAAAGGCACCCGTGTGTTGCGTGTTCCAATGAAAGTAATAGGAGGTGACCGTCGCCGATGAACTCAATAGGCACTCCAGAGCAAACTTGAGTACAAAGTACAGGAACAAGGTCAACATGACTGGAATATTCTTGTAAATGGGTGGTTCCTTCTTGACTGCTGCTGCTGCTGCTTTAGAATCCGACTTTTTCAACAAGGGCTCTTCTTCCGAGTTGGGTACTGTCTCTGTCTCTGTCTCAGACGATGACTTATTGCTCTTATTGTGTTGATTGTTCCCATAAATGTGCGATCGATCCGGTTCTTCAAAAAAAGCGACAAAGCAAATGAAAAAAATGGACCAAAGCACCAACATGACCCATCCCGGAGCCGTCTCGACTGTAAACAAGAGTGACGCCGTGGGATATTCGACCTTGCCCAAGATGGCCGCAATGGCTGGACCTACTGCCATGCCCAGACCACCTGCCACGACAAAGTTGGCCGAGGCCGACGTTCGTTCCGACCGCGAAAAGGTATCCGCAATGAAGCGTCGATTAATCGATCGGGCGCTTCCAAACCCGTTGAAAAAGCGTCCCAGCATGACGTAGGTCATGGAATTTTGATGCAGCGCCATGGCATAAAAGACATTGCCCACCAGACTACAAGTGGATGCAAAGATCAAGGCATTTCGGTAGGAATAATTGGACCACCATCCATAGAGTACAGTAGCAACGAGTGCTGCATTCGGCGTCATGCCAATAATGATTCCCGCCATGGCTTCAGAACTACCCAATTTGTCCGCATATTGTCCACTGGTGGGTGCGACAATGTAATAATTGGTCATGTACAAAAAGGTGGAACACAAATTGAGAAAGGAGGAGATTTGTTGGGATTGCGTCATGACTTTGATGTTTCCATCACTGTCGTGTCTATCTTCTCCTCCTTGGACATCCAATTCGATGAGAGATTGCGCCGCCACCACTTGAACGTATTTGGTCGATTTCTTGAGCCGATTCCTTGCCGCATGGATCTTGCTCAAGATGGGTTCGTGGGGTTGGGTGACGGTGCACAAACGGACCAACCAATTATAGTTTGAATGGTTGTTAGAGTTGTTGTTGCTGCTTCGCGATACTAGAGATCGAGCCGACGATTCTCGTCGAAAACTCCTCCTCGTACTGTTGCCTTGTTTTTGTTGTTGACCCCCCTCTTCCAAGATGCTTCCCAACATGGCAATGCTGTCGGATTGGGCCCGTCGATGCGAATTCTTGTTGTTGTTGTTGTTGGCATGTTTCTTGTTGCTTTTGTTGGCATTGTTGTTGTTTTTGTTGTTGTTGTTGTTGCTATTGTCGGCATTGCTAGTAGTATCCGCCAGAGCAGCATCATGACTACCACTACTACCACCATCATTCTCCTCCTCTAGATGACCCATGTTGTATTGGAGTGCCACCAAGGCCATTTCCATTCCATGCAATTCCAAAAATGCCTTCTTGAGAGTAACGATCAAGGCTGTCAATCCACCATAATTGTACAATTGATCCAAATGTGTATCGTCCATCTGACTGTTAAATTTGGCTATATAACTTTGTGACAATTTCGTTTGGGGATGTGTCTTGTCGTGCTTTTTGAGAATTTTGCGGACGGCCGTGACATTCAGTTCGACGTAGGATATGAAATCCAGGACCAACTGCGCATTGGATCGATAATCATCGTGCAATTGTTGCAAGAAGGATTTGGAAGCTCGAATTTTTTCCAATTGTTGCTGCCGTTGCTGCCTTGTTTCATTGTCTTCGTTGTCGTTGCCATTGTGCAGTAGTGGATCCAGCATTATTAATGTCTGGTGCTTGTTGTGGTCCATAATTATCGATTGCACTTGTTGTTGACATTTCGCCCTTTTTTCATGTAAAAACAACAAGTCATGTGCCAAAGTTCCTTGTTGATGCAATAAAAACATGACTACTTTTTCAATTTCTTGATCCAAGGCATGTTGAAATTGGTGGCTGCTATTTGTGGTGTTACCATTATTGTTTTCGGCTGCTGCTGTTGCGGACGAGGCCGAAAACAAAGAGAAATCGGAAAGCGAGCGTCGATGGTTATTGGAGGATGAAGGGGTACGAGATTGTTGTTGTTGTTGTTGTTGTTGTTGTTGCTTTGGACTTACGCCACCGTTTTCCAAGTCTTCATCCTTAACTTTGCTTTTCTTGAGTAGCTTCTTGAGCTTGTCATAATCAATGTAATAAGAGGACCATTGAGGTTTTCCCTTGGCAATGGACGTTTGCAATTGTTTGCCAAATTCCACCATGATTATTAGCTAAGCGTTGCTTGATTGATTGTGTGTGTGTGTGTGTGTGTGTGTTTGTGTGTGTGATTGCACGATGTGATAATATATATAGTGTGGTATATTTTATATACCTATTATTATGACACCGGCGATGCAAGTAATGATGTTGTGGTATAGGTAGGTACTGCATTATTGCAGACATCCATGTGTCCATTATCACTGACGACTCACTCACTCAACTCAGATGCGCGATCAATCACGCGACGGAAGATTCGAATCAATCAGAATGCGAATCTTCGAAATTGGGACTATGGTAGTATTTTACAACGGTCGGCACGACGTCAACGATCGGATCTCGAAAAAAATCGCCAAACCTGTAAGTAACGTAGAATGTACGTACAACAAGTACCACTCGTATTCGCATTTTCCCTCCACCAAATTTTTTTTTGAAACTACAGAAGCTTTAGCATTAGTACTCCCAATTGCCACTGCTGCCAGCAATCACAACAACAAGTACAAGTTCTTCAACTACACAGCACACAGCTAGATGCCCAACAAACAAGCTTATCAAAAGCACATTCACAAAGTATTCGAAATCAACAGTAACAACAACAGTAACAACCACAAAATGTCAGCGCCAGGACCCGACTTTGCCCGACAACAAGAATTGGCCGGCAAAAAGCATGCAGACCTAAAAGATGATGAAAAGATGTATTTGATGCGACGCGAGATTGATCACTTGCGGAGCGTCATTCGAGACCAAAACGATGGGTCCTTGCAGTCGGCCGCCAAACCAAGAGCAAGTACTAGTACTAGTACTAGTAGCATTGAAAGCAGTACCAGTAGTAGTACTACTACTTCTACTGCGAGCAATGCCATGGACCGAGCCACCGTCCTGACGCTCTTTCTATTTGTGGGATTGGTAGTCGTTGCCATTTGGAAGCGACGAACGCATCGACGACGAAGCGTCCAACATCGAACGAATGCAAGGTTACAGGAAGAAGTCATGACCTTTGAATTGCAAAATTCATTGGCGGGGGGATACCGCTACGAGGCACCTACTACCACTTCTGTTACGAATACTACTGTGGCACAAGGTAATGCAGACACGATTCGAATCTAGGTGACTTGGTTGTATAATTTTAGCAACCAGAAATACAGTAGGACTAGGAATACCGTAGTATATACATATTATGATATGAATCTGTCTTCTATATACATTCAATATATCTTTCCCAATGCACATGGTACACGTGTACCTGGTACGATACTGTACAATGTTGTGCTTTGTTGTAAGTTTTACATCTTACCTTCTACACTGTAACAACAATAAAGGAATGCAGACTAGCAAGAAGAAATAATAATAATAATAATAATATGATATGATTTCTATCTTTTTATTTATATCTTTCCCATAATGCACGGTGGTACAAATTAGATACCATGCTATACATACATGTATACTACAGACCAGACTTGTCTTCTTATTCACAAGTAATAAGAATAGACCCTCATCACCTTAGGTTGAATTGTGGTTTGGAAAAGTCCAAACTCATACGCTTGGGATTGCGTCGGTGACTTTGGACCAACTTGTTGGTATCCTCTCGTTCTTCGGTATGGTACTTTTGCACCAATTCCTTCACAAAGGCTTCTCCCTTTTCTTCCCATTCCCGACGATTTTCCATGGCGTAATTCAAATATTCGTCACTGGCCACTCCAAAGACGCCACATTCCTTCAACTTTTTGGCCAATGGAATGATGTAATTGTCAAAGAATCCGAGTTCGCCCTTGTACCACATTTCGGCAGGATTGTTTTCCATCCGACCAGCCTTGTAGGCAACAGTCATTTCATGAAACAACCGTTCGTTCCACTATATTGTAATTATTGATATTGGTAGAGCGAATGAAGAAAAAAAGTACAATGGTGTGAGAACGATTGGATGGAAATGGAATACAACAACAACAACATCATCATCATCAACAACGCAACATCAACTCCTTCCTCTTACCTTGCGATAAATGTGCCAATGCTGCATGGTATGAGCCACATCCGAAGCTTGGATCAAATGCTCAATCACAATGGTAGCCTTGCGATTCACATTGTCCTTGGTCTCGTCTCTTGTAATTGGTTTGGGACCACTGAAGGACATTTCCCAACGATTCCTTCGCAAGGTTTGCAATTGCTTATCAAAAATGTCCGTCGCCAGGACGGTATTCGCCATCAATTGACGGAATCTCTCCAGTTCAAAGGGAGTGGCGTAAATGGTACGACGAAATTCGCAAAAGCGTGGATGCATCAACGTGTCCCAGGCCAAGACAATGGAATTTTGTTCGGCCACACTCTTGTTCTTGAAAATGTGCGCCAATTTGTGATCTTCCTTGATGAGTTGGAAATTGGAGACTCCCAAATGGTCCAAATCATGAACCAAGGCGGCTAAAATGACACTGAATTGCGTCATGGGGTCCGAAGTGATGCCATAGGTATGATCATGAAGAGACCAACCAAAGTCGTGAGATTTGGCAGCATTTTCATTGGCATTCAAGATTTCATCGGCCGCAATGATTCGACTCAGTAGTTTGGAAACAGACATCATGACATGCGACGCATGTTCAAAGTTGTGAAAGGGATTGTCCCGGTACATGGCGGCCACACAGGCCACATACAATTTCATCTGTTCCATGACGGCTTCTGGCAGCACTATATCGTCTGGATTTTGTTGGCGTTTGTACACTTTTTGATCAAACCCGGGCAACGGAATGGTTTCCACCAATTCGTCCAGTACCATGAATTGACAACGGATCTCGCCTTCTCTCATGGTGAGTTCCTTGTCGTACAAGGTTTTGTGGTGATTGCTTTGCGATGCAAGTCGATGGGCCACGATTTGTTTCAAAAGACGAGCCAAGACATCCACGTTCCATTGACAGAGACGTTTCATCTTGGGCGAAAGCAAGGCTTCAATGTCTTCATAAGAACTTGTCGATAAGTTGAGGGATGCTTGAGTGATTTCTTCGGGCAGAGACATTTCCAAGCTCTGTTGTTCGGGTTGTTGAAACTCAGCGGTAGTGTAACCAAGTTCATGTAGTTTGCAGTCCTGCTTGGTCATGAGCCAAAAGGTTTGGAGATTCCCCTTGCCCTTTGCTGTCACCAATTGATCTCTTCGGCGAAGCCAATCGGCCTTGCCTGCCAACGCAAGGAGGTCGGCAGTCTCTTCCGAAATGTGAATCCGATTGCGTCTTCCAGTAGCCTCAATGCGTGAGGCAGTGTTGACCGTATCTCCAAAGAGCTGGAAACGAGACTTGTCACCTCGGAGCACACCAGCTGTGACTGGTCCACTGTGAATTCCAACACGAATGCCCAAGTCACCAGTGTCAGGTCCCAGGGTCGTTTCGAGGACTCCCACCAATTCTCCAAACCTGTCAACGCATTCTCGAGCGAATCCAGCCATGATACAGGCATGGTCCTTTCTTGGTTCTATACAATGAGAAGCAATAATAATGAACAACAACAAAAGCAACAAGATTATGAGTCATACATGATACAGAGCTCACTTTCCCCATCAAAAATAGGAATCGAACAAACTTACCAGGCAGACCGGTAACTGCCACGTAGCAATCACCTACTGTCTCCACTTTGAAGACCTTTCGGCGTTTGGCAATAACATCAAAGGCCCGATATACCGTCTCAAGCAGTGTGAATACTTGAGATGGCTCGCGGACCGAGCTCCATGCCGTGAAACCAGAGATATCGGCAAACAAGACTGTAGCATGGAGAAAGAGATCTGCAATTGGTTTGGAATCAAAGAATTCCAGCGAATTTGCTTTTCCGGTGGGTAGTGCCGTCGCCATGAAGGTCTTCAGCTGATATTTGGTTGCCTTTTTCAATAGATCACTTTGTTTGCCACCTTCCCCCGCGGTGGAATCATCGTCACTGTTGTAATTCACATGGAATAATCGGTCACGAATGGTCTTGGGATAAAGCACAGAAAGAAGCTTCTCGGACTTGGAAGCAACCTTCAAAATTCTCTTTTGTCTGGCATTGACAGCTGCGTCGTAAAGGTAGAGAATTAGGATCATGAAGAGGAAAATGGCAGCAATCAAAATTGCTGCCATTTTAGGAAGGCTTGTGTGGTACTTCTCGGAGAACTCTTTGGTCGCATGGATATGAATCATGTAGGAACACTCATCCCCTCCGGTATGATGCATATCGAGAGATGGTGCAAACTCAAACTTGTGGCAAAAGTGGCCGTAATTGGGATCGCGATGATCACCAAATCCAACAAAGTGCGCATCGTTTCCCTTGACTTGGATAGTAAAGGTTTGTCCACACATATCATCCACCACGACATCCACGGCTGGCATTTCCTCGTCCGTGGACAGAGCAAATGCCGTTACCCAATCAAAGTCTGCGTTCAAGATTGCGACGATTTCGTCTTCCGTAGAATCTTTAAAGACTGGATAGAGTAGCAAGCTATTGGGTGTTTCCTCGTGATGCATGTCATGACGAAAGTCATGGAGCTCATCAAAATCAACGTTTGACGAGTAGATAGGAATAATGTGATGCGAAGTGTCGGTCATGGCAGCTTTCTTTCCTTCAAGGACCGAGTCGAAAACTGTGGAATAGTGTTCGTCCGATAGAAGATTAAAGTTGACAACTCCTCCGTCGTCCGGTGTATAGGCAGTCTGCCAAACTGGAAGAAATGGTCCTTGGCCCCTTTCAGGTATCTTGACCCCAGCAGACATTCGATAGGTGCTTGGAAAGAAGGTAGCATTCTCTACAGGCTCCCTCTTTTCAAATTCCAAGCCCCGCTGTATCCAATCCTTGTTGGCTTGAGCGTACTTTGTCCAGTTGGCATTTTCAACCGCGTCATGAATGATGGGAGCCAGGCTCAACACATGGGTGTCGGTGAGTGTCATAAAACTGGAAACCACAAAGCCAAAGTTCGGGTCGGTAAAGTAGGGCCAGTCAACGCCAGAGTTGATGGCCATTGTGGTGATGGAGTGGGCGAGCGATTGAGTATCGCCCAGAAGTTCGGTAACACGATCAGAGCTCAAGTGTTGTATGTCGTTGGCAATGACATTAAACTAAAGGTACAAGAATCATGTGTGAGGTGAGAGAAGACATCAGTAAGTATACGCACACGAATGAGTCAGTCATACATAAAAGAAACTCACCTCCATAGTAAAGTTCGTGTCCTGTTGATCTTTTAGATACTTGTAGCTCAAGAAGACACCCGAGGCGGTCACTCCAATCATGAGGAATCCAATGAAGTAACGAATGCATCGAATGGAGTTTCGTTCAAACTCGCTTTCCGTTCTTTTTTCAAATGACTCGGATGTACTTCTGTCAGAATCAGAATGCAGCGAGTCGGTATCTTTTGCATGGTGGTCGGCAGTGGAATCTGTGGAACCACTGTGGTGCTTTCGTGTAACCTTGTGGCGTGGTGATGATTGTAAGCGTTTCATCATGGCGATGATGATAATAGCAGTTTGTTTGTTGTTGTTGTTGTTGTTGTTGTTATAGGTATTGGAACAAACAGTTGATGTGTAATTTTGTGGTTTGCACCAGAACCCGAAAAAAGTCCCATACGGATGGAAAGAAAACATCAAATCGTATGTTCTTCGAACCCGTATTTATTGTTTGATAAGAACAACCCGAACGCCTCTATTTTTAATGTTAAATACGAAAAGAATGATACATAACGGTAATGATAGATAGGGAGCGATAACTGAATACCGCATCAACGATATTCCATACTCGGCGAGGTTTTCGATGTTTTGAGTTCGGGTCTCAGACATTTCTTACGCACGGAACATGATCTCCTTCTCTATTCGACTCACTCGCGGATTGATCAGCCAGACTTCCGTCATCCGTTGGAAAGCGAGCGGGCACTCCTGATATTCTGACGAAAATTCCTCTGGCGAGATGGCCATCCTCGAAACTGCCGTTACTTTTTATTGGGAAACTTGCGTTTTTGCGTCCGTGGAAGCTCGGAAATAGAAGAAAGAGATTGATAGTTCGACTCACACATACCATGCATACCATGGAGCCTGTAATGTCAGCTCCAGAATCCACTTCATCTCAGGTGGACCACAAAGAACAAGGGGTTTCCTTGGATCAGCATCAGGATGATACCACAACAGCGAATCATCGGCAAGAAGAAGCAGCAGCATCATCGCCCATCCCCAGCATCACAAGAGCTACAACAACAAATAAAAGTTCAAAGAATGAACTTCCGCAGAATTATTACGACGAAGAAGTTGCGTCCGATAATCAAGTGAATCCGCTTTATTCGATGATTCAAAAGAATCAAAGTCTGGATGAAAGCGCTTTGGAAATCAATCATCTCTCGACGTCGTCAGCCAACAACAATTCTGTCAAGTTTGCTCGACGATTATCATCTCCAACCAAATTCAACTTGAGACGGCTCAACATGGCTGGCATTATGGTCTCTGCCGTAGAAGACGATTCGACGCCTCGACTATTTGCCAATTCATGGTCCTTTGGATCACTCACCAAGTCATCTTCACGGCTGGATGGTGTGGTCGATGACTCCGACGATGATGTTGATGAAGAAGAAGCAATGGAAGACAGAATGAACGTACCTTTACACAAAACCAAAAGAGAAAGCAATCTTCCACCGGTGAACTCCATGGAATTCAATTTGGACATGATCGAATTGGCTCCTTCAGACGACAACAAGAATGATGTAACAGAGGAACCGAAGGTGGACAAGGAGGATACATCTGTGACGCAACTGACCGATGTGCAAACCGACTCGGAATATTTGGAGGATTCGGACGAACGGAACAAGGAGAAGGCGGAAATTCATCATGAAGACATTGAAGCAAGCAGCGACTTTCACAAGTTACCCGAACAGCATAGTCCAAGCGATGATGATGAGAAAGTTGGCGAGTCCAAGAAAAAGCCTGTATACTTTATCGGATGGTGTGCGATTCTCTTAACCTTTGCTATTGTCATTCCTTTGGCCGTTGTCTCAATGGCGCAGTCAAAACAAGATGAGCTGCAATCAAATCCAATGGCTTCAGACGGGCCGACGAATGAGGATACCGTCGGAAGCTTGACAAATCAATCCTTTCCTGTATCGACTGCACCATCACTTCCTCAGCCGACCCAATCTGGAATGCCAACACAGTCCTACAGTCCATCCGTATTTCCTTCAATGGTTCCATCCTGGAATCCTTCAAAAAAGCCAAGCGTGTCGCCTTCCACAAGCCCAACGACTAACCCAAGCGAAATACCATCGATACAACCTTCCATGGAACCATCCACAAAGCCATCGATTGCACCCACAGATCATCCGTCTATGTACCCCACGGTACTACCAAGTCCAGTTCCCACTGGCGTGCCAACAAAAAGCTCTAGTCCAACCCAATTGTTGTGCGAGATTCGTGAAAGTGACGGCTGCGAGGACTACTACCACCCGACTGGCTGGGTAAAAGACCTCTCATGCACCGTCTCGAATGGCTTTCTTACTTGCAGTATTGCATCATGTTATGATTTCCGCCCAAGAGATTGGCCATCCTGGAATATTCTTATCACCAATGCCATTCAGAATACCTTTCGGATTCGACAAGATGATACTCAGGCATCTGTCGTGCTAGAGCGAAGGAACTTTGATGGAACTTGGACTAGTATGAATTACTACCAAGTAAAAGCATCTGCTTCTGAAGTTGTATTTGGCCTACCGATTGGAGCAATATCAGATGTCGAAAAATTGCGCACCTGGTTGGTATCCTACGATGAAAACGGTATGGATGTAGATCGGATTCCTCGAGTTGGGAGTCTCTTGTTCACCGGAGCAGGTGACGTTTGTTCATAAAATTTCATAGATATAGTTCTAAGCCCACACTGGGTTTTGAAACGTGCATTATATATATCTATATATATCCTATAGGTAGACTTCGTACTTCTAAAGGACCATTCTTGAATTTAGCATCGAGGCATCGGACAGCCGAGTAGGCGTCATTTGAAATTGCAAGCACTCTTGCCAGTACACTTGGGTTCACATGTGGGTCGCTGGAAGGACCAATCGCCGGAGGATTATTCTCGTTCCCAAAATCGAAGCAATCCATCGGTCTGGCAACCGCAAAAAATCAAAGAGTAGGTCCCATAATTCCCCCTCGTCCTCACCACAGTTCATGAGTTCCGCCAAGACTGGACAAGTGTATCGACATAGTGTCTTCTTGACAACCAATTCTACTATCAATAATGCAGCCTCCTCGTCCATTGATTTCTCAGTCGAAAAAATTGGATCAAAATCCACTTCATCGACATTGCAGCATTTCACAACAATTCCAAGCACAATGGAATGGTATTCCAGATTGCAACGGACTTGCGTTTGTTCTCAAATCAAGCCTTGTTTGAAGAATAACATTCGTTTGAACACTGCGGGGCTCCGGAGTGCCACAATAATTGTCATATTTGTTTGCCACGATTTTTCTTTTCCATCAGTCCCCACCGCAGATGAACATCTATAAAGTGTGAAAGTTTTCATCGCTCAAGGCTGCCAGCCTGTCTCGTTTCAGCCTCATGGTCATCTGAAAATAACAATAATGGTATCTTCTAAAATTGTGTGCGTGTGTGCATGTGTGTCTGTGATTGCGATTGATAGGTCCTTCCAGATTGCTGTTATTGTCAATAAGGATGCGTATATATGCGGTGAATCAACTGTATTATACGAGGTTGGATCGATCTTGCCGACGAAGGTAGCGGCGTTGACATATGGCTGTATAGGAGTTGGCCCTTGGTCAACAGTTATGATTCTGCTCCTATTGTATATTTACCAATAAAACATCAACTATAAAGTATCCATCTTGCAGCCGCTCGCACAATAAATTCTTCATTGTGCTGTTTTAAATGTTACTGAGTTGACAGATCTTCGACTTCTTTGACTAAGTGTACGTGTGCACAGAAGTTCAAAGTGGTATGGTACGTGTACGCGTACGGACAGAAAACTTGATTGATTGATTGATTGATTGATTGATTCTAATATCCTTCAGACCTTCAGATTATTAAAAAAATATGTCATTGTATATATTGCCACTATCGTATAGAACTTGAATGAATGTGGCATACCGGTATATTATAATACAGTATATGTATTGATATCATCTTCCATCGCATATAGCGTAAGAATAACCAAGGAGAAAGATTGATTGATTGATTGACTCACTCGTCATTCGGATCGCAGGCCATTTGAGATCCCGCAAACAAATTATAATATATAATAAATCATGGAAGACGACGACCACTATAGTAATTCAAAGGATTATCAGGACGATGTGCAGGATCATAAGAAGGCGGATGCCTCCTCGCCGGATCATGAGCTTGTCGACGATGGCTCGATAACTGCCACCATCTCTACTACTACTACTACTACTACTACTTCCACCAAATCAGGGAAACGACGAAAACGAAAGAAAAAACTGTCCATGGATGACTTGAAACGCAAGGTTTCAGAGTTGATGCAGATTTTTGAAGAGCATGGCATCTTTGTCCCGCCACCCGAAAGTACCAATGGCCAAAAGAACAAGGTATGGAGCAATCGGAATTATGGAGCAGATAAGAAGCGACAACGGAAGAATGCTGAGCGAGAGCTCATCGAGGCACGCATAGTGCAACTGGAGTCATGTTTGAAATCCGACCATGGGTTGTTATTGTCAACTACATTGAATGTCGAATTCGACCAAGACACCTGATGTATGACTCCGTTTTCAATGTCGTGGTTCTATACTATAGAGAGAGCTTATTGTCGACTTGGTGGTCTTGGAGAAGTCAACTGATGTACGATTATTCCGCGTGCAAAAGAGTTACGAAAGGCGAAAGACACCGCGGTAGTTTAGTTTAGTACTACATCTTGAACTCTCACGATGATGACAAGTCGGCACGGCACGAAGGCTGACATGGCACTTTTCATCGAGCTGTTCTCTTTACGATGATGTTCCACACAGTTCGGTAGACGACGACTTCACTTTGGTTGACACTGTTCCTTTCGGAAATAATTCCCCAAGCACAAGTTCCAACTCACGAGCTTCAGGCTGAGTAAAGGATTCAATCTGTCTTCTTCTCATATGTTTCTAGAAGTTAGACCAAACATTAGGCTATGCCGTTGTGGGGAGTGCATCGAATTGGAAACGAAGCCTTCTATAGCACCCATTCAATTCGTCATGCTACTACTATGTATATATAGAAGCGTAAGCTTTATTATAACGACCGGAGCCGATACATTGCCTTTCCAGCACCGAAAGGTGCATTACCATTCTCCGGCAATAGTTTTACACATCATATTAATATACAAACCCACAATATAGCAAGAAGCAGTCCACCAAAACGAAAAAGTCACAAATCTGATTTTTTCAAAAAAGTAAAACAACCTAATGCATAATGTATCTAATTACGCTTCTTGATCGTCACTTGGAGGCCCATACAACTCTTGGTTGCGTTCTGCAGCAGTAATCGCTTCTTGTGTGGCAGCCACAGCAGTCTTGATCTTCTCTAGTTGTTCCGCGTCAGTGAGTCCCTCTTCCTTCATAATCTCCAACAGGAATTCACCGAGTCTTTGTTGTTCACCCTTGATAGCAGACTGGTGGTAATTCTTACGGAATAATGGAACAGCCTTTCCATTTTCAAAAGTCAATTCCGTGGCCTTTGGGGTGCGCCCCTCTTCGTCAAACTCGACGCGGAACTTGACTCGCTCGTCTTTGTACAGGTACGGCCGGGTTGGATATTCGTCGCTCGAATGTGGTGAGTCAATGGAGGTTCTGTGGACCCAGACTTCCGACGAGCCAGCCTCTACCGGATCATCTGGAATGAGAAAGCCGTATGCCTTTTTGCGGATGAAGAATTTGACGGTCCCCGTCAAGAAACCATCAGTTTCGGTCGAGAAATAGGATACACAACTACTAGTAGTACTATTAGCGGAGAATGAATGATGATTCAGCAGGATCTGACGGTTGTTGTTTGCGAGCAGGGACAATCTGCTTGCATTGACATGTAATGATCGAAAGGCAATCATGATGCGAGATGGATTTTATAACTGTGCTCGTTACTTTCTTCTTCAGATGTGTGGATCCTGTTATAGTACCGGGTAGGAAAGAAGATGATGTGTGTCGTGACATCAACAATAATAAACGATGGGTGAAGGGAGACTTGACGTATGGTATGCCAGACGGCGTGGATTTTTCTGCCATATTCTCCATTCTGTCTCCATAAAATATTTTGTCTATTCCGCTTCCATGGTACAACTTTAAAAAAAAAAAAAGAATTCAAAGTGAAGGAACCAAACTAGCAGTCCTTTTGTCAAACATTTGTATCCATCAAAATGCTCTTTCATTGGGCTGCCGTGGTTGCTTGCTTGGCTACAAGAATGTCTCAAGCTGACCCATATGATCCCATAATAGAGCTGCAGTACAGTACAGTAGCTGATCCCGAACGTCCTGTTGGTTTTGGAATGTTCTTCCGTCGGAGCTGGAAAAGGCCCAAAAGGAGAAACCTCCAGCACATTTTGGTTCGAAAGGTTCCCAAAGCGACGTCGACACAACAGCAGGCACTTTTCATCATTTTGCGTAGAGTTGTGTACAATCAGTACGAGGCGAGGTCACGCAACACGAATCGTTTTACTGTATTTTATTGTCTGACGTCTGACGTAGAAAATCTACCCTACATAATACTAAATCATTTGAAGTGATCTTCTACAATAGCAGCTTCAACACTTCTGCTGCTGGTGTAGGTCAACAGCACACCAACTGACAGTCATCATGTGCAGCAGGAACTACTTCCAAGCGAGGGAAGGAGAGACACTGAAGGAAAGCGCTGCCGCAGATGCGATATTGGAGGAAGAATCGAAGGATAGTTTCTTCACTTTCCCGCAGCATCAAACTAGTTCCGGACAGCACATTTCACAAATCGCTGAATCATCTTCTCGATGGCCAGTGCTGCGAGAAGAGACACCTGCGGGTAATGAATGCGTGGAAACGATAGCCAGCCCGAACCGTCCACCTAGACTGCCTGAAACTATTGAATTCCGAACGTCCCCTCAGAATAAGAAAGCAGGAGGCAGAGGACGAAAACGGTGCCTGAAAAAGGCTTCAGCTCAACGCCAGCAATACGAGAAGTATCGAATGGGAGGAGACAAAGCCCGAATAAAATCACCGGCTCAAGAAAAAGCCAAGGATTTGCTCCTGGAGAGTCTCTTCATGATGATGTATATTAGACGATCCACAACTACAATTCCAATTACCATTTCAATGCTGCGAACCACCAACCACCCAATGTAAGCATTCATCCACGCCTCTGGATTTCCTGTTGCTTCATTTGCTCATGAAATCGCTCAATTCCTGTTCTCACAACATCCACGATTGGATTCGATTCATTCCAATCCTTTTATACTCTAGGCTTCTGACAATGACATCCTATCCATTTCGAGTTTTGTATTCCAATCTTGCGTATCAGAATACAACCGGTGGCGACGACATGGTTGGAAGAACACTATTCGAATGCTTTGAATCGAACGAAGAAATTATGAAGCCGTCACTCTCTCTTTATCCCGCCTTTCTGAAACTATTATTGGACGGGGGTCGCCCATGTTCCATCCACCTGAGGGAGCATCAGGCGGGTCGCATCACCACGATGAAAGACTGTACCATCAAAGCAGAAAATGTGTACGCAATGGGAGAGCAAGTCGAGAAACTTCATTACTATGTGATTCATTTCGATGGGGTAATCTAGAGTGTCAGTCACGTCTCCGCAGTCTTGCTGTTTTGCATCATCATCATCATCATCATCATCATCTCTGAAGCAATCGTTCCAATGGAAATTAGGGAAAATGTGAATTCCTTTGGCGATGAATCAAATACAGCACAACTCCAATGGGAAATTACCTTCTACTGTTTCCAAATGATGATTGTCTAATGCCGACTTCTGCCTACTAAAAACAATAAGGGTATCCAGAAAGTACTACTACTCGTACTACTACTAAGAAATGCCGAACCCGGGGCCTTCTTGTCCGATGGGAACACCTATGAAAAGCGACGAAACTTCTACTTCTTGAAGGCATGTTCTGGTCAATCAACTACTCAGACTGGAGACTGTAGTAGGCTTCGAATTTAGGACGGACAAGAGTATGTATTAGAATAGAAAAGCAAAGTTACGATTTTTTAAAAATTTTTGGTGTTTGTATCGAATGAATGAATCATCGCGTTCGCAAGCAGACAAATGACGTCAGTGCTTGGTTCTATCAATCAATAATATAATCAATCTTCGTAATTTATTTGTTGGCTCTTGCTCAAACAATAGTAGTCTAAACAACGGGTAACGTCTAACAACACCCGTTGGAGCGAGAAGGCGAGAAGAATGCGTTATCATCGATCACTTGTGGGCTCTGAACTCTCCAATGATGAAGGGGCTACAACACCGGTCAATAAGTTTTAACTGGCTGTTTTTTAAAAAGTGGTCTGTTTACCGTGCCTACCAGCAGATACCAGATACACTACCATCGAATGAACCGCACGCTCGTTTGCGCATTGCATGACGTAAGGGTTTTGAGACAAAATATTCATGGTCCCGGGTAATCTTTTCATCATTCTTATTGGCTTAAAACAAGTCAATACGTCGCTTCGGAACAGAATGGACAAAAAAACGACGCATCATCATAAAATATTCATCAATCGTATTTGTATCACAACCTCAGTGAACTCTCCCATTCGACAGAAGAGATGCGGCGTCCTGTCAACAACGACGGAGACCTCAAGTTTCCTATGCTGGTGGATCAGAATCATCAAGACGCTCGAAGAGATCAGCCATCAAGATTATTGCCAGCTCCAAGGCGGCGCTCGCTTGTCGTCGTTGTGGAGAATGAGAATAATTCCCTTTATCATCGGCTGCCATCCAACCGGAACCGAATGGTTGATCCGCAGGATATTCGTGATATTCTACAGTCAGAGTATAGATCATCTACAGCAAGGATTCGTGGGCGTTCTGAAAATCCTCCTCGTCCTCCTCCTCCTCATGAAGTCCAAAACATCAACGATTCGTCAGAGGATTCTTCTCAAGAGGGATCGAACGACGAACCGAGAAGGTCAGAAAAAGCTTCAACGAGTATATCGAAGAATTAAGAGGAAGGCCTCCTACAGGCAATTCCACACTCGATCCTGCTCATTTTCATTTGCTATCAGAAGGAGAAGAAATCCCTCGACCTTGATTTGCAAGACTCAAGCCAAAACCAAGCAACTTCCCTTTTCAACAAACATGCTATGTTGAAAAGGACAAACCGCCACCGCTATAAGACTACATCCACTACACCATTTATCATTGCTATCATGAGACTATATCGCTATAGATCTCTTCTTACATATAATATACTCACTCAGGGGTCACTTTTTTCTACCTTTTTTTTTTCCTTTTCGCTATCATCATAGTCATAAAACTGTCTACAATCCTCATCTGCCGCTTTTATCACCCTAGCACAAACTATAGCACTTGTGTACGAGATACGATATCATACTTCCGGTACTTGCTAGTTTGGAAAGAAATGATGAGCACATTGCACATCTACCGTATGCTATATATACTACTACATCATACACCTCCCAATTGTTGCGATTTGGAGTTTCTTTCCGTGTGGGACATGCCCGTGTGTTAAAAGCGGCAACGCCAGGGAGCGAAGCCAAAGAATTTCTCAAAAAACGATCCTAAATATTGTCACTTAGCACCGTCACAAAAAGCACACAACTGACCCTATCTGTCAGTTAAGTATCACAGATATCTTTTCTGTGCATGCTGAGCTGGCCACATTATAATATTTGCACCAGGTCATGTGAAATATCTTCACCCTCCTAAACCATTCGATGTTCTTCGAACGATAATATACAGTGCAGCAGAATCGTTTCCAACATTCAAAGCTATAATCCTCATTCATACCACACCTGAAAAGTGCACAAAGCCAGCCATGATCCGGCAGCAGAGAGATTGTAATGGCGATACCGAAGAAGGGAGGAACAAGATTCCTCTCTATGTTGTTCAGAGCGTCGAGAATATTCAGACAGGCCATGACATCCGATTGCCTAGCCGAAGCGATTTTATAGCCGATGATGATTCATGGATGGACAACCTGTTCCCAGTTGAGGGCAATACTGCACTTGAGGGGCCAAGCGATCTAATCACAGAGTTCGGTGTCAAACATAATAATACAAGTAGATACCCAGATTACGATGTGGTGAAACATCGAGGAGAAGCACTACACTGGACCGATGGGCCTGATGTTGGGAGAGGACATCATAGTGAGGAAAGAGCTGTTGTTCCAGACAGGCGCCATCCTCCTCCCACCACCGATGAAAACAAAACAGATGGTAAACTGGCTTTTCAAACCCAATATGTCAATCTCATGTTCTCGTCCTTTTCAATCAAAGGATGGGGCCATGATGGAACCTCATGCTTTCCGTGCCATCAGCTACATCTCATCGAAGAACCCACGTGCGTATATCGCTGCATCCTTATACTCCTTCCGATTCAATTCATGAACTCACCACCCCTTGTCTTTCACAGACTCTTGACAACGACATCATTCCCGTTTCGAATCATTTTCGCCAATGACGCTTTCTTGCGTCTGAGAAGGAATGAAAGCGTCCTTGGTTCTTCACTCTTTGACTGTCTTGTTTCTGATGACATGGTGATGAAACCCCAAATCTCTAGGGCAAAGGCGTTCCTACGCTCGGTCCTAAGAGGTTCTGGATGCTCGATACGGATAGTTTCAGCGGAAGACAGTGCATCATCATTCATGACGATACCCTGTGTTGTAAACGCATATCCAGTTGTTTCAAATGGAATTGGATCTGAAGACATCCGATACTATGCTATGCGTTTCCATGATGTCCAAACATGAGCAGCAAGTTGAGATTCTTTAGGTTTTGTACTCCAATCTATCGCAAAGCTGCTGCATCCTTTACGACCAAACAGCTTGATACCGGTCCACTGCGGCGGAAAAGCTGAACCATCAAGTTGTAAAAAAACCCAAGCTGATGCAACGCATTCTTTGATGCGAACAAAGAGCTTTCATGCACTCTATCCAACGATCGAATGAATGAATCATCGAAGATCATCACATTACACTATAACAAGAATGACTACTACTATCTAGTGTACCTCCCAGAATAGTCGAAACATTTTCACCTCGGCTGTCGGTGAGGACTGGTATGAGGTCGATACGTTTTGGTTCTTCGGCTACAGTCACACCTGTCTACTAGTGCCTTTCTAGTAATACCTTCGTCAGAATGTTCTAAGAAGCTTCTTTTCAGCATATTACTACCAACTGAGGCCGAAAAAAGACAGTTTGAAAGATATGATACATGTCAAATGTGAGATCACCAATTGTCATCCCACCAGGCGTCTCGATGGATTGCTAAGGCTTCCGGCCGGGCAGCTTTGTATGTACTGCATTCGGATCATAAAGTACTATCGGCACCTACTGCTACCGTGATGTAGGTACAGTAGGGGGAAGTGAGATGCTAACTTCCTAACCCAAAAGATTCGGGGAGACTCGTCTCCGCTAAAAGGGTTCGTGGTCACATGCGATTACCATACAAGCACGCAGAAACATCAAGTTGAAATTGTGGAATTTCTTCTCGGTATCATAATAGCGATGCAAGCGACGCGCTCCCTGCCCACGTCAGCAGAAAAGCGAATCTGGAGAACCGTATAGGAGAGCCGTCCAGTTGAACATCGTGCATCTGATCGTCTTTTCAAAAGTAAATAAACGGTCGCAACAATGGCACACAACTGCCCCGTTTTTTAATTATAGAGGAACGCTGTCACCAGAGTCATTGCATCAGTCACATAAAGCTAAATGCGCGGATTTCCTACCCAAGTTGCGGTACGTCACAGGCAAAACTCTTCACTCTTTATCTAACACTTCAAAGAGTAACCGGAGTACGGATATTCTTCATCAAAGGAGCTCAATTCTACTCCGACTTCTGATCATGGTCCCATGGACTATGAATCCATTTACAAATTCCAGCAGAAAGAGCACAGGAAAACTACTACCGGTATGTTGAATCAGCAAAGAGGCTGCAATGGCAATGGCGATCGCTGGGAAAGGAAGATTCCTCTCCACATTGGAGACGAGCATAGTACCAGGCAATGGCCTGGCCAAAGTCACTTTGTAGCCGATGGTGATTCCTGGATGGATAGTCTGTTTCTCTTGGAAGGCAACATTTTCGAGAGGCCGAATGATCTGGCCACCGAGTTCGGCGGCAAATGGAATCGTACGACTGAACAAGCTTCAGATGAGGAGCCGAAGAGTAAAAGGCAATCGTTAGACTTGACCGATGTTGGGAGACGTCATCAAAGCGGAGAAACAAGAAATGTTTTGAGAGACGATCACAGCGACAACCACGTTTTTTTTCGAAAGCAATATGTCGATCTCATGTTCTCTTCCCTTTCAATCAAAGGATGGGACCATGATGGAACCTCATGTTTACCTTGCCACCAGATCGATCTCATCAAAGAACCCACGTGCGTATACATTGCTTCATGCAAACCGTCGTTTCGATTCAAATTGTGAACTCATATATTACTCGTTCTCCCACAGACTCTTGACGACGACATCATTCCCGTTTCGAATCATTTTTGCCAATGACGCTTTCTTGCGTCTGAGGAGGGATGAAAACGTCCTTGGCGCTTCGTTCTTTGAGTGTTTTGTTTCTGATCAGTTGGAGATGAAAGCACACCTCTGTCGGGCAGTGTCTTTTTTATCTTTGCTGTTAGATGGTGCTGGATGTTCGATACGGATGGTTGTAGCAGAAGGCAGCGAAGTAGTCTCGACAATACCCTGTGTTGTCAACGCATACCCTGTCGTCTCAAATGGAATAGGAGGAGCTGAGGGCACCTACTACTATGCAATGTGTTTTAGTGATATCCAACATGACGAAGTTGAGATCTTTCGCCACGCTAAACAACTCAAAATCTATGTCTAAGAAAATACTGAACAGGAATGACTATATTCCCAAATCGGACGATGCAACGCATTCTTTGTGGATTCTAACTATAACAAGATTTTATCCACTCGAGCTAACAGCCAGGAAACTGTCCAGACAAAGCTACAAGAACACGGATGCTGGATCAGTGAACAATTATCGAATGTTACCATCGCAATCGTCTATCACTACTCCAATAATTACTAGCTATCGACCATCGAGTGTTTTTGCTTCCAGATCAATTGACTCGTTTTCTCCTGTGGGATGATTGTGTTTGTATCACTGACATCGCGTTTTACTGGAATAGGGTGGAAAAGCGACGCTATATATTGTTAGCTCCAAACATACGTCAGAGGAATCAGAGCGCCAGCGGTTGAACACGTTGTTGAAATGTGTCTCGTCCTCCTTTCCCTTCAAGTATTGATCCCACTGAAAATCCTAAAAGCACGCGCCAGCCCCGATTTTTATTTAGAGGAACGCTATCATCCGGTTTTTCTTTTCCACGTTTTTGATACGTCAGACCGAAAACTATGTTCAGGATAAGAGTGGGCGTCGTCGGAAGTTCTTCATTGACTTCTGCTCTTGATCCCATGGATTTCCATGATACGTCCAATAGCATAGAAGAGCACCATAGAACCATGTTCAATCAGCAAAGCGAGTGCAATGGCAATGGCGATGGCTGGGAACGAAGGATTCCTCTCCGCATTGGTGGAGACGAAATAAGTGGCAGGCGGCAAGAATGGCCTGGTCAAAGCCACTTTGTAGCTGATGGTTTCGCTTCTTCTTGGATGGATAACCTGTTTCTCTTGGAACGCAATAGTTTAGAGAGGCCGGACGATCTAACCCCAAACTGTCATCGAAGTGGCGGCGAAGCGAAGAGGAAAAGGGAATCGTTAGACCTGACCGATGTTGAGAGAGACAAAGAGTTCCTCTTGCAGGACAATATTTTCGAGGCGCTAAACGACCTAGCCCCAGACTTCCATCGAAGTGGAAGTTTAGAAGAGGAGAACCATCGCGGCAAAGGGAAGAGGCAAAGGCTAGCGCTGCACTCCGACTTGACCGATGTTGAGAGAACACCACACAAACAAAGAGAAAGAATTGTTGCCAAAGACAGCCCCGCCAATACCCCACTAAGCGCGGAATGCAGTCAGAACAACGACGTGGCGAACTATCGAAAGCAGTATCCCAATCTCATGTTCTCGCCCTTTTCAATAAAAAGATGGGGCCATGAATCAGGGTCTTGGTCACCTTGCCATCTCATCAATCTCGTCAAAGAACCCACGTGCGTATACATTGCTTCATGCAAACCGTCGTTTCGATTCAAAATGTGAACTCATAAATATCACTCGATCTCTCGCAGACTCTTGACAATGACATCATTCCCGTTTCGAATCATTTTTGCCAATGACGCTTTCTTGCGTCTGAGACGGAATGACAACAATTTCATTGGTGTTTCGCTCTTTGACTGCTTCGTTTCTGATGAGTTGGAGAACAAAGCACACGACCTCTGTCGGGCACAGCCTTTCCTGGCTTCTTTGTCACAACTCTCTCGGGCAAAGTCTTTCCTGGCTTCGCTGTTAGATGATGCTGGATGTTTGATGCGGATGGTAGCAGCAGAAGATAGTGAGACTGTCACGACACTTCCCTGCGTCGTCAACGCATATCCTGTTGTCTCGAATGGAAAAGGACGAGCTGAAGACATCTCTTATTATGCAATGTGTTTCGATGATATCCAACACGATAGAGTTGAGATCTCTCGCCAAGGCTGACAAAACCCATTCACTCAACCAACAGACAAATGTTCAGACAAACTTACAACATAGTTGCTGTATCGAAATAATAATCAAACACTTTGTTGCTATCTTCTAATGAATATTACTTATTTAGTGAACTTTCGGAGCAGTTTGAACATCTTCTCCTCCGTTGTTGGTGGGGCCTTGAACACGTGATTGCCTTGAGCAACGTCATTCTGGTGAATCCGGGCTGCAAGCCTTGCTCCCATATCAATTGCTCTCTTGGCATCCAGTTCACCAGCCGCGTAGGCCCCACCAAGCGTGTAGACGTATTTGCTTGGAACGGAGGGTTGATCCTTTTCCACTGCCATTTCTTGCAATTCTCGATGCTCCACTTGGCCTGCACAAAGTACAATGGTGTCCACTTCCAATACTTCTTTCTTTCCATCTCGTGTGTAATGTAGATTTCCATCGGCATCAATTTCATCATAATTGACACCATTGATCATGTTGACATTCCCGGCATTCAGAGTCGCCCGGTGGATCCACCCAGTTGTCCGACCAAGGCCGGCACCAAGTTTTCCCTTCTTTCTTTGCAATAGATGAATTTCTCGTTTTGGTTCCGATTGACGTCGTTCTTTCAGTCCACCGCGATGCTCCTGCTTTTCATCAATCCCCCATTCCTCCCAAAACTCGGGGATGGAAACATCCTTGTGGGTCTTGTCTTTCTCATGGTGTAAAAGGAACTCTCCCACATCAAAACCAATTCCACCTGCCCCAATTATAGCCACTCGCTTGCCAACTGGTTTATTTCCTTTGAGTACATCGATATAGGACAAAACGTTTGGATGGTCTTGGCCAGGGATCTTGGGGTCCCGAGGCTTGACACCGGTAGCAACCACCCACTTGTCAATGTCATTGGACTTTTGTAGCATCACATCGTAATCAACGCTTGTACCAAGTTTGAGTTCGATCCTATCAGATCTGGTAATCTGCTCGTGAAAGTATCTCAGTGTCTCGTGGAACTCTTCCTTTCCAGGAACGCGTTTTGCCAAGTTGAATTGACCTCCAAGCTTGTCATCTTGATCAAAGAGTACTACGTTATGACCTGTCTCGGCTGCAGCAATTGAAAAGGAGCACCCAGCTGGCCCTGCACCCACCACCCCGATCGTGAGGCGATCTGATTCAGGGAGAAGTTTGGTAACCAACTCTGTTTCGTGACATGCTTTTGGATTGACGAGACACGAAGCAGTCTTTCCCACAAAGACATGATCCAAACATGCTTGATTACATCCAATGCAGGTGTTGATCAAGTTCGCCTCTTCCTTCATGGCCTTTGACATAAAGTCGGGATCCGCCAAAAGTGGTCTTGCCATGCTCACCATGTCACTCGCATTGTCTCCCAACAAAGACTCGGCAGTCAACGGGTCGTTGATGCGATTGGTAGAAACCAATGGAATTGAGACCACATTGGATTCTTTGAGTTTCTTGGTAGCGAAGCCAAAGGCTCCTCTTGGCACAGCGGTAGAAATCGTCGGAACCCGAGCTTCGTGCCATCCAATTCCAGTATTCAAAATGGTGACACCCGCTTCTTCCAAGGCTGGCGCCAACTCTAAGGTTTCCTCCCAAGACATGCCGCCTTCTACCAGATCTAGCAGCGAGATGCGAAATATGATGATAAAATCTGGATTGACAGCCGCTCGAATGGAGCGAACAATTTCCAGGGGGAATCTGGCTCGATTCGCAAAACTACCACCGTATTCATCTTGTCGGTGATTGGTTCTAGGACTGAGAAATTGACTCAGCAAATAGCCTTCGCTTCCCATGACCTCAACACCATCGTATCCAGCTCTTGCGGCCAAGGTAGCAGCATTGGTAAAGTCTTTTACAGTTTGCTGAATTTGCGAGCGGGACATTTCCTTGGCTGGAAACGGAGTGATTGGAGACTTGGTGCTACTAGCAGAGACTGAGAATGGATGATAGGCATATCGTCCTGTATGCAGTAATTGCAAGCATATTCGGGATGTAATCGAGTCATCTGATCCAAAGACTGGGACTTGTACCGAATGAACAGCATCTGTGACTACCTTGTGCTGCTCCATTTCCGATTCGTTGGTCAGCTGAGATGAGAATGGTCCTACCCATCCCTTTCGATTGGGTGATATGCCACCCGTCACCATGAGGCCTATGCCACCTTCAGCTCGAGCTTGGAAATAGGCTGCCATGCGATCCAAAGAATGAGAGGCATTCTTGTCAAAGATCATCCGTTCCATCCACATTGGCATACTATGTCCTTCTAAACCAGTATGCATACTTCCCATTAGTACTCGATTGGGTAATGTTCCAGCAAGACCGATATCTAATGGCTCAAAAAGATGGGGATAGAGAGAATGTCGAAAATCATCATGATCTGAGACTGCAGCCGAACTCTTATGACGTCGGAAGCTTGATGGTTGAATTCTGTTGGTAATTCTTGTCGTCCGAAGGCAGAAAGGATTTGCCTTGGAAAGTTTGCGAGAGTGAATCATTGAGTCAATGAATTAGTGCGGCTGATAGAGCAACAATCAATTGATGTGATGAGGCAATGGAAAAATAAAGGAGAAAGCAAGATGATTGATGTCAATAAAGCACGACAGAACTGGTTTTAGCAAATGAGAACGATCACGGAAGAGAAGATGTGTCATCAAAATGGTGTCAAAAGAAGTCGACCGGTTCGACCACTCTTGGTTCCGTGTCATGCAAAAATGCAACTGATAGACGACCAGACAGGTCAGACAAGTCAGGTCAAGAGTACCATACTGTACTGTATACTTTGTCATGTGTGACGTGATGCGGTTCTGGATGCTGCTTCGAGTTACCTGTACTGTAGTCTAGCCTTGGTAGTAGTATTCTTCATCCTTACACAGACAACTGGTATTGTCTGGACCATAGCAGCATAATCGCATGTGAACTGCTGTCGAGTGGAGGAGGACGAAAGTCATGGTAAATGATCGTGGCGTTGGCTCATCATCATCAGTCGACCAATTTGACAGCGACATTTTCGTTTGTCATCAGAAAAGATGATTGCACTAAAAAGGATTGAGCGACATATTCGATGGTTCGGTACCTGGTATCAGGTACCGTACCTTGTTATCTCGCTGACTTTTGGATGGAAGAAACAAGGTTGAGTGATACATTCGTTGCTTCCTTACCTTGTCCCTAATTCAACAAGCCCTCTTTTGGAAGGTCCAAGAAGCCATTGCCCCCACCTAAAGGTGCTAAGGAAGTATGATGAAAGGCGGACACATATTGGATTCAAGAAGTGGAAAGCTCAAGTTCTGACAGCGGATCGCATTTGGTACAGTTCGACAAAGTCAATCAAAAGGTACTATGTACTATCGGACAAATCCATCAAGATGCGGGGTTTATACGGTAATCAACATGAAGTGTCAAATCCACATGACCCCGGTGAAGTGGAAAGTGCGTAAGTTTCAATAAAAATAGTGCAGTCATTGACATTCATTCACGATCAATAATTCGTATTTTTGACATCTGGAAACCGCATATATGCACCATGTACATGCATCGGAGAAACTATGTCGTACCCAATATATATGATGTACCAGGTACAGCGTGTACTGTACCGTTCCAAGACGAGAACAAATGGCAGGTATTCGGTACAAAACGCTCTCGGCAACTTATCGTTCAGTTTCACAAAAGCTTATAAAAATTGAACAGCTTCTCCAACAAAGCATACCACTACACCTTTACACGCCATGCTTCATCACACTCCATTAACACCAAGTCCTTCTAGTTCCACTCGCACTTCCGATGGTCCATCTTTTGCTCCTACGACGCCAGCTCAACCAAAAAGGAAGAGCTTCTTGATGCAGAAGGGTGGTCAGGATGATGTGGACTATCTTCTTGATCTATTCAATGATGTTGAAGCCATAATTCTTGGGGATAATGATCCCTCTGGACAACTTGATCATGGGGAACGATCATAACCAGCCCCATCACTGCTCTTTCGATTATAGAATGTACATAGAAAAATATTCCAATTTCTCCCCATTTCGAGGAGGTTGCAACTATTGGCTGAGACCTGAACAAATATATACATAACCAATATAGAAAGATAAAAAATATACCAAATACAAAACGAATGGTAAAGTAGTGTGCTACTCTTGCCTATTTCCTTCCTTCCCTTGTAATTCCATGAAATAACCTATAGGAAAGTCGTTCCTTCCTAGCAAGGCTATCTCGCTTTTTTGATTTGTCAGGGCAATACTTCGAATGATATAATATAATATTACCACATAGAATTAATACTAGAGTAGTGTGCCACCAATACCCCTTTCCGTATTTCCCCGTTCACTCCATCTCGTATTTCCCCATTCACTCCATGTGGTAGCCTATAGTCAGAGGACCTCACCCGATACGCTCTCTCGCTTTGATCTGTCAGGGCAATACGTAGCCATCATCTTGTCTACAACATCCTCTCCTTTCTTCGACCACTCGCGCCGATTTTCGAGCGCATAGTTCAAGTACTCGTCACTTGAAACTCCAAAGACACCGCATTCTTCGAGTTTCCTCGCCAACGGAATGATATAGTTATCAAAGAAACCAAGTTCCCCTTGGTACCAATTCAAGCTTGGATCTTTATCCATTCTTCCACTTTGATATGCTTCCATCATCTCAGCAAAGAGCCGTTCGTTCCACTTTTGGTAGACGTGCCAATGTTGCATGGTGTGCGAGACATCCGAAGCTTGGATTAGATGCTCCATCACAATGGTTGCCTTGCGATTGCTGTCATCTAATGGTGATTTATCCACTGATTGCATGCCTTTCATATGGAATGCGTTTTCCCACCGACTCTTTCGAAGTCCTTGTAGTTCCTTATCAAAGATATCTGTTGCGAGAACATTGTTGATGAGAATTTGGCGGAATCGATCCAATTCAATTTGGTCTGTGTAGATGGTGCGACGAAGAAGTGAATATTTGGGCAACATCAACTGATCCCAAGCAAGAACGATGGAGTTCTGCTCAGCCACACTCTTTTGTTTGAAGAACGCAGCCATCGGAGTCTTTTCCTTGATCAACTGGAAGTTAGACACACCGCTGTGGTCAACATCGTGAATCAGTGCAGCCAATACAATCGAAAACTGGGTCAAAGGATCAGATGTGATGCCATATGTGTGATCATGAAGGGACAGTGCTAAGTCATTTCCGCTTTGTTGGTTGATGACTTCATGATCTGGCGCAACAATGCGATTCAAGAGCTTGCTCACAGACATGGTGACGTGACTTGCGTGTTCAAAATTGTGAAAACGGTTGTCTCGATGCAGCGAGGCAATCACGCAAACGAAGTGCTGGAGCTCCTTGACGACCTCAGGAGGAATCTCAACTTTTCTTGGGTCTACGTAGTCCTTGTGATCGTAACTTGGAAGAGCAATGATCTCAGTAACTTCTTCAAGGCACTGTTTCTGCTTGCTGAGCTGACTTTCTCGCTTGTCTAGATTTTGATTTTTGCGCTTGGGGGCAGCGTTTTGCCCTTGTCTCTGTGCAATAACTTGTTGAAGCAGCTTTTTTAGAATCTCAACATTCCAACGGACCAGTCGTAGGATCTTTGGAGGCAGAGATTGCTCGAGTGCTGCCAAAGCCATGTTGTCGAGGTTTGAACTGTTGTTTGATTGGATGGATAGTCTTGGTGGTCCCGTAATCTTGGACTGCGAGGCCTCAGCAATGGCATCTTGAGGGCTATGCAGCCAATAGGTGTGGATTTCGCCCTTTCCTTTTGCCGTGACGACGTCTTCGCGCTTTTTAATCCATGACTTTTTACCAGCCTTGATAAGAAGCTCTGCCGTCTCGGATGACAAATGAACCCTGTTTCTTTTTCCTGTACCTTCAATTCTTGCAGCCTGGTTAACAGTGTCACCAAAGAGTTGGAAACGAGACTTGTCGCCACGCAAGACTCCGGCTGTAACTGGTCCACTATGAAGCCCAGCTCGCATCGCCAAGTCTCCAGTGTCGGGGCCAAGTTTCACCTCCAATTGCTTGGATAGTTCGTTAAAGCGCATTACGCATTCTCTGGCAAACTTTGCCATAGCAAAAGCATGATCAGCTCTGGGCTCGGGCTACGTAATGATTCAGAATATTGTTAGTCGGATTTCCAACGAGGTCACTATTACACATATATACTCAGGTTCAACTTCAACTTACCAAGCCTGTCACCGCCACATAACAATCCCCAACAGTTTCAACCTTGAAGACCTTTCGTTTCTTAGCAATTGCATCAAACGCTGAGTAGACAGTCTCAAGTAGAGTAAAGACTTGAGATGGCTCGCGGACGGAGCTCCATGCCGTGAAGCCAGCAATGTCGGCAAACATGATTGTCGTGTTGGGAAACAAGTCCGCAATTGGCTTGGTGCCATACATGTCAGCCCCTGGGACAGATTCCTGAGCGGAAGTACCAAGAGGCGTATTAATGTTCGCGTTCGCCTTGGTCTTTTGATCCTCTGTGGTACAAGGACGAAGAAAGAAAGTGAGATATGGCTGGGTCCACCGAAATATTACTGAATTCAAGACGTACCGTTTGCCAAATAGCTCTTGAGTCGATACTTTGATGACTCTGGAGTTTGCTTGGCCGTGATAGCTTCTTCTTCTTCTACTTCTTCGATCTTATCATTGTTTCCTTTTCCAAAGAGGCGATTGTGCACTCCTGCAGGAAACAAGGCTGAAAGGATGTCATTGGTTTTCTTCGCTTCACCCATAACCTTTTCCTCTCGGCGTCTAAGGACGACGTCATAGATGACAAAGATGATGCTGAAAACGACTGTCACGATAAGTATTGGAACGTAGGGGGGGAATGAAGACTCGTCCTCTTGGACAATCTCCTGAGTTGGGTACACAGTCAGGGAGAGCTTGCAATCCGACTGAGTCAGATCAGGAACAAAATCTCGCATCTCCGCAAGATGAGTGTATCGTGTATCGTGACGATCACCAAGGCCTCGTAGAATAACTTCGGGCCCCTCAATTGTCATGGTCATGCTGTTTCCACAGATGCCATCGCTCATTACGACATCAACCTTGTGTATGGCATCATGAAAGATGCCCTGGAAGAAAGTATCCCAGGGAACGACGGCGATCACAATCCCTGTTACGGCTTGACTTGTTCTGGAAAAGTTGCTTAGCAAGGGAACCATCAGAAGACTCTCAAGCCTGTTAGTTTCGCTCGATTTGTAACGACCGTAGAGACTTGTGGTATCAACAGAACCAGATAAGCTATGAAGTCCGGTGTCTGAGACGACTTCCAAACTTTGGCGAATTTTGGGCTGGGCGTAGAGATTGTAGTTTGTGGACGAGGAATCCTCTTGGTTGGTCACCGTCTGCCAAATGGGAGCATAAGTTCCGGTACCTCCAGTTGGATGAACCGCAAGCTTAGAATATTCCTCCCATGCATTCAATTCCGCCGTTCCTTGTACGATGGGAGACCATGATACAAGGGGAACAGTGGCTTCTTCCAAAAAGCTTTGCCCCGTGGCAACAAAGGTGTCGGACTTGTGGTATGGCAGTGCTGTTGAATTACCTATCAGTGATGTTGCAGTCAATGATGTGCTCAGAGCCGTCAGAAGGCCATGTATGTGGGTAAACGATTCGTCGACAGATGCCGATATCTGATCCGCAAAAGTAGTCATCTATATACAAAAAGTAAGTATTCGTCTGTGCTACAGCGATGCACGATGGCACGATGGCATGATAATCGTATATTTCTCTGGGTTGCACGTACCTGACTCTCAAAAATTTCTTCACTTTCCCCTTGAAGATAAACGTGCATGCCAGCAGCGATTCCTGCTCCTGCAAGCAAGAAAAAGGCAATGGCTCCGATTCTTGGAACGAAGAGGACCGCTGGTTTGTGGAAACCATCTTTCTCGGCCTCTTGTTCCAGTGTGGTGGAGGAGGCTACTGAGTTATCCTCGTCCTCAAAGGTATTGGTTTCATTGCTGGCTGGACTCATCGAGCTGTCTTTGTACATTAATGAATGAAGTTTTGCGATGACCGGTACTAGAAGATGTTTTTGAGCGAATTACCCCCCAGACACAAGAAGTCTTCTGCAAGTTTCTCTGGTAGGGAACAGTTCTGTCCGGGATCGCAAATCCGAACTCTGGCGAAAATCCAGTGGGTTAAGTATCTTGACGATTCGTCATTACACGTCAAGAATATCAATGGTCTTCGGAACGTCAAATGAGCTCCGATTCTATCGTTAAGTCCTTATTGGGCCCAATATCCTTCGCCTTATTCGAATGACTGCTTCGCCATCAAAGAATGACTTCTTGGTTGAGTGTAACCGATATTCGCTCTGAACTTTCTTCAGGTCAATCTTGTTGGGACTCCTTATCCAGTCAATAGTGCTTTTGTACTTATAGAACGCTTTCCGCGGGGAACGGATTTGGCGAAATCGGGTTCGACAGAAGAACCCTTCGTCGATCAGACTTGACAGTGTTTTCACTACCACATTCTGGCGAAGACAATGACCCCACCTTCAAGTCATTTGTTCTTTGTCCTAAGTACCGGCCGGTACCATCAAGCCCAACAAAATTCCCAAACTTCACCTGCCTGGACCCACCTCCTATATTTTTTGTCTCCCAGTTTTTTGTGTCACCGGTTACCGCTCTCGTTACACAATTTTTTTGGACGAAGAGAATGAACCGTGCCACTGAAACCGAGTCTACATCAACCAATTCAGACATTTCAATGGACGTTAAGAAAAGCCCAATAAAAGATGATGTTGAACACGCCGGGTCTCCATCGACACAAGGAGAGATAACTCAACAAAATCCCGACCAAGAGAGGGACTACCTCAGGCACTCCAGAACTTGCATTCTCATGCTCCTGTTTATTGCAGGCATTACCGCTGGAGCGTTGACATACTCCTTCAGCAAGAAGTTACAAGACGAAAACTTTGATCTACAGGTACGTGTACCATCTTTTGTTTGGTTGGATGTCATCGTGCTGCACCTCTTCTCCTTGATCTAATCCATCACTTTCACATTTCCACAGGTCAATATTTTTGCTCTAGAGATTGAGCAAGCTGCCCAACACAGAATAAAGGACATTGTTGGCGTGATCGAAACCTTGTCCACGACTATCAGTGCTTCAGTTGAAATGTCTACTGCAGCGTGGCCATCCAAGACATTCTCCAACTACGAACGTGTCGTATCTGACTTTCGACCAGTTGCACACAGTCGGCTTCTTGCCTTTTGTCCTTATGTTCAAGAGGGCGAGAGACCGTTATGGGATCAGTATGCTGTCGCCAACCAAGGCTGGCTTGCTGAAAGTTATGAACAAGCTGGAATCACCAAAACTGTGAAGGGCATTTCGATGAAACCATATGGTTTCAATACTGCAGGAGCGATGGTTCCAACTGTCGAAGGTCCCGCGATGCCACTCTGGCAAATCTCAACACCTCCAGACGATGCTTCTGTGGTCAACTATGATATATTGTCCGACGCAGTGTTCTCCAAGGCATTTGCTGCTGCTGCTGAAAAGAAGACAGCTGCATTTACTGAAGTGTTGGGCACGAGCAACATCTTGAGCAAATTCAGCGAGGGAAACAGTCCAGAGAGTGCAATCATCTATCCAATGTTGCAAGACTCTACTGTAGTGGCGAGCGTCCTATCTGTGGTGTCGTGGGACGAGTTCATGAATGAACTCTACCAAGAGAACATGAATGGTGTTTTTGTCGTACTCAAGAACACTTGCGGCCAAGAATACACATACAAGATGGGAGCCACCGGTGCCGAGGCCCTTGGCCAAGGCGCTCTTCACGAGAAAGACTATGAATCGAAAATGCATGTGGCTGAACTTGCTCCTTCTTTGCATGCGCAGTCCGACAACTGCGAGTACTTCCTACATGTCTATCCATCCGAAGAGCTGGAGGGCAGACTCATGTCAATGATTCCAGTTGTCCTAGCCGTTGCAGTTGGTCTTCTTTTCTTATCAGCATTTGCTGGATTCTACTTTTACGATCTTTTCGCATCTAAAAAGCAACGAGAAGCTGCAGAGAAGGCAGCTGCAAACAATGCTATTGTTGACTCTCTTTACCCGAAAGAGATTCGAAACCGTCTATTCAACAAGGACGAGGACAAGGCTATCGATACCAAGGGAAGCTTTGACGCGCCTGAACCCGCTGACGACGTTATCCAAGGAGCCCAAAAGTTCCGTCTCAAGAACTACCTACAAGAAGACCCGGGTATGCAGAATAAGACAGACGAAGAGATGGAAGATATTGGTGACTCCAAACCAATTGCTGATCTGTTCCCACATACGACAGTACTGTTTGCTGATATCGCTGGTTTCACGGCTTGGAGCTCTGTCCGTGAACCTTCTCAAGTCTTCACTCTGCTCGAAACAATTTATAAGGCCTTCGACACCATCGCTAAGAAGCGAAAGGTCTTCAAAGTTGAGACAGTCGGAGATTGTTATGTTGCAGTGACCGGTTTGGTAAGTTCTGATATGGATTTGATACTGACCTCGTTGAAACCCATCTAACATAATTTTGACTCCCTTGACACATTTACAGCCAGAGCCCAATAAGGATCACGCCGTTATCATGTGCGAATTTGCCCGAGACTGCCAAATTCAATTCAACGACCTTGTCAAGCATTTGGAAGTCCTCCTTGGTCCTGATACTGCCGAGTTGGGTATTCGGATGGGTCTCCACAGTGGTCCTGTAACCGCCGGAGTCTTGCGAGGTGCCAAGTCGCGTTTCCAGCTTTTTGGAGACACTGTCAACACTGCAGCAAGAATTGAAACTACAGGACGACGTGACAAGATTCACCTTTCCCAAGAAACTGCAGAACTTGTCATCCAAGCAGGCAAGAAAAAGTGGATGGAACGTCGAAATGATACGATTGTTGCCAAAGGAAAGGGTGAGATGCAAACGTACTGGTTGCTATCCGAAGCAGAGATGAAGTCTGGAGGTGGTGAATCGAAGACGGCGAAGGAAGCCGCCGCTCTTCCAGTTGTCCATGCCATGCAACCTCGACTTGCTAAACAATCAATGAATGTACTTGATCCCGAATCTTCCTTGCCACCAAAGATTAAGCGCCTTGTGGACTGGAACGTTGATGTACTCAAGCGGTTGCTCAAGCAAGTCGTTGCGAAACGCAATGCTATGAATGTGGAACAATTCGACATCAACCATCCAACCATGATGAAGGTCGAGATGAACATTGGCTGCGATACTTACGTTTTAGATGAAGTTGTTGAGATCATCCGTCTTCCTGGATACTCTCATTCCACCAATGTCCGAGAAGCCAAGAAAATCGAACTGCCAGAGCAGGCGGAAGAACAGCTGCGATTGTACGTCTCCTCCATTGCAGCAATGCACAGAGGAAATCACTTCCACAACTTCGAGCATGCAAGTCACGTTATGATGTCTGTTTCCAAGCTCTTATCACGTATTGTGGCACCGGATGAAATCCTCCAGGGTGACAGTACTGATGCGGGATTGGAAGCTCACTTGCACGATCACACCTACGGTATTACATCAGATCCTTTGACTCAGTTCTCAGTTGTTTTGGCTGCATTGATTCATGATGTCGATCACAGTGGCGTTTCAAACTTTCAATTGATCAAGGAGAAGGCCAAGATTGCATCTGTATTCAAGAACAAGAGTGTTGCCGAGCAGAACTCGATTGTGATTGCATGGGATCGTCTCATGGAATCCCGCTTCACTGCTCTTCGATCATGCATCTATTCCAGCCCTGACGAGCTCAAGCGATTCAGACAGCTTATGGTGAATACTGTTCTGGCTACTGATATATTTGACAAGGAACTCCAGAATATTCGCAAGAAGCGATGGGATGATGCCTTCGCCAACATTATTCACAACCAAAACGAAGAAGATGAACAAAATCGCAAGGCTACTATCGTCATTGAGCACTTGATCCAAGCGTCGGATGTGGCCCATACGATGCAGCATTGGCATATTTACCAAAAGTGGAACGAGCGCCTCTTTGCCGAGATGACCGTTGCCTATCAGAGCGGTAGAATGCCAAAGAATCCAAGTGAGAATTGGTACCAAGGGGAATTGGGATTCTTTGACAACTACATTATCCCGCTCGCAAAGAAACTGAAAGAATGCGGTGTCTTTGGGGTCTCAAGTGACGAGTACTTGAACTACGCCATGGAGAATCGTCGCGAGTGGGCTAACAAGGGGGAAGAAGTGATTCAAAAGATGATTGCTAAATACAGCAATCAGCAACCAGCGGGGGGAGAGTAGACTGCAACCAAGTGCCGCAGTTTTGGGGGGTTAATTTTATAATACATTATCCATTTTCGCTTGTCAAATACCAGTTTACTGTCATCTGTCTTCTTGGTAGGTGTTACATTTGGGGCAATGGCCTAAATACAGTCCCCGATACCGTAGTACTGTAGTAGAAATGCCAATAAGGGCATGCGATGCACGAAGGTACTTTTCTAGGCCGATTACTGACTTTTATCTCAGATGTGTGGTCGAATAGGTCGATGCTGTTCGACCGGCTCGACCGAAGTGAAAAATAATTCTCGACGTCATCATCATCGCACCTTCCGTTCATCGCATTACTGTATATTGTTTCAACTGTTTCAATATTACCGTATATTGCCTTGAAGAAGAATGAACTGCATGGACTTGCCTTATATTCTATTCTTCGTTCTCTTTTTGGGAACCTTACAAGCCACGAATGGATTCACAACCTCTGGAAGAATACCACATCTGCGGCTGCTTTCGAATTCAGGAGAGGTTGTTTCATCATCGAGCTGCTGCCTCTTTGTTGAAACTACTCTTTCTGAAGCCGAAGCTGACCTTTTGCCATCCATTCGTGAAGCCATTGAAGAAACTGGGGATGAACTTGCGATACCGTCGTGGATAGAAGCAATTGAACTTGTTTGTAGCAAGACCGGCCTACCAGAAGATTCAGCAGAGATTGCACTGGCCAAAGCAAATGGTTGGAGGGCCTGGGTCAAGGTGACAAGCAAGTTTGCCAAGAAATACATGAAGACATACATCCCAAAAAAGGATAAATTGGAAGCTGCGCTTGACTGGGCTATCACTGGCCCGCTCCAGTTCTCAGAAGAGCAGCTTGCTGCAGCAGTCGTTCGAACTCCTGAAGTCTACCTAATGGAACCAGAAAAGAATTTCGAAAAGGCCCGTTCTGTTGCACCGAAGGCTTTTCAGAATACCGAACAATTCACCGAGCTTGCAACTTCAGATCCAAGTGTTCTTTCGTTAACATTCAACTGTGTGGACTCGGGATGTAATTCGGAATGCGGGAACTGTTGGGTATCGTATGATAACAGGAAACGAATTAAACAGCCGGATATATTCGATTGAAAGGAGGCTTCCGTAGGTGAAAAACAACAACTGTAGGCAAATTGTGGAACCTCATACACACCTTAAGCATTAACTGACTCTAAAGAATATGAATGTAGATTACTATTATAGCAGTAAAAAATTGTACATGGTGTGGGGCGTATAGACCATCTATGCCCATATCCGAGAATCCACTTGCTGTTGCGGTTTAGTTCGAAGGACGATGTCATCCTTTGTCACTGTGTAAACTTCGCTATGACCCTTAATCATGTCATGCGACATGGCATTGTATACTTCAATCCACGACTCTTGGACTTCCGTCGTGAAAACATCTTCACCAAGATTGGAGCCAACCACAGAGACCAAGGCTTTTCCCATGGTAGGGAAGTATTCTGGCTTGACACCGTATCGAGCATGTTTGGCCCCAATATCCATAAGAATTTCCGACAACATTTCATCGGTCGGCCCTAGCATGTTCAATGCCTTGTCAATCATGGTGACGAATTGCATGGCATGGGCGACAAATCGCGGGCTGATGAGAACTTTGTAGTCAGTGACGTCCAAATCTTCATGAAATCCAAAGATGGGCTTGGCTTCAGGCTCCATTTTGAAGAATCTAATAGGAGAGTGAACGTGTCAGCTATCCAAAATCGGCGGCGTTTCCATTACAGCAGTACTAGTGTGCAAGGCCGCGGGAGAAACTTACTTGGCAAAGAGCCCTACTCCAATTTCCTTCTCCCACTCGGGAGTTCCTCGGATCGTTTCCCAAGTCTCAATGACATTGTTGATGGTCTTGAAGGACATTGTTGCTACCATGGTTATCTATTTTTTCGGAGAAATCAACGAATAAATGAATGAATGAATGAGCGAAATGTTATTTCTATTTTGTGAGACAAACGAATGTGCGTTTCAAAACCGAGTCGTGTCAGCTTGAAAGTGCATGAGCCACTCTTCTGACACGTATGACGTTTTTACTGAGTGCATGAGTGAGTCACTCCCCGAAGCAGCGTAATTTGTATTCTATAATATGGTACCTACTGTAAACGCATTCGGAATGTTCTTTGGAAGCGGAAGCTGCGGGTCCACTGACTGATAAAAGGGATCAATAAAAAAGTATGGTAGGTTCAGTATCAGTAGGATGCGGTAAGTGTGATATGGACAAAAAACTACAGAAGCTGAATTCTTATCGTCAGAACGCTAAACTCGCTGACTAAAATTGAAACGGACACGGAAGGATATTACATGGATAATGCTGCTGTAATTGCTGTTACGATGAGTTGTTTACCTCCATATCTGCTGACTGCTTATGAAGTCGGAATCATGAGAAAATAGAGAAAAAATATTTTTTAAAAGAACATATTCTTATTAATAGCTATTAGTTACAAAACAAATGAGGGATAAATGATCTATGTCCATATCGCAGAATCAACTTGCTGTTGTGGCTCAATTTCTGTGCTGATGTCGTTCTTTTTCACCGTGTAAACTTCGCCGAGACCCTTAATCATGTCATGCGACATGGCATTGTATACCTCAATCCATGACTCTTGCACTTCCATTGTGAAAACATCTTCACCAAGATTAGAACCCACCACAGAGACCAAGGCTTTTCCCATGGTAGGAAAATATTCTGGCTTGACACCGTATCGGGCATGTTTGGCTCCAATGTCCATAAGAATTTCCGACAACATTTCATCGGAAGGGCCCATCATGTTCAATGCCTTGTCAATCATAGTGACGAATTGCATGGCATGTGCGACGAATCGCGGACTAATCAGGACTTTGTAATCAGTAACGTCCAAATCCTCACGAAATCCAAAGATGGCCTTGGCTTCCGGTTCCATTTTGAAGAATCTAGAAGGGCGAAAACATCGGTGAGTAAAGAGGAGTCCTGCCTGGGTGTACCATTGCAATTGCAGCGAGGCAGAAACTTACTTGGCAAATAGACCAACCCCGATCTCCTTCTCCCATTCGGGCATTCTTCGAATCGTTTCCCAAGTCTCAATGACATTGTTGATAGTCTTGAAGGACATTGCTGCTACCATGGTATGTGTGTTGTGGAAAGAAAAATAACCTGGTCTGAATTGTATTTTGTGGGATTTGTGGTGGAAATTGTTACAAAGAATCTCTGTTATGGCAGTACAGTATTATACACACACGAAGACAAAATTCTACGTTCTGTGACTGTGACGTGTTTTTCATTTAAAAAAAAACCGCATCAAACTGAGGGACCTCGTCGACATTTGAATGGAACCAATCCAACCATGATTGGAAGGCGTCTGTCTCATTCTGATGACCGTTTATAGACAAGGCACGATAGGATGAAAAAAATGTTTGATCTCGGATGCCGTTGCTGCCTTTAAAAAAAATAGAACAACTGAAAAGCCAGCCACAACACCGTTCTGTTGATACTCCGGTAGCAGCTATTTCAATACTATATCATACATCAGTGAACCGTGTGGAATGTCGGAGCTTCTTTCTAGACCAAGGTTGCTTGTATTAGACACTATAATGGATTAATAATTAGTTGGTTGACCGGAATGGCGCTGGTGGACTACTCATAAAGTAGCAACTCGTTTAAAAGTCGTAGACCACTACGTAAAGAAGGACAAGTACTTTCAAAATCGAATGAAGATCCCTATTGTTACTTATGATACATGAGTTGGGGGTGAACAAGAGGTACCATAGATCATTTAGGCCCATACTCGAGAATCAACTTGGTGTTGTGGCTCAATTTGCCTGTTGGCGTCGTTCATTTTAACAGTGTAAACTTCGCTGTGACCTTTGATCATGTCATGAGACAGAGCATTGTACACTTCAATCCATGACTCTTGAACTTCCATTGTGAATACATCACCGAGATTGGAACTCAGTACAGAGACCAAGGCTTTTCCCATGGTAGGAAAGTACTCTGGTTTGACACCGTATCTTGCATGCTTAGCTCCAATGTCAATGAGAACTTCCGACAACATCTCATCTGATGGTCCGAGCATGTTCAAGGCCCTGTCGATCATTGTAACGAATTGCATGGCATGTGCGACAAATCGTGGACTAATAAGGACTTTGTAATCAGTGACATCCAAATCCTCGCGGAATCCAAAGATTGTTTTGGCTTCAGGCTCCATTTTGAAGAATCTAGAAGGTTGAAGCTATCAGTTAGTCATGGAGGTTCATAGCCGGTGATACAATTCCAGTGTGCAAGGGATAAACTTACTTGGCAAAGAGTCCAACGCCGACTTCTTTCTCCCACTCGGGCATTCTTCGGATCGTTTCCCAAGTCTCAATGACATTGTTGATGGTGGAAAAGGACATTGTTGCTACCATGATATCTGTTTGAAGAATGAATGAAAACTGTTCGATTTTGATTTTGTGAGACTCTTGCGAGTGCTTTCTGATGTGAGAATATGGCGATAAGGCATTCAGTATGTGACGTGTTTTTCACAAAAGTTTTTCCAACCGCCTTCTTCTGCTCAGAATTTCAGTGATTAGAGAAAAGACAAAGGCGTCTGTCTCACGTAGAAACTATATTGTAAAAGATTTGGTTCACTTATCAATCACAAAACATCTCGGAAAAACCTTGCATCCACATTGGATCCTTTGGCCCGGGTCACCTAACTTCGGACACTTTCCGCTCGCACGCCGTTTGTAACCAAGATTGCCACCTCCTGATTTGACTCAATGATTCGCTAATATGGTCCTTTGATATTTTTGTTGACAGGACCAGGCAGGGGATACCGAACGTATTCAAAAATCACAATTAAAGTTGCGCTAGTCTTTCAGCCGTTTTCGAATATTCTGATATACAATAGTCCTCGCTGACGTCAATTGCAATTAAGCTGCTTTTCTACGAATAGCGAACCCATCATCGAACTGACATTGGCAGACAGTCCTTTTTTTCCAAGTCCTCAGTGGTCCTACGGGCTATGGTACTACACCGCTCCACAGGGCTCTTGGAACAAGATCCACAAGGCTCGTGTGGAACAAGATCAAGGTCATTCAGAGATTCATTCATTCTCTTGATCGGACAGCACGTAAGATGCGATCAGACACAGATCTATTTACCCCGGTGTTTTTCATTCTTGTTTGTATTGTCTGGTTGTCCATCTTCTCTGCTGGTATTCTTACGCTTTTGTTCCCGCCCACCACAAGTTTTATGAGTCGTGTCTGTCTCCATAACTTCGAATCTCCCAACTTCAAACAAAAAGGAGGACTGCGTTCAAATTCCACCATACCTATACCGCCTACAGTACAGTACCGCCCATACTGAATACAGTATGTGCAATCCGCACGGAAATCAATCGATGAAAGCAATAACGTTCTGAAACAAAGAAAGCATCTCCCGGGATTGGGCCCGTCTCTACGGCAATGCCTGTATTGTATCACACCTAGCAAACAACAATCAGCGACGAGCAACTCTTTGCTGCAAAAGGAAACCTTCAAACTGTCTCACAATCTTTCATAATCGAAGGAGTGCGTTTCGCCTCGATCCTTTGAGCTTGTCTTCTTCTCTCAGGAAATCAATCGATCAACCTTTTCGTTGCTAACCATGGCTCCTCGACCTGACACTTTCCAAGCCACTACTACTGACGGGGCCGTTCCTATGAGAATGGGAATGATTGACTTGGAATTCCCATCCCCTAGTACTTCGGTTCTCACCTCATCACCTTTGCAACAAGTGGTGGTTCTGGTGGACCCAATGTCGACTGGTGTCATCCTTCAAGATAAGGTTTTTGAATCTGGCATCTACAGTGTCGTCATTGTCTGGAGCGACAGATCTCAGCCTGCTGCTCGTGAGAAACATTTCAAGAACTCTGGACGTCCGCGGGAAGACTTTTTGGGCGTCATCACCCACGAAGATGGAGCGCTGGAGGATACTCTTCTTGCTATCTTGGCGGCTACCACCAATATGACGGTTGCAGCTGTAATGTGCGGCAGCGAGTTTGGTGTCCTGTTGGAAGATCAAATCGCCGACGGTCTCAACCTAAAGTTGGGTACTACTCACCTTCGAGGAAGTGGAATTCCCATTCTCAACACCAAAGTTGACAAGCATTTGCAAGCCAACACCATTCGCGAAAGCGGTCTCGATGCTGTCCGAGAAAAGCTTGCACTCTGCGAAGCTGATGTCAAAGCCTTTCTAGACGAGAATCACGAACCCGGAACTTCCTTTGTGGTCAAGCCACAAACAGGTGCTGGATCTGTTGGGGTCACCTTTTGCGACTCGCCAAAGGCTGTCTGGGAAGCCTACTACAAGATTCTTGTGGGAGAACATAAGGCCCATTGCCGAAACAAGTACCGCCACTACGACCAAGCCGGTGTCCTTCTCCAAGAGTATTTGAAGGGAACAGAATACATTGTCAACTCTGTTGTTTGCGACGGTAGAATCAAGACCACCGCCATGTGGAAGTACGACAAGCGTCCATACAATGGCGCCGCCTTTGTTTGTTTCAGCAAGGAGCTCCAAGTCATTTCGGATCCCAATTGTGAGGAGATCCTAGAGTACACCGAAAAGGTTCTCAAGGCTGTCGGGTTCCAAAGTGGAGCCATCCATGCCGAAGTCATGTACACTGCACGAGGACCTGTTTTGGTCGAGCTCAATTGCCGTCTGCATGGTGGCAATGGAGCCTGGGTGCGACCGGCGGAAATCTGCATGGGCTACGACCAATTGTCCATGTTGATGGACGTCTACCTCAATGGAGGCAAGCTTTTTGATTGCATTCCGTCTCGACCAATGACAGCCAATAGCTACTGTCAACAAGTCAAGATGCGCTCTCACATTGAGGGAGTCTTGGCGAGTGTGATTCCGTCCCAGTGGAAAAGAATCGAGGCATTGCCATCGTACTACAGCCACCTATTTGGAGTTTCCAAAGGTGATAATCTCTTGAAAACAGTGGATATGCCCTCCGTTCCAGGAGAAGTGACACTTGTCCACACTGACAAGGATCAACTTGCCGCTGACTATGAGAAGCTGAACGAAATCTTGGCAGAGGGCATCTTTCAAGTGGAAGAAGCGTCCTAAGGGATATCTCTCACTACATCATCATGATGATTGAAGCAATATATGGACTGTAAATTACTGACTGCCAACTATGTATATAAAAGTATAAAAATATTACAAATCAAAACAGTAGTACTGAAACCTGGACTTGGACTACTATTGTTGATCGATATAACCTTATAGTTCGTGCTCGAAATCATAACAAGGATGATAGTACCAGTCAGTTACTACCGGGTCCGTGCCTATATGGTTCAGGAACCAGATGCTTGCTATACAGAACGCACACGTCCAGACTGACTGAAGATTTTGACAGTCGTGGAAACGCCCGTCCGCTCAAATAAAGTCTTTAAAAAATACATTTATCTTCGAACAAAACATATTCAAAAAATGCCCCAAACTACGGTAAATGTTTGAAAGAAATTGGGACATCCGGCCCTACCTGCCTGCCTACCATCTACCATTATTGTAATGACTTGATGGAACCAGGCAGAACATTCTTTACCAACTTCCCACCCAATCGCTGGAAAATAGCACGGATAGAGAAGAAGCACGAGTGACGTTATTGTGCAAAGGTCGAAGGTCATTCACAATAATTATTGACATTTTGCTTCATTTTGACACGAGACTATTCATTCAAACAACAACAGCACCAACAGAACAAAATGGTTTCCGACATGTCATATTCTACCGTCTCCAATGTGATTGACACATGGGAAAGGATCAGAAGAATCAAGGACTTTGAGTCTGTGGTTGGAACGAAGCTCTTTCAAAAGTACGACCTGTTATCTTTTGAGAATGACTTTAGGACAAAGAATGCTAATTTCTAACCAATCTTTCTTCTTCCTTTGCACTGCTAAAGGTTCTTTGCACTAGAGCCAGAAGCTCAGCGTATCTTTGGCTTTCCAGATGACATGGACCCAACGTCGGATGAAGTCCTCACGAATAAACGCTTTGTCAAGCATGCCAAGTACTTTGTCCAAATGATCGATCGTGCCCTTTCTCTTCTCGGTCCAGAGGTGGAAATGCTGACTGAAATCTTACTTGAATTAGGAGAAAAGCACTCAAGATATGGTGTCAAACCAGAATTCTTTCCAAGTATGGGCCGGGCCTTGATGGAAGCAATCTCGTGTAATCTTGGCGAAGGAGAGTTTGCTGAGGTCAAGACTGATTGGATTGAGGTTTACGGTGCGCTTTCCTATGATATGATTCGAGGAAGTCGCATGGCCACCAATAAGGAGTAAAGTCTGTTGTACATATATCATGGATGACCACTCACGATTTCAATTTTGCAAGACCACACACGACTACATTTTGAACCATCTTTTGAAAATATTGTTTGTATCCAACCAGCAGTCGTCAGGAGCCACAACCCGCTCGTGGACCCCAAAACTTAATAAAGCGGACGCGATTATATATCATTTTATTTCTTGAGTAGTTGTTTTGCCCACTTGTGACAGGCAACGTGTCCTGGTAGTTCCCGCCAATTGGGTGAACTCTTGATGCATTTCAGAATATCGTTTCCATGTGGATCTTTCGTTCGAATGCTGTGATTGCATTCTTCCACGTAAAACTTGCAAGCTTCAAGTTGTCCATTGGTTGCGGCCACAAAGAGTGGTGGCTGATTCGACCATAGTATGGCGTCAGTGTTGGCCGGGTTGGCACCTTTACTAACAAGATACCTCATAATTTCGATTCTCCCAGTATATCCAGCCCAACCAATGGGACAGCCATGTTCTAACAAAGCCTTGGTACGTTCATCGGTACACAGCCATTTGACGATTTCCAGATTTCCTTTCTTCGAAGCCCACTCCAAGGCGGTGAACCCAAGTTGCGGAACCCGTAGTTCCCCAATCATACCTTGACAACATCGAATGGCCTCGGAACAGCATTGTTTGGCTGTCTCCAAATGTGGCAAGGGCCCGCAACAAACCAGAAAACGCTGAGTGGGGTGCAAATCCGAGAAACTCTCAAATTGTTGGGTGTTTCTCATCATCGCCTCTCCGCTGGTCGCAATTCCGCTCATAGCCCGAGCTTCGTCAAATGTTGAATTCCCAGATGACTCTGGATTCTCCAACAGAGTAATGCTGCTTTGCCCATCAGGATTCCAAAAGATGCTCAGCATGCCTGTGCCACTGGCTTCCGAAATCATACTATAGGGGGGTGGAAGCGATTCGTCACCGGTGTAGAGCCCACCAACAATAGATCCGACTGGTCCGCCTGACGTCATTTTGTCCATTTGCTTTTGAAACTGCACAAAGACACGGGAGCAATTTCCACGGTGTTGCTTCCAGTGCTCTTTCTGGCATTTGGTATTGCAATACGAGACTCCCTCACTTAATAACAAAGGAGAAAGCAACAGTTTCGGGTGAGTGCATGCCGTAATGAATCATTGTAACCAGTGTAATCATCATCATCATCCTTATAAAGAAACGATCCTGCTGCATCGTCTTACCATCTTGCACATGTCATTAGCTTCTTCTTGCTTTTCTTCCCACAATTGTTGCACACCTTCTCTGGGTCTCCAATTCGAAACTTGGAGTCCCGTCCAAATCCCGCCGATTTCATGGCCTTATCAAAGAGTCTGGCAATTTTCTCTGTATCGGTATACTCTACGCCTTCTTGCCGTGCCATTTCATGAAATTTGCTGACGCCCATAATATAATTATCCAGTTCGGTTCCAATGTAATAGTCGAGCGTATGGATCTTGACTTCTCCAGAAAAACCTTCGTCTGGAATGTTGTCTACCATAGAATGTTGGATCGCTTCAATAGCACCAATGGCATAATCCGTAGCAATTCGCAAATGAACATCTTGGCTAGCTTTAATTCCCCAATTCTCCTCGGGGCCCTTCAAAGTGGCTGGCTCGAACCCAAAGGCCGACATGCATTGGGAAAAGTATTCCTTACTCTTGGTCTTGCCAGGCTCAAGTGCTTTCCATTCGTCAATAAGATTTTGATCCAAATTTAGTTCCTGCAAGGTTTCAACAAATGGTTGCAACCACAAGACGGCTGACCAAAATGCTTGCGGGTCTACTTGCGAAAGAACGGCTGGAAAGATGCGGTCCAGTTCTCCTAGAGCGGCCGCATGTTTCGCATACATGGTGGCTTCTTCCATTCCATAATCCAAATATATTTCATGATTAATGATCCACTGCTTGCGTCCTGTAGTAACAGTAGTAGTAGAAGTAGTAGTAGACATGTCGAGGTACCGGATCTCATGAGCATCCAAATACTGTTTGAGCGCACAGGGATAAATCTGATACGAGCCAACCTTGACGGCTTGCAATCGTTGAGGACCGAGACGTTCAGATTTGGCTTCAAAGGTGTCTTCGTGGACTCTATGGGGATCGTATTTTATCAATACGTCCTTTTTGGTTAATTTCTTCTTGATGTTTTGAAACTGACTGTTCAGAGGATCCGCCAATTTGACAGTATCATCTCCACAGGCGGCTCGATTCAGGGCTCGTACCATGTTAAGATCCGTTAGCTTGATGAGAATGGGAGCTCTTGCCTTTTGCTGATGATGCTTGACAAACTTATCCATGGCCGCAATACATCCCCTGGATCGTGCGGCACCGCCTTCGATGATGGTCATTTCAGCAACTTGATTTTGGTGTACCAGAGTTCCTCGGAAATTAGTATCATTTAATGTCCCTCGTCCAACACCGACGCTATATTCAGTTTGTTCCTGGAAGAATTCGATATTCTCTGTTTTGATGGACATGGGACCTGGGAAACCATCCACTGAGACGGGATGTCGAATGTCATTTCCCGTCTTGATTGTTTTGGAAGTCATTGCTTTTGCAGCGGCTCCATTTCGTTTTTTACCTACTTCACTCGTCAGCCCAACGATCCGACAAATAGGGGATTGCGTGCGATTGGCATCTTGCATGGACATGTCGTTATTTTGTGTATGGCTACAGTCAAGGTCAATATAGACGAGGTCATTATTTAAAATGAAGATGGCGTATGTGGGGTGGATTTTCAAATTTCAAAGACTATACCTGTGGAGGATATGAGTCGCAGTAGTCATGTGTTTATTGCAGGAATCTGGAATCTTTCCCATTTTCGAATTGATCGTAGTCACTCGGAAGACATTAACATTCCTGCGCGACATTCGCTCTTCAGATTTTCCAAGGGAGCTTCGTCCAGTTCTCCCTTCCGTCCATTGCATTGGCAGAAGTTTGAAGTTCTGGTTGGACATTCGTTGCGCCACCTCGATTTCTGACATAATTATAGCAGCGTCATGCCACCCGAGCCGGAGACAGCATTCCTTTGGGCCTAAAAATATAAGTAAATAGATCTCTTGTTGCTCCTTTTGTAGCCCTTGGCGTTGCAGAAATAGCGTGGGTCACCGCCACTGCAAAATACAGTATATTCCGGTTCCTCTCCTCCTGAGAGAATTATTAATGTCATCATCATCATCATCATCATCAACATTATCTTCTCATCAGTCAATTAAAGCTTCATCCAATAGAACCCAAGGCATGACGTTAGAAACAATAGACTCAGTAGAGTTCGAAGAGAGCACACGGTCAATCGGTATGAATAGTGCCGATGTCGACAACAAAAGTGGAAGTGGGGGAGGATTTTCACAGGAAAAAGATGCATCGACTCAACAAAGTAATTCTGTCTTGACAAAGAAGGAACGAAATATGGTCATGATGTCCAGGATCATTGTTTTGTCGGTCTTGATGATAGTGGGAGTCACTGCTTGCGTGCTGACTTGGATTCAGACGACGAAATGGGAAACACAAGACTTTGAGTCTCAGGTGAGTAATTAACAAGTGATGGTGATGGTGATCATCTGGCTGGCCTCTTGCTTTATTCTGCCGTGCCGTGCCGTGCCGTGCTGTGACATTTGGCTTTGCTTTATTTATATTTCCTGATATTGTCTCTAACATTTTATTTCTGATTGCAACCTCTATGTCACCAACTACGTATCTGTAAACTTTTCTAGTTCGAGAGCATGGCCAACGAATTGAATGATACCACCAAACTGATTGCCGAAAATGGATTGTACGCATCACTGGCCTTCAGCACAGCCATTACAACCTTTGTCACATTGACACAACAGACGTGGCCTAATACTACCATTGGTAGCTTTGAGGCACAATGCGTCGGCTATCGAGGAGCCACCGGTGCAGAGAGTGTCTTTTTGGCACCCTTTGTGAGTGATGTCGAAGCATGGAATCAATACTCGACCGACAATCAAGGGTGGGTCCAAGAGTCCCACCTTGCCGCGGGAGATACTCGCATTGTGGACCCAATTGCACCGCAACTATTTCGCCGACAAGATGGCGCCAACATTCCAGAAACGAATCCGGATGGATCCCAACAGTTCTTACCCATATGGCAAGCGTGTCCGGCACCAGCGGATCCTAGGGTGGTGAATTTCAACCTCTTGTCCGTCCCTCAAATTAGTGCAGCCGTTTCTGTCATGCTCAAAACCAAAGGACCAGTACTCACAGCTGTTGTGGATCTCAGTCAAGAATTGGGAATAGAAGAAGAAGAAGAAGAGGAAAGCCCCATGAGTATCCTTTTGTTTCCCGTGTTTGCCCAAAACAATATCGTGGGAGCTACGGTTGCCTTTATGTCATGGGTGGAACTCTTTTCGAATTCGTTGCACGAAGGTTCTGATGTCATTCTAATGGTCCTTCGCAACAGCTGTGGAGAAGTTCATAGCTTTTCGATTGGTGGAACTGTCACAACTTATATGGGTCCCGGGGATTCCTATATTGAACCCGACTATGCCGAATTTGAACGGGTAGTTCTTTTTGGCTCGACGCAAATCAATGAGAGGAGTTGTATTGTCACGCTGCATCTCTTTCCTACAGAGGAAATGGCTGCCAATTACGAAACGGATCGGCCAGATGTGTACACGGGAGTTGTGGCTGGAGTCTTTTTGTTTGCAGCCATCGTGTTCATTGCATACGACTGCTTGTTGGATGTAAGACTCAAGAAACTGAGCAAAGCTGCCACCAAGTCGGCAACACTGGTGGCAACGTTGTTTCCAGAGGGAGTCCGAAATCGATTGTTGGACGAAGGCGGAAGCAAAAAGGACATCAATAGCAGAGGACAGCTCAAGCAGTACCTCAATGCCGATGGGACAACGCGCCAGTCCATGGGAGCTGCAAATCCTAATGATATACATTCCAAGCCAATCGCGGATTTGTTTCCAAATACGACGGTATTATTTGCGGATATCGCAGGATTTACCGCTTGGAGTTCGGTACGGGAACCCTCGCAAGTATTCATTCTCCTCGAAAGTGTCTATTCAGCCTTTGACAAGTCCGCAAAGCATCGTGGTGTGTTCAAGGTGGAAACTATTGGTGATTGTTACATGGCTGTTACCGGGTTGGTAAGTTCTGACATGGAGATTTGGTTGGGTTTGGTTGGATTTGGTTGATTTGGATGCTTTTAAAAACTCATCAAAGACGATTGATTCTCACCGACTTGATTCATTTGTTGTGCAGCCCGAGCCAAGAGATGATCACGCAGTGGCCATGGGAAGATTTGCAAGAGATTGTATGATCAAGATGAATGATTTGACGAAGAAGTTGGAACTGACGCTTGGTCCAGACACTGCGGACTTGGCCATGCGTTTCGGAATGCACAGTGGACCAGTCACGGCGGGTGTATTGCGAGGAGACAAGTCACGTTTCCAGCTGTTTGGAGATACGGTCAACACGGCTTCGAGAATTGAGTCTACAGGCATCAGGAATCGAATTCATATTTCGCTCGAGACGCACAATCAGCTTTTATCCTTTGGCAAGGCAAATTGGGTTATTCCGAGGGAGGATGTGGTCGTCGCAAAAGGAAAGGGGCAAATGAAAACTTTCTGGCTGATACCGTCTGGTTTCAAACCCGAACAATATAAGGAAAAAATTTCCAGCCTGTCTTTTACGTCCAAAGCCATGTCCGAGGTAGTACAAGAGGGTAGTTCGAAGATTCCTGCCTTGGCAGAAGAAGATGCGAGACTATTGCGTCTGGTTGACTGGGTGGTGGATGTTATGAAGAGGCTATTGATGCAAATAGAAGCCAAACGAAAACTCGAAAAGCAAGGACTTCCCCGAGAAGACAACATGATCCAACATGCCGAGTCAATGATCCTGACCCAGGAATCCAACACACTGGACGAAGTCCAAGAGATTGTAATGTTGCCGATGGTTAGCTCTGTTCCTCAATCAGAAATTAAAAAAGTCGCTATTCGATTATCTGACGAAGTTGTCGAACAACTTAACCTATACGTCAAGACGATTGCGACCATGTATCGGCAGAATCACTTTCATAATTTCGAACACGCAGCTCACGTGACAATGTCAGTCTCTAAGCTTATGTCACGAATCGTGGCTCCCGGCATTGATTTCTCGTCAGGAACTACTTCTTTGCACGATCACACATTCGGTATTACTTCCGACCCATTGACCCAGTTTGCAGTTGTTTTCGCTGGCCTCATTCATGATGTTGATCATGTTGGTGTTCCAAACTTTATTCTTCAGGAGGAAAACAAGCGCCTCGGTAAAGCTTACAAGAACAAGAGCGTTGCGGAACAAAATTCAGTAGACCTGGCTTGGGCGCTCTTGATGGAGCCGAAATTCCTCGAACTGCGCAAGTGCATTTACCACGACACCTCGGAACTCAGTCGTTTCCGTCAGTTGGTAGTGAACACTATCCTCGCAACTGACATTTTCGATAAGGAACTTCAGGAACTCCGAAAGGTGCGCTGGGACAAGGCATTTTCAAGACAGAGCAAACGCCGCACATCCGGCTATGAAAATACTGTCAATCGAAAGGCCACCATTGTTATTGAGCATTTGATTCAAGCGTCTGACGTTGCACATACGATGCAGCATTGGCACATTTACCAAAAATGGAACGAACGACTGTTCGAAGAAATGTACCTTGCGTTCAAGTCGGGAAGGACATCGAAGAACCCAGCTCTCAACTGGTATGAAGGGGAGTTGGGGTTTTACGATCATTACATCATTCCTTTGGCCAAGAAATTGAAGGATTGCGGAGTTTTCGGGGTCTCAAGTGATGAATACTTGAATTATGCGGAGGAAAACCGAAGCGAGTGGGCTTCAAAGGGAAGGAAGGTTGTTGCAATGCTGGTCGCCAAATATGCAGATGTGGATGGGGAAGAACAAACTCTCGTCGGCAGGAGGCCTTCGTCAATGAAGACCGTTAGCAACAATGAACTCATCAAAGACCTCGGTGACAGCGATCATACAGCCCGTCGACCTGAATCGTTCAATGAACATGGCATGAATGGGAGAAGGGCTTCATTCCTTCGTCGAAATTCTGCAAGATGATGAAGCTGAGGGGAGACTGGATATTTTTCCTTATTGTCAAATTTATAGATAGATTGTATTGTACTTCATGCACCAATTTCAGTTTTCACTGTCGTATACAGATCATTCAGTTGCCAATCTCTAAAAGTCCCTTCAAATCTCCAAGCAAGGCCTGGCGTTTCTCGTTTCCGGTGAGCTTTTGCATAGCACCCTTTGCTCGAAGGCTTTTAGTTTGCTGCAAAGACACAATGCGCTCCTCAATACTCTCCTTCATGATGAACTTGGTGACTTGCACTGGGCGAGTTTGATCAATGCGATGAATGCGATCCATTGCTTGGGACTCGATCGCCTCGTTCCACCAGCAATCCATCAAGAACGCATGATTTCCGCGACTAAGATTGATACCAACTCCACTGGCCAAAAGCGAGCACAGGATGAACCGAGGCCCGCCATCCTGAGTGAATTGAGAAATGCGCTCAATCCGCTTTGAGGAAGGAACCGAACCATCGATTCGAACAAATTCATGTCCTGCGTCTTTCATGGCGGATCCAATGATATCGAGGTAGGATGTGAATTGCGAGAAGATCACAGCCTTTTCGTCTGGCTTAACGGTGGATCCAATAGTTTGAAGTAATGCTCGAATCTTGGGTGGCGTTCCAAACTCCTCGCCTTCATCCAAAGTTTCCACGGCTGCTTTGTTTGCTGCAGCTTTCGCGGTTACCATGCTGACGATATCTTCCGAACGGAATTTTTGTCGACAGTAGGGGCACTTTTGATTGCTTCGTTCCAATACTTGTTTGATACAATTGTTACAAAAGACGTGACCACAGCCCTTGAGAATAGTTCCTTCGGTTTGATCAAACTCTTCCAAACAAATGCCGCACTCTGGCAGTGCCTGGGTGAATTCACCCTTGAGTTTCTCGAGTAGCTTCAAACCCTCTTCCGGAGACAACTCTTGTTCCCTTGACTTGGATGAGACCTGTTTCCAGATTTGCAAAGCTGCTTCGCGACGTTCCTTGGTCAAGAGAAGTCCTGAACAACAGGCCTGTCGCAGACGAAGTAGCTTTTCAAAAATGTTGTAATAGTTGCCGAGAGCATTGTTGTTATCCTTCAGAATTGCGGTCATGGCCACTCTCAAGGTTCCATACAAAGCGTCGTAGACTTGCTTGTGTATATCATTTCCAAACTCGACAGTGGCCAAGTTGACAGTTTTGTCCACCATTGTTAGGCCGGGAATGTTTTGCTTCGAGCGACGGAGCGAGACGAACCCCATGATTGTGCGCAAACGAGTCAAACCAATCTCCTGTCCATTTTGCAGGGGTTTGGAAATGGCCCGTTGAAAGATTTCGCTTTGATTCAATGGTTCGACTTGAAGGAAGGATAAGAGACTGTAAATATCCTGTGACCGATTCACAAAGGGAGTACCAGTAATGGCGAGTCGACGGGCCGCTTGAATTTCGGATACCGCCTTGAAGGGTCTGGCCTTGGGATTCCGAATGGTATGCTGAAGGGTACAATAGCCAAAGGTCAGAATGATATTGTTAGCGGCATTCAAAACGTTGCTTCGCAATTGCAAGATGGTATACATACCGCTTCGTCCAAAATGATGCGATGGAAGGAAATGTCAAAAATCGATTGGGTCTTGGCCTTTTTGCGGACTGGTTCTTCTCCAGCACTACCACTAGTAACAGTACTGCTACTACTATTGGTAAAGGCTTTGGCATAATCGGCCGCCAGGGTATGATAGGACACTAGTAAAATGTCCACTTGGTCGTCCAGAACTTTTCTTAGAATCTTTTGTCGACTGTTGCCATGATACAACTTTAGGCTCAATACTCCTTCTTGGACATGATCTTGGACTTGATGGGTCCAATTGGCCATGACGGTCACGGGGCAAACAATCAAGGTGCACTTGTTGGTGTTGCCGTTATTCTTGCTAGTATGATTGGCTTGTGGTGTAGGAACAAGAGGTGCTGATTTTGGTGGCTGTTGGAACATGGACTCGGGAAAATGTTCCCTGGTAATGGCGTTGGAAGTCAAACCTTGCGCAATACGTTCGACAAGAGCCTTCTTGTTCCCCGAAGTCTTGAGCTTGGCCGCTTTGAGTATTTGTTTCAAGGTAACATTGTTGGTGGATTGAATCATGGACAAGGAAGGATTGTGACTATTATTTTCGGCGGTAGACTGCTGCTCCGGCACAATACTACTGGGTGGCTGGATAGCGATAGCATTGTAGTTCACTCCCGCCTTTGGTTCCAGCAAGATCAAGCCCAAGGCTTGTAGCGACTTGCCCAAACCCATTTCATCGCACAAGAGACTACCTTTGATGGGAGACGGTGGATTGGCTTGGGACGATTGGGTAATCTCGCAGAGGTGCATCGTCTTGCCCTGCTCTTTGACTTTGCGAAAGAAGGGTGCTGGGGGTGGATTCCGTTCCTTCTGCACCAAGAATCGAATCCCTTGTATTTGATAATCAAATAGTTTCAGTTTGGACTTGAAAGCGGAAGGCATTTCCAAATTGGGCAGATCTTTCAACTGCGACTCCAATTGCTTTTCAAAAATGTCATCCTTGGTCATTGGAGTGAAGTTTGGCGTTGTTGGTCAGAATAAAATAGTTAGTACGACATCACAATCGATCCTACAGTCACAACAAGACAATCAAGCTTACCAATTGCTTTTGTTGTTGATTCCAATCCAGAGCCTGTGTTTGAATGACAGCTTCTGGTGTTACGGTAGCAGGGGTGACAACAGCAGCAACCGAACCTCCCACGTTTGGTTCCATTCGAAACTGACTGCAACTGTGTTTCAACTTGTGTTTCAAGTCTTTGGCCAACGCCATGGTTTGCGCTGGCTCTGACAAAGTCGAATTGAATTCTAAAGAAACGGGTAGATTCCAGGCAGTGCCCGGACAAGGAATGGTTCCTTCAATCTTGAGGCCTTCGCCATACTGGTCCATCAAGGGTGCCAATTTACAGCATTGGGTTCCTTTGATATGGCCAATTTTTTGGTGGTGCACATTGTCCACTCGAATGGCATTGCGATCATAGGGATTAGAGGGTTCTCTTACCAGATATACATATTCTCCAGGGTGAGCAACGCCTTGATAATAGCGAATCCCAACAATCAAATAATCTCCCTTGGCCAGCAAGACTTGATTTTGGAAATAGGGAGCGTCTTCTCCTTGCTGTTGTGTTGCAAAGGAATCGTCCTGACTACTGTCGTCATTGGCGCTCTCGACCATTTGCATATTGGGAGTTGTTGGGGCCATAGAAAATGGCAGTCGTGGTGGTCTAGTGATTTGAATTTCAAATTGCTTTTGTAGTGTTGTGTGCGGTTTTGCTTCAAAACTCCAATGTTCTATGTATAAATACCGCGCCAATATTTTTTGGTTTTGCGGTACCTACACGTACCTATTATTGGGGAGGGGATTTCTCTTTTCATTTGTTGGAATGTTTGGTCCGCCCTTCGTATATATTATTACACGTCACCAGAAGTGTTTGTAGCTAATGTAATTCCTGGCCGTGGCCATCTTCAACCAAGCATAGCCGGTTGATTCTTATTTAAAATCATTGGACCACCTCTGTCGTCATTTTTCTACGAACGATTCCGTGCTTTCGACACTTAACGATCTTCAAGTTTCTTCTTTTTCTCTTAAGTATTGCAATCTGTCATGTGTGTTTTCTTTAAACTTGCTATTCGATTGAGCTGCCAGCACTTCAATATCAACTTTATCGGTGATGCAGTGCCGCAAAATATTAGTTCAGCTGAAACTTTCATCAAAAGCATTCATCATCATCAGCTATACTGTATACTTTGTTTCATCGCCGTCACTGCGATACTACTATCACTATTCTCTATAGCCTTCTCAGGCATTGATACTAAATGCGAACGCACAACTAAAACGTGCACCTCTTGAGATTATATACACGCATATCATTCAATCACAGCACAAGAAGGGGAGTCAACAAATACGATACAAATACAATAAAACAGCATGCATCAAATGCAAGAGGAGCACGGTGAGAGTCCCTCGTTGGCTTCTTTGACGAGCCTTTCCCAGTTGAGCCATGAGGACTATTTGGACGAAGTGAAACTGGTGGATCATCACTTTCGATTGAATGCCTACTTTGTCACTGCCGCATGGCTTTTGCTTATTCTGTGGTCCTACTGGATAACGCCACCGGAACAACTGGAAACATTGGATGGACCCGAATTTTATTCCGCGCTCTTTGCAACATTATTCATGTTTCTCAGCATGATGGGACGATTCTCGGCCTTGTTTTGGTTGGAGGCCAGGGGCGACACGCGCAATTTCAGCGGTGTCTTGGTGGCGAGTCTGATGACCCAAATTATCGCCTTTTTGAATAATGCATTAATGTGCTGTGGAATTCCCGTGCCGGTTCATATCGACCCGGTCTTTGGAACGAGGATTTTCCTCTTGCGATGGTGCGCCTGGGCTCCGTTGGGATATTACATGACCTTTTTGGTGGCGGGCATTGATCCGGGCGCCAAATTGAAGAATGCGTACCTTTTGGGACTCACTCAAGGACTGTCCACCCTGACTGGCTTCGTCTTTCCCATGTGCAAACACACTTGGCAGTGGATCATGGTCATGATCTTTGCCGTGGTATTGTTTGGTTGCATGTTCCCGGCCTTGTATGTGCAAAAATCTAGATTTGCCAGAATGAGAAAGGGAAGTAGTGCCCACAGTGTAGAACTATTCGATAGGAGTCGATTGGCATATCAACTAATGCTCACGTGTACGGTGGCATGGTCCTCCTTGGTGTGGATGTACTTTGTGGCGGGAGCTTCGATGTTTTTAACACCCAAGGATGCAAGCATTGCCGACCTTTGGGTCAATCAAAGGCCCTACTTTCCCATGATATGGGAGTGTTCCATGGATGTGATCCTCAAAAACTTGTACCTAAATATTATTGTGCAAGTACACAAGGTTGCTTTCGATGACGGAGAACGTGCCGACCGTCGGTTGATTGAATTGAGAAGACTCATGAGTGCAGTCTGGGAACGATCCAGCGACGTAATTTGCGTTTCGGTCCAAGGGATTGGAGGGACCATTACGACCATGGTCAGTCCTGTCTATCTGGAACTTTATCATGGTCGGACGGAAAGCAATGCCATTTTGTTCGAAATTGGAAAGGAGGATGTGGAAAGTCGATCGTATTCCAATATACAACCACGGTCCGTCCGCGAAATTGACTTTCATTCCCTGCCAGCGCCGGGATCCCACGTATTTACAGATTTTGGACAAGACATGGACATTGGGACTTTGAATTCTACCTTGGATGATAGTCTATTAACTTCGTTGGCCGGTATGATTGCTCGCGGTTGGAGCTTGATTGGAGATCAAAAGAGTCTGACCCATCGATTGCTCAAAGTTCGTGACGGAGCGAAAAAGTTCACTTCGTGCGAGGCCAACATTTGTCGATTGGAAAACAATGCCATGCTCATGGTGATTCGTGATATTTCCGAACGGGCCAAACGATTTGAAGCAGAAAAGAAGATGATTTTGGAAGCGACGGCCCGGAAAAAGGATGCGGAAGCAAACCGTTTCACTAGGCACGAAGTCAAGAATGGTCTTTTGGCGGCCATTCATCTTTGTGATAGTCTCAAGGATACAAGCTTTAATGGCGACGATGAAAGTAGTAAAGATTCGAGCACGGCTTCTGATAGCGGACAGTCTGGTGTTGCCAGAGCACCGGCCCGAAAAAAGACAATAGCAGAACCAAAGGCAGAAGTATCCGTGTACACTCGCGAACTGGACAAAACGTTGCGGACTATTTTGGACACGATTCTTTCCGAGGCCATGGCGAGAGATGTGATTCATGGAAACTATGAACCCAAGATGGAACGGGTGGAACTTAAGCGGTTATTGAATGCTGGGGAAATGAGATCGGATCGTTTCAAATTGAATACTACGCCATCGCCGTTGCCGTCATTATATATTGACCCACAATTACTCCTGTACATACATCGGAACGCTGTAAGCAATGCCTGCAAATACGGCCAAACTGGTGGCGACGTCACGACAGAAATTGTATACGATGAATCGAGCGAAGTGTTGCGAATAGAGGTGGTGAATCTCCCAGGTCCAGAGCATGAGCGCCTACTTCGACTTGGTGATCAAGCTGCTACATTGGTATTTGAACCTGGAAGGAGATTGCACAGTGAGCACGATGGCGGCAGTCAGGTTCGGCGCGGCACCCACTCGGCTGGCGATGGGGCTTGGATTATATGGAAGTGTGCAGAGACACTCCGAGGAAAAGCAAATATTCGATTCGAACAGGAACGAACCGTATTTTCACTGATATGTCCAGCGAAACGCTTTGGACAAAGGGCCATTCAATCCGAAATATTTCAGATTCCATCAAATGCTTGGGGTATTGCAATTGATGATTCCAAAATCCAACGAAGACTTCTATCTAAATTCTTATCGCATGCTGGGGTGCCCGAATCTCGTCAAATTATTCAAGGTTCGACGGCTGAAGAGATCCGAGCCTTTGATTCTTTTCTCGTGGATCTGGTCGAAAAGAATTCCGAAGACTACTTTTTGGTGATCGTCGATGAGAATTTGGACATTACCGAGAATGGAACGCTTCGAAGCACTGTGTCGGGATCTGAATGCATTCAACGAGTGAGACAACGCCTTGCTCCGGAACACGAACGCAGAATACTTGGGCTGGTGCGCTCGGCCAATGATTCTTCACAAGATATTGCCAGCTATCTCTCTCGTGCTCATGGGTTCGTATCAAAGGCACCTGTTCGGTCGTCATCTGTCGCAGAGACGATTGCTCCTCTTTGGAAAAAAAGATTCAATTACCTACCAATAGCTGTGGAAGCTACTGGCACGGCAGGAGCAATGCCGATACAGAATTTAGATAATGAAGGCATGACTGACTTTGTAATTTTGGTGGTGAAGGAACTTCGATCGAACTTGGACGCAGTCGACGAATTGTCTTCGGAAGACTCCAATGCATCCCTGGTACAAAATTGGCCTCTGATATGGGAAAAGCTTCACTGTCTAAAAGGCGATCTGTCCAGTTTGTTCAATACTCGGAGTATTATGAAGGCGGTTGGAGATATTAATGCCATGCGGGGTCCCGACCTGCCCGAAAGATTTGTGGCTCGTTGGATAACCTTACGATCGGAAATAACGGACATTGCCTCGACGATAGGGAGCAATTTTTCCGACGGCGAAAGGAAGAGAAGTCGAAAACGACCCAACACCAAACCAGAATCCTCCGGCATGCAGCACCGCAGGAAGAAACGATCGTAATTTGAAACATATTCTCGGGGGGTCCAGCAGCTATGATTATACCAGAAAGCATTTTAAATAATACTGTACTATAGTGACTATTTCAAATGGCATTCTTCCAGTATCCATACTATTATCATCTATCTCTTCCACAGCCCATCTTGCCGAGCTTGTTGGAACATGCCAACAATCTCCTTCTTTTCCTCCAGTGAAATATCCGGATGCCAAATATCCACCAGTAACAACACTCGTTCTTGCGACGTACGATTCCATACTTCATGATTGTACGAGTCGTCCAGCACCATGGCCTTGTCCTGAACCCAAGGTCGTACCATGTTACCCACTCGAATAGCACAGTCATCTTCCTCTTGCCCCGAAGGCACAATGAGTGGCAAATGAATGCGAAGTCGTAGATTCATAGGAGAGGTATGTGCTTGTATACTCGAGTTGCCATGAAGGTTGGAAAAGAAGCAGAATCCAAATGGGGTTCCTGAAAGAAGAAAGAAAGAAAATACTTGTACATTCAGCATCTACTATCATGTTGTGCATTCATTGATTCGCCCATCCATGACATACCTTCAAACAACAAGTGATCCTTTCGTAGTTCCTGCAAGACTTTGGCTGTCTTTGGAAATTGAAAGGCCTATACATGAATACTTGAGAGATTAGACGACGACTCGATGCGTGCGTATTTATGACAGATTGATTCCACGCATTTGCTTACAAAATCTCCTTGAACATTTCCCTTGTTCAAATATGAAAACCACTCCCATTTTCCCTCATGAAGAGACTTTTGATGATCATGATAATCATTGGTCGGTGGTAATTTATTGGATTCTTCGTTTTGTCGCTCTAGATATTCGGTCCGGATCAAATCTGCATTTTTCTGAAGGTGTTCCACCACATGATTGACCATGGGATCGCCATAGGCAATTCGTGTGTTATCCGGCGAGGTCCAGAATGGTAGGGATCGCAAGCCAGGAAGAAGCATAAGGGATGGCGAAGGCCGAGCTGCTGAAGTTCTCAGCAAATTGGGACCCTGAACGACATCACAAGAAGGTTGGGAGGAAGCTGATGTGTCATCATCGGGCGGTGAGGACAGAGATCTTAGGAGAATTTTGTGGCTGTGCTTCAGAAGACTCGCTCTGGAAAGATTATTTATTATTGAAAGCATGGTAGGAGATCAAGCAAGAATCAATGGTTGCAATATGAGCTGCTATCTGTTTCTGTCAATAAAACATGATGATGTATGCAGGCGTAGAAATACCAACTCATCCGCATGAAATAAATCGCAATGATGGATATACTGCCGGTTGGAGGTCAGGCGCCTAACATCGGTTTGAGGGTAGTATTTGAGGCATTTTTTAAAAATTGGTATACACATACCTATAGTACCGGTACGTACCGGTACGACATACGATACTATATCAGATATTGTATGAGAAATCTCACATCTTGATATCGGGGAAAGACAGAATTTCCAGATTTTTACCAATATCGGGTAATGGGTAGTACAGAGTACAGCTACCGTTGTACTAATAACAGATTGTGAATCGTTCAACTACAATAACTCCAAATAGCATCACCAAAGATCCGACTACAGCACCATCATATTTTACCGTCAGACGGTCAATGGTCGCAGAATTTCTAAAAGCGAACGACAGCCAATGATCAAGGTGTTTTCGGACAGCACAGCCACAGACAATTTGCTATCGGGAAGTGCTGCCGTTTCGTGATATGCAATGCATTTGTCACAGGTAGAGCGAAAACGTCGAGCGAAAAAGGATATGTCGCCCTTTAATGCACCACTTGAGAGTACTATATGTTGAAATAAGTAAGGATGTTCTAACTGTTATAGCTTCTTCCAATCTATCAAACACACCATGCTCGATCACAGTTTTCTCAGCAACTCAATTTCACCCCTTTTCAACTTTTGTCACCAGTCGTTGAGCCCACGCCAACGCTGCTACGAACTTCAACACCACAACACCCTCTCATGCGGACCCAATCATGTTTCCATCTAACCAACCGTCTGATAACCCCTCGTTATCCCCAAAAGGGTTATCTTTCCAGACGGACAGCCGGCGGCGTCGAATACCGTCAAGAAGAACTGGTTTATGCCCTCCTATTGTTCAAAGCATCAGTCGAAACCGAAAATGGTTTTGGTCCAGGTGCCAATGAGGACATTGGACAGCATTATGTCTCTTGGCTGTTGCCATTAAATTATGGTGAAGAAATTCCAACAGATGTATCATCCTCCTCCAAGAATCACTAAGACATATGATTGTAATCATCGGGTGTAGCTATCTTCTGTGACTAGCATGGATCACATGTTCAATGGTGCATCATCTATCGATAGCGATATCTCGTCATCGGGTGTTTCTTCGGTAACAAACATGAAACGTGATTCATTCTCTTTCAGGAGATCTAAAATACCGTAAGACCTTTACTCTTGGTGATACTTGCAATGCGCTGGGAATAATAAAGTCTTTTAAAAATTGCTCCATAAAATGTATCTACGGGTATCTGTTCATCTATCTACCAGTCCGGTACCTGGTGCCTACTGTCTTAGTATCTGTCCTAACATTAAGCAGTTTTTGCTGTTCTGCTCAGCGATTTATCTGTTTACGCAAGGACAAGATTTATATGCCGTTCGTGAACCAATCTGATCGTGTTGTGAGAAGAGAATTGCAAAACCCACCTTTTACCGTCTGTCCTTGATAATACTGTAGGTGGTCTTTCCAAGAGTATATAGTCTTTCCGTTTGGTTCTTTGGAGGAGGAGGGACGAATGAATCAATCATGAATGCTGTGACCAGCGAACTCGTAGTGCTTGGAGTGCAAGAAGATACTGCAAGAGAGGAAAATGAGACAAGATCTTGGAGTAACTGATCTGAAGAATCAAGTATTTTTTTTAAAAAATAGTCTAATACTATTAATACTACCAATCAAATTTTTGACAATGTGGTGGTGACTGGCTGGCTGGCTGCTGTGCTATACTATTGGACAACACCACAACACATCTACAGATCTGTTCTCTACTCACTCGTTGCAATGATACTGGTACAATACACTCACTGATCGTTGTAAGATGTCCACTGGTCGTTGTAAGAAATCCACTTTTTCTACTCCAAAAACGTACACAACGCATGACGGGGAAAGGTACCTGATACCGGTAGATACTCAGAGATGTCCCTTTTTTCTTCGGCTCACCACTGACAGCTGACAGGTGACGGAAATATACAACGAAACGAAAAAAGGGTGTGGGACCTTTGGCGAATGTGGTGATGACCCGAAAATGGAATTGAGCGGCAGTGCGAGCTGGTTCGATCGTCAGTGTGATCGTCAGTGTGAGGTGGTCCGAAAGTGAAAAACTCCGAAAGTTTATTATGTATGGCTTGCCACGTCTTTTTCGAATGAGAGATAATCTCTCGTGCATCATCGAACTTTACTTATATAAAAATTGGTTCCTTTAATTAATTTCCTCGTCCAGGGAAACAGATGGCCACAAAAAGGACAGGTATGTCTCTTTTTCACGGAGGATAAAACCACCTCATCCTTCGAGCCACTAATCGAGCTTTGATCAGAAGCAGAATACTGCAGCAGACGAGACCACTTTTGCGTTGCACATTGATTTGATGAATATCAGCAGTATCATTCGAAAAGCAACGAATTAAGTTCACTGGCAGCACTGTCACTACACTACATTCGAAATACATACTGGAAGCGAGGGACGTAATTGAACCCACCAGAGCAGAATAATGAGACAACAAGATCAAATAAGAATAACCCAATTGCAATCGCAATTGGAATTGCAATCACAACCACAACCACGAGCACAAGCACAACCACGAGCACAGCCACCACTGCCACTGCCCAATGGTGCCGGCTCCATAAAGGTTGTTTCCGGATCAGGCTTTCGATACCTGGTCCCTTTTCCATACAAACTGCATCAGATGCTGGAAGAGACGGAAGCCAAGGACCCCATGGCTTCTAACATTGTCTCGTGGTTACCCGATGGCTTGCATTTCAAAGTGCATGACTCGGTTGCCTTTATGGAAAAGATTGTCCCGCAATTCTTCAAGCAAAAGTCGTACAAGTCCTTTCAGAGGCAGTTGCACATTTATGGCTTCAAACGGATCCTCAAGGGTCCTTTGCAGGGTGCCTTTCATCACCCAAAGTTCATCAAGGGGAATCGGCAACTGACCCATGATATCGATCGGATAAAGGCACCGGTGGCACGGAAAAATGCGAAGCCTGCAATCACCAGCAAAAGCAGCAGCAGGAAAGAAATGGTACGTTTCCCATTACTACACTTTGAACTTTGCAAGCATCATCATTATCATCATTCATCATCATCATTCATCATCATCATCTAACGCGCTATCTATTCCTATTTACCTATATACTGTAGGGTCAAAGTTCAGAAGAACCCTGGTCGTCTGTTCCAAAGGCAGCTACTGGTCCTATGGGTCATCGTACTACTAGCAGTAGTACCAGCACTACCACTGCAAGTAGTACTACGTCCTCACCGGATACACTGGAATGGTTGGTAACCAACACTGGGTTTCAGTTCTCCGACCTGGAACCATCCAAGATTGCCCAACCAGAGGAGCCTACTACGACTCTTCCGACACCAGTCTTTTCGCAAGCCTTACTTTCACAGGCCGATCAAATATTGACACTTTTTGCGGATTCTCCTCCACAAGATGCACCATCATCCTTATCATCGTTCTTGATGATGATGAAAGAACAAGATGAATCCTTGTCAAGAACAACAACAAGCAAGAGTGACTTGAACATGCAGCAGCAACAACAACAACAACAGCTTTTTGCTCCATCCTTGTTGACGAAACAATTCATGTCCTCGTCCCAGCAGGATTCGGCCTTCTATCCAAAACCACTACCACCACAGAGCTGGACTTGTACTACCTCACTCTCGAGAGCTAGCAACAAGTTTGAACCACCACAGGTTTATGATCACGTACATGAACCACCCTCTTCCTCCAACTCTTCTATCTGCAGTATACCAACTGGGATTGAAGAGGCAACCTTTCCCTCTTTGCATTTTGAGTCAGTATAATGTACATAAAACGTTACTGACTGACTGGCTGGCTGACTGACTGACACCCGGTGAGAATAGTAGGAAACAAACAATTTGTCGATATACCTGTGCATCGTACACTGTAAATATTACTCTGCATATAATATATCCTAATTTTTTAAAAATTATCATTATTACTGTTATTACAAATCTTGCTCATGCATTCAACCCACTCTAGCATCGCTTTCTTTCAATCGACAAAACAGCGGATCCTCTTGCGACCGAAAAAATGTTGTGAACCCCCCCCGGAGGTTTTCGAAAATGACACCTACGATATCGTTCTACAAGAGAAACGCTTGGCCACTACAGCAGATATGGCCACGATGGCGCACTCCACGTTACGCTATGGCATTATCCGCGTACCGTTACGACTGATGCAAAGATAAGGGCCAAAGTAAAAAATCTGCCAACAACATTAGCTCTTTTTTATTTGTTAAAATATAATCATCTACTCTTATTGTTGCACAAATTCAATCCACACAAGACAAAGCCTGCCTCAAATTTCTTTCTCTTCTTCCAAATAGAAATTCCCGCTCGGGTATGCTGCTTCATCATGCTGTATTTCCTTCATGTACTCTGCCACTACACTCTTCCCCTTCTTTTCCCATTCCCTCCGATTTTGTTGGGCGTAGTTCAAATATTCGTGACTGGACACTCCAAAAACTCCACATTCGTCCAGCTTCTTGGCCAAGGGAATGATATAGAAATCAAAGAAACCAATCTCTCCTTTGTACCATCCTTCTGATGGATCGTTGTCGGCATGGCCCTCTTGGTATGCTCGGTACATTTCCATAAACAATCGTTGATTCCATTTGCGGTAGACTTGCCAATGTTGCATGGTATGGGCAATGTCGGAGGCTTGGATCAAATGTTCAATGACCACGGTTGCCTTGCGATTATTGATTTCAATCAAAGCCTCTCGTTCCCGACCCACCATGTCCTGTGAAAAGGCCTTTTCCCATTTGGCATTCCGCAAGGCCTTGAGATCCTTGTCCATGATATCGGTCGCCAAAATCGTATTGACCAACAGCTGATGAAAGCGCTTGAGTTCGGAAGTGGTGCTGTAAATGGAACCACGAAGGGTTGCAAACTTGCCTTCCATTAACAATGCCCACGCCAAGTCGATGGAATTTTGCTCCGCCACGCTCTTGTCCTTGTACAGGCGAGCTAGCTCTGGTACTTCCTTCACGAGCTGAGGATTGGGAACACCCAAATGATCCAAATCGTGCAGCAAGGCAGATAGGACCACAGCAAATTGTGTCAATGGATCCGAGGTGATTCCATACGTGTGATCGTGTAGTTGTGATTCGTCCCCTTCAATATCCGGGGCGACGATTCGACTCAATAGCTTCATGACCGACATTGTGACGTGACTCGCATGCTCGAAATTGTGAAAGGGATTGGCATTGTACAAACTAGCGACGGTGCGCACGTATTCTTTAAGCTCGTTCTTGACCTCTTCGCTCAATTCGACACCCAGCTGACTTCTTGCTGCTTTCGCGTCAAAGGTTGCTAGTTCGAGTGACTCGACCACTTGGTCAAAGGCTGGTGTACCACCTTCCGAAACGGGTACGGATAGCTCTTTCTCGACCTCCTGGATCGTGGAAAGCTCGGCTGGTTCGGCTCCAACCGACTGTCTTCGCTCGACAACTTGTTTCAGCAGTGTAATCAACACATCCACGTTCCAATTGACCAGACGGTCAAACTTTCTCTGGGTGAGATCTTGAGGCTTTCGCTTAATAGTACCATCCAATGCTACCCGACGCTTGGAATGAGAAAATGAGGACGGGAGCACATTGTCACTTCTTTGTTTTCCGTCACCCACTGAGACTCCATCCTCGGTTGTTAAATGCTTCATCCAAAAAGTTTGCATCTCCCCCTTTCCTTTTGCATAAACTTTGTCACTCCTTGGCATGATCCAATTACTCTTCCCCGCCTTGGTCAACAAATCTGCCGTATCTTTTGACATATGAATCTTATTCCTGTTCCCTGTAGTCTCGATACGAGCACAGGTGTTCACTGTGTCACCGAACAATTGAAATCTTGCACGATCTATTGGACGAGAATGTCAGATATTCCAACGCTAGGGAATGTGGTACATGATACTGTCGGCATAACTTACCTCCCCTTAATACCCCTGCGGTCACCGGACCACTGTGCAATCCTATCCGAATGCCTAAATCTGCAGTTTCCGGTCCAAGCTCTTCCTCCAAATTCTGCACCTGCACTGACATTGATGTCAAGCAGTCTGATGCGAATAAAGCCATACGTGTCATGTGATCTTTCCTGGGCTCTGGCTGCAAATGTATCAAGCGAGACGGAACCATAATGTTAGATGATTTTGTTTGTTTTTCCAATCCAAGAAGCCAAAGCACAAGTTTGAAACCTACCAGCCCGCAAACGGCCACATAACAATCGCCCACTGTCTCTACTTTGAACACTTCTCGCTTCTTTGCCAGTCTATCGAACTCCTTGTAGATGGTTTCGAGTAAAATGAAGACTTGTGATGGTTCCCGAGTGGAAGACCAGGCCGTAAAGCCAACCATGTCGCCAAACATGACGGTCGTGCTAGGAAACAAGTCCGCAATGGGTTTACGCCGGAGATTCTCCTCGGCAATTTCATTCTTGGAAAGGAAGGAGTTCAGCATTTTCTTGGAGGATTGAGGATTCGTGGCTTCCCGCTGAGATTGTTGAAGGAGGCGCAAACCAACGCCCTCTGGAAACACGGATGTCACAATTGCCTCGGCGCGCCTTGCCTGTTCATAAAGTTCCTTCCGCCTTTTTTGAGTATACCGGTCGTATAGGAAGAAGATTGCTCCAAAGAATATAAAGGCAAAGACCATCAGCCCTGCATAAATTGACGGGTCAAGGGGATCGAAACTATCTCGAAATTCGTTCGACGGATAAATGTTGAGATCAAACTGACAGAATTCTGCCCCCGCTTCACCGTTATCCCCCGCTTGCTTCTCAAAGAATGGGTACGACACCTTGTTCAGGTCAAACTGTGTGTCATGAGTGTCACCCGATTCGAAGAACGATGGCTTGCCCCCGTTGCGAATGTAGGTGAACTCAGTACCACAATTGCTTTTGACCACAGTATAGATACCGTTCACGGTCGATGGGATTTCAAGATTGAGCAACCTCTCCCAAGAAACGATTCCAACCAGGAATCCCATGATGTCGGCATCGTCTCTCAAGCCCTCCCGAACCGGGTAGACGATATAGCTTTGCTTGGTTTCGTTGGTGTAGTTTGTGGGAGAAAGAATGTGGTCGATTAGAAATGATAAATCGATTGGCTCGGATAGCACCGGTTCTGTGTACTGTAGGCTGATGCTCAGGTCTTTGCCCAATGTTGGGTGAGAGAGTAGATCCATCATGATGATGGAAGAATTCACCAAGCCAGGTCCAAACTGAGAGATAGGAATGTTGATCGACCCGCTAGAATAACCACTATTTGCCAAGGCTTGATCTATGTACACATCAGTTGCTTCGATTTCTCTCTTTTCTTCGCTTGTGATGTCAGTATCAAATTCAAAGTCACTGCTGAAAACTTCGTCTGCAATAGGGTCGACTGAAGACAAATTCCAACCACGATATTTCTGAAATTTGAAAGAATGGACCAATCATAGTGTTGTGAGCAAGATATGCATCATCGCTCATTCTTCGTTTGTCACTAATCATCAACTTCAACTTACAAAGTCTTGCTCAATCCATTCTTGTGATGATATTGCGGCATACTTCTGCCAACCAGACTTTTGAGATCGCTCTATAATCGGAGCATACAAGATCATATCAATCCCAGAAAAGTCAGCCATCCCTTGTGCCCGCTGATCCAAATTTTGAATCGTAATGTTCGGCGCCGTTCCAAGGTCTACATTTTCAAATGTGATGGCCACTGCCAAAGTTGTCAACTGTCCAACAATCGTGTCCAAGTTATTCAAAGCATTTTCATTGAACTCTCTGGTAAAACTCTCAAACTGAATAAAAGACGAGCATTGTGAATTCTAAAAATTCTTCTTGTAAGCATCTGAAGCATGAAAATTCCTTGGGACATACCTCTGACCGAAATTTCTGTTGATTGGAGCTGACCAAAAGAGTGGTTGCGGCGCTGAATACAAGAGTTGCGAGAACAACAACCGCAACAACCACCTGTAAAAATTAGGAAATGATCAAATGATGTCAGACATAGTCCTTTACAGCATTACGCAATACGTATAGCGTGAAACCAATAGTCAGAGAATATCAGAAAGTCTTACATAAGTCGATCCTACACGCTCTTCCTGCTGCTCGAATTGATAGTTGCCTCCAGATCCCAACTCTGAATCTTCTTCACGACGTTGTACTGATTCGTTATCGTTGATGGAAGCCGTTTCTAGTCCATCTCTCTTGTCTAATCCTGTATCAGGAGGCTCTTCTTGGATGATGGAACGAATGGGTGGCTTGGATTCCGGCATGGTTTGGATGGTTATAACCTGTGCCGTTTCTTATCCCTTCCTGTTTGATCAGATTCATTCGCATTCAGGAATTGACAGCAGAAAAATCGGCTGATTACCGGTTGGTAAAAAGTCTTCCGAGAAAAGCGTCATCATTTCCAACTCAAAATTACTAAAAGTGTTTTCACACATACTGTTTGGACGCTGAATAGCTCGAAGCGCCCGCATGAGTTCTTTATGTCTTTATGAACTTTGCACCGGTTCTTCCGGCACAGACAATTTCCGCCCGCATATTTCGACCAAGTACAAGGGTCATTCTGTCAGCTTGGGGAGAAAATGTGGATTCTTCAGGTTCTCATTATTCAGAATGCTGGCGAAACCTTCTGCAGTTTTGCAACTGATCAACAAGATGGTTGGCAGTGACAAAGATTTACTTTCAAAAGTTCCCTACTGTATATCCAAAATTGTTCTAATACTCCCACGCAAATCAAAACTTAAAAACCACGTTTGACGCTAGCCTTTCCAACAAAGAGCGCAATTCAATAAAGCGAGAATTAAAGTTCCCTTTCTAGCAGGACCTTTTCGTGCTCATGCTTTATTTCCTTCATGTACTTCGCCACCACGCTTTTACCCTGCTTCTCCCATTCCCTGCGATTCTGCTCGGCGTAGTTCAAATACTCGTGACTTGACACTCCAAATACTCCGCACTCGTCAAGCTTCTTGGCCAATGGAATGATATAGAAATCAAAGAAACCAATCTCTCCTTTGTACCATCCCTCCGATGGATCGTTGTCGGCGTGGCCCTCCTGGTATGCTCTGTACATCTCCCTAAACAACCGTTGGTTCCACTTGCGGTAGACTTGCCAATGCTGCATGGTATGTGCAATATCGGACGCTTGGATCAAATGTTCGATGACAACTGTTGCCTTGCGATTGTTGATTTCCTTCGCACTACCTATCATACGGCCATCCATGAGGGTCGCGTCTTGCGAGAATGCCTTTTCCCATTTGGCATTTCGCAAGGCTTTGAGATCCTTGTCCATGATGTCTGTCGCCAAGATTGTATTCACCACCAGCTGTCGGAAACGACGAAGTTCTGCTGTGGTAGAGTAGATTGATCGGCGAAGATTTTCAAACCGATCCTCCATCAACAGTGCCCAAGCAATATCGATGGAATTTTGCTCTGCCACACTCTTGTCCTTGTACATGCGAGCTAGCTCTGGTACTTCTTTGACAAGCTGGCCATTGGGAACACCCAAATGATCCAAATCATGCAACAAGGCTGATAATACCACAGCGAAATGAGTCAACGGGTCGGAGGTGATTCCATATGTGTGATCGTGCAACTGTGACTCGTCGCCTTCAATGTCAGGAGCGACGATTCGACTCAGCAGTTTCATCACGGACATCGTGACGTGACTAGCGTGCTCAAAATTGTGAAAGGGATTATCATTGTACATCCTCGCCATGAGTTTGACGTATTCGCGAAGTTCCGACTGCACCTCGGAGCTCAACTCGTGCCGTTGTTTGCCCCTTCGATTTGCTTCTGCATTGAAGGTGGCGATCTCAATGGATTCGACCACTTCATCAAAGGCCGCAGTGCCACCTTCTGAAACGGGAGTTGATAGATCGGCTTCGACAGCCTTGATTACTGTGGGATCCTCTGGTTGTGTTCCGACTAGTTTTCTTCGTTCACAAACTTGTACAAGAAGAGTTTTCAGTACGTCAACATTCCAGTTGACCAGGCGCTCAAATTTCTTTTCGGAAAGATCTTGGGGCTTTCGCTTGATCTTGCCTTCAAATGACAATCGTCGCTTTGGTCCAACCTCCTTGACAGTGCCTTCATCACGCTCGGATTCTGACAAATTGTTGGCCTTCATGGATGGGCCACTGCCTGTCTCGATCTGTCGTAGCCAGTAAGTTTGCATTTCCCCCTTTCCTTTTGCATAGACTTTGTCATTCCTTGGCAAGATCCAGTGACTCTTCCCCATCTGAGTCAATAGATCTGCTGTATCTTTCGACATGTGAATCCTGCCCCTTTCCCCTGTAGTTTCGATGCGAGCGCATGTGTTCACTGTGTCACCGAACAATTGAAATCTTGCACGATCTCCCCGCAATACCCCTGCCGTTACTGGACCACTGTGCAGACCAATTCGAATGCTCAGGTCGGCAGTATCGGGACCAAGATCTACCTCCAAGCTTTGAACCATGACGTGCATGGATGCCAAACAGTCTGCAGCGAATAGCGACATGACAACGGGGTGGTCTTTCTTTGGCTCTGGCTGCAAATCAAATGCATCAAGTGGAAGTAAGAATAAATGTGAGAAAATGAGATAGATCGATTCCCACAAAAGTCAAGAAGTGTCCAATCGAACGTACCAAACCGCAAACGGCCACATAACAATCTCCAACCGTTTCAACTTTAAACACCTTATGTTGCTTTGCCAGAAGGTCAAACTCATTGTAGACCGTCTCGAGTAATATAAAGACTTGTGATGGTTCCCGAGTCGAAGACCAAGCCGTAAAGCCCACCATGTCGGCAAACATAACGGTAGTGTTGGGGAACAAGTCGGCGATGGGCTTGCGCCGTTGTTCCGACAAATCCCTCGAAGATCCGGCACCATTCTTGGCCAAAAAGGTATTCAGACTCTTCCTTGTCGAAGCCGGCTGCCAGGCTTCCTCATTGGCTTGTTCTATCAGCCGCAATCCCACTTCTTTGGGAAAAACGGATGTCACGATGGCTTCCAGTCGTTTGGCTTGTTCCAAGGTCTGGTCTTGTTTCTTTTGGCGGGACAGGTCATAGGTAAAGAACCCGGCGGCAATCACTACAAAGACCACCACAATCAAACCGGACCACACACTAGGATCAATGAGATCCAAGCTTTCTCGAAAGGCGTCCGTCCCATATAGTGCAAGACTGTAGGAACAGTATTGCGTCAAACTAGTATCGTCATCCAGTGAACTTTTGGCCCCAAAGTCGTAGCGGTAGCTGTAAGGATTATATCTCCGATCATGAATGTCACCTGGTGAAAACTTGGATGGCTTGCCGCCATTGACCACAAAGGTAAAGGGTCGTTCACAAGTGTTTTCCACCACCACATCTAGACCGTCAACACCTTCCGGAAGAACAATCTTGAAGAAATTCTCCCAACTCGCTATTCCCACGACAAATCCTACAATTTTGGAATCCTCTTGGAAACCTTCTCGGACTGGATCAAGAATGAAACTTCGTTTGGTCCTGTTCAAATAGGAATTCTCTTGAGGTTCGACATGGTCCAACAAGAAATCAAAATCCATTGGTTCCGAAATGACCGGAAGATTATGCTCCAGACTGACGAGCATTTCTTTTTGAAATATCGGATGCGTGAACAAATCCATCATGGCCAGTGAGGAATTTGATAGGCTGGGCCCGTATTGGGCAATGGGAGCCGAAATGGAACCACTTCTGTATCCTGACTGTATCAAAATTTCTCTTCGGTAGGCCTCGTCCTTGGGGATGGTCCACATATTCTTCGTATCCTCTAGCTTGCTGTTCTCAGTGGTATACTCATAAATCTGTTCTGGAATGGCCTCGACATTGGATGCGTCCAATCCGCGGTACGACTGAAATCAGATAATCGTGCATTCATGCATGGTGTCAGAACTATTGTTGTTCTTGGAGACGGTATATTGTACTGTTTCATTCAACGGACACACTTACATAGTCTTGTGCAATCCATCCCTGTGATTGAACCGCATAGGACTCGTATTCTTCTTTCTGGCTGGCTTCTACGATTGGCACATACAAGACCATGTCAATCCCCGTGGCATTCACAATGTCCAAGGCCCGACGATCGTAATTTAGCAATGTGATGTTTGGAGCAGCCTTATGATCCATACTCAAGGATGTCACTTCGACGGTAACACTCCGCAGTTGTCCAAAAATATTATCCTTGTTGATTTGGGCAATGTCGTTGAATTCTCTGGAATACCCTTCCAACTATCATCATAATTACCAGAATCAATTATACGCGCAATAGGTCAGCACGCGTTTCCCACACAAACGATTGCCTCCGCAATTACATATATTCTACGCACCTCTGTTAAGAACTTGATTTGGTTGGATCTCACAATCAAGTAAATGGCAACCATAAAGACAATCGTTGCAATTAACAAGACCGCAAAGATGATCTATAGAGAAATAGATGTGTGAGCAACTGATAAGAACATACCCTATCAAGATAGATACCGTAGAAGCTTCGACTTACAAAGGTGGAACCATCTTCATCGTTGATGAGAGCTTTGGATTGCCGCGAATGAACTGTGGAACTCCCATTACGAGAACGATCCAAATCATCGTCCATGTGGTGATCGTTACTGTCTTCGTTCTGATCCCCGTGTGATCTCGAGTCTTCGTGTAACGAAGCCGTATCCATAGTGTCGTGCAAGTCAAGGCCCATCTCTGGGTCTTTTATTCTGACAATCTTATTCTCCATGGTGAGAGCGAGTGTGTACGGTAGCGAGAGAGAGATGCTGGATGGTGATTGCAGCGTGGAGACGGGGTCAGAAATTATTGGGTTGCCAAACTTCCTCATACAAACTTCCGTCCTGCAGCCACAGAAGTTGGTGTGACAAATTCTGATGTATTTAAGCCGGCACCTTATGTATGTCCTTGCATTTATTGCACACCTTGAAATCCGCGCTAGCATTAATTGCCATAAAGTGTCCTGTCTTATCTTTGTCGCGGTTACAAGGGAAATGAATTTATGGTTCGTCCTTCTAAGCGACAAACGTGCAAACTTCCGGCAGAAGGCAGAAGTTCATCTACGGGTACATGTGTACCAGGTACACGTACCAGATACCGTACCAGTACTTGCATGTTTGATAACGCAAGAAACATATGACTGACTGGTGCGGAGACCACATGGCGAAGTCAGTCAAAGGACCACAAGAAAAAGGGGTCATATACGGTACACGAGAGGGGTCATTAGCTCATTGTACAACCAGCACCTAAAACAAAGCGACCAGCCACTCAACTCTTGTAGGTGTATTCGCAGGATAGAGCTCTACCTACTGTAGTAACCGATCGCAGCAATGCCAATGGGCAACAATTGCAGTGGTCAATTCATATGTTATAATAACACATCATACTTTACTTCATGCCATTGTTTCATGTCGTTGAAGTGGAAGTTGTCAGTCTCTGGTGTAAATGAACCTTTTTTTGATCAGAAGGTGGGAGTGTCTGGCGAACAGCCTTGTGGTCCCTATGGGCGACTTTCCGTTACTATGGTAACTGACGTTCGCTTTCGTACAGGGTAAAGTATGACTTGTCGCAGGAACAGAGGAGATACTATACAATATTGTAGGAGGATGGTACAGAACAAGAAGTGCAGCTACATGCATGCAAATAGTACAAGCAACAAGCAAGAACAGAGGAAAATTGTTCCAACAACAACATGGCAGTAACGATATACTGCATCATCTTTTTTTAAAGTTTGGATTTAGTAGGTCTACTGTACCGGTAGTTTTGAGAAGAAACAAACTGTGATAAATTGGTGTACCGGAATCAATAAGTTCAGATCAGACGAGGTGGGAAGAGTGAGTGAGTCTCTTCTCATTTATCCGGTCAACGAGCCATCCCTTTGTAGTTCTCGAGGAATGAACTAATCTGCTTCCCAGTGGGAGCAAAGAAGATTGGCGACCTTGGGGATCTAAACTGCCTGTAGAACAGGGGAAGTAACAACCTCCATCATTCCTTCGTTTTCCTGTATTGTACATCATCGGAACGGGGGTAGTCTACGCCATCGTGGTGGCCATCGTTCGGCTCTTGCCAATTCCGCATTGCTGCACTCAACACATATATACAGGTAGAAAACACGTCAGCCATTCTCTTTCGTGCGTTGGAAAATATCGAGCTGTATCTAAAGAAATGTCTCTCCGTTAAGTAACTCCGGATACGGATCGCTAAGTTCCGAAGGTTCTCCAACGCTCTTTCCACCGGCCAGGCTTCAGTGGCAGGCCCAAGGTATTTGTGCCATGTGAAAAAAGGCTTGTCCGAGAAGAAGAAACTCACTCGGCGGGCCGTCTCCTGGTAGTAGTCGGCAGTACGGTGTAGTTTGGTTCCGCTTCGAATGGAAAGCATCATCAATTTTTTCCAATTACGTAGATGAACTCGGACCTAGTCAAATCCAAGCTAGATGGAAGCAGTGCCTTCTTCCAAGAATCATCAAATAACAGGGACAAAACCAACGATACAATGCCATCCATAAAAGACGATGATGTCTCCATTCACAGCACCAGCACAGGCTTTCCGGATGCTGCCAGCACGTACCAGGCGGAAGACGAGGAAAAATCGAACCGAGATGGATCGAACGTACGTCACACATCTCGTATTACAATGATGATGCGATGGTGATATTTCCATACAGGCAGTGCTCTGTATGATTGCTCTCTCAAGCTTTGAGGAATGCAAAACTCTCACTTTCTAAATGTTTTTTTTGGGTTTCGTTCAGATGGTCTATTTCGTGTTGGTGCTGGCGGCAATCGTGTTTGGAGTTGCCACTTTCCTCCTTCTAGATGCCGGAGCAGACCGTGAATTCAAATCCGAGGTAAGATAACTATTTGTGGATGTTGATTGATGTGTGAGATTAGTTGAGAAGGAAGAGCTGCTCTTTGTTTTGTTCAGCAATTCATTCAGGAGAGAAAGTTTCAGGAAAATTCAGGTGGATGGATTCCTCAAGAATTTTTTTTAAAAGGCATCGCATATGTGGCATGAATCTCACACACACACAATTCTCGCTATTTCCATTTTTATAATGACAGTTTAAAAGTTTTGCTCGTGAGACGGCCGACATTGCCCAAAACAATGCGGACAAGATATTTGGACAGCTCCGGAGTTTGGCCACGGCCATTACCTCGATTGCCGTCAACCAAGACGATGGCAACCAGTTTCCAAATGTCACGGTGCCACATTTTGACTTGAGGACCCAAGAAATAGCCGATTTGACTGGACTCGAAATGATTTGCTTTGTGCCGTTGGTGGAACAAGCCAATCAGTCGGGGTGGGAAGCTTATGCTACGGCCAATAAGGATTGGATTCTGGAAGATTATGTACGTGAATACTTGTATTGTTGTTGTTTTTGTGCTTGTTTGATGTGCATCTTTTGACATCCATTGCTGATTCTTATCGTTCATTCATTCATTCATTCAATCAATACCATTCATTCCATTACAGGACTATCGCGAATGGGATCCAGCGACCATTGAGGGAGTCATGCCGACAGAAATTTACGATTGCGATTTCTGTAAGGAAGATTCCCGCAGCGGATTTGTCAATGACAATGGGTTTATGAATGAGATTTTGGAATTGCGACAATTTCAATCCGAGAATATTAGTGCTCCCATTGCGCAATTTGGACCCGCTCCTATCAATGGTTCCCTGTCCATGTTTGATCTCTATTCGCATCCCATATTTCGCAAGGAAATCTTGACGGCTCTGGAATATGACTTGCCAGTCATTTCTGAAGCTACGGACCTTTCCTTTTTGCTGAGTCATATCATGCCGAATTCTACCTTTCCCGACTCGGCACTCCGCAGTTTCACTTTGGATCAAGTCAAGGAAGACTTTCAGGATGATTCGAGAACAATTGGGTTTGTCTTTGGGATCATTCCTTGGGAAGCTATCTTTATCAATTTGCTGCCTCAAGATGTCAATGGGATTAGCGTCGTGGTGGAAAGTGACTGCGGTTCCGTCTTTACCTACACTGCCAATGGAGGAAAGCCAACCACCTCGCAAATTGGAGATCGGCATCAGGCCAAGGAGGTGTACGAAGAAATGGCGGTCCGGTCTCGATTCTTTTGGAAGGATCATACAGAGGGCCTGTCAAGGCACTGTGACTTTGATATTGTGATTTATCCATCGGACGAATTCCGGGCGGCCTACGAGTCGAGCGATGCCCTGTTGTATTCGGGACTGGTCGGTGTCGTCTTTGTCTTTACGGCCATGCTGTTCTTTTTGTATGACAAGTATGTGCAAAAGAGACAAGCCAAGGTCATGTCACAAGCCAAGAGAGCCGAAGCCATTGTCACGTCTGTCTTTCCAAAGGAAGTTGGTCTTCGGTTGATTCAACAGGCCGAACGTGAGGAAGCAGAGAGAGTATCCAACAAGAAGATGCTGAACAATTTCTTGGTGGAAAAGAGCGAAACATTTGAGAAACCAAACAAGAGACGAAAGCCAATTGCTGATTTATTTCCTGAAACAACCGTCATGTTTGCCGATATTGTGGGTTTCACGGCTTGGTCGTCGATGCGCGAACCATCTCAAGTATTTATGCTTTTGGAAAGTATCTACCGCGACTTTGATAACATTGCCAACCGACGAAAAGTGTTCAAGGTCGAAACAGTTGGTGATTGCTATGTGGCAGTTTGCGGTTTGCCTGGTAAGTTTGGCTTGGTTCCTAGTTGAATCTGAAATCTAGTCGTTGTGACGTTGTCAAAGACATGGGACTCACAATATTTTTGCTATTGTAAATAGAACCACGCAAGGACCATGTTGTCGTAATGGCTCGATTCGCTACTGACTGTGTTGTGAAGATGGCTGTCCAAGTTCAAGCGCTCGAAGAGGAACTTGGTCCCGATACTGCGGACCTTGGAATCCGGGTGGGACTTCACAGTGGGCCTGTGACTGCCGGTGTCCTTCGTGGAGATCGTGCCCGTTTCCAGCTCTTTGGTGATACTGTCAACACCTGTGCTCGTATCGAAAGTACGGGAAAGAAGAACAAGATTCATCTTTCCAAGGAAACGGCAGAACTTTTGATGAAGAGTGGCAAAGGACATTGGACTACTGCTCGTGGCGATAAGGTGACGGCGAAGGGCAAAGGGGAACTAGAAACCTTTTGGCTGAATAATATTCGAGGAGCAGAAAACCCATCTGCCAAATCTGCCACCGGTGAATCGGATGACAACAAACTATCCAAGATTCAAGAAAACCATAAGCCATCCAAGCCGATTATCTCCGCTCAAGCTAAGACCCAGAGTGACAGGAAACTTGATCGCCTCGTCAATTGGAATGTCGACGTTCTCCTTACTCTATTGAAACAAGTTTGTGTAGAGAGACATGCTGACGGTATCAAGCCTGATCCTTGGGACAGAGTCCAGAAGATGGAAGAAGAGCTGTCAGTCCCTGTCAATGAAACTGGCAGGACTGCATTGGACGAAGTTGTTGAGATTATCGAACTACCAAGATTCAACGCTCGTTCCTCCAGCAGTGTGTCGGTGGAGATAAATGACGCAGTGCAGAACCAATTACGAGAATACGTCCGAACGATCGCTACCATGTACAACGAGAACGCATTTCACAACTTTGAGCACGCAAGTCACGTCACGATGTCTGTTCGAAAACTGTTGGGCCGCATTGTCGCTCCTGATATTGAAGGTGATAATGCGCGAGAGCTTCACGATCACACCTATGGTATCACCTCGGATCCTTTGACCCAGTTTGCCGTTGTGTTCTCGGCTCTCCTTCATGATGTTGACCATTTGGGTGTTCCCAATACTCAGCTAGTCAAAGAGGGCATTGATATTGCCGCCTTGTACCATAATAAGAGTGTGGCCGAACAGAACTCTATCGATTTGGCTTGGGCTCTGCTGATGCTTGACCGATTTGAACTTTTGCGGCAAGCCATTTACACAACCAAGGCCGAGTTAAAGAGATTCCGTCAATTGGTAGTCAACACGATTCTGGCAACGGATATCATGGATAAAGAACTGCAGACTATCCGAAGAGTGCGTTGGGACAAGGCCTTTTCCGAAGCTGCCAACTTTAGGAATGATAGCCTCAAGGATGCCACGAACCGCAAGGCTACGATTGTGATAGAGCACTTGATTCAAGCTTCTGATGTCGCACACACGATGCAGCATTGGCAAGTGTACCGCAAATGGAACGGTCGGTTATTCCACGAAATGTATCGAGCATACAGGGAAGGGCGGGCCCAAAAGGACCCATCCGAATTCTGGTACCAAGGCGAGATTGGGTTCTTTGATTTCTACATTATTCCACTTGCAAAGAAGTTGGAAGAGTGTGGTGTGTTTGGTGTTGCCAGTCATGAATACTTGAACTACGCCGAGCAGAACCGTAAGGAATGGGAAGCCAAGGGACAACAGGTTGTGGATGAATTGATGAAGGAAGTCGAGGCACAAGGCTACGAGTCATCTGCCTCAGGGAAGTCCGCGGACAGCTTTGCAGTGCGGTCAGCCTAGGGGAATCAGCTGACTATTAATTTGATAGGATAGGGTGTAATATCATTTTGATTAATTAAGGAAATTTTGTACAGACTTGTTTGCTTTACTTTGTTATTACTGTGACAGGTTTGCTCCCTTTCAAGAGTGGCTGAGAATTGACAACATTGTATGGTACTTCACTAGTCCCTTTTCAATACCGCAAGAACAACTGGAACACCACCATAAAAGTAACCAAGACTTGACCTTTCCAGAGCTTTCATAAGCTTATTACACAACGAAAGGGACAATGGGCAACTCTTCATCCCAAACAGCCAATGAAAAACGACAAGAGGAAGTCAGGCAGAAATTTGGTGTCCTGGTTCCGCCTTCATTCATTGTTGTTGACCCTTCATCAGATCCAACTGCCAGTCTTCCAATCTCATGTCAAACTCGACTGAAAAGTATTGCAGCTCCCAATGTTTTGAACGACCTTTGGACAATGAACCAAGGGCGCCAATTATTAGAAACTTACATGACTCCAGGTGTCACCTTGAGTGTTCCAACAGCGACTCAAGGCCAAATCTTGGTTGCCCTGAATACCACTGAAGGTGACAAATCCTCATTCCTTTGGGCAGAGCAACCTCTTTCGGATAACGCCAAAGCAGAATTGTTGGTTCCTACAGTAGATTCTCCACACTTTCATATGCGATACAAGCAAGACATTAACGAAAACACCTTTTGGGCAGTACGAGGTCAGGTGAATACCCAGCAAAAAGGATGGGTGGAAAGCCGACTGAAATCAACCTATGATGATTTGGACATCTTGTTCAGTGTTTCCTCCTCCTTGCCATCACCATCAAAAGACGCTACAAGAAAAGATGACATTATGGACCAAGTGTTGAACAGTGTACATTTACAAGCAGCAGCGGAGTATAAAGAATCGTTGGTTGCCGTTCAAGGTGGATTGGATCAGAACCAATTGCCAACGCTGACGGGGTCAATGGTATCTCTCAACTTGAATCATCAAGCCAGCGACAAGAATAATGCTGCTATTGATGGAGATGTAAACGCTAGAGTGCCCCCTCTCTGGTTGACACTCAAACAACTCAAGCCGTCCGGAGAGGACACCACCAAATGGACCCTCAACCTGTCACAAATCCTAACCTTTGATCGATACGTATGGAATGTCATGGAAGAACGAGCCCCCAAAGTGCGCCAAATTCTTGGTTGGTCCTTGCAAATGGATACCACCACTGCTTCGAATGATGCCGAATCATCATCGTCAACCCCCGAAACCAAGTGGTCCATCGGAACTACATGGCAAGTCAATCGGGGGCTTGCGTTCAAGGGTGTCATGACGACATCCAATACATCTCCACTTTCACTCAACTATGGATTCATTGTGAAGCGATGGATGCAGCCACGAGCAACCCTGAGCGTTTTGAGTCAGTTTGAATTTGCCACCAAGAAGAGTTCCTTCCTTGGCTTTGGCCTCGAGTTGGAAGCAAGTCCATTCACATTGAATTCTACGACTCCGACGTATCCGAATTCACCGTCACCGGATTATGCAAAAGCAGATGAAGCAGCTCCGACAAAAGTTTTCATCCCAGAAAGAAGGCGATAATAAAAGTAATATATTCATTAGGTTACAGTAATCTTTCGAATTATAAAAAAATGGAATGGATCGTAGCGTGTATTCCTCGTGAGCACACGGTTTGTGTCACAGCTCGCGATGGAGTCAAGATTCCCCGTATGGATTGACACCAAAAAGTATTCACTTTCCTCTGAGAGGGATTAGTGCAACGCTGCTGTATTCCACCGTGCTATATTTCTTCCGGACTGCCTGTAATTTCACGTTTACATTTGCATTCGACTCCGTCAACATCGCCTTGGCAACTGGCAAGACGTCTTTCTTTGAGAATCCGGTGTATTCTTCTAACAACTTTGTCCAGGCTGGTTGATCTATTAAAAGTGTTGATCGGGCAATATAGATGGATGCCGCGGCCATTTGGCTCGGCAAGTAATGAAGTAGATTGTAGCACCCCAGTGTCCCTTCCAAGATAAACATGGACATGTGAGCCATCTTTCGGTTTGCCTTGGCCACCTTCAGAGACCGAAGAAGAAACGTCAGTGACGTGGGAACGCAAAGTCGATAGTGGAGTGTGTTTAATATATCACCCTCTTTTGCAAATACTTGTTGCTTGGTGTAGCAACAATCACAGACTTCCACAAGTTGATTGATCTCCAGTGGTCTGATCTCTTCGTATTTGGAAGCAATCCATAAAGCTGTTGTACCCACCAGTTGGAAGTCTTTCCTGGGAACTTCAGGCGATGCCTCTAGATATCGATCGATCAAGTTTATAGTCAAGTACAAAGTTGCCAAGCTCAGTCGGTAGGAAAAGTGGACATCCACCACCCAATCAACCAAAATTGCTCTCATCAACTCGTTCAATTGCTTTTGTTCTTCCATGTACAATGGCCTTACGGAAGTTGTAGCCTCTCGAGCGGCAAAGTGTTCATACATCTCATGAATATAGTCATCTTTGCACAACGGATCGTTCCTGTCAACTTTTTGTTGTGATTGTCGAGTGTCTTTCCGTATTTGAAGCAGTTTCTTGGGAACATAGCTGCGACTGAAACGCGACAGTGACGACCTATTGGATACATCCTGAGAAAGAAAGAGGCAAGCGTGAGATAAGTACAATAGATGGCTCAATATCTCAGCAAGGCTTGATTTTCCTCATTGTTTTTCGTTCACACGAAAAATCAAATAATAGGAATGCTAAGAATGATAAGAGAACTGCGAAACAAGTATTATGACACACCTGGAGAGCCCTTCGTCGCTTGGTATGATCGTCGCCATTAAGAAGATGATTCGTTGGCATCATGCATTGTTTTACCTTTCTCGACCTTCTTTGTAAAGAGGATTACAATGAGCACACACAGATATCGAAAGATGAGGTACATGAGAGGTGGATGGAAAAAGAGCCGTTTTTTTGGATCTCAGATTTGAAAATGGGAGCGTTAGTTAACGATAAATTTGCTGGTAGGGTTTCTACGTGGGAACGTTGGCATCGCGATTTTGCGCGACCACGAAAACACCAAAATACTGACAAAACAAAATACCGACAAACAATACCGTTGAGTAATGAAAGCAACGACAAAACGAAAATAGTAGCATAGATCTGACTAATTGACCATGATTATTATTTGTGATGGCGACGCTTCTTTGATCCTGTCATTCCTCCCTTCTTGCCAGTCTTCTTCTTCTTCGTGGCACGATCCATCGATCTCTTGTCACTCTTCATTCTCTTGTCAACCAACTTAGTTCCCTTGACACCTCGTGTTCCACCGCCCTTTTTGGCGACAACGTATTCCTTACCCTTTCCATTATCATTGGATCTCAAAGCCTTGCTGATCGACTTCAGTTTCATTGTTTCGGACATCTCAGAAGAGTTGGCAACAGTTGCAGCCTTTTTCTTGGCTGCTGCGAGCTTTAGTTTTGCCTTTCTATTCTTACGAGCACGAGCTTCGGCAACCTTGGCAATAGGTCTCGTGGACAATGCAAGTTGTTTCTCCTTCATCTTAGCCAACAGAGCTTCGGGAATTGGCAACTGAGGTCTGTAGTGCCGGTTTTCATTGTCAACAAACCACTCTGGCAAGTTTGGTGGATCATTCCAGGCAAATCGGTTGTAGGATGCATCCACCAATGCCTTTGCCTTTGACTTTCGCAGCATCATTGTTCCGAGTGCCATTGTCTTGGCATAATCGTCACTGTCGTAGTCTTCGTTGTCGGAGTCATAGTTGCGATCGTCCATCAATGGCAGCGAAGCCGATCCTTGTCCAACAACCTCGAACTTGGAGTTCTTGGTATCACCATCACCCATGTCACCCATACCAGCCTTGATCAGCCTTCTTGCCTCCAGTATTTTCGCTTTCTTGGCAGGAGTCATGCCTGCAATATCATCAATGCTAGCATCGTCGTCCATATCGTCATCATCTCTTGCGGCGATGTCGAAATCACCATCGGATTCGCCCATTCGTTTTGCCTTGCGAACTTGTCGACGTCCATCACGCTCTTTGGCTTTCAGACGTTTCTCGTGACGAATTTGTTTGTCCGTCTTGGGCATCATTGCAAGGATGTCATCGGCATCGAGCCCAGGTTTCGATTTCTTCTCCTTCTTTGGCTGCTTCTCTCGCTGTGCTGGGCCCTTCTTCTTTTCCTTCTCGCCTGAAGCTTTCTTTCCTTTGGCGACCGGAGTCTCGGCTTCCATTTCATCATCGCTTTCATTGACATCATCGATATCTTCCTCTTCCTGTTTCTCCTTCTTGGATTCGGAGGTAGCCGAGTTCACAACTTCGCCCATGCTTGCAAACAGAGGATTGCTAAACCAACGAGTAGTCTTCGCAGAAGATGATTCATCATCAAACTTGTGAATCAATGGATTGCTGTCATCGGCAGCAGTCTTTTGCTTCTTTCGGGCATGTTCGCCTGGTGTGACTGGCGCATCGTGGAAGCCGTCATCGTCGTCACTGCTATCGCCGTCACTGTCACTATCGTCGTTTCCGACAAGCATTTTAGCATAGGTCTTGGTGTCTTGATCCATTTGTTCTGGTTTTAGCAGAAGCATCTCGTGGTCTTGGTGAGATTCTTGAGCCAACTTTTCTCTCATTAGTTTCTTGGAACGCTTGGAGGCCTTGGTTCCACTCTTGGCAGCACCATTCTTCGTGTTCTCCAAGTATCTATCATATGCAGCATCCAGCTCGAGTTCCAGTTTTAGTTTGATGGCAGTTTTGTCATCTTCGTCACTAATATCAAGGTTTTGCTTCAAGTCCTCATCGCCATCTTCGTCGTCCGAGGCAGCTCCAAAGACTTGCTCGTCCGTCATTTTGTCAATGTTGACTTCGGAAACTTGATTCAAGTCTTGGCCAGACTGCAGTGTCTTCAAGGAAAAGAATTTATCGTCTTCTTGGACTTCGATAGCATTCAGATCCATTCCCAAGGCAGCTTGGCGTCTCCTCTTGGCAGCAAGCTTGCGTTCCTTCTTTTTGACTTTCTTCTTTTCTCGTAGCTTGCGCTTTCGAAGATCTGAAATTTCCTTCTGAATCTCATCCTCATTTTCAGAAGCTGATCCATCGTCTTCATCACTACTATCATCACTGTCATCCCCCTTTTCTACTTTTGCTTTTGGTGCGTACATGTCTTCCCAAGTCTTTACCATCTTTTCTCTCCACAACATGAGACCCTTAAAGTCACCCTTGTTGAGAACCTTAAGATCGACAATGCACTCCTTAATTTCTGGAGTAGTCAGTGGATTATTCAACAAAAACTTGTTTTGCTTCGCGCGGACATCATCTTCGTCGTTGTGTTTGTCCGAGATGGTGTTGATATCGTCCATTCGAAAGGTGAATCCTGTGCAGGAACTGAGCAATTTGATAGCTTCTGTACCTCCCTTTGCAAAAACAAAGTCTGACACCGGTTGAATATGTCTCATGGTACCGTCCAACAACTCTGTATTGTATCCATCTCGATGACGCTTTTGCTTGTCCCAGCTCTTGTGGAAGACATTGAAATTGTCTCCAACTTGACCGGCTCCACCAGTGGTGTCGCCCTCCACAAATTCAAAGATGTGCTTGGGATCCAACAAACGTGGATCGATCTTGTCAGGCTTTAGGTATCCTTCACAGACGTAGAAAATTTCGGCAGACTGTTGACGACTGGCCTTTGGCTTGAAGACCGTGACGTCCCGAAAGAGTTGTTGCACGACCCATTGAAAGGAGGCAGAATCCCGACTGCGGTAAATTTTGGTGACAAAGGATCCGTTTTTCTTCAAGTGCTGTGTGGCACATCTCAAGGCGTGCACTGCCAATTCCAATTGTTCGTAGGCATCCTTTTCGTAGGAAGCACCAATGTTGGGGGCACCATCGTGCAAAACGACATCAGCCGGATGTGGAGAAATGGAACGAGAAATATCAGCCTTGCACTTTTCAGTAGTGATATCACCGACAATGGTAGTAATGTTGGGCTTGTTCAAATTACGAATGGCCAAAATATCCACGGCCACGATTTTGGTTTTGGATCCACAAATTCTGGAAGCAATCTGAGTCCAACCTCCAGGAGCTGCACACAAATCCAAGACAACCTTGGTATTGCGACTATCAAGGATGGGATGTTGACGATTGATTTGTGTCAGCTTGAAAGCGGCTCGACTTCTCAAGCCTTGCTCTTTGGCCACTGAAATTAGGATAAGAGAAACAATGCAAATGGTGTGTTAGAACAAATTCAGAAGAAGATGAATGCTTCAGCTTTTTTTGTTGCATTGAACTCCCAATTCTTTCTCTCTTCCATGAAGACTTACACTTGTAGTATTTATCCTTATCATGGAACTTTTTCCTCTTGGTACTCTTGCCATGATCCACCATGGTTGGTATTTGTAGCAGTTGTTGTTATTGTCGGAAGGTGGTCTGTAACAACGAAAAGCAGAAAAAGATGAGAAAAAGTTGACGTCCAATTTTCGCGCGGCAACGAGCGAATGGCCACAATACCATAACGTCTGGCCTTTGATGCAAACCAGTCATTCTCTGTTTCTCCGAATGCCTCAAACACAACCTCAGCATTTTCCAACACATCATCATCATCATCATCATTATTATCACTGCAACATATTATATTATACACATGTTCATCAATCATCATGGCAACGCCCACTCCATCATCACGTCATTTATTTAAGTCTCTGGCGAGGAGATACCAAGCCAGGCATCTGAGACTGTCCGAGCTTACTTCTTCCCTTTCCTACTCTTCTCATCATCACCAGTGGCCTAATAATGATCATCCAATACCCGCAACCTTGAACCTAGCATCAAAGTCATCAGCACATTTACCAACCACGGCGTCACTGAACACTACAGCAGCTTTTTCTTTTTCTACTGATGCCTCAACAACTTCTCCGATCAACTTGGAATCACCCAATTGCAATATTCCGCCACACATTGCCGACCGTGTTTTATTGACTCCAAAGTTGTATCAGCAACCACCCCACCCACTTTGCACCATCAAGGAAAAGATTGAAACTTTCTTTCCCGGCTTTGACTATGTAGACAGCAAGGATCCAATTGTTAAATCGACCGCCAACTTTGATTCCCTGTTGATTCCGCCCGATCACGTCAGCAGGAGCAAATCTGATACCTATTATGTGGATCATCCAGATGTTTGTTTGCGAACCCACACCAGTGCCCATCAATTGGAGCTGCTAAAACAAGGTCACAAGGAATTTCTGTGTACCGGTGATGTCTATCGACGCGACGACATTGATAAATCGCACTATCCCATTTTTCATCAAATGGAGGGTGTCAAAGTCTTTGATTTATTGCCAGAGGGGACGATGAGCGATCCGGAGCAAAATGTAGAATTGGTCATGGAAGACTTGAAGAAAACTCTGGAAGGATTGGCTCAGCACTTATTTGGTCCAGTGGAATGTCGATGGGTAGAAGAGTACTTTCCATTTACACACCCATCACTGGAATTGGAAATTTGGTACCAAGACGATTGGATGGAGGTGTTGGGTTGCGGTGTCATGCAGCCAAAGATTCTTCAAGATGCTGGATACGATACTACGAAACATCAAGCATGGGCCTTTGGGCTGGGTTTGGAACGCCTGGCCATGGTTCTATTTGAGATTCCCGACATTCGACTCTTTTGGTCTCAGGATGAAAGATTTTGGAATCAATTTCAACCCGGAGAAATCACCAAATTCCAGCCCTACTCGAAATATCCTCCATGCTTTAAGGATGTTAGTTTTTGGGTAGACGATGCTGCTGCTGGCGACCATGAAGCTGCCAAGAACTTTCATGTCAATGAATTGAACGATTTGTTACGTCAAGTTGGCGGAGATTTGATTGAAGCTGTGGAATTGGTGGATCAATTCACTCATCCCAAGACCAATCGTGAATCTCACTGCTATCGCATTACTTACAGATCGATGGATCGGTCCTTGACCAATCAAGAGATTGATGCCTTGCAAGAGCAAGTGAGAGATAAGATCTCGAATCAATTGAATGTAGAACTAAGATAGAAATTGAAACTAACATCGAATCAGGGTGTTCCTACAGTACAGCACAGGACAGGACAGCAAAGATCACTACTAGGTGGAATATTGGCACAGGATAGTTCAAGGGCCCATTACAGTCGTTGTGTTGGGGAGCCCAAGCTACCAGTATACCAGTACCGCACTACCGGTGCGAAGCAAATACTCCGTTTTTCGTACGTCGAAGAAAACGATTGATTCATTGGATTCGAACAGATTGATCATGCTTCTGATCCACCGCGGTCATCAATAATACTGCGTACAATACTGTACCACATACCAATATGGTTGGGTACCAGTACTAGTGTACCATGTGGATTTGATTGATTGACGCGACCGGATTGGCTGGTGTAACTTCAAATTGTTCCGAAAGCGTTTGAACTTAAATTTTAGTTCGCAGATGTTCTTGAGTCAACGCTTGATCGTCGGCAAACGCATGTGGTACTCAAATTCCACCGCGGGCGAATATGCTCCTCAAACTACGTTTCTCACATTTCACCAGATGTATATTGCGCTTGGTACTGTAGAGTAGGGTTAAGGTCCCGATAGATAGAGTGTCCTGGAATCGCCACAGTTATTGTGCTAATCAATGATATGCGATATACAGCAGATCTGGATCTCGCTTGATCACGATCCTAGCTGATGCCTGCTATCTCCTCGTTTTTGTCTTCTTCTTACCTGCTACAATAGCTATCCTATAATGAAAAGTCCTTTTCCGTCAATCATAAAGCAATAGCACCTACATCGTGTCTAATTACTCTCTACAATAGCGTGTCATCACGAAATAGCCTCCCCGAGAAACTACCCTGATGCAACGGAAACAAAGTTATATGGACCCCACTCCAAATGTAGCACATAGTATTAGTGGTGGTGGTTGGTCTTCCTCCGCTTGGAAGCGGATTCTTCCGAGTCTTCCGATGTGATGCTTTTTCTCGCATCATCTTGTAAGGTAGAGCTGATCGAGCTGGATGTACCAAGCAAACCTTGACGCTGCTGTCCAGCTGCTGGGCTCATGGGAGCAGTTGGGTTCCGCATGGAACCCGCAAAAGCTGACCTTGATGGAGATTGTTGTACTTGCGGCATCCCGAGAGGCGCGTTTCGCTCCTGGAGCAAATGATGTTGCTCTGTCATCATTGTTGCTGCTGTTGCTGCTGCAAACCTAAGTTGTTGTTGCAAACTCAGACTGTCAAGCTGAGAAGCCTGCTCTTGTTCTTGCCTCCGCCGACGATCCAGGACTAGTTGAGCAGCCACTGGATCCGTCCTGTGAAGGTGCAGAATCGCTAGGCGATCCAGAGTGTCAGAGTCCAAAGCGGCGGATCTCTGTTCCAGACCGACCAGTGGGTTTTGCAGCACCAGGGCCTGTGAACCTGAGAATCGCTGTTGTTGAGCAAGGATCTGCTGTGCAGTAGAAAGTTGCGACTGCTGTGCAATTCCTGATGTTCGAACTGAAGCATTCTGTGCCATTAAAAGAAGCCGCTCGCTGTCACTAGAGAGTGCGTTGGGAGGCGTCCTGAAATGATCATTTCTGGACGACCACGGGGATGAGAGTGAAGCCTGTAGCTGTGCAGAAGAATCTGGAATGGTCGGCTTTGATTCCGATCCATCTTTCCCATCTTTGGATGCCTCAAACTTCTTGTCCTTTCGCTTCGAATATCGAATGGCTTGCTTGATTTTGTATGCCAGGACTTTTTTGTCCAGGACGACTTCATACACTGGTTTCCCAGACAAATCTTGTTGAGAGTCCATCTTTTTTAGGAAACGTCCTCGATTCTGATATATGGACGATATGATAGCATCCACAATCCTGTCTTCAGTTGCTTTGTCTGGGGCTGATACATAAGCATCTTTATGGCTTTCTACCTCATCTCTAAAGAGGCAATTGCCCAAGTGCTCATTGGGTCCAGTTCCTCTTCCCAGCAAGACGTCATTCGGCAACAGATCATTTGTCGCAACCCTTTGCGAGACCTCTTCTTCGTTGCCGTCCATCGACATCATTCTCGTCACTAGCGGGAGGCCACGACTGTTGCCGGGCCACTGCTGCTATCTTTCCGAATATGCGACTTTAGGAAAGGATCGAGGATGGCGCTTTGTCGGTTCCTTATATTAGATGGTACCAAGCTTTTCTCTTTTCGTTTTGAACCGACACCAAAAGTTCCGTACACAATTTTTAGCGCATCAGATCTGAATCGCAGATGGCATAATATATATTTATTAGCAAAAAAGTTCTCCTTTGTTCGGATCTATTAGCTTTGTTCATTTTTGTTTAACCTAAGTCAACAGGACCACGAGGTTTCTATTCATTTCATTAACTAAATAAAAAATACGAAGTGTGTTGCGAAGCTCTTGGAAGTAGTGAGGGTTTTTCTCTTTTAACCCATATATATTCTTATTAGACACTCTGACGGGTCCCATTCGCCATTTGTTTCTGCTCAGCGCTATTTCTGCGGAAGTTCAACCCAAGGAAGAAGCAAAAGAATCACGCGAATCGAGCGCGACGCATGGATGTGACATTTGACGTGTCCTCGTGTTTTTTCAGATTGAGTAGCGGGAACGACTGGTTGTGGTTCGAACTTGAACCCGATGCTTTGTATCATATCCACATGCCGGTACACGTGTACCGGTACTTTTATTGGTATCGGTAGGTACCGGTGATGAAAGCATAAAAGCTGGCGCAGTCTATCATTCGACCAAATCCACAAACACTTCGACCATATGCCTGAGCAATACCTGCTGGCGTGTGATGATGTTGTGTGATGTTTGACACATCCGTTCACCCTACAGTTTACCGTATATATTGTCCATTAATTGAACTTGCACTTTCCCATGAAAGGACTTCAGCAGTTTGTACTGACGGCATATATCCTCGTGCAACCCCTGTCTTTGGCACTCACTCCAGAGTGCAGTGAGTGCCCTAATGCTTCATCATCAAGAAGAGGAAGTGGAATCTCCCTACACTCAAAACGACGGAAGTTTCTTCAAGAAGTCTTCTTAATAGGGTCTTCTTCAATATTGATTTCTCCACCCGTTGCAACGGCAGTGGAGACAGAGAAGTTGAAAGACTATGCTTACTCCAAAACATGGCAAGGAACAAGTTTGGAGATACTCCAGTTGGAAAAGGCAGCGAACCTTGCATTGACAGACGACCAATCATCTACATTTCCAATGGGTAGATGGCCAGATCCAATCCTTCGTCGACCAGCATCTCCGGTGAATGTTTCGTCGTCTACGCAACAAACAGCTGTTCGAGCTATTGCCAATGCGCTGCGACGGACCGCTCGGACCTCGGGAGCCGTGGGGCTGGCGGCACAGCAATGTGGTGTGAATGTGCGCATGATCTTTGTAGACGATCCGAAAATATTGGCTTCGAAATCCAACAAGGCGCTGAATCAAATCAACAATGGTGGTACCTTCCTGCTGAATCCACGGATTGTGGCTCGTTCCTCAGAACTGGACATGCAAGTTTGGAATGAAGAGTGTCTAGTCTTGCCTCCGACATTTCGTGCAACTGTGCTGAGGGATTCATCTGTCAGCGTGGAACACGAAACATTGGACGGCAATACGAAGATTATTGAGCTAAGTGGGGAGTTAGCTCGATGTTTGCAGCACGAACTAGATCACGACCGAGGAATATTGATCACAGACCATGTTGGGCTGAACGATCTAGAAAGTGATGACATGAGAAGGATTGAACGAGAGGGCCATGACCGGCGTCAAGCTTTGGCATATTCTAGATTTGTTGCCGAGCCCACATCTGAGAGCAGCTCCAGTAGGTCGTTGCTAGCAAAATGGAGTGATCGGGTTGTCCCTCCTGTGAATGCGGCTGATGGGGAATCTATGGCTGGAGTGACAATGAATAGAGGTAGTTTGCGACCAATAGCGGATGCGGCGACAAATGAAACCGCGAGCCTAGCCTGTGACGAAGCATGCATGCAAGAACGGAAGAGAATCATTGCTGAGCGACGTGCAATGATGAATCAGGCTCGAAGCAACACAAGGCGATCTGATGTGTTTGAACTTTCCAAACAACGAGCTGCACTCTATGGCACGAAATATCAAGGGGCTTCTTGCCCTCCTAATGTACCGTGCATTTAGATTATAGTGTAATGGGATGAATCATTTTTGTTATATCATAATAGTCTGGACTTGTAATATTCACAATCACTTTTATGCAACTATGACAGCGAGGTACCTGAACCTTCTTGTTGACTTTTGGATCTGGTTCAGCAGGAGCACCGAGTGGTTTCCAAGACGCTATTGCAAATTGGTTTAGTTCATTCGAATCATAGACCCAATGGCCAACATTGTACCCATGAACATGGCCGAAGGCAGAGTCTGTGGAGTGATTCGTCGTGCATGCAAAATACTTCCAACAGCACCAACCATACTTCCTCCGGCAAATCCAGCGGCCCCTCCTTTCAACTTTCGACTCCAGTTGGTTGGTGATGATCGATTGTAAGACATGGCTGAAGTAAAATAATTGTATCAGTGATGATTTCTGAATAGTGATGGTCTGAAATCGAAGATGATGATGATGGCCAACTGATGATGAGGGTTCTCATATCTGGAAATTTGAATCGAAGGAGTCGTTTATTGGTCTTCATTAAATTATACTGACATCCGAAGGCAGGCAGGCAGGTCTTCTTGTGTGCCTTCATCCTTCAAGTCCCATGGTATTCTGCTCTAAAAAGTGCAATGATTCTGAGCTGTACCCCGGTTAGCTATAAAAGCTTCACGCAAATCTTGGATACTAGACTACTACTACCACCACTACGACGACTATACCATTAAAGTGCGGTTGAAGAGGAGGATGAATCCAAAATTTCAGCTCGTGAATTCAATTTTTTTCCCTATCATGAATTTACTCTGGCTTGACATAGTACTTTGTTACATATTCAATACAAGTCAGTTTTAGGACCTAGTTGATCAACGGATGAAGATAAGACACAAGGTTGAGTATGGCCCTACGCACGCATGACAGATTTTCTGGCGGGAAGGGGCGTGCTCGCTCGCCGAAGGTATGTTCAATATCCGTGTCAATATCGCCAGACACGATGTGGCTCGCATTCAGCGAAAAATGTTGGTATCAATTTGAGACTCTGTTCACAATTTCGACTGTTCAAGGTTTTCAATCATCAAAACTGAACCATGAAACTATCCACAGCAGTAATTGCAGCCCTTGCTGCTGCCGTCAATGTTGATGCCAAGACTCTCGATGCAAAGACTCTTCAGAAGACCATGAACAAAATGGGTACCAAGCAATCATTGCTGCGAAGAGCCCGAAAATTGGACCAACAGGCACAAGGTGACGATGCTGGCCAACAAGAAGAGTTCCAAATCACCTCGGACTACTCCATCAAGTTCAACTCTTGTGCATCCCTCAAGATTCTTGATGTCGATGATGTCAGCACATACATCACTAACACTCAATACAGTGGAAGTAACGTCGACCTCAGTAGTTTGAATGTCTTCAAGGACTTCATTGTCTTTGATGCTACCAGCGACTCCAGTGGACAAACCGTCCAATTTGTCATTGATGTTGCCTCATATGTCCAGACTCTTATTCAAGCTGTTCCAGATGAATACGAGGGATACTGCAGTGCCTGTAGCGAAGCTTATGAAACTTGCACTGCTTCCTCTGTTTCTGCCGCTGGTGCTGACGAGGGAGGCCGCAAGCTTACCTCCAACTACGAGACCATTGATTGCGACATCTGTTACGCCAATGGCTGTTTCGCCGATGGTGGAAACGGTGATGGCTCTGTCTATACCGATTCCTATGGATACACTTCCGATGCTGCCTTGGAATGGTTGGACAGTGTTACCCAGTGCCAAGAGATCAATCAAGACAACGGATATGCCAACTTCAATGGCTACTACACTTTGTACGCTGGTCTCACCTGTAACGCCGCCGGAACTGGTGTCGAGATTGGACTCTTTGGAAACGCAGACTGTACCCTACAAAGCACCCAAACCAGCTTTTCCAACATTCTTTCTACTGAGACCCAGATCAACAGCTACTTTGAATTGACAAAGACTCTTGTCGAACATTCTTTCACCCAAACTACCTCTTGTGCTGAGACAACCTTCGTCAGCCCCTACGATAATGGAAACCGTCGTCGATTGCAGGAGGACGAGGATGAAAACCAAGACGAAAACCAAAACGAGAACCAAGACGAGAACCAAGACGCGAATCAAGATGAGAACCAAGATGAGCAGCAGGACGAGCAGCAGGACGAGAACCAAAATGAACAGCAAGACGAGAACCAAGATGCCAACGCTGATGCCAATGGTGACGACGCCGCCAACCAAGGTGAAGAAGATCAACAACAACAAGACCAAGACCAAGACCCAGTCAACGAGATTTGCCAAGCACTTACTGCAGACTCTTTCGCCCTTCAAAACTGCGGCCAAAATAATGGAAACAGCTATCAATACGACGATAATGGTAATGCTTGGGGTACCTACTACTACGGCAGCTACGGATACATCAACTACGACATTACCGATGCTGAAGATGCTGACCAAATCTGTATGGCCATGCAAAAGAAGTCTGGATACTACAACCGTGTTGGATCTGGATCTAACAAGAAACTGTACAACTACAACGGAAGAAAGACCAACACTTATACTTGGGATCTCTACTCTGGATCCAGCACCAATGGATACAACCCCAGCGGCTCCAGCTCTAACAGCACTAACAGTGGCTTTGACTGGTCAGGTACCAAGCAACAGATTGGAGACAAGTACAACGACATGAGCGAAAAGCTTGGGGAAGGTATTACCCGTGCTTCTGAAAAGACTGGATTGGAAGTCGAAGAAATCATTGGCATCATTGTTGGTGCTATTGCTGCTTTGTGTTTGTTCATCGCATGTGGATGCTACTGCTGCTGTAAGAAGGACACGGATGAGAAGCAAGTCAATCTCCTTGGAGAAGGACGGGAGCGAAGGGAATGGAATGCCAAGGATAAGTGGGAAACTTCCCGAAACAAGGCCACTTGGGCATAAGCCAAAAAGTGACCACGACCTACCACCCAACCCACGACCACCATGCAAACCAACAAACCAACAAACAAATCACTACCTATATCTATCTGTACTCTTTTGTGTCTGAGCGCGCAATATAATAATTGTATTTACTAATTTTGCAAATTCAAAGAAAATCAAACTACTATGCTCATTGCCTATTCAATTTTATTTTAAAATACACAGCTAGGTACAGTTCCGCTACTCTGCTATGGTAGTCCTATCGCCCTCGACTTCTAATTTCAAAAAAATTCATTGGAGCCTGCCATCGGAACTACCGTTACGAGATTGCCAATCGGCGATCGTACATTTCCATAACAAATAACAACATTGGCGTACTCCGCGCCAGCGTTGCGCGCGTACCAGCCAAATGCCCGCGAAAATCAACGGTCCATGAATTCTGAAGGAAAGTTTTCGCTGAACGAGCAAAATAGCAACAGAGTACATCAAGCAGGTAAGCAATGAGAAAGCAATTGAGTTATCATTGAGAGCATAGGGTCGGTGGTTTGTTAAGCCTTTGTTTTTGCAAGACAAGAATTGTTTTCTGGCGTTGAATTGGTTACAAAAAATTGGCTAACTCAAGTTTTCTGATATTCTCCTGATTTTCATTTGAATCAATCTTTGTCCACCTTATCTCAACGCAACGTTTCCTCTTTTACAGCTATTGACACAAGACGAAACCATGAAATTCTCGTCCACTGCTCTAATTTCAGCGCTTGCCTTTGCGGTAGCTGATGCTCGGTCCTGGAACACTGCCAAGATCCAATCTCACTTGAACAAGGTCTCACCGGAGAAGTTGCTGAGAAATGCTCGTCAACTCGACCAACAAAATCAAAATCAAGGATTTGAAATTACAGCTGATTACAGTGTCAAATTTAACGAATGCTTGACTTTGAACGTCCTCAATAATCAAGAAGAGGAAGGTGGTGAAAACCAAGATGGCGGAAACAATGTCGATCACGCCACTTCCATTGTGGATTATGTAATCGTGGATGTGATTAGCAGTTACGATGGATCTGTCAAGCAATTTGCAGTCGATTTGGTTACTTTTGTCACTACTTTGGCTAACTACATTCCAGACCAAATGACAGAATACTGCGAAGCCTGTGATTACGATTATTGCTACAACAACAATGGCCAAAACGATGATGGTGCGAACAACAATGGTGATGCCAACCAAGACAATGGCGATGAGAACCAAAACGGCGAAGGCCAAGATGGGGAAGGTCAGGAAGGCGAAGGTCAAGATGGCGAAGGTCAGGACGGTGAAGGCGAAGATGGTGGCGCCCGCTTCCTTGCGAATCAACAAAATGGCAAGATTGTCTACACGGACTGTGACACTTGCAGCAACATGTCTTGCTTTAATGACAATAACAATGCCGATGGTGATAATGCCAACGATGTGTACTCAAACGAGAATGCCCTTCAATGGTTGTTGAATGTCGGTGAATGTCAAGAGATCAACGAAGACTATTACAATTATCAAAATGCTGATGGATACCAACTCTATGCAGGATACACCTGTAACTCGGATGGCACTGGTATGGATATCGGTGTCTTTGCGGATGAAGAATGTTCCATCTTGACCACTACTACATTTGCTGAAGTTGTCGAGAATGGTGGATACGGAGCCTCTTACCAAAGCATGAGTTCTGGATTAGTCCACCGCGTCTTTCAACAATACTTTGACTGTATGAACACGGAATACATTAACCCTGGTGAAGATCAAAATAACCAACAAAATGATAATGCCAATGAAGATGAAGATGCTCAGTTTGAGGCCAATGAATACTGCCAAGCATTGGTCCAAGAGGGTGCCGTTGCGATGGACGAAGCGTGCGAGGACGAGAATGGCGATGGCGAAAACAATTACGAGTACGATGAAAATGGAAACCCATGGGGGCAATACACTGATGAAAACGGAGATATGTAAGTACTGCAGCACTGTTTTGAAATCATACTGAAATCATACATGTTCCGCATGTATTATATTATTCCATTACGATCAGTTCAATGTGCTGACAACATTTTTTTCTATCTATCTTTCCACAACAACTCTATATAGTGTCTACTATGATATCCAAGACGACGAGGACGGCGAGCAGGTCTGCATGGCCATTCAAGGAAAGAATGGTGAATACACCACTGCTCTCGAGGGAGGATCACAGTTGTACGATTACACCACCACGAAGAACATTAACAACGACGACAAGTGGAATTTGGATTCTGGAAAGGAAGGTCAAAATGCCAACCTTACTGGAAGCGGGGGCGGCAATGGTCTTTGGAACAAGAGCCGTAATAAGGTTCACAACATGGCTAGTCAATATGGCTTTAGCGCTGCTGAAATGTGGGCCATTGTTGCCGCCTCGTTTTTGTTTGGCATTTTGGCTCTTTTGTTTTTCATTCGGTTGTTCTGTATGGGCAAGAAGAAGGCCAAGCTTTCGTTGGACGATAGCGAGGATGCTGTCACACGAAGCCGACGGGAACCTTTGGTCAACAACCCTGAGGTTTATGTTGCCTAAGCCTAAGGCGCATTGTTATTGGTTCTTTGGCTATTACTACAACGTGATAGAAGGAGGGTTGTAATACATTTGGTATGAAATTATTATATTTATATTTTACACTATATGCTGGACTATGGTATGGATAATTGGTATATGTAGTTGTTTGTTGAGTCGTCCCACATGGCGAAATCCACTAACCTTGGCGTTGAGTAGTAGACTTTGATGACGGTCCTTTTTGCGAATGAACGAATGAATGAATAAATCAACCAATCTTGTATCATTTGAAGGTTTTAGAATACCAAACGAACGCAGCGTAAGAGTGAGATGATCTCAGCATTATCTTTTTTAACATAAAAGCTATTATAATAGTTCATTCATTCTTTCATTCATTCATCATCCGAGTGATACCAGTACCTGGTACGGTACTACTTTTGGTGGAACCGCGTACAAGGTACCTGGTACTGGTACCACGGAGCATGCTATTTTCAGATGCCTTGGGAGAACAGATTCGAATGCCGTACGGATGGATGACGTACGGCGTTATATAAGGCCATTTTGATCGTGGCACTTACGGTACTATATTTTGATTGGTAGATGAGATGGCAGCGAGGTGGAGAAGCAGAAACGGAGAAAAGAAACGAGGCCAAAGAGTAATCGAACCACTGTTCCATCACAATCAAACCTTTGCCTGTTGTTGCTGCTGCCTGCTAGCTAGAGACAACAAAAAAGTTTAGAAGGATTCGTTCCAGATATATTCGGCTGCCTTTTAAGTTCTCTGAAAAATCAGTTTCTTATCTTACCTGAAAAGAAACAAATAATCATAACATCACCTGAAGAAATATAAAGAAACATCACCTGAAGAAAAAGCAAACGTCACCTGAATCAATCAATCAATCAATCAATCAAATTCAATATACTCATACACACACGTACAATATGACTACGCTTGCTGCTGCGCCTAACGCTGCGGATCCTATGATGATGGAACCATCCAACGATATGCAAATGGATGACATGAGTATTCAAAGTTTCTGCAATGGAGAAGACGATGAAGAATGTGAAGAAATTGTCGATCTTCTCCTAAACCCGTTCGATGAAGACGACGATGCCATTGGCGTGAACGTATTCATGGATGAAATTGATAAGAATGGAGTTGTCATGATGGACGATAACCTCATGACCGATGCATCATCATCGCTGCGTCAAGTTTCCGCAGGATCTAAATCCAACGCTACGGTCAATTCCAACATTGTTATGCCCGATGGCACGACCACGACCTCCATGGGTATCAGTGCCCAAGAGCAACAGCAACAACAAAAGGGACTGACCAACCGTTTCCCAGTTCAATTGTATCTTTCTTGCAATCCCGACCATCTCAATGACTATCAGGTCGAAATTCGCAAATTGATTCAACTGTTCGAGGCAACCCCCGCCTACGTAGAAGGGCAGCGAGTCAAAGGCCGCAACCGTGCCATTGTTTTGGGACAAGTGGGCGTCCAATGTCGTTTTTGTGGACATGTCTTTCCGCCCCAGAATCGTGCCAAGGGGTCCACCTACTTTCCGCAAAAGTTGGCTGGCATTTATCAAGCCTGTCAGATTTTGAGCACGACCCACTTGTTGGGGTCCTGTCCCAATATTAGCGTGGAAACAAAAACGCAGTTGCAAGAAATGCAAAAGACGAGCAAGGCATCGAGGACTGCTGGAAAGGACTACTGGGCTTCGACTGCCGAAGCTTTGGGAGTGTACGAAGATGAGCATGGACTCCGTTTTGAATCTCGCATACCGACCTACGATGATATGAAGGCACGGGAACGTGCCAAGGGAAACGGGAAAGATGAGAATTTTAAGTATTGAGAGCACCTGCAACTGAGTACCATACTTTGTGCTGGCGAGAAGCAAGGGGTAACAATACATACAGTATGACCGCATCAGCAAGACTACTATAAAATGACACACATTTAGTATATATTGGAAAATATTAAAAAATGAAACGAGAAACAAAAACAAAAAAGCAGGAAAGCGTAGTATAAAGCAGTACATTCATTGTTTTACAGGAACAATGGCAGCTGGCAACAGTATTCAAGACCCTTATTGTGGCCCTTTTTGTAATCAAATCCCCTAAATCTTTGGGAGAAGCTGGCTGGCGTGTGGGACTCTTCTTTTTGATTGGTGAGGCATGCGTCATCCGGTTGATGTTCCGTCTGATGTTTGATGGCTTGAGATCCAATCCATCAATCAAGAGAACATGCATGTCCATCGGAATTGTTTTTCGGATACAATACTGTAGGTACATCAGATAACATACGGTGCACGTAGGTACTTAGGTACTCTCTAACATAACACACAATCACACATACACAACACAAGAGAGAATGTGGAACAAACTTGATCTACTTCTAGCATGCCTTCTGTTGCTGAATAGTAGCGGTAGAAGCACAGCGTTTGCTCCCATCAGCAACAAGAACAAGAAACTACTACAGATTCCGGCAAAAACAACATCAACCTCCATCGGGGTGAAACTTGATTTTTTGGAGCAAAAAACGCCTGATGATGCAGAAACTCGCAGATTGTTGGATTCCTATGGTGAAAAGAGTCGGTTGTATAGACGCAATGTCTATTCGTCCGCTGATTGGGTCCGTTCGCGTCGACCGAAACGTTTTAGGAATAACATACGAACCACCTTTCAATCCGGATTGGTCCGACAACTGCAGCCAGAACTTACTGCGATTGTGACAGTGAGTGTTTTGGTAGTCCTGTACAATGATTGTTTGGCCGTTGGTTATACGGATTTTGACGGGGTCAAACATGCAGGTCTAGCACCCTTTTTACCGCCATTGGAACTTCCCATTATTGCCTGGTCACTGACAACGAGCGCTCTAGGCTTGCTTCTTGCCTTTCGCACCAACGTGTCCTATGCGAGGTGGAACGAAGGTCGAACGGCATGGGGAAAGGTCATTAATGATTCTCGATCCATTGCTCGAATGGCTTGCATCTGGTCCAAATCCTACAAAAGCATCAACGACGAATCCTTGCAACGACTGGGAGATGCCATTTGTTCTTTTTCTAGGAGTCTGATGAACCGGACATTGCCACCCCAAGAGGATGAAGCTAATTTTGTCATGTACACCTACAAAAAGATCAAGGACCAAGCCTATGCCAAAACGCTGAGACAGGCCAAACATCGACCAACTGCAGCTCTGGCCGAATTGACATCGGCCATTGTGGATTTTCAATTGAATCCACTCCATCAAGTTGAAGTGGAACATGCGGTGACTGGATTATGCGATGCCCTCGGTGCAAGTGAACGGATTTTTACCAGTCCCATTCCTCGGTTCTATCCTCGTCATACATCACGATTCTTGGCGTTTTGGTTGTTGACTTTGCCCATTGGTCTTTACGAGCCTTTGAATGAAAGTTGGAATCATTGGGCGGTCATTCCCATGACTGTGATTATTGCTTCCATGTTGCTGGGAATTGAAGAACTGGCCAACCAAATGGAAGAACCCTTTTCTATTTTGCCAATGGAGAAAATGTGTGAAGGATCCATTCGCGTGTCTGTCATGGAACAAGTGGAGCGTAGCCAAAAGGGAATACAGGCAGCATTTTGTGGAGAGGATAGTCATTTGATTGATGCCAGTCCAGAGAATATTCGAACATCCGTCATTGCACCAGAGAATCCCGATCCTCACTGGCTGAAAGAATCATCATCGTCATCCCAAGTAGGACTACCCAGTGTTGTCAATGGTGTCAATGGTGTCAATGGTGTAGATGCAAGCGCCATGTCACCGGAGCAGCCTCATTGGATGGGAACGGCCGATGATGCCTTTGCGCCTAATCCGAATGGAGAATCATCCTATCAGATTCACGCGCAAGAAGAAGAACCAAAAGCAGCAGATCCAAAAACGGAACCAGTAGCCACGACTTTTGAAGAATACATGAAGAATCGGAATCAGGAAAGTCTAGATACACGATAATACGGTAGAACCACGGCCTGACGACGAGTCAAGCAATCAAGCAATCAAGCAATCAATCAAACAATCAATCACGAGACCGGCAATGTCGAGCCAGTTTCTTCAGTATCCATCATGCATCATCATCATCATTCTTTAGCTTTTGGCTTACACAAGCCTTGGAAGGAATGGTACAGCATGTTGGTTGTTAGTAGACGCTTACAATAAATATTAAAATAGCAGACATTTGTTTTTGTTCACGAAGATTGATCTTCACGCGAAGAAGGATTTCAGTCGTTTTTCTGAAGATCCTGAAAGCTGCCCACCCTAACGTTTTACATACAGTATTTTGCTCGCGGCTGGTATTGAAATATTTTTTCTGCGGGGAGCTTGGGTAAAACCGGGTTTAGCGGGATTATCTCGGTATACCTCGGTCCCATCTCGCTTTTGTTGCGACTGAAAGATCCCTATCCAGGTTCAGGAGACTTCAATCGTACTTCGAATCATCCTAATCCTAACGCAATAGGCAAAAAAGATGAAGTTCCTGAAGATTAACAGTATTCTGGCTGTTATGCTCATTTGTAACACCAAAGTCCCTCTTTGCTCCTAACAACGCCAAAAACACGGCTGTTCTTTCTTCCACACCAAGCGGTTAGTAGCGTAACGTGACTGACTGGACTGCCGAGTCCCGAGCAGATATATTAGAGCGATCGAAGGCCAACGGTCGTCGCCAATCTCAAGCCCAAGATCAATCATCTATCATCTACTCACAGCTGCTTCAGACCCCCGTAAATACACCCCAATAGCAATATCAATCACCGTCTATCATGTCCAACAGTAGCTACATCAATGCACGAGTACGCTCTCTCCACGATGAGATTCAGGAGCACAACATTGTCACGTTAAGGTAGTACCAATCCTGCTACTTGGAATCCTTGCAACCCTTGGAACGAATAACTCCCGAGTAGGATGAAACTGCCAAGTGGTTGGGATTCGCATGGAGAGGAAGCCAGAAAATATCGTCGAAATGTCTTACATTATATTTGTACACCTGTCACCTGTAATACAGCAGCATATTGGATCGCAAATCTCTTCGATCCACTCGATTTAGTCAATAGATGCAGTTTCGTTTCGTTTCGGTGCGGTATGTGTACGAGTACAATACCAGTTCAAGTACCAGATACCAGGTACCAGGGTACGTACCTGGTGGGTACTGTAGATTATGTGGACGAAATTTCAAATTTAGCAAAACTGTGCAAAAATCGCGCGGAAATTGAGTTTTGCGTTTGCGTTCGCGTTCGCGTTCATTCAGACTATACGATGGCAAATACGATGAGAACATTATCCATCGGAATTGTTTTCTAGAGATATTCGTACCGCCAGTACCTGCCTATCGAATAACATACGGTGGAACCCTTGTAACATACAAACATACAATCACGATATAATGTGGCGCAAACTCGATCTACGTCTGGTATGTCTGCTGTTGCTGAATAGTAGCGGTAGAAGCACCGCGTTTGCTCCCATCAACGACAAGAACAAGAAACTAGTAAAGATTCCAACAGCGACAACAACCTGTATCGGGATGGATTTTTTGGAACAAGAAACTCTAAGTGATGCAGAAACTCGCAGATTGTTGGATTCCTATGGTGAAAAGAGTCGGTTGTATAGACGCAAAGTCTTTTCGTCCGCCGATTGGGTCCATTCGCGTCGACCGAAACGTTTTAGGAATAACATACGATCCACAACTCAATCGGGACTGGTGCAGCAACTCCAGCCCGCATTAGCTGCGATTGTGACAGTGAGCGTTTTGGTAGTCCTGTACAATGATTGTTTGGCCGTTGGATACACGGATTTTGACGGGGTCAAACATGCAGGTCTGGCACCTTTTTTACCGCCATTGGAACTTCCCATCATTGCCTGGTCGTTGACAACGACCGCTCTAGGATTGCTTCTTGCCTTTCGCACCAACGTGTCCTATGCGAGGTGGAACGAAGGTCGAACGGCATGGGGAAAGGTCACTAATGATTCTCGATCCATTGCTCGAATGGCCTGCATCTGGTCCAAATCCTACAAAAGCATCAACGACGAATCCTTGCAACGACTGGGAGATGCCATTTGTTCTTTTTCTAGGAGTTTGATGAACCGGACATTGCCACCCCAAGAGGATGAAGCTAATTTTGTCATGTACACCTACAAAAAGATCAAGGACCAAGCCTATGCCAAAACGCTGAGACAGGCCAAACATCGACCAACTGCAGCTCTGGCCGAATTGACATCGGCCATTGTGGATTTTCAATTGAATCCACTCCATCAAGTTGAAGTGGAACATGCGGTGACTGGATTATGCGATGCCCTCGGTGCAAGTGAACGGATTTTTACCAGTCCCATTCCTCGGTTCTATCCTCGTCATACATCACGATTCTTGGCGTTTTGGTTGTTGACTTTGCCCATTGGTCTTTACGAGCCTTTGAATGAAAGTTGGAATCATTGGGCGGTCATTCCCATGACTGTGATTATTGCTTCCATGTTGCTGGGAATTGAAGAACTGGCCAACCAAATGGAAGAACCCTTTTCTATTTTGCCAATGGAGAAAATGTGTGAAGGATCCATTCGAGAGTCTGTCATGGAACAAGTGGAGCGTAGCCAAAAGGGAATGCAGGCGGCATTTTGTGTAGAGGATAGTCATTTGATTGATGCCAGTCCAGAGAATATTCGAACATCCATCATTGCACCAGAGAATCCCGATCCTCACTGGCTGAAAGAACAAGTAGGATTACCCAGTGTTGTCAATGGTGTCAATGGTGTAGATGCAAGCGCCATGTCACCAGAGCAGCCTCATTGGATGGGAACGACCGATGATGCCTTTGCGCCTTATCCGAATGGAGAATCATCCTATCAAATGCACGCGCAAGAAGAAGAACCAAAAGCAGCAGATCCAAAAACGGCACCAGTAGCCACGACTTTTGAAGATTACATGAAGAATCGGAATCAGAAAAGTCTAGATACACGATAATATGGTGGAACCACGGCCCGACGAGTCAACCAATCAAGCAATCAATCTCGAGACTAGCAATGCCGTGCCAGTTTCTTCAGGATCCATCATCATCATTCTTCAGCTTTTGGCTTACACAAGCCTTGGAAGGAATGGTACAGCATGTTGGTTGTTAGTAGACGCTTACAATAAATATTAATAGCAGACATTTGTTTTTGTTCAAGAAGACTGTTCTTTCCGCACCTTAGGCCTTGTTTTTTTGTACCTAGCATACTGCTCGTGATCCGATGATTTGAGTGATGATGATGATGATGGGCAGTATTCGTCAGTAGGATTGGCTTGCTTTGGAAAATCATCACTCAGGTCATCTGAAACCGATGATTGGATACAGCATGGATCAGAACTGAGAACAATTCAAAGATACGAAGGTTTCGTGATGAGAAGGAATCGATGTCACTAGAGAAAAGTGAGAAGGATTTTATTCGATTTTCTGAAGATTCTGAAAGCTGATCACCCTGACGTCATCAAGTATTTTGCTCGCGAATGGTACTTTTTCTACGGTAGTCAACGTGCTCACATCAATTGATGAAGATACCAATTTTTCGTTCTCGCTTTTGTGTTATCGTTGCGACTGAACCATCCAAATCCGGGGTCAGAAGACGTAAATCATACTTCGAATCATCTTCATCCTAGCCCACTAGGAAAAAAGATGAAGTTCCTTAGCCTTAACAGTATCCTGGCTGTTATGCTCATTGGTAGCACTGAAGCCTTTGCTCCTGCCAACAAAAATACAGCTGTTCTTTCTTCCACAGCAAGCGGTAGTAGTACCAATCCTGCTACGACCAGGCTGAACTTGGAATCCTTGCAACCCTTGGAGCAAATAACTCCGGATTACGATGAAACTGCCAAGTTGTTGGATTCGTATGGAGAGGAAGCTAGAAAATACCGTCGCAATGTTTTTGGATCTGCCGATTGGATCAAGTCTCGTCGATCCACTCGATTTTTTGATACCATTCTGTCCACACCTCAATCGGCCCTGATTCGACAAATCTCGACCGAAGTCCTTTTCATTTCGACAGTTGCCCTGTTCGTGGTTCTCTACAATGACTTTTTGGTAGAAGGATTCACCGATTTCGACGGAGTCAAGCATGAGGCATTCACCCACGCACTTCCTGCCTTCAAGCTTCCCATGGTTCCCTTTACCTTGAGTAGTGGAGCTCTTGGACTCTTGCTGACCTTCAGAACCAATGTGTCGTACTCGAGATGGAACGAAGCTCGGACTGCTTGGGGAAAAGTCATTAACGATTCTCGTTCCATTGCTCGTATGGGATGCATCTGGTCCAAGTCGTACAAGGGTATTGACGATGCATCCTTGCAGCGATTGGGAGATGCCATTTGTTCCTTTTCGCGTTCTCTCATGAACCGTACTCTGCCACCCCAAGAGGACGAATACAACTTTACCAAATACACCTATGAGCGCATCACGGACCAAAAGTACGCCGAGATATTGCGCAATGCCAAGCACCGTCCCACGGCTGCCTTGGCCGAGTTGACGTCGGCCTTGGTCGATTTCAAGTTGAATCCTTTGCACCAAGTCGAAGTGGAGAAGGTGGTGACTGGATTGTGCGATGCTCTCGGAGCCAGTGAACGTATCTTTACCAGTCCAGTTCCTACCTTTTACACTCGTCACACGGCTCGATTCTTGGCCTTTTGGTTGTTGGCTTTGCCATTTGGTTTGTACGAACCGTTGGGCGGAAGCTGGAACCACATCACCGTCTTGCCAGTGGTGGCCGTGATTAGTGGATTCTTGTTGGGTATTGAAGAACTAGCAACACAGATGGAAGAACCCTTTTCCATCTTGCCCATGGAAAAGATGTGCGAAGGAAGTATCCGAGTGTCGGTCATGGAACAAGTAGACCGTAGTCAAAAGGGAATCCAAGCACCCTATTACGGAGAAGGAAAGATGCTGAATGTCGCCAATCCATATGCTGGAGAGGCTCTTGATGCTGCAGTTGTGCGGCAGCCTGCACTCAGCATGTCGCAATCCATGGAAGAACCGGCACAAGTTGTCCACGTCGATGGAGCTCCGAATGGATTGGGTGCCGGCGGCATGGTCGAGCATCGTCATCCTGAAGCCTTTGCGGATGAAGATCCAACAAAATCAAATCACTCGTCACCGCTACTTCGAAAGATTGTGTCCAGATTCCGTTCTCCCTAAGGCATCACCAATACGTTTTGTCTGCATCCCTCTGCCGACATACCACCCTTCTCTGATCGGCACCATCGTTTAGATGGATCGAATCCTATTCTGTTATCGGACCAATCCTGAATCGTTCTTTTCATCATGGCTCCCGATACTACCAACAAAACATTTTCGAATCCGAACCATTATTCTTTCGATTATCCGCTTCATGGAATTATAAAACTATGATTGTATTTATTTTTCCTATAAATTTTGCACCGCACATGTGATTTGTTGAAGAAAGATTTCAAGGTTAGTTTTCAAATACCGCACTCTGTCGTCCAACTCATAAAGAGATTTGGATTGGATTGTGATTGGCAACTATCTGACACTATATCTACGTTGCCAAGGATGCCCTTCTAAAAGGCGTTCAGTTTGATCGATTCATTCCAAAGCGGTTACCCTGCCTATTGATTGTCACATTCCCCGAAGGCAAACGATCCAATGATCTCGAAATTCGACGAGCACTTAAAGAAGAAAAAAAGGCACCAACATTGGTGCACTTATGAAGAGCCGACAGCCGAAATCGCAGATCGTTTCCGAAGCCTGTTGCATGATACAGTGGTACATGTCATACATCACGTAACTGCTGAGGCAAGCATCATGTTCGGTCGGCGGAGTCAACTACCTGGTACCGATACCGATAGCACTCTCGCAACTCGGAATTATTAGGCACGCACGCACGAAAGACGGAACTTTGGTAGAGACTGCATTCCTGGTATTAGATATCTAGGGTAGCTATGTCAATACTACCCCTTTTTAGCCTGCTCGTATTCGTCACCTTGCTATGGCTTTTCTTTCTGGGATGATGAAGATTTCATGTATTAAAACCTCATGCTGCTGAATTCATAAAATATGATCAGTATTGTTATTCGTCGTTAGCAAGATTGGAATGTTTCAGAAAATCATTGGAATGTCTGAAACTAGTTGGATGATAAATATGGATTAGAGCTATTCAAGATACTACAGTAAGGTTTCGTGATGAGAAGGATTTGATGACATCAATGGACGAGAATAAGAGAAGGACTTGATTTTAGGGTTCTCAGGATTCTGAAAAGCGGACCACCCCCTGACGTCACAGTGTCGGACACAAACTGGTACTTTTTCTACAGCAATAAAAAGTACGCACGTCAACTGACGATGAAGCGCCGATCTTTGTTCTTGTTGTTGGAGCTCGAGATCCAACGACATCAGAAGACATCAAGCATATTAGGATCATCCTCATCCAAACCCACTAGGAAAAACGATGAAGTTCCTTAACCTTAACAGTATTCTGGCTGTTATGCTCATTGGTAGCACTGAAGCCTTTGCTCCTGCCAACAAAAAGACAGCTGTTCTTTCCAAAACGACAGGTTCAGGCAGCACTTCTACTAGCCTCAACTTGGAATCTTTGGAACAAAAGACTCCCGATTACGATGCCACTGCCAAGCTATTGGATTCGTATGGAGAACAATCCAGAAAATACCGTCGCAATGTCTTTGGATCTGCCGATTGGATCAAATCTCGTCGATCCACTCGATTTTTTGATACCATTCTGTCCACACCCAAATCGGCCCTGATTCGACAAATCTCGACCGAGGTCCTTTTCATTTCGACTATTGCCTTGTTCGTGGTTCTCTATAATGACTTTTTGGTAGAAGGATTCCAGGATTTTGCTGGTGTCAAGCATGAGGCATTCACCCACGCACTTCCTGCCTTCAAGCTTCCCATGGTTCCCTTTACCTTGAGTAGTGGAGCTCTTGGACTTTTGCTGACCTTCAGAACCAATGTGTCGTACTCGAGATGGAACGAAGCTCGGACTGCTTGGGGAAAAGTCATTAACGATTCTCGCTCTATTGCTCGTATGGGATGCATCTGGTCCAAGTCGTACAAGGGTATTGACGATGCATCCTTGCAGCGATTGGGAGATGCCATTTGTTCCTTTTCGCGTTCTCTCATGAACCGTACTCTGCCACCCCAAGAGGACGAATACAACTTTACCAAATACACCTATGAGCGCATCACGGACCAAAAGTACGCCGAGATATTGCGCAATGCCAAGCACCGTCCCACGGCTGCCTTGGCCGAGTTGACGTCGGCCTTGGTCGATTTCAAGTTGAATCCTTTGCACCAAGTCGAAGTGGAGAAGGTGGTGACTGGATTGTGCGATGCTCTCGGAGCCAGTGAACGTATCTTTACCAGTCCAGTTCCTACCTTTTACACTCGTCACACGGCTCGATTCTTGGCCTTTTGGTTGTTGGCTTTGCCATTTGGTTTGTACGAACCGTTGGGCGGAAGCTGGAACCACATCACCGTCTTGCCAGTGGTGGCCGTGATTAGTGGATTCTTGTTGGGTATTGAAGAACTAGCAACACAGATGGAAGAACCCTTTTCCATCTTGCCCATGGAAAAGATGTGCGAAGGAAGTATCCGAGTGTCGGTCATGGAACAAGTAGACCGTAGTCAAAAGGGAATCCAAGCACCCTATTACGGAGAAGGAAAGATGCTGAATGTCGCCAATCCATATGCCGGAGAGGCTCTTGATGCCGCAGTTGTCCGTGAGCTTCCCCCCAGCATGTCGCAATCCATGGAAGAACCGGCCCCAGTCACGCATGTCAATGGAGCTCCGAATGGATTGGGTGCTGGAGGCATGGCCGATACCCGTGATCCTGAAGCCTTTGCGGATGAAGATCCAAGAAAATCCATCTCCTCGGCTCCAACCTTTGAAGAATACATGAAGCTTCGAAACCAATCATAGAAAACAGACGGAAGATCTCGCGATTCTATAAAGGTTATCATAACTATATGGCAGGATAAAAGAAACCCGATTAAACAAGGCTACAGTACCGTATACTAAAGAAAAAGTTATCAGCAAATGACAAATGATATACCATTGCAGTCTTGTTTGAATATATGGTGTCTGGCATTCAACCGCAGCCATCACGTTTCATTCTGAGAATGAAACACAAAATAAGAGTGACATGTTATTGTAATGCCAGCGTCGTCCATCAACTCCAACTCTGGCCATGGTGAGAACGGTCCTTCGGACGAGCATGCATCGCTATGTAGGTCGTAAAACCACTTTGGCAGAATGGAATAAGAGTGTTATTCTATTGAAATCCACAACATCATTGAATCAAAAGAAACAATCCATGTTTGGTCGTCAAATTTGTTGCAAAAGTCTGCTGATACAGCTGCCACAACAACAATTCCGTGATAGTGCCTTCTTCCTACATGGATATTCAACACTGCGGCATTTCAGTCAGTCGACACATGGAGCAAGGCGTTCCAATACTTCCCATATCTCACAGCAGCTTCAGGCTTGCCAAAATGCAAGAGACTTGAGCATGTTTCTAAGAACGAATGGAAGACTATTCCATGGACGACAAGAGTTTGAGCTTTTAGAGCAACGAATAAAGGTCCTGAACAAGACGACAAGGATGACAGCAGCCCATGTTGCTGGACTCATGAATGCTGTGTCCCGAATATCTACCGTGGCCAAATCACAGCAACGACAGGCCCTCATGGATCTGAGCCGTGTCGCACAACCAATGCTGAGGCATTGTCAAGTCAAGGAACTATGCAACATTCTAAATTCGTTGGCAAGTAAAGATGTACAAAATCACAAGTTGTTTCATCAAGCAAGCAAATTCCTAATGTCCTCGAATTATAGTATGGCGATGAATCCACAAGACATGGCCATTCTGGCAAACGCCTTTGCCAGAGTCCAACATCAAAGTTCAAAGCTGTTCGAGGCAATAGCAGTCCAAGCCATTCCCCAAATACAAGATTTTACACCCCAAGGACTGTCCAATCTGGTCAATGCCTTTAGCAAACAAGACCATCCAGATTCCAAACTCTTTGAAGCGGTGGCGGACGAGACGGAACGAAGACTTACAATGCTGCGACGACAACAGGAAGATGACGATGATGTTGATGATTCCTTAGTATTCTCTCCCCAAGGACTTGCCAATATTGCCAATGCATTTGCCAAAATGCATCATCATCATCATCCCAAGCTCTTTGCAGCGATTTCCAAAGCAGCGATTCCTTGCATTGACGAGTTTACCCCACAAAACTTGAGCAACATGGCCAATGCATTTGCCAAGATGAGTGATCAACATCATGATGAAGAAGAGCTGTTGCTACTATTTGATGCCATCAGTAAAGCAGCCCTTGACAAAGTACCGTATTTTAATGCCCAAGAGCTTGCCAATCTGGCCAATGCCATGGTCAAGATGATGGGACATCATCATGGGGCCACAACGGCACTACCACTACTACTACTACTACAGGAAATTGCCCGAGCCGCAATTCCTTTATTATCATTATTGTCCACCAATAACTCATCCTTCAACGCACAAGAACTGGCCATGTTGCTGAATGCCCTCACCAAGAACAACAAGCAGACTCCTACCGTTAATGAGCTATTGCCAGGCGAAACTCAAGACGAATTCTGGAAGGCTTCTGCTACGGCGACCCTTTCCTTGCTACCAGAATTTCAACTCCAAGAACTTTGCATTGTTGCCAATGCCTTTTCCAAGGCACCACCACAACCACTGAGTAATGGTGGAGAATCGCCGTACGATAAGATGAAACTCTTTGATAGGATTGCAGAGGCAGCCTTGGACTTGTTGTCGCTACTAGTAGGGGATGAGAAGAATCACCAATTCCAACCCCAAAACTTGTCCATATTGGCCAATGCCTTTGCCAAAGTAAATCATCATGAGGCTACAGACATGTTTCAAGCCTTGATCCAAGCTGCCATTCCATTGTTGCCACAAATGAGTCCTCAAGAAGTTGCCAATCTGGTTAGCGCTGTAGCCAAACAGAGAATAGAGGGACCAATGGCCGACCAACTATTTGCAGAGACTGCCAAACTCCTCCTGCTTCAATCCAACGACCGTATTGCCTCGTGGGAGCAACGCAACTTGGTGGAAGTTGCCTATGCCTTTTTGAAAGCCTTTCAGACGAATGATATACTATTGGAACGGATTGGATCCGAGATTTATTCCCGGCCTGAATTGGAATTGGATGCCATGGGTCTGGGTCACTTGGCGGCAGTTTTGAGTCGGACACCCATTGGGTGTTCTGCAGAACTCTTGCATTCCATCTTTGCCAGCTTTGAAAGGATGATTCCACAAGATTCCATTCAAATTAGCAACGTGGCAGATATCTGCAAGGCAATTCCACTGGCCTACGAACTGAAATCAATATCAAAGAATCATGGATTCTTGAGACAAATGGTGGAATATTCCATTCGCAAACGCCACAATGCCAGTCCTCCGGATGTCCGAGACTTGCTACTGAATTTGACGTCACCTCGGTTAAGTGACCATGGAGACACCGCCGACAATAGTTCCCTTGTCGAATTGCAACGGTCCTTGTTGGTAGCCTATCAACCCATCTTGGAGCAATGTGCGGACCACCAGATTGCGGCCAAGCATGTCAAGACGATTCGGAGAGCCTACAAGAGACTGCATGTGTAGCATCATTATCAATCAATCAAGTAAGCAATAAGGGCATGGACGATATTAAAACAATTAGACTCTAGATAGAATAATGCTAGCAGGTGCACCTCGCTCATCTTCAATCTGGATACCGGTATAGTTCGAAATCTCGCAAATTCAGTTCTCAATAATCCGACCCATCCGAGTTGAATGTTCACTCTGGTGACGTACTTACGTCAGTTTGTGGCACCGACGAGACGAGAGCGATCTTTTGTGAGAAATCGAAGAAATCGCGTACGAGAAGCGGTAGGCTCGACGTCATCCACATCAGAAGAATTGCATCTCCTCACCGTCGATCTTTTGTTGCTATCCATACCAGGAACATTCCTATTCTACTTTTGTGCTGCTCATCCAACCCAGGCACTTGCTGACTTACATCCGCCGACCTTCCATCACTGCATATCAATTTCACACTAATTGAAGAGAATAATCTGAAACAAGCATCAGCAACTATAAATCAGCAACGAGTATCATACATACAAGATGAAGTTTCTAAATCTTCCATACATTCTGGTTGCCATGGTATTGGCTAGCAGTAGCAGCAGCTGCACTTCGAATGGAAACGGTGTTGCTGCTTTCAGTCTTCCGAAACAAGCTCACTCCAGCGGCAGCATCACATCCTCCACTGAATTGAATCTAGAGTCCTTGGAACAAAAGACACCAGATAACAAACAGACATCCTTCTTGCTGGATACCTACGGAGAAAAATCAAGGATTTATCGTCGGAGCGTCTTTTCTGCTGCCGATTGGATCAAGAGCCGACGTTCCAATCGCTTTATTGATACTCTCCTCAAGACTAGCCAATCGGCGTTGGTGAGACAACTTGGAATTGAAATTCTATTCATTTCGGCCGTGGCCACTGCCATTGTCACCTACAATAACTTTTTCATTGAAGGATGGATCGATTTCAAGGGAATTGAGCATGAGGCCATTCATTTCAATCTTCCAACTCTGGCTGCTTCGCCCTTTATCGTTTCCCTTCCTCCTTTGGAACTTCCCAAGGAACCTTTTACCTTGACGTCGTCTTCCTTGGGTTTGTTGCTATCCTTCCGAACCAATGTGTCCTACAAGCGTTGGAACGAAGCCCGAACTGCCTGGGGAAAGGTCATTAACGATTCTCGCTCCATTGCCCGTATGGGAGCCATTTGGTCCAAATCCTACAAGGACACGATCGATGATGCCGCCCTTCAACGATTGGGGGATGCCATTTGTTCCTTTTCACGCGCCCTCATGAACCGCACTCTACCACCCCAAGAGGACGAAACCAATTTCAATATTTATACCTACCAAAAAGTGGCCGATCAAAACTATGGACAAGTCCTGCGATCGGCCAAGCACCGTCCCACGGCGGCCTTGGCAGAAATTTCCAACATTTTGGTCGACTTTCAATTGAATCCATTGCACCAGGTCGAAGTGGAGCGGGTCGTGACTGGATTGTGCGATGCCCTCGGTGCCAGCGAACGTATCTTTACCAGTCCCGTTCCTACCTTTTACACCCGTCACACGGCACGATTCTTGGCCTTTTGGTTGTTGGCCTTGCCCATGGGATTGTACCAACCCATGGCTGGAACATGGAATCATTGGGGGGTCGTCCCAGTCACCATGGCCATTAGTGGATTCTTGTTGGGGATTGAAGAACTGGCTACCCAACTGGAAGAACCCTTTTCTATTCTACCCATGGAGAAAATGTGCGAAGGAAGTATCCGAACGGCCGTCATGGAACAAGTGGAACGCAGTAAGGCTGGTATTCAATCTCCCTACTATGGAGAGATGTAAACAATGAAATACATAGGCTGATATAATATTGTGGTCCTACTACAACACAGAGAATGGAGAAAACGAAATAGCATCAAAGGACTATTAGCTATCAGGGCTAAGATCATAACAAGATATTACATAGTTTCAATCGGAGAATATAAACATGCGGTCACTTGAGATGGTACCGGTATAGAGATACGATCTATGATATCCACAGCATACTGTATGATCGCGTCGTGCTGTATCTTCTTATATTCTCCCATCTTGAGAACTACCGAACCGGGGGTACCATTACAGAAGCAGAGGAGGGGGGATAAAATAACTGTATTGATTTCTTGGAATTTCGTTTTATAGACATTGTATCGTACATCATTGAGCCAGTCATCCTATCTTGCGTGGTACCTGGTTCCTGCAGTATCTTGTGTGGTACAGTAAGGGTACCCAGATAAGATTTTTTTTAAAAAGAGAAACACCCCCTTCAGAGAAATTTCACGGTCCGTCTGTCACCCGTACCATTTCATTTCCACATGTCTGTCCTTCGTCTGCAAAGCAGCCTTTGTGGGGGAGATGCAGCAGAAGGATTTATTACAGCAGAGTGGCAAGAAAGATATCACAGTTGGGGCTATTGTTGCTCCAACAGGTGGTTTACCTAATGATCCAGATGAGTTGGACGCTAAGGAGGAGGTGTTGTGTCATCCTAGGAACTAGATGCTTCGATGCTACTAAGAGCAGGGCGGCTTAGCTGCTTGCGAAATACTGCTTAGGAAGTATGGGATGTACAAAGCGGCCAGCGTAGCACCAATGTACCTTAAAGATTATGGTAGTTTTCCTATCAATTGTTACCTGAAACTGCAAATTTCCTTCTCCAAGGGGGCGCTGCCCCCCTAGATACCCCCCGCAAGGCTCCGTCCTCGACCCGCTACTGCCCCCACCCAGATACACTGGGGGCTCTGCCCCCAGACCCCCTTTAATAAGAGGGGAACCGCCTTTAGAGACTATCACAATACTCTCTTTTAAAAAAAAGGGAACCGAGCAGACTGTACATGGTACCTGGTAACGGCATCATGTCTTTCCGGCAAAATATTGTGTCGTATCGTAACCACTTCAAAATTTTCGGTACCGGTACGAAGTGTGTACAAGTTTGAAATTACACTCCCTTCATTCGCCACTCATTCCTTCGAATACGAAACGCGGTCCGCTCAAAAAGAAAGGAAATGAAATGCAATCACTCTCGTCAAAAAGAATTTGTGATAGACTTATTCGAATCGAAAGACCAACCGTCATCCGTCATCGGAACTCTGCGCAAGATTTCCGGATTCTGAAGTTTTTTGCTGACATGAAAATAAGATAGTAGTTCAATAAGTTCTTCTTGTTGTTGTTTCTTTGTGTTGTCAATTCACTCCTCTGGAAAAAAGACACAAAAGAGCGAGTAATGATAGTTACAGCTCGATCCAGGCATTCCAATATCATTCAATGGCTTTCTCATCATCTTCTGACCTTTTACTAGGCAACAACAACAAGGCAGCAGCACGAATACTGAGTGTCGTGTTATGTTGTTGTTTAGTATCCACAACCGAGTCATTGGTGGTCTCTCATCATCATCATCAACAACAACAGCCTTCAAGAATTGGTTCTTCTAGAGCAGCCGCATTCTCCAAGGCTACTACCATTCTATATTCATCGTCGTCGTCGTCGTCATCTTCCAACAATGACAATAATGATAGTAACAACAACAACAACAACAACAAGCACAATGATAAAATCCTCGCTCAAGAACTCAAGGCCCGTCAAGAGGCATTGAATTACGAAGAATTCATTATGGAACAAAAATGGAGAAATGCCGATTGTCAATCCAAGGTCTCGGTGCGTCTAGAGGCGGACTATTGCCGGAGGTTGGCTGTGGAATATCCACTGGCCGCGATTGGAAGCACGTCCGGGGCCATTTATGTCACTCACTTGGAAACGGGACAAGTTCTGGCGGCGTCCTCGGACAGTGATATACTCCAAACGACCACCCAATCGATTGACGATTGCATTCAGCTCGAGCGATTACGTGCTTTGTTACATTATGGACATGGTCCAATTGGTACTATGGCCATTGCGTTTTCGGGCGATCTCATTTGTGCTTCCAATCCCAGGGAAGATCTGGGCGTCCAAGTTTGGCGATGGAACCATAATGACATGGATACGACTACTACTACTAGTACTACTAGTAGTAGTAGTGTTGGATCATCACCATCAGCATCATCACCCCCATCCCAACTGCTATTTCAAGGAAGCATGAACAGTGGACTACTCCAAGACAAGATTGTAACGTGCCTCGCTATTGAAGAGGATTACCTTTGGGTCGGTACGGCCTGTGGGTCGTTAATGGTGTATTCCACACTGGAAGATGGTGGCGACACCTTGCCATTGACGCTTCAGACGGAACCTGAGTTTCAATGGCAGTTTTCCGATAGTATCTTGTCGCTGAGTTTGGACCCATTTCTGGGGCACGGCCTAGTGACAACTTCTGGGGGGTCGGTCGAACTCATTTCGCTGGAAGAAGAGGATGGCAAGGTTGTCTGTACGTTGACTCCACCACTCAATGGAGGAGAAAATGTCATTAGTTGCCTGCTGGCACGCATTACCGACACCAAATATGCCATTGTCTGTGGGGGTGGTGATGGTACCATTTGGACGCAGGCTTTGAAAATGGATTCCTATGGTGACATTTCGCAAGACGAACCGGTGACCGGACCCCTCATCAAGTTTCGACCACCTCACGCGGCTCCAGTCAAGTGTTTGGCCAATCCAATTCCGGGATTTCTAGTTTCGGGAGGCTTGGATGGGAGCTTGAGGGTATGGGATTTGGAAGAACGAGAATCTCTGTATCAATTTGTGGGTTACAAGATATGGATGGGGTCGATTTGGACAGATGGATACCGACTGGCCACGGATGGGTCCGACAATGGGATCACTATCCATAATTTTGTACGTGACGATGACGCGGAAGACATCTAATAATATTTGATAATAATGACCTACCGGTACAACATGTACAGGAATAGTAATTTGCTCTTTGATTTCTATCATATTATTTGAAGTATTAGCATTGATATCCTTTTGTAGTCTATATTCATATAAATTTTGCTTTTGCAGGATAATAGTCTATCGGTAGGTAAACATTTCGGCTCGTTCTCTCACAAAGAGTGACACTATTTTGGGATTGTGTGCGGCTCTGGCAAGGATCTTGGGCCATAGTGCATCCACAATGGTGCTATGCTGATAGAGATAACGCCTTCCATTGCGGTTGGCAGCAAGAAAGATGCGATACATTTCAGGCAAGCAGTCTTCGTTGCTAAATTTTTGCAAAGCGTATTGCTTGACAAGAGCGGGCGCCAAAGTACAAGCATGTAACTCGTCCTTGGTGTTGGAATGGAACCAGAGTGTCTCCAGCTTGGATAGAGTTGGCAAGCATTCGACAAGACTTTCATAAGCAGGAAGAGTCATATCGCAATTGTGAGAAATGTCCATGAACTCCAAGGTTTGATTGCCCATGAGCGCCTTGGAGATGGCCGACATGCCCTTGTTTCCCATTCCCACTCGCTTCAGACTGAGTCGAACTAATCGACAGTTCTTGCTCAAAGCGGGAGCCAGATACTTGGCAATGGTGTCATCGTCGAGAAAGTTGTGGTTCAAGCATAGCTCTGTCAATCGACAAGTTTCGAGTGCCTTGCCGAGTGACTTGGAGACTTGAAGATGGTGCTTTTCAGACTCGTTCCAAAACTTGTGGTAGAGAGTTTCAAAGAAGACAGTGCCTCTATTGGCAAGTTTGAGGACCTTGAGTTTGGTATTTCGTTGCATCCCTTCGAAAATCTCGGCGCAGCGAGCATCGTTTCTCATGGGTTCCATTTCGTTGTTACTCAAATCCAAGTAATTCAGGTTGCAAGTTGGTGTTGCCAACAAGTCACGGAACCCAAGAAAGGCCAAATCACATGGCCACTTGAGCATGGAATTGTCATTGAGTATCAGCTTTTGCAGAGTAAAGTTGGACTGCAAACACTTGGTCAGAATGTATCCATCGACACTGTTCAGTTGCGAACTGGATAGGTCGATTTCTCTCAGACTGCAGTTTTCCTTAAGCATGGCCGCGACCATGGCAAGCTTGTGTCCACTGAGATTGGTATGACTGATTTCCAATTTCAATAGACTGGAAGCAGGGCAGGAAAGCTTGTTCGCCAGGTGTTGCAAGCAGTCTATGCTGGCAGGACTGGACGACCAGGAGATGTGCTTGATGTTGGCTTCCTTGGAAACCAGGGTATGCCAGTTGCCAATGGTCGGGCAACCATTTAGGTCTATTCTCTCCAGTGTTGGATGCTGTTGTAGTTTTCGCATCGAAAAGGAGTCACCTTCCAGTCGGCGAAACTCGACATGTCTCACGGAACGGTTTTGGTGGATCCCATCGACCAAGTCGTTCCATTGCTTGGTACTTAGCGTGGAGGTTTGAACTCGGACATACTCGAGTTGTGGTTGCGACGCAATGAAGCGGGCGATATCTCGAAGATTGAACTGATCCAGGTCTTCACTTATTGTCGTTGATACCGATGAAGTGATGTTAGTGGTTGATCTGCTCGTACGAATGGGGTTGTGACACCGACATAATCTTCGTCGCTTCACAGCAGCCTTTCTCATGAAATCAATCTGACGTTTTGTAGAACGATCACTGGCGACCCAGATGGTAAGCTCTTTCAAGCTCGGGCAGATGATTTCGTTGGCGAAGATGCTGGATCCCTTGGTCTGTGGAGGAACGCGAATTTGAAGTCTTTCCAAGGACTTGTTTTCATTCAGAAATCTGACAATGGGACCTGAAAATTCTAATGATTCAGAGATCGCTTGAACGTTGAGTGTGAGTTCTTGCAAGGTTGCATTGCTTTCGAGACTTGTTACTAGTCTCTGAGTCACTCTGTGGACGTTGCTGCCATGAGCATTGCCCCTCATTCCATGATCCTCGAAAGCTCGATATGGGTGCTCCATGGTATTCTTGGATGATTCACTCAGTCTAACTGGTTTAAGTGGAAGCTTGTTCACCTCTGGAAAGCATCCAGGTATAAGGTTAGGAAGACAATCTTGTAACATTTTGTTGATCTGGTCTAAATGTCTGGGCTCAAAAGTAGATTTTATGGTTTCTGGGAATGCAACCCCACTTCACAAAAAGTTTTTTGCGGTACTTCCATGGGGATCATTTGGCCATTCGTGTGAGTGCGGGGTTTTTATCGAATGCATGGTAGCGAACCGCCGTTGCAATGAAGAGCACCTGGTACACCCCCCTGGTACCTGGTACCGTTTCAAGACGGAACACTCTATTCGAGTTTCCATTAAATATGTGATGTTTTATCTAGGGACGGGAAAAGAGTAGCGAATGCAATACCTACGGAGCGGGACCATTGGACCGCACTATCAATTAAATAATTTCCACATTTGTGCCGTTCAATCGGCCCTATAGGACCACTATATGGCTCATCGACATGTTTTTTCATGCGATCAATGATCGCGAACGACTAGTCAAAGCTCCTCGAACAAATCGTTCGCTCTGAAGGCGCGCTATATGCGGTTTATCCAGATTTATCTCGTGATGCTCGTAAAAAATAAGGCCATTTGTCGAATTCATGAGCCTGAACCCATTCTTGCTCGTGATTTTGTTGAGCACCGCATCTGCTTGGAGTTTTGAGCCAGTCATTACGGATTTTTTAAAACTGCAAAACACATACACGTACCTATGTCACTCTGACGAAGCACAAGTAATGTTTTTGGGTCTTCCGGCGAATCTTTGCTCCATTTTCTGCTATATACATCCAGCATTGTGACCTACAGTATGATGAACGAACAATTACTACCGTACATACACAGATATATTGAGGCACGATGCAAAATGGCGCTATTGAGAAACTTTTGAAAATGGCCTAGAGTGAATGCCAAGCTCAGAAGCCGGGGGCTTTTAGCTTCCACAGTTTGAACGGAAAACGGAATAAAATGACTCTTGAGCCTGTTTTCTTCTTCTTGAAAATGAATGAAGTGGAGAAAGAGAAGTAAAAAAATGGCAGAAAAATCTACTAGTGGCGCTTATGGTGCTAATGAGTATTATTGAAAATATTGTGGTGTCCTTCCAAGATACCAAAGCTAGCAGCAGCCTCCGTTATACCTTCTGGAGCACTGGTAGGAGCCGCAATCACAGTCTCCTCGTCCCTTCGAATCAACCATAGAATTCCGTATATGCCCCATGCCATCATTCCACAATTGATTAGTACAAGCATGCCGATACAACTACTGGAAGGAGTCCATCCGACGTTCAAAACATCGTCGTATTTTTTGTCCTTGAGCCGCTGCCTTCGCTCTGCTGTATCCAGACTGCTATCTTCTTCGCTGCTGCTGCTGCTGTTGCTCGATTCGCTTCTGTTGCTCTCCTCATCTTTCGCGCCTCCCATGATATCTGGGTATTCATCGGCAAAGACATCACTATTCTTGGATGAGCTGCTGATGAATGATTCCTCAGAGGATGGCATTGATGACACGGATGATGGAAGTGATGACGAAGAAACGGAATCCGACTCACTAAAGGCAACTCCTGGTGCTCGTCGTTCCTTCTGGTCCTCTTGTGGCGGCTTTCTGCCAAACGAAAGACTAGAAGGGTCTTCTTCGTATCCAGGCTGCGCAACACTCTTAATCGGCACTCTTCTACCACCGGAATAAGCAGCTGTAGATTGCTGTCTCAGGAAATCTGCTTTAGTTCCCCTTCGCCTGGCATCCGAGCGGGTCGATTGTTCCATAATTTGGCTTTGGCGACGGAGGCGGCGATTTCTTACTTTTCTCTGGCTACTCGACATGTCTGTCTCATTCTCGCTTTCACTGGAAGGATACCCGTCCCATGATTTCGTTCGATCATAGTAAGCCGATGAGTCGTCATCAGACGAAGACCGCGTGGACTCATCGTCGAACAGATCACTGCTACCAATCGATCGCGAGCCGATTCGAGATGGAGATGATGCCTTGGAAGGTATCATGGTGCTGGCTCGTCGCTCTTGTTTCTTTGGATTGCTATTGAAAATGTTTCCTGTCCTACTTTTTGACGCCGTTGCTGGAATGTTTCTAGACCTATGCGATGCCGATACTGGGTTGCTATTGGAAACATTTTCTTGTTTGCGTAGTAGCCTCCCCATCCTGGAATGTTGAGAACGAGAAAGCTCATTTCCAGTAGAATTCCTCGAAGAGTCCGAAACTCGCTTTCGGCTGTACCTACTGCTTTGACTGTTTCTACTCCTTGGACTGTTTGGTCCCTTCATTGCAGACGGTGGTGCTTGTAGTACCGGTGCTTGTGTTGACATAGGCAAAGGCACAGGTTGATTCCACGGCAGCTGTTGCGGATTTGTCACTGGTGGCTGCTGTTGTGATTGTTGGTGAGGAAAGGTTGCCTGGAATCGTCGGCTGCTGTATTCCACATCACTGATCGATTCGTCTGGAAAGGTACTGACATCCTCATCCATAGTGTCTTCGTCTACAAACTCTTCTTCTATCACCTCCTCCTCGATTGCATCCTCCTCCTCATCATCATCCTCCTCTTCTGCAACTTCTTCCTCCTCGACGACTTCCTCCTCCTCTACAAACTCTTCCTCTTCTACAAATTCTTCCTCTTCTACAAATTCTTCCTCCGTCACTTGTTGACGTTGTATCAGCTCTTGTTGCTGCTGCTCCAATTGCTGTTGTTGTTGCATCTGTAATTCTTGTTGCCTCATCTGTTCTTGCCGTTGTATCTCGGCTTCCTGCTTTTGAAATAGGGCTTGCTCCTCCTTCATCTCCTCTTCTTGCTTCAACCGTTCCCTTTCTTCCCTTTGCCGTCGTTGCTCTTCCAAGTCTTCCTTGGGCAAAACCCAACGTTCTTCTTCCAGTGGCATTCGTTTTTGAATCCGGGCTGGTTCTCGATTGGTGGGTTCTGGCTTTTCTAGATACGGTGAAGGTACCCACGAATCAAATGCTGATAATGGTTCTGACTGCAGTACGGGCGGTACCTTGGACTTTTTCTTTTTCTTGCTCTGACTTTTCTTTTGTGCTTGCAGGGTCGCTAGTGGGTCAATATTCCAAGGGGCTCGAGACGAGTCACTACTAGTACTACCGGTTGGTGGGTCTTGTGGTTGTGGTGGCATTTTGTAGAATAGCTGCACACCCTTGGGAGCCTGATCTCGAAAGGAATACCCAGGTAGCAACCAAGAAAATTGACTGGTCACGGTCGACTCTTCGTCCCCAATGGACTTGGATTCTTCTTCTTTCTTGTGATACTGATATTTGGATCGGAAGTAGTCATCAGCTTGATTCAGCCAGGTCGATTCATTGTCATCCTGATGTGGAAGCGGGCCCGTATATATTTGTTTTTCTTGCGGTTGCTGATGTTGTTGTATAGGTTGTTCCGATATTTGCTGCGAGGGTTCACCTTCTTCCTTTTCTTCGGTTTTGGTCTCGGCAAACGTCTGAAGTGTTTGGATTATTGGTTGGGCTGGTGCTGTTTCAGCTGGCACATTAGCTGGCGCTTCTTCGTCTACTGGTTGAGGAGGCTCAATCGTTTGCGTCGGTGGTAATGAAGACAACGTCTGAGGATTTGGCTGAGGTGGTTGTGTCAAGGATGATGGTGGTGGTGGTGGTTTTGACGATCCTACTCCAAAAGATGATGGTGGCTTGGAACTTGCTTGACTCGTTGTAGTTGATTTCAAGCCCGATCGTGCTTGGGATAAGACCGATGCCAAGTCGTTACTACCACTGTTTCCAGATCGAAAGTCCCCATTGCTGCTTGATTCAGGTGGATCCGATGGTTGTTGTGACGTGTCTCCTCCCGCTGCTTCGTTCTTAAGTTTGTCTAAATGTTGCTGATTCCAATACTTTATTCGTTCCTTTTGTTGTAGGGAAGAGAAGGAAGGCTCCGAAGCTGTAAAAGTCCCAGTGAAGGATGAATAATCACTAGCGATTGTACTTCCTTCCGCCATTGTCTTGTCGTCTTGTGTGCGGTGATGATGATCTCAAGGGTGATTCATTCATTCATCCATTCATTCATTCAGGCGTTGCATCAGCTTCCGCCAGTTATCAATTTTCGGATGTCGTATAGGGCATGACCGAGTCACAAGCCACACGACAGATTCCCAGTAGGTTTTGTACATAAATATCAGTGATCGTCCACCTGCCGAGTTTTTACTTAGAATGTGATTCGTTTCCGGCGGCCAAAATGCTTCCGAGTCCGTCGCCTCCTTTGTCGGAAAATGCAACACACTACATCGTTTTCAAGAAAGCGCGCAAAAGTCAGTTTTCTCTTATCCATTGTTCTCTTGTCCAATTTTGAAAAGAAACTCCGATTGTAGGTTCTCCGAATGACTTGATTGTTCCAAATTACTCCTTCTCAGGCAGAGGTCACATTGAAGTTCTGTCGTGTGTCTTTCGATCGGACATACGGGTGCATATTCTCTATCTATCCAAAAACGTGTTCCCCTGTTTTTTGGAAGACGAAAAGGTATTTCAAGTACGCCACGAGGTATTTTGTACTTATGAATCCCGACATGTTCTAGAACTACCCGCATTCAAAAGGGGGTACCACCGCAAGTCGAACGTGAAGAAAGTCGCGCACGGTAGGAAGTCGAAAAGTGAGTGCGGCGTTGGTGAAAAACGGGTCCATCCAGCGAACGTGATGGCACGGCTCCGTCTCATTGGACCATGCATCTCTTCGGGGCCACGTTCCGTTCTTACTGAGTGGTACCGCGCTACCAGGTCCCGTTGTGACATCACTCACTCCACCCATACTCGCTGCAGTATATCAGCCATGAGAACATCAGATCAGAAGACATGGTGGCTCATCATCCTGTAAAGTCACCTCTGCATTACCTCGATATTGACGAACGCGCCAACACTTGAAAGGACAAGATTCCGGTACCAATCTAGGTCGGACCGCTTCAACTCAATCCACTGATTTCACTATTCCTCTGTTGTCATCATGAACATGAATGGCATATGATCTAAAACTATATATTAATACCGCACCCAACTCTCCAAAATCTCACCTGCTGCCGATTCCAATAGCAAGCAAAATCCAACAAAAACAAAACAGGACAACAAAGATGGCGGGATCCTCCTACCATTCACAAAGTCGAAAGTCTGGAATTATCCTACGACGATGCGCACGACTTGGAGGATTTTGTGTCCCTGCCTTGATTGTGCTATTTTTCCTATTGCACAGTCGCCTGATTGTTTTGTTGGAACGGGATTTTAAGGAGCGACAGCACGGCGGGTTTGGTGATGGCATGGCACAGCAGGAGCACGACCAATTATGGAAGGGTGACAGCAGCAGCAACAACAACAACAACAACAACAATCCTGGCATTTGTCAGAAGCTGTTGCAAGGAAATGAACATTCTACAACTGCTTCCATGTGGTTGAAATCCAAGCACAAGTTGCTTTCCGCAGTATTGGGAGTATTGGAAAAACAGCAGTCAGCAACATCAGCAATAATACCTGCTTGGATGGAGGAATTGTGGAAATTCTTGACGCCATGGCAACTTCAGCAGACGATATTCCCACAAGTCGATCCCCTCATTTTGCAACGAATCTTGGAAAAGTTACAAGCACGATTGTTGTTTCTGCAGCAGCTTGAAGGACATTATGATTCTACGAATACTACTGACAGGAACAATCCTGAACCTCCACCGCCCAATAAGATTCAAGTTTTGGTCTTTGGTGGAAGTGTCACAGAAGGAGTCGGCTGTGATGCCCCACCACCATCTTATTTGATGGACGATACCGAAAAGGAAAAGTCTCAGTTGAAATTGTTGTCATCATTATCACTCCAAGACTGTTCCTGGCCTCATCGACTCCAACAATTAGCAGATGCATTCTTGCCCGATACCATTGAGATTCACAACTTGGCCGTCGGTGGGACGCATTCCCGGGCCGCAGTTCCAATTTTGGAGCATGGTCTGTACCCACCACATGTCCACGTCAACGAGAATAAGAACAAGAAGAATGATGCCGCACCCCATGATGATCATGATTCCCATGAGGGGCCTCCAGATATCATTTTGAATGCCTATGCTGCCAACGACAATTTGCCACCAGCGTTCTACAACACGGAAAATACGACCTTGGACAATTTTCACAAGTATCGGGTGCTGAAACGTCTGATGGAATTTGTGGCCGCTGCTTCAGGTACTGGTACAGTCGGAGGCAAGAATAATATCAACAGCTGCGGACAATCGTCCACCAACTCGAACAGTCAGCAGCAGTCACACCAACCATGGATTGTGTTTCTGAATGACTACCTTGGCAACCAACAAGAATCCTTGGTGGGAGAATCCACGGTCGATGAATTGGTCCAGCTGCTGATGCAAACGCTTGCCCCGGTCTCGTATGTGTCACCGTCACGCTTGTTGGAACCCTATGTCTGGGCCAATACCAGCGAACATGTATGGAGTGGTGTCTGGAAAAAGAAGAGCAACAAGAACAAGAATTTGAATGCTGCTGACTACAAAGTAGATGTGCACTACGGATTGGCGGGACACATTACGACTGCCTTGGTGGCTGCGCATGCCTTTTTTCAATGGACCATGGAATATTGCCAAGAGCAAGTCTTGTTTGATGATGTGGAAGAGCAAGACTGTTCCTCATCGTCGCATTGGACGACAACTACGCCAAAGTCTTTACAAACTCTGGAAACAAGAATGCAAGCCCATGAATTGTCAAGTGTCCTTCAAATTCATTTACCATCCAAAGAATGGATGAAGCTTAATCATCCAGATCGAGTCTATCCGAACATTACTGAAGGTGCTGGGGGTGTAGTCAAGAGCAGCCGTCTTGGATCATCATCGAAGACTGTTACCCATGATGGCTGCAGTGGTTCTAGTAGTGGGCATCAAAACAGTGGTGCTTGTGCCTTTGCCTTTCTCGCAGCTCCACTGGGAACACACTCGAAAAAGGGCCCTTTGCAAGAGTACATTGATGGTTTTACTGTGACCGCAGAGAACAAGAAAGAAGACGGAGTCGGATGGCTCGTCCAAAACAACTTTCGTCATGGAGGATTCCAAAACAAATTGGGACTGGCGGCGATTCGTACGGGAGCTCAATTGACACTGGACATTCCCATTGGAAATGTGCAGCAACAACGGCACATGGAACTGACGATCCATTACCTGAAATCATATGGTCCCGACTGGGCCAATAGTCATTTGCGGGGAACTTGTCAAGTCCGACAACAAAAGGGAGCATCATCATCATCATCATCCGGTGGTGCAAAGTTGTTACAAGTGCTTCGGGAACAGAACTTTGACTTGGAGGGATTTCACGATCAGCAAGTTAGCATATCGTATACACATGTGGTACCTGATATTATCATTGACAAGGGCATCGAAACGGTGATTCAATTGAAGTTGGAGTTGATTGGGGGAAGCAACTTTAAGATCAACGCCATGATGCTTTGTTAAAAACTGAAATAACTACGCTATTAGAGAGAAACCATTCAATAAGCTTATTGCAGATCTTACATAGGGAAAGTTATATTTATACCATGAATTCATGTGTAAAGAGACAATATGCCGTGTCCATAAAATAAATTGCTTGAATAGTACTACAGTAGGCCTGCCTATTTCTTTTCGGAAGCTTGCGACTAGGTCGACTGGATTCATCAAGGAAGACCGCAACATCAAAATATCAGAAAGTCATCATCATCTACGGTATCTGCGAACAGCTTTAGGTCGTCATATTTCCGTTGTGTTTGCTTCCATCAACCCGTGAAGAAGTAGGATTTAAAGAAGTTTAGGAGAAGGTTACGAGAAGAAAAGTCGTATTCTTCAGCTATTGAAGCTACCCACAAACAACCACAACAACAAAAAACCCTTAATTTTCAAAAATGGCAATGTCCGTTGGATTGTTGTCCGTCATTATTCTCTTTGTGATTGTCACTCATGTGGGATCTTTTGTGGCATATTATTTCCACCGTCGAAAACAACCTTCCCATTCGGCAAGATTCACCGTCACTGGGAGATCGGCGTTTCGATTGCAGTAAGTAATATGGGTGTTTGGTTATTGTTATCCTATACCATTGCTTTACCGGCATATCATCTGCACCTCCCATGGGTGGTGCAGACGGTGGCGCACTTATTGCATTACCTGGTCATCATAATCATCATTATCATAAATTGTCTAACCACGCACGTCCCCCCATTTTCAGTTGGTTAATGGTCATACTGATATTCCCGTCGTATATTCTGGGCATTGTGGCGGCAGCTTCCTGTAGTTTTTTGGTGGTATCTGTTCCCAATCCACGAGATCCTCGCGAAGACTTGGATTGGGGGATTGGATTTTCCAACATTGACATGCCCTCGGAAGTCGCATCCTTCTTTGGCCAAGATGGAGGCTGCGAGTCTTTGGATACCGAATTGGGATCTCTCAATATTGTGAGCAATTCCGCGGCCAAGTCATTTGCTATTTTCCATTGTCTCTTGTCCAGCGTTGGTGTCGTGTTTGCGGTTCTCTTGACTTGCAACAAAAGACTGACAATGGAACGGCGGGATCTGATTTGGTTGGTCATGCGGATCATCATGTACATTTCCATGTGGTGTGCCATCTTGTCCTTCTTTTTGCAAGAGAATGAGACTTGCGACAACTACAGTTGCTCGCTTGGAGGGCCTGGATGGGCGCAAGTCGTTAATGTTGTCTTCTTGTTGATTATTAATTTCGTCCTCTTCTTCACCAACCCTGGAAAGGAACGATTCGTCCATACCTGCTTTTTGAGTGCCGAAGAGGCTCGACGACGAAGTGCCGTCATGACACCGGATGCCAATGTGACGGATGATCCGACGGAATATCCAGTCGACTTGTCTACCCCTGGTCTTCGAGGATCGACAGGAACAAAATTGTCCAAGACTAAAACGTAGACTGCTGCTGATTCATCATGTTGGGGGAATGAATGAATAGTCAGCTGAAGCAAGCCACCAATGAGGAGGAAACATGTTCAAATGGTGATGGAATGGACAATTTTATAGTGAAGTAGTATTTTGACAGAGGCACGTTTCAATTACTGTGTATAATGTATTGTTGGTATCATACTATCGATTCTTCGATACTCTTGGGATGAAGAATATAGGACAGTTACTTTTTTGGTTTGTTTTGGACCCGCATCTTCCTTTATTCTCCATTTCCCCTTTTGACAATCACACGTTGAGATTTCTTCTTCATCATCAGAAACAAATTATGAACCATATAAAACCAGGTATTGAAAAAGGCAGAGTCATTCATTGCTTTCTTGGACAACAACAGCTCAAACAAACAACCAAACGCTTTTCCTTCTCTGACATTAAGTTGCTGAAGTCTATAAGAGAGTTCCAGACCGATTCGTAACCGATAACACGACAAATCCATCGCAATCAATCCCGATCGCACCTCCGTTATTGTTATCGATCTCCGAAACGGCACCGATTTTGAAGTCATCTGTATTCATCAGATTTCACTGCAGACTATTTTCAGCGCGTTTTTTCCCAAGCCGCATATATATACAGTTCAGTCACCAATCACTACGTCACTCCAAGAACAATACTTTCATAATGGCTCTTAGTCCCGGTGGATTGGCAGGATTGCTGCTTTTGGGCATTTTGATGAATTTGGCAATCGTTGTGGCGCTCTACATTTGGCATTACCGACAACTTAAGAAAGGAATGGTTGGAATCAAATTCACATTTAGTGACAAACTGCATGGGGCATTTCGGTGAGCATAACATCCAAGCGCATCTCACTGCGTGCGCGTCTGCTGACATTATTATGAGTGATTTGAAAACCTCACCACTCTTGTGACTTTTTTGTGCATCTCTTGCTTTGATCCATCGCTACCATGACGAATGCTCTACCATACAACAACAATGTATGCATCCCGATGAAAACTTGTCAAACGTCATTTCCCTTCGCCAACTACTACTGTACTATTTACTGTCAGCTGGATTCTATTTGCTCTGATTACACTCTGTTGGATGGCCTCGATTGCTGCCACTGCCTCTTGCAACTTTATCAAGGTCACTGTCCCATATGTGGGTCAGCAAATTGAATTTGGCATGGGCTTTCAAAAATTCTATGTGCCTGCTGCCATTTCCAATCCGGCCAAGTGTCAAGGATTTGCTTCCGATGGAACGGGATACTTTACGGGGAACCATCCAGCCTTTACCTTTGCAGTCGCCAACTGTCTGTTGACCAGTGTCGGTTTCGTTGGAATCGTTTGCATCCAATTTATTCTCCGTGTGGTAAAGACCCGGCAGCTGGTTTGGCTGGTGTGCAAGATTGCCATGTACTGTTCCGTTTGGTGCTGCATCTGCACCTTTTACGTCCAAGAAATGGGAGTCTGTGATGACTTTGGTTGCTCTATGGGACCCGCTGGAATCATTCAAGTCTTCAATGTCCTTGCTTTGATGATTTCGTCTGCTTTGCTCTTCGTCACCGACTGTGGCGATGAGTCAGCCTTTGACAAATGCCGAACCAAGACGACTATTGTACGTGTCCCAGCTGGCACCATGAACGCTCAACGAATGGGATAGAAATGTGAATGTAATGCGACTTTTTATAGATGGGAGTGGAATGTATTTTTGTATTTGGTTTTATTTACTGACACACCTCTCATTGCACGCAAACGATGCAGTGCATGAGACGAAGGATCATTCAAGAAGTCGTAGTGTAGGTCCGTTCGTTGGAATGAAACTTTTTGATGTACAAATACCATTTAGACCACTGAACCAAATTTACATAAGTTTGATATACGTGAAGTATTGCAGTCGGTTTTGAAAGTTTGACAACAAATAGGTAAGGGGTAAGGGTGTACTGGTAACCATTGCTACAGTACCGGTAGGAGTTAATTTTAAATCGTGTTCCGTAGCTACAGCTACAGTAGTAGGGGAATCTTCCATCAGGAATCTCTCATCATCTTCGTTCGGAAGCGACGATTGAAAAACGCACACCGGCACACCGGCGCGCTGGCCGAAAATCTTTCTATGTGGACAAAAATGTGAACCGACACCCACGACTGAATCAATCCTGTAGGATCTGTAGACTCTCTACGAGCACAATGTACAATGTCAATCACGGAATGATCATTTCGCGCATGGAAAGCTTCCAACTGACAACTGACAACATTCCATGTTTCAATTTTTGTTGACGAAGAGCGGGTGGAGAAGCAATCGACAAGACCACCACCGTGTCCATGTCGAATATCTAAACAACATCAGCCTCTTGCGAAAACGTATACAGCAGCGTACTGTAGTTCTCTTACTCTGACATTATCAACCAGCAAAAGACATACTGTACATCGAACAAAGACTTCTTGCGACACATCAACAATTGTTCAATTGTTCCATTGTTCCATTGTTCCTTCCTAGCATTTTTCTGAAGTCTTGCTTTAGATTCATTTCTATCCTCAGCCTTCGCATCAGATAAACAACCTTTGGGGCAGCGAAGACATACAGTCAACACCAAGGATCCTACGACGTTGGAGAGAGATTCATTCATACATCCAGATTCATAAACTTCCGTTCTTTTCACATCACAAAAATGGCGTTGAGTCCAGGTGGATTGGCAGGCATTATCCTCTTCATTATTCTGCTTCATGTGGGAGTATTGGTGTCACTTTACTTCTATGTTTTGAAGAATCCAAGCAAAGCAAATAGGTTCACTGTTGATGACAGATTTCATGCAAATTTCAGGTATGTTGCTTTCTGTCGTGGGTTACAATGATATTCTGATGGTTATGAGTTTCCAACCCTTGCCTTGCCACCATTACTCTCCAATCTCTTGTATATTTATCTTTATTTGTATTCTGCAACTTGGCATCCTCTTGTTTAGATGGGCTATATTGGGTCTCATTTCGCTATCATGGATCTTTTCGGTGGCGGCAACTTCGGCCTGTACCTTTTTGAACATCAACATTCGCGGACAAGATGCTTGGGTCGGACTGAATGCCTACGAGCACCCCGTAGACGGATGCACTCGTTTTACGTCCGTTCAAAATCGCAACAATCCCGCCTTTACCTTTGCTGTGTTCAATTGTGTTTTGACATCCATTGGAATCATTGGGATGGTCTTGATGCAATTTGTCCTGACGGTTGGACGCCAGCCAATGTGGTTATGGCTTCGCATTTTCATGTACATTTCACTATGGTGCTGCATGTTTACCTTTTACATTCAAGAAACAGACACCTGCGATGTCTATGAATGTTCGTTGGGAGGTGCGGGTATCGCACAGGCATTCAATGTCATTTGGTTGGTCGTGGCTTGTGTTCTAATGTTCGTAACGCCACATGGAGATGACACTGGTATCCACACGGCTCAAAAGCAACAGGCGTTGATGGATGATGATCTGAATCTTGAGCAAAATCATAATTCAAAAACCGTGGACATGACCGGAGCCGTATCACCGTCAGGAGGAGGAGGAGGGCCGCAAGAATTGGAGACGGAGACACACCTACCAGATGGTTCTGTCGAGCGGAAAGTCGAAACAACAAACCCTGATGGTTCCAAGACGGTGACAACTACAATCGAACATCGCGATGGTGGCAAAGACGATGACAACGACAATGACAATGGCGACGATGACGACGATGATGATGATGACGACAATGAACATCCTACTGATGGCGCAGTGTAATGCGATCGATCGAGAAGCATTCGACTGGATCTACGGGGACTTCCTGTACAGTAAGACTGCCTGCCACGGGTAGTATACATTTGATTAGATACTAGATCGGGGCAGATGAAGTAATAGATCCGCTGCTGCTTTCTGTCAGTTTATTTCGTATAGCTATTGTTGTTAATAGTAGCATCCTCATTGCACCATCTCGCTCAGCACCTGCGTGACTCCAATTACTAGTATACACCTGCAGTTGATCTCTACGGTACTAGAAGGAGACCTTTGTTCTTACCCTCTTACCCTTCCACCATCTACCATTCGTAATCAAGTCGAACCCGGTAATGATAAGAATGGAGTTGCCAGACGTGCAATGATCACTTCTATATATTTTACTATGCATGAAGCGCTCGTGTAGTAATGGAGGCATTTATGGGACGATAAGAATTTGACTCTTGTCCCCCGTTTCCAAAATTTCATCCAACTGAAGAAGCCTACTGAGCTCTACGCAGTCGCAAGAGTTGATTCGTACATCTTCTAAATAGAAAGAATAAAGCAGAAACCGTGCAACTTGAAACGGGACAGCAGAGATCACTCCTTCAATCTCCAAACCGAATCCGAATCGTACTGTACTCATAAATTCCAAACAAAGACTCAATTGAAATCATGTCAGGACTATCAGTAGGAGGCTTCATCGGCATCGTAATTGTCATTCTCATCTTGAACGTTGGGGGAGTGATCGGATACTACAAGTTCACCGAAAAGAACCCTGATAAGGCCGTCTCTGTCAATCTAGATTCGGGATTAGTCCCCAAGATCAGGTACGTTTGTTGTTACTGTCAATGGCTGATGATGCAGACGCCGCGTATGGGTAACGAGAACTGAAGAGGGAAGAAGAGAAGAGACGATTCATTCTTCATTTACTACATCATGATCTTGTTGTTTGAACACAATATTCAATATTCTCACACCACCTTCTTGTTTGTTTGATGTACTTATCTCGCCCGTCACCTGATTCTATGAATATTCTGTGTGTTAATGTTATTATCTGACATGCTGTAGATATGGTCTATTGGGACTCATTCTACTTTCCTGGATCTTTTCCATTGCCTGCACCACTGCGTGTACCTTTATCGAGGTCGAGCAAAACACTAAGGTGTTTTTGGGAATGGGTTCCCAGTACAACACCAACTATTCAGGCAAATTCTACTTGGGACTGCGAGGTGCTGAGTATGGTGGAGAATGCACGACTGGTGACATGGGCGAAGATCGTATCCGAACGGCCTATGCCTTTGGCGTCATCAACAATCTTTTGACGACTGCCGCATTGATTGGTGTGCCATTGGTGTTGTTCAATGTCATCAAGAATGCCGAAATGGCCACCAAGATTTGGAAAATCATGGGATTCCTCATGCTCGCATCTACATGGTGCTGCCTATTTACCTTTTACGTCCAGCAAACTGGCGCCTGTGATGGAATTAATGATTTTGTCGAGATTGAATGTTCGTTGGGTGGAGCAGGAATCGCCCAAGTCTTCAATTCCATCTTCTTGATTGGTATCTGTCTGCTATTCTTTATCCTTCCACCACCAGCGGTAGAAAGTGCAGACAGCAACGAAGCTAACAAGAAGGGCAAGGATGGCGAGGAGAAAAAGGAGAAGGCCCCTGATGAAGAACCAACCAAGTCCAAGGACGACAGCAGCGAAGAAGAAAAAGAAGACGAAGAAACCGGAGAAAAGGGTGATTTTGTCAATGCCAAGGAAGAGGACTAAAAAGATCATCTGCAGAAATCCCGGGGCTCGGATAGCATCTTCATATTGTTTGCTGAACCATTCTTTCCATGGCACGTGTAATGAAAATTTTGGAGGCATGGGGATGGAATTTCTATTTCTCGCTATCCAATCTATCAATGTGGATGCGACGGAGAAGCCTGTATGGTAAAATGGTTACCAATTGTATATATATAAATCATAAGTAGAAGTTATGTATTAAGTCAGATTCTTTACATAATTTCAATTAGTTAGATGAGCCAGAGGAATGAGAAGTCGAGGTGATGGCGACGACAAGTCCAGCTGCTTCTGGAATACTGATGAATATCTCAGAGCCACAACGAAGTGAAGAAGACGAGGACCAGGGAAACTGAACAGTGTCCACTATGAATGAAGAGACAGCGAGGACGACCAGAAGTGATCAAGCTAACATATCGAATGGATCGCTCAATGATTAATTCCATGTATGACTGACTCGTATTTGATTGTGAATAGCCAATCAATGATCGCTACTATTATCCACCATTGCCATCGTTTCAAACCATCAGCATCCAGAAGGCAATGAAGTAATCATCATAAAACTCTTTTCCCCATCAGACGAGTACATACTGAGCATCGCGTTTCGCTACCATCGGAGAGACCATGAGCAAGGTTGTAGGAAGCCACAGCAAGTCCAAAGAATTACACTGCTGATTGTCAAATCTCGTCGCTGAAACATGACAAGCGACTCATTCTATTTCAGCAATGCCAGTCAGTCTCACTGATCCCATTCCAATCGTCGTGCCTGTCGTGCTTTTGCCACTAGTACTAAGCACCGATGATGCACCGTCACAAAAGAGGCCTCAAGTTTGATAGGAAGATTTCTGAGAACTTTCTTCCATATCAGAACCCTTCTACTATCAGAACCGTCACAGAAGAAGCTCCATTCGTGACACCTTGGCAATGCATGGTATCTTTTGGTCTCATCTTCCACCCTTGGTGCTTCCACATCACCAAGAACCTTTCATTGACAAGTTGACCCATCATCGTTGACACCTTCCCTTCATCCCCAACCATCCATCTTTCTTCCTCCCACCAACCGCCATCCAATCCACCAATCGCCTAACCGGAAGATACCAGTAAGTAGCTGTCTACTACTGTACGATCGCCGAACCAGAAACCAAAAGATACTACTGTACTGTCCAAAAACAGAAGTTCTGATTGATGATGATTCCGAACATCATGTCAAATTGATGCGAAACGCATCATCGTTTCTGGTAGTTTTTCTACACCTATTTGTACGGCGAACGAAAATTCCGGAGGGTATCTCCAAAATGAGAACACGGTGTTTGCTAAGCAGATAAATGAGAGAACGTCACAGCGACAGAATAGTGATCACAAATCACGTCGCGTTGACACGCTATCCATAAATCCTAGTCTTCTTGTGTCAGAGTCCAGGTTTCAAAAGTAATGGTTGCGTAGGTAGACGAGGTCTGTCAACAATCTGCCAATCTGCGATGGCGATTTCGCGATCTTTTTTGTGATGTGATTTGCATCTTTCCTTTTTTTTTCTTCTTTTTTTCTGAGAAAATCTTTTGTGTGCGTGCAAGTTCACAATCTTTGTTCGATTATAAAGAACCAAACTCTCGCCTACCATTCGCTAACGAAAGCCCCCTACAACGCATCCAAACAACCAGCTCTAAGATGGGAACAACTCAGTCCACTCGCACTAACGCTAAGGAGATCACTTTTTCTTCCCCCAATGGGAAGAATCAGCCAAGCAGTGTGAGTGGACGGAAAACCCAACCCGAGATCTCCTACAAAAAGCACGTCGTCTTTTCTTTTAATGACGAGGTTATCCAGGAAAACGAGGAAGAAAGCGTCACTGACTACGATGATACCGACGATTCCTTGTTTGACGAAAACGAAGTCTTTGACTTTGAGGGAGACACTGATGACGATGATGAGGAAGAAGGTAGGCTATTGAATGCTGTTTGCCTTGGATTATTTGTGGTGGGACAGTTCAGATGTGGGATCCTTGATGTCTTGTTGCCTTATTGTCCTGCTGCCTTGCCTATCTTCTTTCTCAATTGTCAATACCCTTCACTGACGCTTCTTGGTTTTGTGTTTTTATTCGTGTATCTTTTTGATTCTTGTTTCATTCTACTTAGATGAAGAGTGGAACGAACGCCTTGCCATTTTGCAAGATGCTCGCAACCTCAAACAAATGGCTGACTTTTACCTCAATCCTCATAAGCCAGTCGTCTCCTCTCCCGAGTTTATGGGACGCAACTTTTTTGAACGTCCTTCTGCCCCTGACATGGAAGACGAGGAAGAACGTGCTTTGATCCTAAACGAGGCCCGTGCTTTGAAACAACTTGCCGTGGACTATTTGCATCCCGAGAAATTTGTTGTAACTACTGATGCAACTGTCTGCGGACGCAACTACTTTGATCGTGCTTCGGCACCCGAGACTTTGTCTCATGAAGAGGCCGAAGAGCAAGCCCAAATCTTGGAAGATGCTCGTGCTTTGAAACAACTTGCCGTGGATTATATGCACCCAGAACTGACAGTCAAGACTACTGACGCCTTTGCCCGTGGAAGAAACTACTTTACTCGTCCGTCTGCCCCAGAGCAAGAGCAAGAAGAAGACATGGAGGAGCGTGACCTGATCTTGCAAGAGATGGCGTTGCTCAAGCGGCTTGCTATTGATTACTTGCACCCAGAACTCCCAGTTGTAACAAGCGATCCTACTGCTTGTGGACGCAACTACTTCACTCGTGCCTCTGCTGAGGAATATGAAGAAGAAGAGATGATGGACGATCGTGAAGACATTCTGAACGATATGGCTCAGCTCAAGCGTCTTGCCATGGACTATCTACAGCCAGAGCGCCCCGTTCAAATGGACTCGCTTGGTGCGTGCCGCAACTACTTCGATCGTCCTTCTGCCCCCGAGACTGTTTCTCGTGAAGAGGCGGACGAGCAAGCTCGTATCTTGGCCGATGCTCGTGCTTTGAAGCAACTTGCTGTGGACTACATGCATCCCGAGCTTCCAGTTGTCACGAGCGATCCTTGTGCTTGTGGACGCAACTACTTTTCTCGTCCTTCTGCTGAAGGCAATGATGACAGTCAAGATGAAGAGTGGGAACAGGAACGTGCCTCGATTCTACAAGACATGCAGCGTATGAAGCAATTGGCTGTGGATTACTTGCACCCCGAGCTTGCAGTCCAAACTACCGATCCTACTGCTTGCGGTCGCAACTACTTCTGTCGGTATTCTGCCGAAGAGTATGATGAAAAGGATGAAGAGCGCGATATGATCTTGCAAGAGATGAAGCAACTCAAGAAACTTGCTGTTGACTATTTGCATCCCGAGCTTCCAGTCAAGTCTGATGGATTTGCTACTGCCCGAAACTACTTTACTCGTTTCTCTGCGGAAGAACAAGAGGAGGAAGAAATGATGGATGAACGCGAGGACGTTTTGGAAGATGTTGCCGCCTTGAAGAAGTTGGCCATGGATTACCTACAACCCGAGCGCCCTGTCGTTGTGGACGCTCTTGCCTCGTCTCGCAATTACTTTGATCGTGCTTCGGCCGAGCCAACTTTGGACTACGAAGAAGCGGAAGAACAAGCTCGTATTTTGGCCGATGCTGCTGCCTTGAAGCAACTTGCTGTGGATTATATGCACCCAGAATTGCCAGTCAAGACTACTGACGCCTTTGCCCGTGGAAGAAACTACTTTACTCGTCCCTCTGCCCCAGAGCAAGAGCAAGAAGAAGACATGGAGGAGCGTGACCTGATCTTGCAAGAGATGGCGTTGCTCAAGCAGCTTGCTGTTGATTACTTGCACCCAGAACTCCCAGTTGTAACAAGCGATCCTACTGCTTGTGGACGCAACTACTTCACTCGTGCCTCTGCTGAGGAATATGAAGAAGAAGAGATGATGGACGATCGTGAAGACATTCTGAACGATATGGCTCAGCTCAAGCGTCTTGCCATGGACTATCTACAGCCAGAGCGCCCCGTTCAAATGGACTCGCTTGGTGCGTGCCGCAACTACTTCGATCGTCCTTCTGCCCCCGAGACTGTTTCTCGTGAAGAGGCGGACGAGCAAGCTCGTATCTTGGCCGATGCTCGTGCTTTGAAGCAACTTGCTGTGGACTACATGCATCCCGAGCTTCCAGTTGTCACGAGCGATCCTTGTGCTTGTGGACGCAACTACTTTTCTCGTCCTTCTGCTGAAGGCAATGATGACAGTCAAGATGAAGAGTGGGAACAGGAACGTGCCTCGATTCTACAAGACATGCAGCGTATGAAGCAATTGGCTGTGGATTACTTGCACCCCGAGCTTGCAGTCCAAACTACCGATCCTACTGCTTGCGGTCGCAACTACTTCTGTCGGTATTCTGCCGAAGAGTATGATGAAAAGGATGAAGAGCGCGATATGATCTTGCAAGAGATGAAGCAACTCAAGAAACTTGCTGTTGACTATTTGCATCCCGAGCTTCCAGTCAAGTCAGATGGATTTGCTGCTGCCCGAAACTACTTTACTCGTCCTTCTGCTCCAGAGCAAGTGACTTTGGAAGATGCAGAGGAGGAAGTCAGAATCCGCCAAGACTTGCAACAGATGAAGAAGCTTGCTGAAGATTACCTTCATCCTGAAACTCCTGTGAAGTCTAATGTTGCTAGTGTCCGATGCTACTTTGATAGAGCATCTGCGTATGACAACATTGATCACGTTCACACCCGCCGCCAAGAGTCGGATGACCCAGCTGCTGGTGATTCTAACCACGATACCTTTGCCTACCACGAACAAGTTCTTGGACTGGTCTCTGGGGATCATGACTATTACGATCACAGTGAGCACTTTGACATGGACATGGACGAAGACCTACAAACTTTCAAGGACAACTTGCGCCTTATGTCTCCTAATCCACAGCAGCCAAAGGAAAAGGCTGGCATGGCAAAGGGAGGCGAAGACGAAGAGGATGAAGGCAATCTATCTCGCTCTCCTTCTTCGATAATGCTATTTGAATTGGCTGGGTGTTAAGTGTGTCACCCTCCAAGAACTACACACGTATATTATTACATGCACTGCATAGATACCAGCATCTATTGCTGTACAATAGAAACAGAAAATATAAAAAAAATAACGTTTATTTTTGCATAAGCTTTCTTGCCTGCAGTTACTCATCAAATGTTCAACATCATTGCATGCATTCTCTGCCACAGGGCTCATTCACTACCAAATGCCGAGGTTCTGATTGAGATGCTAGCTAGTACATGTTACCAGGATACCTGATAATGGGAGCACTCTTATCGTTCCAAGATGCACGCTCCTCCACACCATGATCTAGAATGTTCTTCAGTTTTCCTTTTTTCTGATATCGATTGCGCTTACAGTTTTCAAGAGTACGATGACAAAAGCTCGGGTCTTTCGGATCGTGATGTCGTTAAGTAGTCCCAAAATGGACATTTTCCTTTATGTACAAGAGAACAGTGACATGCTCAGAAGGTCATCGAGGGCATAGATGTTAGGTCGAAAAAGTCTTTCACCAGTTGTAACACATGAACAAAGGGGACCAAAACGTTCTCTCAAGTTATGCCGAAGAATGATCAGAAGCTGCGAGAAACTTCTTCCTGTTTTCTTTGGGGAAAATCCGTTCCTGCCTGGTTCAGAACGAAGTGTGGCAGAGAGTTCATTCCAGATTGCCGGTAGAGCAGTAGCCCACAACATCCCCAGCAGAGTTCATCAGAAGCTTATCTACTCTGATGCCAGCTATCTCAGTCGACTTTTCATTTAAATTCTCTCTCAGCAGAAACCAGTTTATTTCAGTGATCCTCACGAATTGATTCCGTATTGATTGATCGTGGTTTCTTCCTATTCCTATCATACTTCCTACATCTATACATCCATCACTGCCTGCACATAATGATGAGGCGCATACCAGCTGATGACATCGTACCCCTTGACGCCTTCTCTCTATGCGGCTCCCGGATATCCATATCGCTTTCAACAATACAAGAAGAATGTTCTTTTGATTACTTTTCATCGCAATCATCCTTTGGGACTGTTTCTTCCTTTGACAGTGCCATGATCAGTGCCGAATCTCTATGCTCTGGCTGTCGCTTTGACAGCGTGGCGACCAAGAATAAGACCAGCAAGCTGATGCCACCATCACATCCGAGGCAGCCTCTGAAACGCCCTACCGAAATCATCTTTGAAGGATTGGACGAGGTGGAAAACAGCCCATCCAATACCCCCATCCACAACAACCTCATGAGGAATGCTAGACGGCCAAAGCGAAGTTCCTTTGGGTCTAGGTCGTCCAGTGATGGATCTTGCTCTACCACTGGAGACGGAGCAGAATACACACAGCCACTGAACGATGACGATGATGGCGAACGCGACTCTTCCTGCCATAACAGACGATTCAGCTCACTGACAATGGACGATTTTGATTACATGCGACCTTTGAATGATGAAGATCGCGAGGTTGAATACTCGCGACCACTGAACGATGGTCCATATCATCCTTACAGTAATATTCGGTACGGTGATGGCGGTGAGGAAAAAGTGGAGGAAGATGGAACCATCCATCGCTTCTCAGATTCAGATCTGATTCGACATTTTGATGATATGCGACTGTTAAGTTCACCAATGGCATCTCCTGAGTCATCCTCGTCATCGAAATCAAGATCCTATGCAATGCAAACTGCCATGAGGGAGGCCATGTTATCAAATCGAGATAATACTCTACGATCATTGGATGACTAGTCCGTCTCTGAGATCATATCAAATTGAATCGAATGAGATTCATTCTAGCCACACACCTCCACACGACATTGCTACTATACCAGTAAGAACTGAGCTCACGATGATGAATCATGACAGCGAACGATCGCTCATGATGGTAGATCGATTATGCTATCGAATTTTAAGGCAACAATTTTGATTAGTCTTGGAATACGATATATTCTACTTCCGCTTGGAGGAATCAATCTGAGCACCTCTATTAGCAAACTGCTTTTGGTTGAGCACCTTTGAACTACGCCGAATGACTCGGAAGTACGAATTGATTGTCAATGCTAAATTTTACAATAAGCTACGAAATTTACGCAGTCACTTTCTTTTTGCAAATCAAAATAGGTCCATCAATAATCAAGATGGTATCGAATTGGTACTGTACCGGGACCAGTGCTAGTACCAGTGCTAGTACCAGTACAAGCTTAGACTGGCTCATGCGCTTCTCCGTCCAAGGAGGAAAACGCCACAAAATTGGGTGTCAATCTTGCAATCAAATCTTTTCGATGTCATTGCTCTTGGCCGCGAGAAAGATCCATCTGTAAGTAGATTCAGTAAACTTGAATTTGAATCTTTGCTGCCAGCAGCGGCAGCCCAATCGTATCGCCTAAAGTGCGAACCCCTTATTGGAGTTGTCACATACAAAATGAAGCGGCAACGACTAAGACAGGAATCACGATTGCACCCCCATGTTCGCAACGTGTCAAGTGGGTGTCAGCAAATGTTCGCAGATTTCTTAGCTTTTGTAGTCTCCTATTTTATAAAATATATGAATGAAACACATTTTGGCAGAGCGTAATATACCAATTTGAAACTGCAAAATAATAGTCCTATCCTATAGTAAATGTATGCATTTTCAATTTAGGAGGTAAAAACACCGTGATAGAATCACATCACACATCAATCATTCGTTCGTTGCGTTCGCGTGTATCAAAGTTGACCGACTGACTCGACTACAAGGGACATCCAACTGTAGCCTACTTACTGTACATGGTACCGGTACCATAGTCTCTACATTCGACATAGTCAATGAAAAAAGTAATAGGTAATTGATTGTAATAGTAGTTGCCCAAGTTTACAAAAAACCATACTACACGAAGATCTCATTGCTACACGAAAATGATAGTACGAGAACTCACTCACTCCTACTATGGGATGAAAGGAGTAGCATTAACAGACATGGAAGTCTCACTAGAAGCTGAGCACAAAGCTACCGAAGGGCAATGAAGCCAAACCAAACACAAAGTTACCAAAGGCCAATAGTGCCATGCTGAAGCTGGACACAAATCTACGATGGAAGGCCAAAATTACGTGCCAAGGCTAATACCACATAGCCACCGCCGCCGAGGCCAGTATCACGTGCCAAGGCTAATGTCACGGCGAAGTTGAGCACAAAGAAGCTGCAAACTTCACTGCTGACTGAAGGCTAATGCCGCCTCCCTGCGAACCGAACCTACGCAAGTTCATATTTCGCTTTACAACTTCTGTACCGTACCGTACACGTGGACAGAGTGCAATTGCAATGTAAAAACGAGAATGAGCCTTCTGGTTGGTCGTAGATAGCAATACCTATTTTAATACTTTCAACTTGAGCGGTTCCACAAGAAACTTGCGAATTTCAAGCACGTGCGAAACTACAGAAGGCCGTCAAAGTAACGGTCGGGTCTATGTCAACCACCCAATTTTATTCAAACCGGAAGCGATCCCGCGAAATTGGATACGAATCCAACTCCAGCAGCGCATTGTTAGTAATCGAAACTCGCCAAACCGTGTTGAAGACCATGTGCTACGGGTTTCAACGCGTGGAAGTCACGATTGGGAATCTCAACTTGAAGCACACTCCAATGATCCCGAATCTCATTGTGCGATTTGAGATTGTTCTTTGATTGATCAGACGACGCGCGATGCCAATTCATCCTAAAGTTTTTCCGGTAGACTTGTGGTAGAAATACACGTATTCTTCAACGCGGCCAAAGCGACAGAATCCAGATGTCCCACGGAGATTCGTGGGAACGTCAGTCATTTTCATCACAGTCAACGGCTTCTCACTTTTCTTCGAAACACGGAATCGAAAGCAGGGCAAGACTCCAAACACAGGAAGCATAAAACGCCAATCGTGAAACAAATAGTCTCACAATATCTCACTCGACGCCCCTGTAAGCAATCAAAATATAATGCCACCCTCTGCTTGCCGACGACCAGCATCCTACAATATCTCCAGGATGCCTCCACGATCACAATCATTACCTGTTGTTTCCAGAAGCATTCCAATTGCCAGGAATGGCAAATCGTTGCAAGAGGATGCCATGGAAGCGGTAGACGCCCGAAGGGCTGACATTCAAGACTATTTGTTCTACAATAGAATCATGAGTGGCCTCAAAGCAAAGCAATCGAAATCACGGTGTTTGGATTTGAGGTATCAGAACCAAATGCTAATGGAACACATTCGAGACACGCGCTATTCGGATGTTGACAGTTTGTCGGGCGGGGAGAGTTTCTCTTCCGATGACGAATTGACACGAAATACATTGATGGGAGCTATTGATTTGGCACAAGCTGACGAAGACGATGAGATGATGTTTGAAATGGACATTTGAAGAACTCAAGAAAATCTTTAACTGTGATCACGCTTCAATCCTGCATCATCACAGTATCCATGCTACCGAGTTTCAGACACAATGAAAACTCATCAATAGAATCATAGATTCCCTGGTGCTAGACTATATCCGCGATGAAATCAAAACCAGGAATCAACCAACAATAGAAGAAGGAACAACAATGCTACATCATTCACAATCATACGTATTGATAATTGATAATATATTATAGAAACCAAGCTAGAAAGCAAACATCATCTTTTGTCGCTATCATTAGCTAGCAGTATTATAGAATCTAGCAATACCATTTATGAACAAGCAAGGTACCAATACCAATGCCATGACCCATTACCACGGATCACATATTTCGCCTCTCCTCACAGTACGGTACCCCTGTTCAATTGGAAAAATCAGACGGTGTCCTGTGGGTTGTTGTCACACGCGGACGTCAGACGAGATTCGCCTCAACTTGTCATTGCTCTGATTGGTCATTCATTGGTGCGAATTCATTCCTGTTATTAGTGCAGTCACGATTTGAATTTCAAACTGACACCATGTCCGAGGGTGTCAAAAATCAATGGTCCGCAGAACATGACGTCAAAGACACACATCTGCTTCAGCGGAGTGACGTCCGACAGCAATCAATGGAACGTCAATACTGTACCTGGCACAGTAGGTAGGTGGCAGGCGGCAGGCAGGGTTAGGAATAAAAACCAATGAATAACACAAGTTTGACAACAGAATCACTCACAATACGTTTTGTAAAAATAATAACAGAAATAAACAAGAGGCTACCCTAGAAAGCAACATCTTTTTAGCAAATAGATTATGAAGATGGTTGTTATCGCTGCGGCTGGCTGGCAGCAGTATGGCAGAAGTGGGTTACGAATGCCATGACCCGTCAATGATCACCCTTGCGGCACTCTTGTTCAGTCGAAAATCAGACGGCTTCTGTTTGGTTGTCACACGGCAAGGATAAAGGGGTCATGCATGTGACGGTTGGTACCAGGTACTCAGCTTGATAGAATTCAATCCGATGTGTCACGATTCGATCTATGTACCGTACGACTATCTCGATCCAGCCCGCATGTCCAACAACCGAGAACCACTCATTTTCGTCGAACGCGCGTTGAGTGAGTGGTATAAAATGGATGGCTCGAACGACTTGGATGACGTCCAATGAGCGATAAGGATGTCAAATGGAAGGTGACGCGTGTCAAGTCAAATTCAAAGCGAAACTGGTTTTGTTCTTTTGAGAAAGGCTTTAGGACTATTCGAATAATAGCATTAAGTAAAGAAAGAGAATTCAAACAAGCGTTTGTCGTATGGAATGTACGCTTGATTTTGAATCTTGCTATATGTCCAGAAATTAAAGCATTCGCTTATAACAAATGCCGAAACTGCCGCTTGAAACGCCGAACAAAAAGGTCATTGTTCCGTAGTCACATTGGGAAGTCTAAAAATCGTACACACAAACTCCCTAGTAAACTTGGTGGTTCGGACTTTTGGAATTCTCTCAAAGGTACAAAAATTTCGGTTTCACGCGATTTATAAGTAAGCAAATAGATATAAAACACGATATGCAGGATTGTAATCGATCGTGGCCACAAATACCATGGTCCACGAATTTCCTTGTGGGCTGTTGCACAACGACCTTTTTCTCACTTGACGTGCCTTTTTCAGAGTTTTGTGTCCCCTCTTCACTTACGCACTTTTTATTTTTCTGATCCGACACCGGTACTGTACGATACGATACGATACGATACTATCCATCCATTCATTCACACACAATAAGATAATCTAGCTTGAATCGTCAATTGATTCAGTACAACTAAACAAACACAGAAGACAATGAATATGACACCTACACGAACCATCCCAATCAATCGCGATCCCCAAATCCTGCGGCGTGAAGCTCAAGAAGCTCAAATGGTTCGAATGGCAGAGGTTCAAGACCACATGTTTTACAACCGATTGGTCAATGGTATGAGGGAACGGCAAGCTCAATCCGCAAGTCTTCCAACGAATTCTAAGATGGAAGGTGAACGTCAAGCCTCGTTCATGGAAAAGCTTCCCAGCACTCCTAGTCTTTCCGGAGTTCCAGTCTCGGTCTTGATGTCTCCAGACCGATCAAGACGGTCGTTTCACTATGAATCACATCGCCACCAGTCTACTGCTTCTACAGTGTCTACTTCACCCTCGAATTCGGTCCTATCCTCATCGCCACGATATGCAATGCCAATGCAAGGTCACCTGGAACGAGCCGACCTGTGCAACGTTCTGACTCAATCCATTCAGATCCTCGACGAAGAGAATGGTTGTGGTGGCGGTGCTGAAGAGGATGAACTCATGTTCGAAATGGATTTTTGAATTACTTTTTGAATGCTTTGCACTACTTTTCAGATGCAAAAGCATTACCAATGCTAATCAATCGATACTTACCTAATTTAGAATACAATTTTGAATCCAATGAATCTGTTTTGTTCACTAGGCTTCTACCGGTATGCTACCTATTGCTACTACTTGCTGAACTTATCATGCTTACCGGTAGTTACAAAAAAAGGTTATCACTTGTTGCATGTTTGCAAGCAATCTTGCTTTCTTTTCGAGAGCCACTACCCAACCATCCTCCTACCGGTACAGTACTGGTACTGTACTTCGAAGAAATTCTCCAAACACGAGCCGGTGGACAACATAGTCAGGACTCACTCGCTCACCAAAGTTCGTAATCCAAACGCGGAAGGTTCCTGCCAACCACAAATTTGATGGCCAGCAGGACGCCAATAGTACGTGAAGGGTCCCGCGCACCACAAATGCCGATGGTGACAGTACCACTTTTTTTCGGTCAACACATTTTCTCTAAGTAGGTTTCGAACTAGGAGATTTTATCCAATAAGGGAGTGATGCCTGGCGAACCACATTTTTTCTCCGATGCGGGTTCTCATGAACGCCAATGTCCCATTGATGATTCGAAATCATTCTTCATCTGTCACCTGGTTGATGTCAAAGATGCAACAAATTCAGGAAGTTTGCGTAGAAGTGTGCCATCTATCGATTTTCGAAATCATACAGTAAGGCACTATAAAAACAAGACGCCATCTATCCCTCACAAATACCCAACCAAGTGTTGCTTTGAGTTTTGCAGGATATTCCAAGGCATTTCATTTTCATCATCCATATAGTACATATTTAAAATTTATTGTACAGCATCATTCAAAAGATGAATACAATACGGTCATCGTCAGTGATGGAAGACCCTCCTTCCTTCTTGCGGGAACTACTTACAGAGCATCATCATCAACAACCGCTAGATCCTGCGGATCACCAAATCGCCCAGCAATTGTATCGAAGAATGAATAACGATGTTGCATTGCAAAAAGGGTGGAGTGCTGACCAGCATGATCATTACAGTGGTGCACACCACCAACACCACCACCAATCCTCGTCTTCCTTGATAAGCCAAGTTCTGAGATCCATTCGGGATGACGGTGATTGCAATAGCAAGAATACTCCAAATCCATACAACGATGCTAGAAGAATACTCCTAATACAGCAGCAGAGGTTGAAAGCACCACCCACCGGCGATCATCCAAATCTACAATGCCAGCACGATGATGATGCAGGACTCGATGATTCTAATTTTTGTTTGGAGCCATCCTCCTTTAGCAGTGAAAGCTGGCAAAATATGCCAGAGAGATCACTCAACGACGAAGCGCAGGATCAACGAAGCATATACGACCATCTTGCAGAGCACCGTGAGAGAATGAACGTCTTTAGTACCCTCCAGGCGCTTCGAGGGGAAGCTAGCATGGCGAACAAGTCGGCGTGGGACGCTGATGCTTTCGACCGCTGTGTAATACCGGAAGAACAAGACCATGATGCGGACGATCTCATTTTTGAAATCGAGCTGTAAATTTCTAAAAGAGAAAATGTTAAAAAGTACAAACAGATGTATGATACATGTACTACTTGATTGTATTTGTCTGGGAACATTGTAGATCAAGGTATAGATTATTGGTCTGGTGTGAACTGCTTCCAGCTTGAACAACATCATCATTGGCCAACTGACTGATTGCATCAATGAAGAATCTCAAGAACACCTAGACCGCCAAAAGGTATATATTTCGTGCTCTTTTTGACTGTCCTGCGGGGTTTCGTCCTTCTCATACAGTGATGGCATGGTATCAATTGTCCATTCAAAGCCTCGTAGTTTGGCGCTATCCAAAATATCTTCAAATTTGGCTTGGGTGGACGCTTCCATTACGTATATCACCTTGGGAGTGGAAGGTGACTTGGCTGGTGTGATGCCATGGGCAGTGTCATCGTCCTTGCCAGTTACTTCTGTATCGAGCAAAAAGTCAATCGTCTCCCAAAAGGGTTCCACACTTTGCGGTATATAGGTACAGTCTGCAGCAAGGATGACATCAAACTGACCATACTTCTTGCGAAATTGTGCCAAGGGACTTTGGCCATTGCTCTGTCCTCGATGACCCCAAATGAGCTGATGACATTCGATGGCACCAGGATGACCATCACCACCGATTGTATCTTGCTGCCTTCGATCATTCTGATTGGCATTGAATTTTAAGTAATCATTCAAGACGAGTGAATCACCATCGGTCAGAACACTCGTCTTGGAATCCAAATGATGACTGGTAATCCCAGCTAGACCCAGACCAGATCCCAATTCCATGACAGTCTTGCCTCGTATCAGATATGGGTGCCGAGCCATGAATCTTGCAAGAATTTCGGATCCTAGCCATACGGCCAATCCCGTGGATTGGGTATAATCGGAAAACCCTTTGAGCGTGACTTCAATATTCTTCTTCTCTGCAGCGGCTACCACTACTGCTGATCTTGTTGATTCATCACAGCCGCCGGCTTCTGCCACAGGAAAAGAGAAATGCATAGTTTCTTCTTCCTCTTCTTCTTGTATGTTTCCAAATAGGTTTATACCGGAAGCATAAATCACGTCCTCTTCGTCTTGGTTATTGCCATCATCAGCACTTGTTCTTCCTTCTTTGGCAGCAGCAGCAACAGTGTCGTGAATATGGAATTCTCTCCATCCTTGTTGGAATTCTGTCATGATAACTCTTAACTTTTAACTTGGAACGTATTGTTTTGAAAGGTAAACTGAAGATGTTATTCTATGGTTTTGAGAAAGCAAAGAGTCACTATTACAAATGAAGCTTTCCAAGCTTATAAAAAACATCCATTCTGCTTTATTGCGTTCATAGTGATGTACGCACATTTGGGGATTTGTGCAATGAGTTGGCATGCGCGGGATGACGGAGGATGACGACGCAATGAGAAAATGACTGATGATTAGAATAACGTCCATGCTTCGTCCGCCACTGTGACGCATCTTCGAACTTTGATTTATTCACATGAATCGGTACGTATATTATATTATTCGTCTCCGTTATCGTTGACATTTACTGGGAACAACGAAGGTCTGTTCAATGGGGTAAACTTTGGAGAAACATGGAAGCCCTCACCAGAACCCATGTGTCCAGAAAACGGGCTGGCAACACCGCTATTTCCACGTTCATAACTAATAGATGAGAAGCGGTTCAATGATTTGGACGGTTTGCTTTCTTTTTCGGCTCCCTGGGCCATTGGTTCCTTTCCCTTTGATGCTCCGCCATAGCTCTCCGAGACAAAGTCCATCTGGTGATTCTTGTACCCTGTGACAGCCTTGATCATGTCATTCGAAATTTTCTGCTGATGAATCTCTTGCGCAAGTCTAGGAGAACCACAGAAAGCCAAGAGTGAATAAGACCGCTTGTGAGCATCAATCATTCGCAACGTGTGATCTTCGATCCAGCGACCAATGTCAAGACGGCCGATGGATAGTTCGATTCCAGAAGCAGTAGTTTTCATTTCCTCTTGCAATTGTGCACAGGCGACGGGATCGGCATCGGTCACACAGATCTTGACGCGGCATACTTCCTTGGCATTCTCGGCACCCCAAGCCTTGACGAGCGCATTGTAATGAGACGCAATGTCAGGCAGGATCTTAGATGCTTGAGATGCCGAACGGGTGGTCCAAACCAGCTCCAAGCAGTTTACGCTACTTCCAGAGCCATGGTTGCGAATATGCTTTTTCCAACTCTGGTGAAATGGGTGGACGGCACGGGTCCACAAACGAACGACCATGTAGCCAAGGAATACAGAAGCGAGGATGACCTCTTCAGGGGAAAGCTTTGATCTCTGCTCCTCGTATACTCTATACCAATACCAGTCGGCAAATGGAGCAATGAGGGAGATTACAAGATCCAAATAGTTCACCATAGACGTCGAATCCCAAACGAAAAGAGAAACGGTAGCGAAAATGCATTGGAAGAGAACTGTTAGGATCTCTAGCGCAAGGTACATCTTGGGTGTTAGATCGACTTTGGTGGTGTTCCAAGAGATTGTCAAACCCAAAACGACAACTCCCAAGACTGGAGCAATGCACAGCACGACAGTGCCATAGATGAAACGGGTGGCTTCGCTTGCTCCCTTTTTCAGTTCACTCATGTTCTTGCGAATATCTCTCATACTTGTCAGCTGGTTATGTTTCGCAAGCTTGTTCTGGATGCCAACCCTGAGCACACTTTTACGGGAAATACCATCTTCTTGCTCTTCGTCTTCGTCAGCGGGACTATGGCACATGGTGATTACCTTTTTGGCAATCGATCCCTTTCTCCTTTCCATCTGCAACTGGACTTGGTGAATGCGCTGTTCGCGATAGTCAAGTTCCTCCAGATAAGCGATGGGATCCAATGCTAGCATGTTGCGGATATGTTCCTTGTACAGACTCAAGACCGGGACAATACCTAAGGGTAAGAAGAAGTGTAAGGACTGGAACAAAATATCATGCCAGGCGGTCGTCAATCAATGTGACTTACCAGTGCCAGATCCGAGCGACAAGACATGCGTATAGTCATCTGTCGAGGCAAGACTGGTTCCGTATGGTCCCTTGACTTCTACAAACAAGCGTGCATGAGGGTCATGGATACCTTCTTCATCGATCAAAAGATCCCACAATTGACTGGTCCAAGAGCTTGCGCCGTATACTTCAATATAGAATTCAAGCTCATCAGACTCTGGTCCAGAAGCAATGGAGAATGGATGCCAATGCATTTCAATGCCCTTGATTCGAAGCAATGCGGACTGTCCAGCTTTGAACTGGAAGAGCGTAGGACGCTTGAGCTTCAAAATAATCATGCGAGATCCATTCGTGCCCTCCACAACCGCCGAACTTGTCATCTCGGCATAATATCGGTGATTCAAGTACATGGCGGCTCGGTCACAAAAGTAGAACAATACTGACGCCGAGAACCATTTGAAAGTTTGGCTTCGCTCCCCTCCTTCACGTGCTTTCACATCCAAGGTGTGAGCAATGGTCACAAAGTACATGACGAAGACCGCATGATGAACGGCATAAAATATTTGGTAGGGAATGGAATGGCGAAAGTAGGATGTAAAACCAACCAACAACAAGAATGCCAAGATGCAGTATCCAGTGATCATGATTTCTTCTGTAAATTTCTCGCAGAAGGCTTCTTCTCCGTCCGAGCATAGCAAACCGAAAAACGTAAAGAAAAATATGACAGCCCAGAATACAATAAATATCATGGTGTATCCAAGATGTATATGCATACGAAGAGTCCGGTTAAGTGGCAAGATGCTGTTGAGAGACGAGTCGCATAGACTGGCTATGGAAAACCGGGCCATGGTCAGAGGCAGTAGGGCCATTTGAAAGAGAATGGCATGCATGGATCCAAACTCTAGAGGTGGAGCGACGATCTTCCACCAGTACCGATTGGCGGCCTCGGGGACGTTCGCGAGCTGAGCATCCAGTTTGCGAAGTGCAAAGTGAGCTGTATATAGGAAGTAAAACAAAATAATCAGTTAATTTTATCATCGCAGCATCACGCAGATGATTGCTATAAGCTGTATGCATGTCATACACTTACCCCAAATGACCAAAGTGCAGACAAAATGGACAAGGAAAAATACCAATAGCTTGCGTTCGGCATACAAGTACGTGGCACTTCGAAGAAAGGCAGATGGGTTCAGGAGAATACGAGCTTTCTGGAAAAGTTCCTTGTTGCCATCGCTATTCATTGATTTGAAACAGGAGTCCATTAATATCAACGTCAAATGAATGAATGAATCGCAGTTCTTTCAATTTGCGATGAATGAACGCGCATTCCCATGCATATTTGAGTAGGAATACAGCATACAGTATACAGTACGTGTACAGTATACACCAAAAAACGCTCAGAAAAACGAGTATAATAAAAGAACAATTAACAGCTTTTCGAGAACCGGTAGAGAAGACAAGTTATATCCACTCTCGAAAAGCTGTTTATTGATCTTTAGTCGTGTTTTTTACTTTCAGCAGTCGTCTAATCGGAAGCAAGACTAGATTTATTGTTGTCAAGTATGCTTCATCACTGCTAGCAGCTGCTTTCCTACCGATCATAAATCAATGGAAAGTTGATCCACTAATTTCAATTAGACACGGATGATAAGATTCCTTGCTTTGAGATTTATGCTTGATGCGAAGAACGGAACGTTGATTTTTTGACCAAAAAGACGACTAAAAAAAGTTAATGCCTCGCAAAATAAGCAGCCATCGATCATGCATATGGTATACGGTACGGTAGCGCTGAAATAAAAAATGCAAGCAGCATTACAGTATATGACCGAGCTTTTGGCGAAGGTTGATGAGAACGCCCTCCTCTTGAAAATGACGCACTCGAGAGCGTCCGGAGGCAAATAGTCAAAATGAGCTACGAGCAGTTCCTGACTTCATCTACTGACCTCACATGACCACAAAATGCCATTCCCACAGTAATTCCGTGGCACTCACTATAGCCATTTATCCTTATCCACTTGCTCCAAAAGGAAGAATAACCTGGGCCAATAAAGAGGCTCGCGTCCTCCAGAATTGGAATTTGTCGACGATTTATTGGGCAGCTGACAAGCTTATATATAGTGATGATGAGGAAGTGGGAAAGCATGAAGCAGCTGCTGCTCCTCTGAATATACATACATGTCCGAAGATCTTTGAATAAAACGTTAGACCTCGGTTGGAATACGAAGTATATGCACCACATTGAGCATATGTAATACCATACCGTGTATTACTTTGACTGAAAAAACACCAAAAATATTATGGTTCCCCAACGCTGGCTCAAGAGATTCATCAACAGAAGATTTCCAACGACATGATCACTGCCATATTACTATATCCTGGATACAACAAACGACACCAAATGGAGAGTTCGTCTCTGAAATCAGTTACGGCGCGCGTTATAATATCCATCCTCGAAACCACCGAAATAAAAGTATATAATACTATACGAGTATGACAAATGAAATGGCTGCTGCAGCTGAGACTCTTCCAGACACGGAAGAATCGGTATTGGCGGCATTATGGGCCATAATGCTCGGAATAAAATAATAAGTTAGTCGACATCAATGAAATATTGCAGCATAGGTTCGATTGATTCATTCATTCGAGCGAGTGGACGAGTACCGGTACGGACAGACACAGATGAAACGGTAGACGATGACGAAAGAGTATGCGCGGCGTGTGTGTGCGTATTTTGGCGATTTCGCTAAAATTCGATACGAATTCCGAAAGTAAAGATGATGCTTCATCTCTCGTGCAGGCACCACCACCAGGACGAATAATCCCATCTCTCTTACTTGAGAGCAACAACGTTACGGAAAGAAGGTCCATGAGACCGATTATGCCATACTATCAACCACAAAGACCGCGAATTGTGCGGCAGTATTCCGGAGAATCATCGGAACGAACAAATCATTTGCTGACGAAGCATCGTCATCCGCCAGGACCAGCAGCATCAGATTGTGACAACAACAGCACCGATGATGATATTTTCTCAGGTCGGCATATCAAGCAAACAGGAACAATGGGGTCGAAACGATCAAAGTCTACACCTTTGACTGTAGAGGAAAGTCTGTCAGGAGAATATCAAGAACAGTTTGGAGTTCAGCAGCCATCCATGAGGAGCTACGACGATCGCGATCATGGCGCCCGGAGCTACGACCAAGACGCGATAGGAGCTCACCGAGGAGGGGCGAGTCGCGGAGGCGGCAGCTACCAATCGTTTCAGCAAGGAGACTATAGTTATAGCGGATCGTATCTGGACGGAGATCAACCACCTGAGGAACAGTATTACCAGGATCAGTATCTTTCGGAACATGGATCGCAATGCTACACAGATGATGGTGAACCCTACTATGGCGAAGATCAAGGGCAGTTTGAGCAACATGAACAATATTATGGTGGCAAGAATGGCTACAACGACCAGAAACAATCACCTCCGTACGAAGCAGGCTACCATCAAGGCCACCCTGATGGTTATCCTCATCAATACGATGACGAGCGATACCCAGAAGAATATGATGGTTACCAGCATGGACATCCTGAAGCCTATGACGAATATCAAATTGGTCATCCAGACGACTACAATCCAGAGTATCGTGAAGCAAAGTCACAAGACTACAGAGGACATCGACAAGCAGATCATTACGACGAATACGACGATGGATATGACCGAGGCCATGGGCAACAACGTCGTGATTGGCCCCAACCAGAGGAAGAATTCAGTCACTTTGATGATCAAGAACAGTCATACGTTTCTTATGGTCAGAATAATAAACGATATTCATCCTATGAAGCTCGTCAGAATGCTGAAGGCCACTGGGAGGAAGCATCTGAAATCGATGGTGGTGGTACCATTTCATCAAAAACATTGAATACCAATCTCGAGGGCATGAAATATATCCCACCATACGACAACAATACCTATTACGGAGGCGAGGAGAGTGCTTTTGATTACTCAGAAGGCCCGGAACTGGCAAGAAGCGAACCCCCTGAAATCCCATTCCATGGAGCTTCGACCCTCGAATCGCCACTACATGACGATGAAGGGTCGCAAGGAAGTGGGTCCGTTTGGGATGGCACTGACCTTCGAAATAGATCGTTGGTGGATAATCCTGTCAGCCCACTGAGTCAAACACAGTTCACCATTGGCAATCGAACGGAATATTCGGACGAATCTCGAAGCACTCGTAGGCCTGTGAGCAGGTTTATTCAGAAAACAAAGAAAAATGTCGGATGTGCTGGTGTCACATACGGCGATGGAGAGTTCCAAGTGAGAGCCAAACGGGGCAAACGAGGAGGAGGAGGCAGTCGATCCAAAAGTAAGCGAGGCGAAAGTGCCACAATCTTGGACATTATGTTCAATGTCGGACACGATTTGATCGTAGGCACATCAAAGGACAGGGGAGGACGACGCCGTAAGCGAGATCCCGCAGGCAAGATTGTGGATGGATTTGTAAGTTTTCGCATTTGTCTGCTTGCTGACTTGATTGGTTCAAGAAGTTTGCTCACATGCTTTGTATTTTGATATTGCAGAAAGAGATGTTTAATTGTGGTGTAGATAACGACGTGGATGATGACGATGATGACGATTATGGCTCCTACCACTCCTAATCAAGATCAGAAAGAGCTGTATTGTACGAGCTCTATTATATATGTACAATCGTAATGGCAAGTGATAGGTACTAGTACGATGATAAGATACGAAAACCAGCATAACAGCATAATTTATAGTTACAACGTCTATATAAATCTCAAAACGTGATCTGGCTTGGATTCAAGGTTCAAGCTTTCTTTCGCTCGCGTGTGTGGGGCACACCGTCACCGGAACCCCTCTTGCGTGCTACGAGACGGTCGTTAGAGGAAGTACTAGTATCCACCGCTATGGGGATGGGAAAAACTGCGCTTGCGATCTCCCTCAAAGCATGACTATCTTCACTGCCCCTGGAATCAATGATTCTGTCTTTTATCACAACGGCAGGGGCGGCAGTCAAGGCTTCTTGGCACACGGTTCCCGAGAGACAAGCTGGTATATATGCAGCGCGATGGGCATCAACCAAGTATCGACGATGTTCTTCCCGTCGTTCAATAGTCATTTCGTCCAAAGTTTCCTTCCCGTCCAAGAGGTTTGTTCGAAGAAGAGCAGTATTCATAAAAGAGGGTTTGTATCGCTTCTTGACATTCCATTGGAATGAGAGAGTAGTCGGAATTGACAGAGCTGAAATAAAGCTGCAGCCATATGCCGTCTTTAGCACCATCTGCAGGGAAAGAAGAAGTTGTCCAACGATCAATAGACTGATGATCATATCAAACACGAAAATCCACCTCATCCCACCATCATCGTATCTTTGACGATAGACAAAAATGGAATTTCGGCGCAGCAACGGCTCCAAGAGGGCAAAGTAAGCTAGTGACGCAGGTGCAACAAGCGGCGAAGCTGGGCTTAGCGCAACGCAACACATGAGAACCACCCCAGAGTCGATAAAAAGCCGATACGGTGTGGGACCACCTGGGCCGCCACCAATTGTTAGCCGTGAGCAACAATTGCATCCAAGACAGGCAAACATAAATGTGTTGAATTGGAGCAAAAAATTGATTGGCAGAATTATCGTGAATCGATAAATGATCCAATTGATCCATGTAGCCGCAATCGTAGTTGGCGTTGTACCCGCAATGGCAAGTAACATCTTTCGTAGCCCTCCCTGCAAACTGTCGTCCTTGTAGTAGATGGCTCCAAGAACCCAGTATGCCAACATTGGACCAGCAAACGCTGTAAATAGCATGAACCACCAGAAATATTGGTGAGCGCATCGTTCTGCTTGCGCCAGCGAAGTTGCGTTTGATCCAAAGTAAGCAACTAGCTGTCATGATGATGGTTTTTAGTGCTCAATGATTGTGGCCAAGGTTGTAAAAAGAGAAGAACGAGACTTACCTTGAATACTTGTGGACAGAGCATAAAAAATAATGACCATATGATTGATGTCGTAAGACCTGAAAGAAGATCTGGTAGGCTGACACCGGTTGTGCTCTTTATCTTGTCGTGCTGTGGAAAAAGATAAGCAATAGTATCAGGGTCCAGTCGATTTGCCGCGCGAGTCAATGGAATCGTGTAGAAAATGCACATGAGCACTAGAAATCCGAACACCCTGTTTTGCAAGGCAAACTTTGAGCATGTATCGAAATGCAAAAAGAGTCCAGTGAAAACAATCGCACTTACATTGACCATCGGAATCCTTTCTGGAAGGCATTGACGGTGACGGTAACTGGTCGACAGAAGAATCGGAACGGTAGTAGACGTAGCGCCCCTGCATCTGCAAGAGGAGCCACCGGAATATCGTTGAGTTCGACTCCAGAGGATGACAGTGATTGTCTGGCGGCTGCCGCTGCTCGTCTCGACGTAAATGTGACAATCACATAGGGGTCTTCGTGATCCCAATTCTTCCAGCATCGAAAAAACAGTCCTTTCCAAGAAGCTGGGCTTTTGTATGTTCGTAGCAGTTCCATGACATGGAAACTAAATTGATCAAACATTTGTTGAAATGGAATTCGGTTCACCAAGTTCAACACCCATCGCAATCCTTTCTTTGATCGCTGCCGTCTCGTGCTGGTGGGAGATATTGTTCGATTTGCTGCCGATCCAGCAGCAACCATTTCGACCGTGCCAATAGCATCATCCTCTTCCTCATCTCCCTCGAATATTCGCCCTCTGGAGAGGCAACGAGCAGCGAAACTTCTCTTCCGAGCAATGACGCCATTTCCGCTCATCGATGAGTTTCTGTGCCCATCTGACAAGTAGTTATCACTCGATGGACGGAGCAGAGATAATCCTTCCCCATCCCCAATATCATCTTCTCGAAATAATAAATCGTCGCCATCATCCAAGAGTGTTGGTTGGAACATGAAGTCTTTTTGAATCCGTTGCAATTCTTCTTTTGCATCGGCAAGTATTAAGATCTGCTGTTCATGTAGCTGCTTCAACCTAGTGAGATTCGCCCCTCGTACTTGACCTTCGAAGCAGCCGTATGGACAGCAAGGTGCTGCTGCCTGGGCTAATTCCCGGGAGTACACAGCAAGTTGCTCGGGACCCAGTTTTGTCTGCGCTGTTTCAATCCAGTCATCATCGAGTAGATACGTTCCAAAGACCTCCTCCATATACAGATTAGGGCTTTTCTTGTCGTCCGCACTTTCCGAAGTTTCCGTCATGATTGCAGAACCTTGCATGTCACTATGAACTTCACTGCCGAGTAAATCCTCATCCACTAAATATCCGAGGTTTTTCATTTGCTTCCTGATAAATAGCAGCCGGCGGAGCTTCTTCAGGGTGTCATACCAGACCATCCAGACTGGACCAACCTCCTTTGCCGTCGGCACCACCGTAACGGCACAAATGGGACTGGAGTAGCCTGGTTCATGCGGTAGTTCTCCTTCCAACTGATGTATAATGCTGTTGAGCAAGAGCTGTTGGGGGTAGGGAAGATCCGAATTTGACTCTTCCTCTTTGAGATGGAAAGGACTAATGTCACCATCATTCGGCGCGAACCTTGTTACCTTTGGCAGGGGCCCAATCAGAACACTGTACGGTTCAATGTTTGGAGGCGTATCTGGTTGTTCTGGATGCGGAATCCATGCTTCGCGATCTTTCAATTGCAAATGATCATTGTCAATATGTCTCGATTCTTCATCTTCGTCAAACGAGTCGCCATTGTACTGAAGATTGGAAAACCCTCGGTACCATTCCGACTCGGCCATGGGAATTTGGCTGATGCTCATCCTGCGTCGATCAAAGTTCCGCTTTTCGGTAGTTACTGATTCTTCATCAGTGGAGCCGCCACTAAAGTTCTTTGATTTCGAGGGAGTAGTATTTGATTGAAATGCTTTCGGCGTCGGCAAGGCCGCAACCGAAGTATCTCGTACCCACTTGCGTTGTTCCAAATACCATATTCGCCGTAAGGAAACCATTTCCGTCCATTCTTTCGTGAGCAAATAAAAGGAGTAAATTGTAACGAGCCAAACAACCAAGACTGCGGCACGTAATCGAAAGACAATGGCGTCATCGGGTACCTGGTCAGACAAGTCTAGTGTTGCATTCACAGTGGTTTTAGAGATCTGTTCTTGGTGAAAGCGGTGCTGAGATTGCTCTCGCCGAAAGAAGTAAAGATTTGGCACGTTGCCCATTGTGGTCCGTCGATAGAAGTTTCGTTGTTGCTCATGTTGCAATCGATTTTGTTCTTTCTCCAAGAACCAGGTGGAATTATTGCACGAGAGCATATTGGTGGTATAGTCTCGAGTGCAGTCGATGAGATTATTCAATGATGACCACGATGCGTTTCCTTCTTCTATGGCACTGGCATGCGAAAAGGATGGAACCTCCAACATACCCGGGACCAAATGTCTCGGTTGCGGCGTTGTAATGTACAGTGGCATTAGTACAAATATGCATAATACCGTGGCCAATGTGGAAACCTTTCGACCCAATCGATGAAATCGTATCAAGACAATGCAATCCAATGTGACATATAACAGTGATCCCTCTACTCCACCCTTCCTCGTCCCCGTTCCAGGAACTCCATGCAGAAGTGTAGCTTCTGATAGTCCCATCACCCACCTGACCCAATTTCCGCCGCATCGATGTTGAGCATGCAGGGGATCATTTCGTTCGGCCCATCTATTAGAAATAGTTTCGGGTGGTCGAGCGGTACATCGCGGAGCAATCTTGGGGTTTTGAGTCAGCAAGGCGTATTGAAAGGCCAGTATGCACAGTAATAAAACGCCAGTTCCGCCCAGCAGAGTCACCAAGATGGCCGTCAACGTAGTTGCTGGCATTTTGAATGTTCCAAAAGTTTCTCTCAGAGAGCTCAGCTGTGTCAGCTGAAGGTCCGCTCAGCCCTATAAACTCTTCTTTGTTTCAATTATCTTTCTTGTTGACTTCAGAGATGAGGCGTTAGCATATCATTTTCCCTTCAGAGATGAGCTTCAGATAATGATTGACTTCGATGGTAAGAATTAGGAAGCTTTAGGAGACTGATAAATTGGCGTATTCAATGTCCTTTTCTCCTCTTTTCTCTTCAGGAATCTGCTGTATTGTAAAACCTGCAATGAATGCTGAAGTAGAAACTTTGGATGGCTTGAATACTCTTGTCGTGTCTTCTCTGTTGCAATGCGATGCTAGCTTCTCGTGTATTTTTTTAAAAACAGAATGAATCAATCTTATTTCCTAATGGTCGTACGAGGACAGACTCCAACGGTCGAAATTATAACCTGTGTGTGAGTCGAAGTGGTCCAATCACCGAATGGAGAGTGCGCGCGCCGCTGATGTGCGATGCGCGGGTATGAATTTGAAATTCGTCGTTTCAATTTCCCTCATAATCGTCAATCAATATATTGATCATCTCATTGAGCCTCATCATCTCACCATTCTCGCCACCCAGACGCCCAATCCTATGGAGTATCTGAAAATTCGGTACATAGGCTGAATATGGTCGTTGTGGGATGGACGTTATTGATATTGTTGTCGTTGTTGCACTGACATTAATTATGGCGATGGTTCCAATCTCTTTGGCATCCCTGCTGTCACTTATTATTGCCAATCTCGCCGCCATCAACAATAAGTTTGCAACCGAAATTGTCAATGACCTGAAACCGATTATACATTCTCCTTTGATGCAATCATCGCTTCATCATCTTGGCTGCTGTCGGTTCCACAGCCACCGTAATGTGTAGACAGCAAGCCACACTCGTTCAACAATACACCGCGCAGTCCCTATATTCTTCTGGTCCAGACACATCGCGACTGTATACCTATAGTCATATAAATCTTATAATCATTGTGTTCATTGAATGAGTTTTTGCGCCAATATTTAAAAACAGTTGGTGCAACAAAGGAATAATAAAATCACTATTAGATGAACGTGAGAAGCAGCATATAATATAGATACACCATTACTTGAGAATCATGAATCTATCGGCAGTTTTTATCTAGCTAAGTCGAAGCCTCTACATGTTCACCTTGAGGTGAGGAGGATGATTTTGGAAAGGATAAGCGCCAGGCGTCTTTTTCGTGTACTTCGTCCATTTCGTCACAGAAAGTTTGCAAATCTTCAAGGGTCACTTCCCCTGATCCATTGGTATCGGCAAATGAGTGAACGAATTTTGCAAGTGATAGCTCTCTGTTGTCGACCGACAATCCGACAATATCGGCAAGAGCTGCTTGAATGTCCTCAACAGAGACCAGGCCGTCCTTGTCCTTGTCCAGACTCTTCAAACGCATCTCAGCATTGTATTCGTTGTCAATAGTATCCAGGTCATACTTCCTTCCAATGAAATCTGTTAGGCCATCCCAAATCTTTCTCCATAAGTTCTTCGCGAAGTATCCCATCAAGTCAGCTTGGATGTTTACATAAGCACCTTTGGGGGGGAGAAGCATTGGGTGCTGCTTGTAATACTCAGTCCATTGTGGCGATTGACCATTCGTGAGATCAGAGATCTTTGTGGCAACGCGGTAGATTTTTTTGTGATCAATTGGCTTCCCGCGAACTTGGGTGACGACTGGCTTTCCGCTCGACCAGTCTTCCGCCATGCCATGGTCGTACTGCATCCATCCCGGTCTTGGGTCTCCAGCATGCGTGGCTGCTACTCCCTCGGCCAACAACCATCCAGGCATGGGAACAACAGCAATCACCTCGTCGCCCTTTACTTCTGCTTCCAGCGCTTCCAAAGAAAAGAAAGATCCCAACTCGTAGTCTTGTCCTCCACGAATATTGCCGCCCATTAAAACCACAGCGTCAATGTCGTGATGGCGTTGCCGACGTGACGAGTTCAGCGAAGATCTCAGCAACGAGCAAATGAAAATTCCCTAATGTGTCAATACGGAATGAATCATTGATTAGTAGACATATATTCCAGAAGCCATCTTGCATCTTTTGCATTGTTGCTCATTCCACTTACCATGGTACAAACTTTTCCACGGCTGTTCACGGACGATAGCGGCTCGAATGGTTCCGGGACACGTGCCAGCTCGGTGTTTCGTAGCGGTGCCAAAGCATCGTATGCTCTCTCGTTTTCTTCCGCTAGTACCGGTTCAGGTTCCCAATTGCTGGTCTTGACAAAAGATGCGTTAATCTTTGGTTTCTTTCCTTCGGCATTTCCATCGGGCCAGACAAGTTCCAGAATAGTGGCATACACCGAATCCTGGAGAGAAAGAAAAAAAAATACAGGTTGGAAGGAAAGCGCAAGAGCTGTCAGTCTATAATCCGAGAACATACGCATTACCAATAATCAATATACATGCCCCGCAATTCTTTCTTACCATGCCAGGCTTTAGCAATCGTGTTCCTTCCACAACTTCATCGACACGATGGTGATCATGGCCACTCAGTACTACTGGAAAGTCAAACTCGCGGCACGTCTTGTGATCATCGGGAACATAGGTGTGCTGCAATGGAACTATCGTGTCGACATTGTATTCCGGCCCATGTAGCTTTTCTTGCAGTCGTTTCAACGTCTTCCAGGGATCGTCGATGGTCGCACCACCAAAGGCTCCTGGCGCCTTGAAGTGAGAGTATAATCCAGGGTCATCTGAGAGCACAGCCACCAAGCCAATCTTGCGACTGTTGGTACCATCTGGGGAACATATATCAATAACTTCGAACTCTTGCTGCGCATCCATCGCCTCATGATCCAGCATATTGCTGTTCAACCAAACACCTGGGAAATTGCGAACATGTTTGCACACCGTCTTATGCGCAATGTCGGCTTCATGATTTCCCCAGGTGAGATAATCGATTGGAATCTTGGAAAGGGCGTTCATCATACCCCTTCCACGATCAATAGAAGAAAGTAGGTATGGGGCAAGGAAATCTCCTGTCATGATGGAAATGACCTTGGATCCTTTTGATTTTTCTCTGGTATCGGCAAGAAGAGTTTTGACTGACGCCAAGTGATCAAGAGTATATGTGTCTGTAATTTGAATGATCGTCAAGCGGGCTTCGCCTGGTTTACATGGAGTAGCTTGCCATTCTTCAGAGGATGTGATCTTGTCCTCGGATCCTGCAGCCCGTCCTCCAGATTTTGGATGGTGCTGCTGCCCTACCTTCAAATGGCTTGACATGCTGTATATGTCCTCTACTTTTCTAGTCAGAATCTATTGGGAGTGAGGACGCTTTGAGGAAGCTCTCTGCGACAGAAAAAATAAGGAATAAATCAAGGATATGAAACAGATACTTTTTTCACCACCATATTGTTCTTCCGCACATTGGAAATACTAGCTAGATAGCTGTACTATATATACTCGTACTGTGGAAGGGCGTTTTATAAATTTTTGAACGGCGTTTTGCAAATTTTATTTGTCTATTTTCGTTCGAATTCTGGTTCTGGATATTATGGTACTCTAATAGTTCTTATAAAAAATTGCACCACGTGGAAAGATAATATAAGATACTGTTCCTCGCACAAAGAACTCAAGTCAGTCCGTAATCAAACTTACGGATGACGGATGACACCAGGACGTGTACTACAAAATCGCGAAAAAACAAATACAAAATCCACTGTGGTTCTTCTGCACATGATGCAAATGACGATGAAGCAATAACTTTTTGAAAGATAATAAATTTAAATACAAGCTAGGAAAGAGATGAAGTTACTACAAAGCCTGGAGCATACCGTGTTGGATTGCTGCTGTCGCAACAATCACCCAATGCGTTACAGGCCCCTTCAACCAATACTTTCGTCATACATTGGCAGCTGTAAGCCCCCTGGCAACTATTGTTGGCCACTTCAATTCTGTTCGGCGCCGATGGAAATCCAACATTGGTCGGTGCTACATACGAACAGGAATGCTCTGAAAGGCAGGCATTGTTCCCAATGGTCAGCTCCAATCGCTCCGAACAAGCGTACTGACCCGTGCAGCTTCCAGATCCAACATTTCCATAAAACGAATGGCATGATTTTTGCTGAGTACAAGAACCGGTGTTGACGGTAAGCAATCCATTTCGAGCAGAATTCCAAAAGTCAATCGCGACAGGCATGTTCTCGCAGGAATATTCAGCTGTGCAACTCGCAGGGCCAATATTGATTTGTCTATCATGGCACGACCATGCTTCGGTACAGGAACCATCGGCAATGGTGTGGATGGACGCTCTGGTGCACGCTCCCTGTCCCCGACACGAATTCTGTCCCATGGTATGGGTAGCCGCTGCCTCGTTGGAAAAGGTTAATGAAGTACAGGCTCCGTCTCCCACACAGGAACCACAACCAACACTGAACTGATTGGTAGTGATATCACAGGCGTTAGTAGTTGTGCAATAACATCTTACAGATGGTGATGCACTCGGTACTTCACTCGGTACATGACTCGACGACAAAGAGGGTGCAGAAGAAGGAGGTGGGGTGGAAGGCGAACCAGACGGTGCAAAACTTGGATAGATTGATGGTGCTTCCGATGGTGTTTCAGTTGGCAAAGGGGTTGCTACTGGTGCCACCACTGGGGCTTGTGTTGGTGCGCTTGTAGTAGGTTCAGGACTTGGTGCTGGAGTTGCTTGCACAGATGGACTGCCACTCGGCACAGCATTTGAGGGCGACGCTGATGCTGTGGCAGTTGGTAAATTGGAAGGTGAGGCACTTGGAGGAGGGGTTGGGCCTACTACAGGAGCATTCGTAGGAGACGTAGATGCTGGCAAAGTTGGAACCACAGACGGTGAATTACTCGACCAGAACGATGGTTGAGTAGATGGTTCCTCGGATGGTACCGCACCAGCAGCAGCCGTCAGTGCCACTTCTTCAAAAGTATCTGGTGACAACTCCAATAACGGCACCAAGTCATCTTGTCCGGCCTCGGATACAATGCTTACAACATCGAACTCTGTGGCATCATCGTCCTTTAGATAAACTGTCAATTCCACGTCAATCACGTGACATTTTTCCGGTTCTGGAGTTCCTTCTTTGCATTCGTCTTCTCGGTTCTCGTTGCCCGTGACGTCTCCATTTCCAATAATATAGGGGGATGTATTCAAGCGCCTAGGGGTGCTAGTAGTACGCAGCAAGCGTCGCTGGTCTTCCACTGCATCCGTCTCGGTATTGTTGCAACCCACCAATTTTGGGATAAAGAGCTGTTCCAGAGCTGCGAGCAATTGTTCCACGGCGTCCTCTGGAATGTCACCATGAACCGATAGCGTAACATCCAGCTTGAGGTTGAAGTCCCGTTGGGTCATGTTCTCCTGTCCAGGGATCGTTTCATTGTTGGAAATGGCCCGGCAATCCTCTTTAGTTGGTGGATCCAAAAGATCATCCAATAGAGAAACTGGCGACGAGCTCGGACGAGCACTGGTGCTTGGAGGAACTTGACCAGAAGTAGGACCAAAAGTTCTCCATGCAGTCGGTGCAGATGTAGCGTTGGTGACCGTAGCACCAGAATTGGCTGGAATAGTAGTATCGGTATCGGTGTTGCCGAGAAAGACAAAACCTGCCACAACACCCACCACCACAAGAAGCAAAACAAACAGTACAGTAGATATGATACAAAGTGAACTGAATTTCCGTTTGCTTTTTTTGTTTTCTTGTACAACAACCGAGACAGAGTCAGCGGCAGTAGCTTCTGTATGATGACTCTCACGCTTATTGTATGCTTGCTCACCATCATTACTATTCAAATCATCCTCATCATCATTAGTATTCTCTGCTGTCAGGCTGCTGGAAACTTCTCTTGGTACACTTGTTGTCAATGGGACATCATAAGAGTACCGATCATCATCACCGTCTACTTCTTCCACTCCAGGTGTGGAGGAGCGAGAGCTTTTGTTGTTTCTGGATACGCGTTTGCCATATTTGTCATTATTGTCACCGTAGAGCAGTTGGCGAGTTCCCACCACTCGTTCACTTCCAGGTTCACTGGCAGGAGTGAGCCTACTACTGTTTTTCTTGTCTCCATAGAGCAACTCCATCTTATTGCTGCCGCTGCTGCTGCTACTTCGATTATTACTGCTAGTAGATGATGCAGCAGCAGTGGTGTGCCAGGAGTGACGCAGTCGATCAACACCTGGCGTTGTGGCACGTGGTGATTTCATCTTGGCCTTGTCGCCATCACCGTTGCCACGACCTGTACCATACAGGAGTTCCTTACTGCTGCTGCTTCGAGAACCATAACCACTTCGTCTACTACTGCCACTCTTGCTCGAAGGAGTATGATTGCTGTCCGATACAACAACATCGAGGACTCCTGGCGTTGTGGCACGTGGTGATTTCATCTTGGCCTTGTCGCTATCACCGTTGCCATGATCTGTACCGTACAGAAGTTCCTTCTTGCTGCTGCTGCTGCTGCTTCGAGAACCATAACCACTTCGTCGACTACTGCCACTCTTGCTCGAAGGAGTATGCCTGCTGTCCGAAGCAACAACATCGTGGACTCCTGGCTTTGTGGCACGTGGTGATTTCATCTTGGTCTTCTCGATATCACTGGTGCCATGATCTGTACGATACAGAAGTTCCTTGCTACTGCTGCTTCGAGAACCATAACCACTTTGTCTACTACTGCTCTTGATCTGAGGACTATTGCGCTTGCTGCTGTAGGAATGCCCTCGTTTGAGACCGTGGTTGGTAGCATCTTGTTGTTTCGAACTCCGCCTACTACTACTGAGGATTTCTTCGCTCGCTTCAGAATATGTAACATCCGTAGCCGTATTCATAGTTGTGTCCGTATATTCATCATCACTTGGCTGTTGTTGCTGCTGCTGATGTTTCAATAATGGGGCTTGTCTACCACTACTACTCCATTGCCTGGTTGGCAATTTTCGTTCCCGATTGGTGGTAGTATTGGTGCCGTTACTACTACTACTGCTCCTTCGTTTTTCGCCCTTGCTCCTAGATCGTCGATCACCACCATTGGAAGTACGCCTTCTGCTACCGCTAGTACTCCTCCTTCTCCTTCCATGATGCTGATTATTCTGATTCTGATTCTGATTCTTAATAACGGAAGATGATGGTGATCCAAGAGTTGTAATACTTTTCGAGGAGCCGCTGTTTCTTGACTTGTGTCCAGAACTAGTCAGACTATTCCGAGTAGAACTTGCTGAGGATCTTCGAGAACTACTACTACTGCCACTCAAATTAGGACGTGATGATGACTTGTTGTTGAATCGAGAGCTATTTCTTGGAGATGAGCTGCTACTCAGCTTTCGTACTAAGTGTTTGTTGCGACTGCGACTGCGACTTCCATCCAATAATTTCTCGTCATCTACGGGAGCTACAACCACCATGGAAGTAGCCTCATGAATTGGAAGTTGTTCCGCTGAAGGCATGCCACTATCTTTAGCATATATACATAATATCTCCAGAGCTGCAGCTGGATACCCGCGGTACAGTTTCAAGCTAAAATACTTTTGGGACCGCGCGAAACAACTGTAAAAAATGCAGCGTACAGTTCGGAAACGGATTTAAAGTTTTAGGCGGAGATGTGTTGAGGCTTCAGTATCCTTTTATTTAGTGGAAAGAGAGCACGATTACCATTTATTTGCACTCATTTATATGCCTCTTTCTCTTTGATCTTGCATGCATTTATATATTTATATAAGGATTTATTATACATTTATATATTTACGGTTCCTACATATATATGTTTGTGAACCGCAAACACACATTGCATTGAGAACGAGATTGTTGGTAATAAGCGGTTATGAGTAGTACATAACAGCACAGTACTGCGTACACTGTGAGGTATACTGTGGAAACAAAAAGAGTTACAATAATAGGGTAGTATGATAGTTCGAGCTCAGAGTGGGAATGTCAAAACATTATCATCATGAACATCATCAACAGAAATGTCTATATTGATGCATAACAGTGAGATGCGAAAAAAGGAGGGTAGTAGATACTTCCCATGATGGCGATCCAGTTGACTTACCCACTCACCACTCATATACAATAAAGATCACTGCAGCTTGAAACTCGGGTAGTATAGGCAGGAACAATAAGAGTGACAGATGGAGTTGGAACATCTGCAAATCAGTCATTTGTGAATGCAACAGAATTCGATTTTGCTGAGATGCTCCATGCTGCGTCGATCCAATTTTTAAGTACTGTCTTGCTGGCGTTTCAATATAATTACTGGGCTGATTCTTCATCAGTGGACAACCACCACCGCACCACCACAAAAGTTCTTTGACTTCTTGGAGGAAGTAGTGGATTGAAATGCTTTCAGCGTCGGAAAGGCCACAACCGAAAGTAAGCACTTGCGTTTTTACCAAATATCCTCACATATTCGCCATAATAAAAGGAATGAACCATTTCCGTCCGCATTCTTCCATTAGCAAATATGGTAACAAGCCAACAAACGACCAAGACTGCGGCACGTTCTAACCGAAGTTGGAAATCACTGTGATGATTTCAAAGTCTGTCACAGCGCCCTGAAGATATTAGACAGCCATATTTCCACCTCCACTATACGTGAGATCTTTCTGGGTCTTCTGTATGTATTTGTGTGGTTGGCACCTTTACCTTGATGATCTTCGAGAGTCGGGTTGCGTCTGGTGTTTCCCTAATGACTGCGAAAATGTTATGTACTACAGTCAGTCGACCCCGTTAACCGTACCAAAAACCGAGCCATCAAATAATGATGGAGAAGACAAGATTGGAAAAGAATGCGCTTCGCCAACAATCTACCGCCGTGGGGGCTGAAACGAACAAGCTGGATACTCTACTGGAGTCAGTGTTGCCCGCAAGGGGAATAATATTGTTTTGCTATCTCCTTGCTCGTTGGCTTTGAAGGTCGGCGTGAGCGCTGTCGTCCACTGTGCAGACTGAAAGAAATATAAGGCGAATTGTGTGAGATATTTAGAAGGTGCAGCATATGAAGGCAAATGCGACAGTGGCTGATTACAAAATGGTTTCAGGGGCAGCAGCAGCAGCAGCAGCAGCTGGTTGGCGACAAGAAGGCCATATGCAATTCTCCAATGGTTGATACACCTATACAGTCCAAACCAATAGTAAGTTTCTGGTAGGATGTGTCATGAATCATGCCTAGAATAGTACCTTTAAATTTCGTGCCAAATGGACGAAACACAAAACTTCCATTTCCGTTGTCAACTTCCTGGAGGCTCGTTGGCATCAACATAACATTGTTGTGCAAGGATTTTTTGAATGTTCTCGCTCATAATGCATTGAAGAAGCTCAAAATCGAAAAAGTCCTTGCACAACGAAAGATCGCACCATAGAAATCTACCGAAAATGGCCGATGGATTCGATTGCGACATGATGGTGAGCTTTGACAGACTTGCAGTCATCGTCCGCCCAGAGGAAATGGATGCAGAGCTAACGATATCTTTGTATTATTCCTATCTCTTTTCTTTGTACGAAGTGATCTGAGCGCATTGGTTTCTTTGGTCTCCAAAATGCCCACTGAAGCAATTTTTATATCGCCTCATTCATACTACAATCAACCATGGTTCGTCCACCTGGTTCTGCAGGGCGGTCCTTTGGGGTCCATAATGGGCTCCACACGCAAAGAAAGTCTTTCTCCGAATGGTGGTAGGCTCTATTGGTGTCTATACTATGTTGGGGACTTGCTGGTTGCTTCATGTACTTTGGTTGCAGAGATTTTTGGATTTTCATTTTTGTTCCTTTCGATTTGCCATCGTTCGGCAGGTCCCAAAGGCCGCTCATGGTCGCCATGGTAAGGGACAGCCACTCAATCATGCACCAGATTCTTACATTGATCCTTGTTGTTTGAAGAGTATGCGACTTAGTCATTGATTCAGCCTGAATCAAGCGTACAGTGGCCTGAATGGGTCAGAATTCATATAAGTTTTGCCCCAAAACCAGTATTTGTCGAATGGTGGGCCTAATTTCCTTGCATTTCTTTATTCTAACATACACTTGTTCTCTATGGGTACATGTAACAACGATAGGTCGGTTGAATTGGGAGTTTTCTAGGTAGAAGGGATCAAACTGCATAGATTTGACCTGGATGATCAAATGGGCGTACAGTCCAAAAGTTGTTGAGAATCTTTCCTAGGGCCCCGTGCCGGTACCCAGACAAGGTCAGACCGCCATCAAAGTTGTTATTATACCTATAGGGATCAGTATTTGGCGATGGTATGGAGTGCTACGATGGAAAAGAGATGTTCGGCAACGGTTTTCTTTTGACTTCATTCCAACATTTCAGATGACTTGGTGGAAATGCCTGAATCTGATTGATCCTATACCAAATATTGTAATTCAAAGTACATACATCACTAATCTATATACATTAAGCAAATAGTACACATTCAAAAAACAAGATATGTAATCACAACAAGGTCGTTTGTACGGTTTGAGCCTCTTGCCTCTTGGTTACTATCTTTGAATCGCACGAGTCAGTAGTGCCGTACCACGTCTACGCATTTTTACCGCGGGCAGTCTGATCGAGATGTGGACTGTGCATGCCTGCTGGAGTGTTCCCAGTCATGACGTATGACTCCCGCGATGGTAGGTCCCGAATGTGTGAAGCCTGGTGACCGCAGGCAGTACTGTTATTACCGGTGAGACATCGCCCTAACTTCATTTTGTTTCCACCAGAATCAAACCGCTTTGATGATACAAGTGATGTTCAAAGGGTCTATCAGGTTTAATGGGCTACCGCAGACGCCTATAGTATAGCATTGCTGGAATAATTATCTTTAATAAATTCCTTGAACTTAAAATATACTCGCTCCTATGACGCTCCTTTCTCGTTGTTATGTTCAAGTCCTGTTGATTCTGCAAAGTTTGTCATTTACTACTCAATGAGTTGGCTTTGTCTTTTTGTCTTCAACTGTGACTGGCTTTGTCTTCGTGTCTTCAACGTGCTTCGACTTCTTGCCAGTGTTTGGCTTCTTGTCAACTGCAGGTTTCTTGCCCTTGGCCTCATGAGGAGGCTGCTTGTTCTTGCCCTGAGCGACCTGTATCATCAAAGCAAGAGGGATACCATGAGCAAGCTTTATTCTGGGTTGGGCAGGACATTTTCATACGAATAGAGGTAAAACCTGCAAATTGCACGCTTTCGCTTCCATATCATAGCAGAAGCAACCTTGCGGCCCAACTCTTCGTGCCAGCGATACAGTAGTCGAAACATGCAACGATGACTATGCTTACCTTTGAATATTGTGGCATTTTTTTTCTGGTTTGGTTTGCAATGGAAATTATGACAGAGTATGGTAAAACAATAATGTGGTTTGGATTCCGATACGATTGCGTCATGTACATGCTTATATAGCATTTGTGCGAGGCGTCGTGTACAAGGACGCCAAAGAACACGTTCCGAAGAATACCGTTCCGAAAATCAATCGTATTACACGACAAAATGGACCTCCAGGAGGGTTGGGAGTGGATGTTGATACATGCGTTAAAATGCGCTGCTAGTCAGCCAAAACAGATCAATTACTGGACGAAATATAGACAAGGAAAACTTGTGACTACCAGATTCTTTCAGACTACAAAACTACACGTACGGAGGACAGACCACGTACT